TGATTAAAGCAAATGAAGAATCAACTAAAGTAAATCAAAATTTTGATTTTTTTAGGATGCAAAATTCCCAAATGGTTTAGTTGTTGGTATTTAAAGATATCCAAGAAAAGTTACCAAGAGAATGGGATAAAAGTAAATCAGAAAGCGAACAACATTGAAAGTCTTCATTAAATAATTAAATCTTAATCACATTATGCCAACAAGGTATTAAAAATATTGATTGTTTCTAGATACAGATTAGAAGAGTCAACCTTAAAGGAAGTCAGAGATAGAATTGAAAGAGTAAAAGAGGCTGAATTGAAGAATGTTGAAAAAAGAAAGGACTTGAGAAAGAATTTGAGAAAATATTTAGCTGAAAAATATAGAACATTGCCAGCAGGAAGTTTGGCTGATAAGAAAGCTCAATCAAGATTCCTGTTCTCAAAATTGAGATTCTGATATATATTACACAAGTATAATAAAATAAGAGATAATTTGACTTCATTTTCATTGTGTTAAACTAGAAGCAAACCTATAAAACTAGAAAACATATTCTTATGCAAGAATTGCCAAGTATTAAAAATAATTAATTATGCAAGAAAATCTATTTATTTATTTATGAATTAAATTAAATATAGTTTTTGCACAGTCAGAAACCTTCTCTTACAAAAGCTCACTTCAGATTTTACTCCTTAACATCTAAGTATTATAAATGAGAGTAATCTTCATTCTGTTCCTAAGGGTTCGGAAACTCATTTTAAAATTACAATTGTTAGCAACGAATTTGAAAATAAAAGTCATATACAAAGACATAGATCTATTTATTAATCAATTGATAATGTTTGATACTATATATTATGATAGCTAAAAAATGATTATAAAATTCATGCAATCTAAATAACAGCAAAAACATCCAATGAATGGCAGTAATCTACAGAAGTTAACCCCACTCCAAGTTGCAGAGGTGGATCCAAAGTGAAATCCAGCTGAAAATAGCAAAATGATAATGAAATTATTAATAAAAATAAATTTACATTTATAGTGAGATTGTAGTCAAACATAAATAGATTGTCCAATATTTGATCACTAAGAATAATGGAAGGAGAATTCTAAATAGAAAAGAATTAATTAATAATCACATTTGTTATTAGAATGAATAAATTAATTTCTTTTAATTGAGATATTATTTAATATTATGTACCAATAGGCAACTTAGTATCCGAATTAAAAGTACAAAACACAACTCTGTAGACATTTTAGTAAGTGTTTGAGTCATAATATAGCATCAAATGGGGTTTGCGCTTTAGGGTTAAGATGTTAGTTTGCTCATGGACCATAGGAACTTAGAGCCAACAGTTTATAACCTGGATTTGTTGAATAAGTTATTCCTGCCAACAATTTCAATAAGGTTCAAGGGGTCAACCCTATGATTGTGAATTACAAAAGTAAATCATCAAGATCATGGATTTAGCATAATTATGTAAGCATTTCAATCCATAAACTGGCCAATGCAAAAATGGACCCACTTGTACTTTTGCACATGGGGAAGGTGAATTAAACACAATGCCATATTTATAAAGTTAATACTAGTAAAGCTTCTATATGACTATCCATTAGATAGATGTAATAATAAATGAAATAAATGAATTAACAATAATTATAGGCAGATCTTACCTAACAGATACTTATAATGATATTAACTAATATGGAGCACATCTTCCCTGGATAGCAAGTACTTTTGCACTTTTATTAATTTTAAGCAAATTCTGTATCTCTTAAAATAAGGACAAGACAAGGCAAAGCAAGGGGATACTCAGGGAGCAAGTGATATCATCAAATATATTATACACGATTAAGAAAGATCAAAGGAGGAGAAATAATAATATTAATAAATCTATAATAATGCTTAAAGGCATTATGATTCAAAATTGAAAGAGATTTAATCTTAATAGTAATAACAGCTTTATTGAAATATATTATTATTATATATATATACACATATAATTAATAATCACTTATATTTCAATTATATTTTTAGGTAATAATTAGGAGAATTCCAACAGATTATTTAAGCATAATAAACATAATCCGTAAATAAATGTTATATAAAAGCATAAGGGTTGAAATAAAATTCTACTATTATTAATTATTAAATGTCTTCATATTAAATCTAATTCTATTCTAGATGTTAAAAGTCAATTTTGCTCTTAGATTATATTTTGGTTGTTAATATATCTTGAGTAAAGATTTTTAATCAAAAATTTTATAAATTTGATAGCCTAAATTAAGAAGAACTATGCTATAAAAATTAGAAGGCGGTTGTGGTGTAGTGGTTATCACGTCAGTCTCACACACTGAAGGTCCCCAGTTCGAAACTGGGCAATCGCATTTTTTTAATCTTTTAGTTATTAATTTTTTAATTTTTATCATAGTTGTTTTTATTCGATTAGATGATTTTTGGGTATTTTTATCAAAAAAGAAATTAGAGCTAAATAGTTAGTTCATATTTTTTTGATAGTTTTTTTTGTGTTTCAATCCAGAGAATACCAAGAAGGAATTTTTTGATTGAATACTTAGGTTCTCTTGAGCCTATAATAAATATTTTTATGGTCAATATTTATTATTTGAAAGGTCGATAGAAATTTATTTTTTTTTTCCTTGATTAGTGACCTTAATAAATGTTCCGTTACATTCAAATAAGTAATTCTTAAGGCTGGATACTTAGATTATGTGGATATAAATTAATCAGTACATTTTAGATGGTTATAAATCTACAATATAATTATTATAATTTAAGTTCTCTGATTATTAGAAACAAATATTTTTTTGAGCTATTGAACCAATCAAAATTAAAATAATTCAATGGAAAAAAAAAGTTCTGCTAAAAGTAATAATTAATTAAGTTCAGTAATAAATAAGTCAAGATGATATATATTTCTCAATTCTGTAGCATATTATTAGCATGAGACATATAAATCAGATATTAATTGTTAGATTTACATAATTTAATTTAAGATATAATTTGAAATGAATATCAATGGCTCTGATTTACAAGGCGAGGATTATCTTAATCCTTCTGTAAATATCTCTAAATAATAAGAAGGAAATCTTTGCATCAAGTAAAAAAATGGTCATTGGGACGACAATGAACATTCCATATATTTAGAATTTTTATCAAATGCTAGAGGTGACTCTTACAAGAAAGGACAACCATTATTTAAGAAAATGAGTGAGTTTATAGGAACTAGATCCCCAAGCTAATGCAGGTATTTGTTATAAAGATCTAGATCACATCATTAAAAATTCAATCCTTAGAACTTCGAAACCAAGAATAGTAAGAAGAAATACTTCAAAAATAGAATAAAAGACTCAAGATAGCCTATTTTAAGAAGTAAATAAATAATGAGGAAGTACTTTGCCTTAAATAGAGAAACGACCGATGAAGAATGACAATTTTGACTATATAAATTTTTATCATATAATATAAGGGATTATAAAGTATATTATTTTTTTATTAAAACATCATTCTAAAAATAACTTGAAAGTTCAAAATAAACACCTAACCATACTTTACATTAATATCATTTTTAAATACTAAATGAGTTTTAACCAAGAACTAAGTATTTAAAAGTAATAAGTAAGAATGGATTGAGAAATAATTTAATTTGTTAAAATTCATTTTGAATAATTGTTAACCGAAGAACTAAAATTAATTTGTTTATAAAATATGAATAACAAAGTCTTAATTATTAGTTTGATTAAGTTAACTAATCGATTACAAAATTAAAAAAAACTTAATAATATCCATCAAGTGAATTTAATTTATGATAAGAATTTTTGAGATAAATCAATTATAAATGAAAAGGTTTTTCAAATATTTATATAAAAAATTTTACTTGAACAAAAGGATAATGAGACTTTGCTTTTAAACTATATTTAAGGCAAATTCTCTATAATTTAATTATGGTTATATAGAAAAACTAGAAAAATTACATATTAATCGTTAATTATATAGTCAATCAAAAATTTTAGATCTTCTTAACTTAGACTGTGAAAGGCTTTAACTTGATGATTTATATAAATTCAAATCCACATTTATTCCTGGTCTTTGTTTTGGTGCATTGTATTCCTATCAATTTATATTTTAAATTACAATAGTTGATTAAATAATATGAGATTTTGATTCTTTCAATTATCTTCCAGGCTAGTCAAATAAACTTTTGGATAATTATTGCTAAAATTGTGCTGTAGCTTAATATTAAGGATGCAGACTCTAAGTTTATATAGGAGGCACTTCTTCATTAATAAGAGGCTTCTATTATTAAATAATATAGTCTTTTTATTCTAATATTTTAGACTATTGTATATTTGATGTAGGATAATATTAAGTAGTTTATGGATTCTAATCAATTTAGTGATAAATTGATTGCTATTAAATAGGTTGGGGTGGATAAAATATTCTTGCTGATTATGATTCTCTTAGATTTTTCTGTTAAACTGATTAAATTTAAGGTTCTTGAACTCTTTAAGTGCTTTCCAAACGGTTTGTTTATAATTAAATTTAGTGCAAATCATTAGATTATTGATATCCTTAGGTGGGTTACTATTATTAATAGTTTTTAATTCTAGCCGAGGAGAACAAATAAGGGTTGTTATCTAAATTAAAAAAATTCTTCCTTTTTTCTTTTTAAGGATTTTCAATTTGGGCTTATTTAGGCTTTTATACTGGGACATGTCTTTCAATTACTGTTTCTTTTGGTAATATGATGGTTGATTGTATGGGCTCTGTGATAGGAATCACATTTGATAGAATTTAATAGTGTTCAAAAGGTGGTTAGTAGGGCTAGTAATGCTCATAATACATGGGATATCCTTAGGGAATGTAGCTGAATTATAAATACTCGAAATTACTTTATAGGTTATTCATAGGGATGCTGAGAATAGATCATTAAAGCTGTTAATTATATCAATAAAATTTTATTAACAATACAATATTGAAAATGAATATCAATCATTTTTAATATTCATCATACTTTAAGTTTGAACCTTTTACCTTATTAATAGGATATTTGATGGAATTCTTCTGAATTTTCATTTGTATGGCTGTCACAATATCAATATTGCATCTATCACAGAGGCGAATTAAATTGTGTAAAATATCTGCTATTTCTTCACCTGTGTGATGTTTTTATTGTTAGTTTAATTCTGGTAATCCAGGTAAAAATTCTCCATCAATAAATATTTCACTTAGTTCTCCAACCTCACCTATCAATGCCATAACTATGTTTTTAGGAGTATGGTATTATTCCCAATCTCTTTGATGACACCAATCATTTATTTATTTTCTTAAATCTTCAAATTCAAGTTAGTTGAATTTAGTATTTACTTCAGGTAAAACGAACTCAACAACTTAATTTTAAGTCTCTTCTTTTAATGTTATTTCTAATTCTAGGATCAATGATTTCAATTCATTTAAAATTAATTAGGATTTTTGTATTTCTTGCTCATTAACAATTGGATGATTTCCTTTCCATTAAAAGACAGTTGATAGCAATCCTGTTTTATGAACAAGTTTGAGAATAGTTGATCTGCAATCATATATTTGTGGCATTTAATTAAATATTATATTAATTGAATTCATGCTAGAATATATTGGTAAGAGTCAATTTGATTTTAATTGTATCGCACATGAATTTTATAATACACAAAATTTCTAATATTATCTTTATGCATATAAAATATCCAAAGATTATCTAACATACTTATATAATAATAGGTTCATTCTACAAGGGGAGTACAATAAATATCAGAAGAATATTCAAATCTCAAAAGGAAAGATAGGTTTCTTTAGTATAATCGATAGAAAATTCAATTAAGTAAATTAAATCAATTAGAAGTAGAATTAGTAACTTATGGAATGTAAAATAGGTTATGGATCATTATTGAGAAATTATTTTTTGGATGCTTCATAGATGTCGATATGGAATACCTAAATATGGATAAATTTTGTGTTTTGATTAGAAGGGAAAAATCATTGAAATTTTTTTTGTGTTATAATTTTGATTTATTACAAAATGATTCCATATGGAGATTAATGTGGGATTTATGATTTCAAAATATTTTCAAGAGCATTTTTTATTGAATATTTTGTTATTATTTTTAATGTCAGAAGGATTTTTAAACAAAATACGTGATTAGGCAATCTAATTGATAGCACAAGGTAATTGGAATATTGATTGTAGGTAAAAATGAATACTTGGCAGGAACTACATTAGAAGCAAAATAGGGAGGTTATGATAAAATGAAATTGGGATGCTAAGAGTTAGTAAAATATGCCAGACAAGAGACAAACTAATAGTTGTGTCAAATTGCCAGTTAAAAGTTAAATGAGTTTACCACTGAGATGCAAAACATGAAGGCTTATTTAGAAAATTACAAAGCAAGCATGTAGGGGCAATCCCAACTTCAGCCTTTATAGCAATAATAATAGTTCTCATAAAATCCGTAACCCTCCTAATAAAAACCCTCGAATGGTAACAATGGAATGAACAAAAGCACAAACCCATAAGACGTTCAAGATCAAGGGAAATCAAAGTAAAGTGTGTTATCTAATAATAAGACTTGTCGAAGGACAATAAGCTTTGAGGAATAATCTATCTACAGCTATAGTCACAGAGAAGCCTAACGTCAGTTGGGATGATGTTGCTGGCTTGGAGAAAGCTAAGGATTCTTTGAAAGAAGCAATAATAACGCCGATGAGATTCCCAGAACTCTTTTAAGGAGCACGCAAACCTTGGATGGGAATCCTCTTATACGGAGTACAACAACATTGAAATATTTTAGCCTCCAGGAACAGGGAAAACATTTTTAGCAAAAGCATGTGCAACAGAATGTGAAGGTACATTCTTCTCTGTATCTTCTGCTGATTTAATATCGAAATTCGTAGGAGAATCAGAGAGATTGATCAAAGAGTTATTTAATATGGCTAGAGAATCAAAACCAACAATTATATTCATAGATGAAGTGGATTCAATGACTGGAAATAGAGAGAGTGGAGGTGGAAATGAAGCCTCATCCAGAGTGAAGACTCAATTCTTAGTGGAAATGCAAGGGGTTGGCAATAACAATGAGTCAGTTCTAGTTTTGGGTGCCACAAACTTGCCATGGTCCTTAGATCCAGCCATTAGAAGAAGGTAAAGTCATTTACAATACCATTTGTAGATTTGAAAAGAGGATCTATATCCCCCTGCCTGATGTATAAGGGAGATTATAATTGTTGAAAAACAAAATGAAAAGCACTCCTAATAATTTAACCCCAGCAGAATTTGAAGATATTGCTAAGATGTTGGAGGGATATTCAGGGTCTGACATGAATACTTTAGTAAGAGATGCTTGTTTTGAACCTTTAAGAAAAACCGAAAGGGCTACTCATTTCAAATAAACCTAGACTCCACAGGGAATGAAATACATGGCTTGTTCTCCTTCTGATCCTGAAGGACAACAGATGAGAATGTATGATATCAAAGGAGGACAATTATATTTACCTCATATCGAATATGTATTAGTTTTCATGATTTTAATAGGATGACTTCTTAAGTGTACTTCCTAAGTGTAGACCATCTGTTTCTTAAGGTGATCTTAAAAAATACGAAGATTGGACAAGTGAATTCGGACAAGAAGGATGATTGATTATCAAAATAATTTCTAATTTGTTGAATTTGATATTCCTTAATAATACTTTTTTAACATTTCTCTCCATAAAATATTGAATAATAAATAAAATAAAATGCTTTTTATTCTTGATACTATGGTGAGTTCTGATACTACTTCTATCAGTGCATCCTCATTCTTTGGTTTCATGGGAGTCACTATGGCATTGGTATTAGCAAGTATTGACATATTATCGATATATTTATTATAGATTTGGGAGCAGGATATGGAACATTTAAGGCTGGAGCTGGAATTGCAGCCATTGGTATATGGAAACCTGAAATCATCATGAAATCATTGATCCCTGTAGTTATGGCAGGTATTTTGGGTATCTATGGTATGATCGTTGCTGTGTTGCTCTCATAGAAAGGTATTAATCCAATTGGATTATAAAATAGTAAAAAATCCCTTAGAATACTCTTATAAATCTGGTTTTGCTCACATGGCCTCTGGATTATGTTGTGGATGTAGTTGTATTGCAGCAGGATTTGCTATAGGAATTGTTGGAGATGTTGGTGTCAGGGGAAATGCATAATAAGAAAGGTTATTTGTAGGATTGATTTTAATCCTCATCTTCGCAGAAGCATTGGCCTTGTATGGTTTAATTGTGTCATTGATCTTATCATAATCATGAGTATCATTTGTATAATTATTAATAATAAAATTCTTAAATTTCATTCTTGTTCCTCTATGGAAAACTCTATAAATCACTTTCATTCTATGAACAAACTTAGTTTGGGATGATCTTGTATTCTCATTCGATGCTACATCCTTTTTGGAATTTAATGATTCTGAAAAGTCTTTGGGATTTTTGTATTGTAGCTGTCTCTCTCTTTAAATTTGCTATCCAACTCCTTCTAGTAACATAGACATTCACTTCGGGTCTTGTTATTGTCCTTTCTGCTGCTTTTTTTTGTTCTTCCATTTTATCTTACAATGCCGAGTATTTTTCTATATTGAGTTCCATTATATTACAAATGTTTTTTTTCTATATTTACCGCTTTTCTTTTTCGTCTATTTCAATTTAGCCATTCATCGATAAAAAAGTATCGTTAATATACTTTATGAGCAAACTTAAGATTTTTAACTTTTTTCATTTCTTTATGGAATTCTTATGATAGTAAGCACGCCGATTGCACCTGAATTTTAAAATATTTCATTTTTTTTACATTTCTTCAATTGTTCTTAATATCTACAAGTAGTAAAATTGAATGATACTTAAATCTATGTACTGTTTAATCTTTCAACATCTATCAAATCATCTGCTATAATCAGTGAAAGCAGTCTATGAATTCTTTAATCTTTTAGCTCAAGATCCTCATAACTTCAATCTATTTTTCCGATTAGAGCAGTTTGTTTAATATTAAAATTTTGTATTTCACTTCTTCACCTCAGCAATCTAGATAAAGATTTTCAACTCCTTTGGAAGAGAAACGCGAAAAAATCTTGGAATTGTCTCCTATTTAGAAACTGCTAGTCGAATCATAAAGCTTTGTAGTTATTTCACATACGATTGACCCGTTTTATCTATCATCCTAACATAAATTTCATTATTGCTCCCTCACAAAATGTAGAAAGATCTCTTACTATGGTTACTAATATATCTGTCAGTAATGAGGGTGGGAATTTGTTCAAAAGTTTTAAACATTCTTCCTTTTTTTATATTTTTATTGTAATCAAATTTATGAATAAATTAAGTGTATAATATTGGTATCTTTGTAAATGGATTGAACTTTAAGAGTACTTAAACTATCATTTTGAAATACAACAATTATGCCAGTACCACTATAAAAACCACCATACGTAATACTGGATGGCTAAGTACAGAGGTAAACAATATTATTGCTTACCTTCTAAGATAATCCATGGAAAATTCTATATCTTTCATATATTTTATGCAGTTTTGAAACTTTTATGTGTTTTCAAGCTTTTACTCTTATCCTAATTGAACTTCTTTTAATTGTCTAGGATAAATCCTGAATAGTAGTTTTTTCTTTTTATTTATATTTCTTTCTAAATAGTTCTTTCAACGATGGGCATCTAACAATCAAACTTGTTAATCTTGGCAATTAGTATATAATTCATCGTAGCACGAATGATAATTTAATGCATATTTAAATATAGATTTTCCAATCTAACCTTCTTTAAATTTTCTTGTTGAGAAAGTATTCTTCAAGAAATATTTCCTTAAAAAACAATCCCTCATTATCTGATGATTGGTTTTAAAAGATTTTTTATGGCTTTGAATATTGCTATCTTGTTTCATACACTGATTTGTAAAAATTAATATTATTATTTTATGAAAAATAACACTATTAGAAAGTGTTTTTACTTCAACAATGATGATGTGCGTAAGGATATCAAAATGTATTGCGAGGATATCATGTTCTACTCAGTTGCCCTTTTAGAATTTTTCTATGATAAAAAAGGAGAATTCAGTCCAGAAGAATTAAATGAAAACTTTCCAGATCTAAGAAATAAACCACTTTTAGATAGCGTTAGAGAATTATGGCTGGCTCTTTAAGGGAGGTTACATACTTTTTCTGTTCATTTGCGCTTTAATGATAGAATAAGTCGTTTAACGCAATCTATAGTGAGGCCTATTTTCATGGAAGAGGCGGAGCTGGTGTTATAACAGAGACAAAAATATGGCTGTCTTAATAGTTCGCTTAGCATACTAGAAAACCTGCCATTACCCAACTTAGAGCATAGCCAATATACTATTGATAATGATGAAACTCGTGATTCAGAAAATGATTTATCACAATTTTGATATTATCGAAATTATAGAAATAGAACTGATAATAAAGTTAGTAATAATTGACTTTAATAATTAAAAAGTTTTTAAATCATATTATTTGCAAATGACATATTTGATACTAGTTTTCTCAAGAGCTATTGGATGATTTCTTCTATGCAGCAGACTATCAACCTAAAATCATTTTTGATTCTACAATTGATATTAAAAACTTCACTAAATTACCATATTGTATTTACCTTAGCTGTGTTAATTTAATTGATTTTATTATTAGAATCACTTTAGAGGTGAATAAATAGTTTTGCACAACCTTATTTTCGAACGTGGGGTAATAGCTCATTTGGTAGAGCGTATGCTTAGCATGCATGAGGCGCTGAGATCGAAGCTCGGTTGCTCCATATTTTTAATTTTTAATTTTTATAATTAAGTTTCATATTTACACGTTTATTTATAATTTCTTATTGTTAATAGATAATTTGAATTAAACAAAGAACTTTAATAAATTGTGTTTTGATCTCTTAAAATATTAAAACAAAATATGTTTATGACAGAGTTTTATGAGATTCTTGAGAAATAATGATGTTAGACTTCTATTTCAACTCTTTTATTTCTATTTAGTGGTTCTATTGAATCTATGATAGGTTTTCTCTTAAACTTTAAATTAGAATGACCACTCTAAAAAATCACATCTAAATGTTCTCTAAATTGAAGAGTAATAACATTAAGAATGTAATATCTAATTCTAAAAATTCATTTCTAAACAAAAATAACGTGATTATCAAGCATCTTCATAATTGATTATCTTGCAATCAGAACAAACATGTTTATAATTAATTAGGTTAACCAAAAAAAAGTAGTTCTGGTAAATAAAATTTATTGGATTAACTTATATGATAATTATAAATTAGATTATAATATCTAAGGTAAGTATATTATATAAGCATATAGTATTGAATTTAGAGAGGGAATATTATAGGAATCTTGCACTTTAAGTTTGACGACCCTATATAGTAACTTATTATATAATTATCTTGTAACCTTTACTTTAATGTGTTGATTTTGGAGACTATTCTTAAGAATTATAGATTAATTATCATTCTCATTAATTTTCTGATTCATTTACTTTGAGCTTTTAAGTTTAAGTTTATTTTTTGCTTAATTAGATCATAAATAGAGCACTTTTAATGTGCAATTATTTTTAATAATTAAAAAAAATTTGGGTTTTAGAATTCTTGATTAATGGATAAAAGTTGATTGCTTGGGGAAGAATTGATATTTATGCATTTATCAAAAAAGAATAGTCAAGAAATGAATATCTATTGAATTTTGGAAGTATTGAATTAACATGAAATAATTTCCTTTTATATTAAAATTAGATATTTATTTTTTAAATAAAAATGAGCACAGTCACCTAATAGCAATCAAGAGGTTAAAAGTAAAAACTCGATCCATAAGATAATAATTTACACATCTCTTCTAAGAAGAATGCAAGAGAATTCATATTCATTTCAAAAATATTTTTGAAGAAATTCCAAAATGTTGAATTGCATGCTTTAGGTGAAGCTACTAAAATCAGTGTTAGAGTTGCTGAAAATTTATAAAGATAAGGTATAACTTAATATATATGTAAAGGTTTGGTCACAATAACTAAAATTAATTCATTCACAGCTGATATTGATGGAAGAAAGAGAGTGAAATTGGTTGTCAGTTTACAACTTACCTAAGATGGAAAAGCAAGAATCGATTAAGAATTATAGGCTTGAGTGATTAAATGAAAGCGCAAAATAGTACACATATATTAAATTGTTTTATAATTATATTACGATATTCTGTTCTTGAGTTTGCACTGATTGATCTTACACATACTAGACATATATTACATATAAATCATTCAGGTTAGAAATGATAATATTTATATTTATCTAAGGAAAATAGAAAATTAATAAAAAAACACTTATTAGATAAGATATTATAAAGTAGGGAGTGAATGTGATTTTCTCTATATTTTTGATTTTTGATTAGTTATATCGTTATACGTTAGCATTTTATTTACTTAGAATTTCTCCCTTTCATTCATTAAAGGTTGCTTACTTAATTTCTTTAAAATTGATTTTAAGTTGTCTCAGAGTAAATCACTTGAAAAAGACTGTTAAATTCTTCATACATCAAGTTCATTACCCTTCTGTAGACAAAGAAAGTAAAAATAAACGAAAATAATATTAGTAATAATCATAATTAGTTTAATTCTTTGAAATATCATCCTTAATCTATTTGTATAAATTTATGCATCTAACAATTAAGCATAAATGTTCAGAATGAATCTAATGATTCATACAACTTTAGATTTTAAGTTTTTTATCCTTAAACTCTCATCTTATTTTTATCAAATCTGTTTATTAACATATGTGCAGTTTACTTTTAATGATATAAGCTTTATAAAAATTTCTTTAAATTTACTAGAGCTAAGAATATTAAGAAATCTAAGTACAAATATTATTTTTTAATCCTAGTTCTTTCTGTTCTGATAATTAATATTTACTCTTTAAGTGTAGATACTCTCAACTGAATTTTAAGAAACTGATATAAGGTTTGTTTTTAAATTCAGCAAATTATCAAGTATCTTTAAATCCAGTTAAGTTAATATATATTCAAACTGCTGGAAAATGAACTTATATTGTTCTTTACATCTGATAGATAAATATCTCTACATGCTTTAAGAGCATGTATTTTTCCTAACAACTCTATATGTGATCTTCTACTATTTCTAATATAATTGTTTGTCTCTTTCTCTATTCACGAATCACAATAAGAGTTTCTCATTTAATCTAGTTTGATAGAGGGCGAACTTTCAAATATATTTTCTTTATTATTAGATTTCATTGGATTTGTACTCTCATATGATTCGTATAGCTTTGAATAATTTAGTGTGAGTATAATTTTATTAATAATTTTCAAACATCAAAGATTTTTACTCCTCCGATATCAGAAAAAAAGGCAATCATTTAATTGAATTCATTCCGGCTATGAGAAGACTTCTTTTTTCTTTTTGTTTTGCATAGGAACCTTAGTTTAATATTTCTGATTTGACCATTGGTCTATCTTATTGTAAATCAAGGGATTGGGACTTAGAGTAGTATTGTCTTGAGATATTTGGCAAGACAGTTGATTTTGGTTGGTCACCATCTGGATGTTCTACTCTAATACCATATTCTAATAATTTTAAATAGTTATATACACAACACACTTTTAGGTATTGCAATCAATTCATAATCGTTTAAATTGACCGACCCAGTTTTCGAGAGTGGGAATTAATACATTTCTTTATCGGGGACAAATTGTGATCTATACATGGTCTGGACATATTGGTTCCAGGTTTCAATGGAGAGGCATGTGATAATTTTCTACTTTTGTTGAATGTTTTAATGTTGGTAATGACCTACTGGGTCTTTGCTTGTTGGAGTCACGTCGTTGGAGGGTTGTGAGTGCTTTTCAATATCTGAATAGTTATAGGCATTCTAATTGGAGATGTATGAACTAAAGGTGTAGGAGGCAGGCATTTTCTCAATGGGAGTTCCATTTGATTTAATGATGCCAATGACTCCTTCACGCTTGTTCATTGTAGAAGTCCTTCCTTTAAAACGCGTTAAAAAATCCACTTTCATTTTAATGATTTAATAAAATATTTAGTAAATATATCATAGAATAATATATTAAAAATAATGAGGAGAGAGTGGTGGTGAGATTCAAATTTGAAGTGAGAGGAAGCAGTGGCAAAATATGAAATTTAATTCAATATATATGCTATTAAAATCTAATTATAAATATGGATCAATTTTATGATGATTATTAACCAACAACAAACAACAAAGATGTAGAATGCAATATTAAAACTAGATCAAAATATATCGTAATGGCAATTCCAATTTATGTTGCACCTTAACAATCAGAGATAATACTAAATTTAGTGAAATACGTAAATCTTTGCAATAAAAATGGGACACTCAGTTTAATCGCTTGAGACTCTTCAATTAGGAGGGCGTAGAAATAACTGAGGACGATTTGGATTATATAAAAAATGGAACTGTGTTATTTGCATCCAAAGGTAAGAGTCCATGTGTAAGTTATTTAAAGGTGAAGAATTCGACGAAAGCTTTTAATTGGCAGAGTATGAACAATTGTAAGATATCGGAGAAGGAGGCTTTGGAAAGGTCGTACTGGGAAGACACAAGCAAACAGGCGAGAAGGTAGCTATCAAACATGGTTAAGTAAATGATGACAAATGCCTAAGTAAACATTTATCATAATGAGGATGTGGATATGATCTTCAGAGAAGCAAGAGCACTCAAGTCTCTAAAACACGATAACATAGTCAAAATTTATAATGCCTTCTTTTTACAGAATTTATAAACTGTTTATATTATGGAATATTTGGAGGGCGGTGAATTGCTTTAATATTTGTAAACCAAAGGGAGATTCGAGGAGAATGAGGCTAGACATTATTTTAAATAGTTGGTCAGTGCAATATCATATTGTCATCAGAAGAAGATAATTCATAGAGATTTAAAATTAGAAAACCTATTGTTGACCAGCAAAGATTCTGGCATCATCAAATGTATTGACTTTGGCATCTCCGGCTTTGCATCTAATGACAATCCAGAAAATGCAGATGCAGGCAGTCTTCGATATATGGCTCCTGAATTGCTCAAAGGTATTTTCATTCCAAAAATATCTTATTAGGAATGGACAAGGCAGTCTCCCCTCTAGTGGATGTATGGTCAATGGGTATCATATTATATGGTATGCTATTTGGCACATTACCATTTACCGGTAACACCAATAAAGAGATTATTGCTTAAATTTCAGAGGGGAGAGTCAACATTCCTCATGAATTCAATAACAAGCTCTCTCAAAATTGTCTGGATTGTTTGTATCGTGCCTTGGAACCAGAACCAAAGAAAAGAATCACTTCAATAGAACTCTTAAACCATCCTTTTGTTACTAATGAAAATACCTTAAGCACTGCTACTAATAAGTAATTTTATACTTTAATTAGACCTAAAATCTAAACATAACTGTAACAGATTGATGAAGTTGACCATTAAGTTGTGTAATAATAATCATAATCAGCAACCAATAAAAAATAGAGTGTCCAACTTTCCAAATAGCAATTCGCTAAGTAGCATCCTCAATCTACTAGACAATTAACATAAACATAGAAGAAACCCCCTCAATAGTCACCATTATTATAAAAATAACCTTAATAAACTGGATAAACCTTAAAGTAAACAAAATTCAGTAAAAAGTGATGTATTAAATAAGATTTGTTTATTAAATTTTAAATATAACAAAACATTAAATTACAATTTACCTATTCTAATTATTTATAATTCTGAAGTAGATAATATTATATTTATTCATTGTCTTTAACTGAAAGATCTGAGTACTGAGTCTTGATATTAATGAAATAACATTTTTGGAGGGAATTTCTTAATTGCAATTGGATTAATCTTTTAAGGTAATTAAGCATATTTTGCTATTGGTTGTTCTAAACTAAAATGGTAAAGTAATAATATTATTATACTTAGATTCATCAAATTCCTTTTTAGGAGTCATTTCTTGCCTGAATTTAATCTTACTAAACTAAAATTTTAGCACTTTTGGCAATTAAACAGAATAAAGGGTATTTTGTTAACTTTATTGGTATGAATGAGAGTTTCCTTGTGATTAATTAATTTATTTTTAAGATTAATGAGAGTTTTTACCTGTCGATAAATTTTTCTTGCTATCAATTTATTCCAAATAGGAGAAATGATGTTATGGTGATTATATTGGATTATTAATTGAACTATCATTCTTTTCTGTAAAATTTAAAATTGCCTATTTGGGAGATGGACTTTGGGAAAGAATTTTTTTGAAGGTTTTCAATACTTTTGATGGTCGAAATGAGGGATACTTTTACAAATCTTCATTTAAGTAAATTGAATTATCAATTTATTAGGGTTTTCTTTCTTCTCTTTTCTTGTGTAATACAATTTACTCTAATTTGTATTTAGGTAGTAATTTAAAGATATCTATTTTCTCTTAGCTTATTAAAGCTGTTTCTGCAAATGATCTTATAGATTCGATTGTTGGTCTTAAATCAGGATCATAACATAACATAATCCTTAACAAATTATTCATATTTAAACTATATTAAGGATTATATGTAAATTTCAATCCTTTTAGGATTTATTTATGTAGCACATTAATGTTATTGGCCTTAAAAGGAGCTTCTTTGAACATGAGCTAGTAAACTAAAAAACCAAGCATCCAAATATCAGATTTGCAATCGTATATTTTGGATTTAGCAAATTCTGGTGCCAATAAATAGATATCCAAATACTCTTCTTGATGCAAATAAAACAATATGTTCATCTCACCCAAAATAGCATTTTTCTCAATACAAAATAAATTTGATAACAGTATTTTACCATGTGCCCTTTTTGGATGAAATAAACTAAGTGCTGAGCATAACTATGTAAGTTTTATGATTGTACTTGAATCAAAATTATCAATATATCTTTCTCCTACATTGGACATTAATATTAACATTCTATGTATTCAGTGATAACCCTTTAATATACATTTGATTGTATACCCCAAATAGGTATTGTCAACGTCATGCGAAGCTTCATAAAATTTAATTACATGAGGATTGTTCTTTATGGAAAGCTTATTCAATATTTTGATGATTGAAGTTACTCTTTCCTTATTAATTCCTTCTAAATTAAACAACCTCAAAATATAATTTTTGTTGCCTCTTCGCAAAATTATTGTTTTCTTGTATACATTCTATCTTAAAATTTCTATAACACTAAATTAAGGGTACAGCAATTCAATATTCTTCTTTAATAATTAAGTCATTTTTATACTAAATTAATTTTACTTATAATATTCAAATGGAACTTAAAGGAGCTTTTTCTTATTTGATCCAAATACTCTCAAATTATATTTTAGATAATTAAATTCTACTCAAACTAACTGAGCTAAGATAGTTATTGGATAATAAGTAAACCAAAGAATTGGAAATTAAAAAGTTCATTGTGACCATTGGATCACTTTCATTGCTCTCAAACTAAAGTTAACAAACCTAGAATTCTGATAACTTAATCTTGATATCAAAACAAAAATACCTCTCAAAACAGTAATCAAGATTTCTGTCATCAATCAATATCCTTTAACCACTTAATTAAAACCAATCTCCCATTAATTCTAAGATTCAAAGACAAACAGTTACTCAAAGATCCTTGTCTAACAATTACAATAATACTCATGACTTGAATGATAGACTAATTACTTAAATAACTGATCGAGTGAAAAGCAATAAAAGATAATTTAATACCCCAAATGTTTTTATTAAAACCAATGGAGATTATTCAAGCAATAACTCCCCTGTTTAAAGTCCATTTAACATCTATAATTCCATCTCTAATTTTGGTTCCATAAAAAATAATAAACCTGAATTGCAAAAAATATCAGTATTAAAAATTAAGGCAAGCCTAATTGATAAATTATAATACACTATTCAAGACTTCAATAATAATACAATAGAAATTCTATCTTCAACATAGAATAATTAACGACGGATTAAAGATAAAATTTAATAGAAAGACAAATAACCCTTTATTCAAAAGCCTTAGAAAAACATCAGTAGATGGAATAATTTTATTTTGAATTTAATATTAACTAATTTTTAAATATATTACTATATTTCATGTATATTTCTTTTAGAAACAAGATCAATTAATGAAGTATCACGACTATATATTTATAATTGAATGTCATCAAATTTGAAATTGAATAAGCTAAAATTTAAGTGCATAAAAATCTAGCCATAAATAATCAACAATGCTTAATTTAGTACATAGAAAAATGATAGAAAACAACTTTTTTTGAAAATAAAAAAGAGAGAAAATTAATCTATAAATTAAACCCTTTAGAAATACATTATAAAAGAACATTTATCAATTTTTCAAAAATAAGTAGAAATGATAGAATGAAAATTTATATAGAAAAATTATTAAACTATATAATAAAAGTAATTAAAAGAGCTAAACCAATAGGAAATGAATGAAGGAATGATAATAAAGATGTTTTAATCAAATACCTAAATTATTTAATAATTATATTTTTGTTCATCTAAAAATAACATCCAGAATATAAAAAGCAAGGTTTAATGAAGTTATTAATCAATATTTAAATAGTAGTTTCCATTTAAAATATTATTCAACAATGAATTCTTATTGGATTCTATTCTTAGTTACGATGATGGGAAATTTAAATAATAACCATTTAAATTATCAGAATAAAAAAATATTTCATTATAAAAAATGATGTCTTTAGATATTTAAAGTGATTATTTTGATTATGCTTCAGTTCTAGACGATAAGTACTATATTATTGATACAATTGGTGTGGGCAGATATGCAAAGTAATTCTACTATTCTGATTATTTTAGAGTGAAGTTAGCTATCGATGTACAAGATAAGTAAAAGTATGCAATAAAAATAATGAAGATTGATCCAACTACAAATCAGAATAAACTATAACAATTTATAAATGAGGTAACTCAAGTAAGCGGAGTTTGAACATAATAATATAATTAAGATTATTCAAGTATTTTGAGATCTCAATAAATAGTGCAATATCAATGGGAAATACAGGAAAGTGGATGGTAGATTATGCTAAGTATCTTATTTTGTGATGGAATTGGCAGATTAAGGCGAATTATTTGAATTGCTTGAATAAACTCATTAATTCTCTGAAAAGTTCCTAAGGAGAATATTTTCTTAATTGATTAAGGGTAGTTTATTCAACAAAACTTAGTATAGGCATTCAATATTTACATGAAAAAGGAATAGTTCATAGAGATATAAAATCTGAAAACATCTTGTTTAGCAATGGAATCTTGAAGCTAGCAGATTTTGGATTTAGTGCCAAATCTGTGGATGAAACTGGAGCCAAAGTCTAATTTGAAGTGCAATAATATTTAGGATCTCCAGAATATAATCCACCTGAACTATCAAATGCAAGTAAGAGTATATTTATAACCTTAAGTTGGTAAATAAAAATATTATATACCTGAATCAGCTGATATATTTGCATCCGGAGTCATCCTTTTTAGTATGGCAATGAGGTCTGCTCCATTTAAAACTTCTAAAAATACTGATCCATATTATTCTCTTTTAAAATAAGATAAATAAAAGTTTTGGCAAGTGTTCTAAGAATTAAACGATAACATATCCAATCAATTCAAAGATCTTATTGAAAAAATATTGGAAGAAAATCCTTAGAAGAGAATTTCATTAGAATAAATTAAAAAGCATCCATGGATGGAAGGGTCTATTTCTAATTTGGCTGATTTTAAAACAGAAATTATGAATAGATATGAGATAGTTTAAAATAAAATGAAGGCAAAGATAACATTTAGAAGACAATAAAAATTTACAAATAGAAGATATTAAAAGAGAATCGAAATGTCAATTCCTAATCTTATTCCACCAAAATATCTGTAAGAAAGTTTAGTTGTTATTGATTAAGTAAATAAATTCATATATTTAGATCAATGAAAAATTGTAGAAGAGATTATTGCATTAAGAATACCAAGATTAAATAAATTAGTAGGCTCAGCCAACTGTAGAAATAAATATAATTGAAATATAATAGAAAACTAAATCTAAAAGATAATTAGAAGGTTCTAAAAAATCTAATCGTGCTACTCCTCCTAATGATTCAGATAATTGAATTTATTTAATTAACGCATAATCTTTTTATTTGATTCCTTGAAGATATTTATTTAATCATATAGATTAACTCTATTATTGCCTTTATTTTTTGAATATAGTTATAAATTAAATTACTAATGAAATTTCATTTAAAACTTCTGTTATTCTTTGAGTAACATCTCTAGCATAAACTCTTATTTTGTTTTAAACAGTCTTTATGAAACACTTGTAAGCATTTTGGGCATTTTTAACTTTATTCTGAATTTGCAAAATTTTTCTAACAGGAAAAACAAATAATCTGACCTAAACTTTTACTTTTTCTTGTTACTCTATAAATGAAAATATATAATTAATACTTTTAATAATTAGACATATTTTCTACTTTCTTAATTTACTAAGCTGCAACTTAATAGTCTTCATCATAATTATACTTTGAATGTTTTTGTTAATTTTTCTTTTCTGCTTTTAAGACTTTTTTGTTTTTTTTAACCTTTTCAACTATAACTTTCATTTACTCTTTTTGTTTCTTATGTTATTATTTATCATCTAATATTCTTTCTAAAACCTACAATGAAATGTAGATATTCTATAGGGAATCAGCATTCTCCACATAAACAGCTAATTGATTAATCAAAATAAAATGATTTTTAAATATTTTAAATGGCTTAACGAATTCCCCATTAATAGAGATCGGTTAAATTAACCCACAGAAAAATTGTTTCAAAGCAGATAATACCTATTTTATTTCATCTTGGTCTTTAATTAAGTTAAAGAATGAGTTCTTTTCATTATTACGAATCCAGCAAAGATCTTTCTTTTACAATATTTAGGTGTAGGAATTTTCTATCATTAAAAACTTATCGATCACTTCTTAGGTATCTAACTGATATTACTATTCTAATTATAAATAAATCTATACTTTAAGTTAGTTTATTTTTTTATTTGATAGGAGTGGATGAATCAATTAATTCAATTGATTTAATTTGTTCAAGGTTTTATAACAAATCTAATTCATTAACACCTTATTAATTTAATGAATTCATCAGTTCAGTTAAATCTGAGATGGTATATTGACCCCAGCCTTTTTTAGTTTGAACAAAGATTGTACTTGGAAAAAATGTGAAGTAAAAATATTATTATGTATGGGCATCTTAACCCAAATAAGTTCCACCATTCATAAATAGAGAGTAATTCTATTATAGTGAAACCTTAAGATCTGCCTATGTTAATTATAGTTGATTAATGGTTCCTTTATTTAAGAATTATTCTTTGTTTTTTAACAAATCCTTCATTATATCCAAGTCATATAAACCTTCAGATAAACTACTCAATACACAGATTTTATCTTAGAACTATAAATCATTGAAATCTAACTAATCTATTTTTGAATCTTTATTATAATTAATTACTTAATCTATTTAAATAACACATTCTTTCCAAGTTTTCTTTAACAAATCTTAATTTTTATCTTCCTCATTATGTAGTAAATAATTCATCAAATATAAATAGGAAGTAGTAATTGCATTAGCTTAATCACAATATTGTTAAAATTATTGATCATCTTTTAGAATGAACTCATCAAAATATTAATTAAGTAGGTGTATTAAAATCTCATAGAACTATTTCTCTATATACTCTTAAGTAAAAGTATCAGGTGCTTTTGAGTTTGGCACAAGAATTTGATAAATTGTTTGAATCTTCAAAATTTGTTCTACCATACTAGATTTTATCATGTGTGGCTTAGGTTTTGGCTTAATGCTCAGAAGTTCTGGGTAATCTACTGCTAATATTTCTGAAATAGGATAAGCCACATTTCCAGCAGTGGATTTATACAAAGGATATTTTGAGAGGAATTCAGAAATCTAATGAATTTGTTTATTGGGAGTAGGTTTGAACTCAGATATTATATATATTTATTTTTTCTTTTAGATTCTTTCTATTATCTTCAAATTGAGTTTCTTGTTTTCTGATGATAGATTTGGTAATTGCTTTATTTATTTTTAATTTTTATAATCCCATAAGTTTGAGTTCTTGAGTTCCTCAATTCTGGTTAGACAATAATCACACAACCATTCATTTAAGGCTCCTTAAATTTATACACATTCTGAGTGAAATTTGAATCTGCATCTTTTACAAATAACAATTTACTGTGAATAATCAAAGGCTATGTAAGGAATTTTTTAATCTGATTATTCTTCTTTTTTATGAGATTGTTATGCAATTTATTATCTAATTGATTTCATTGTCATATTGGAATTGGCATCAGTGTTATCATTTTGTTAAAGCAAATGCAGAATAGTGGGAATAGTAGATAGTTTACACTTTCTACATTTGTTTTTATCTACTCTTTATTTTTTTGGATTATTGTATACATCAGAATCATTTAATTTGATTTCAGATTTGTGCATTTTTTTTGCACTTTTGTTGTTTTCTGTTTGTTAATAAGGCATAAAAACTGTCTTTAGTTGTTCTTCTAATTGGTTTATTACGTCTTTCAATTCCTTTTATCCATACGTCAATATATCCATTGATGTTAATCACAGAGACCTAATTATTTATGATAAATTGAAGTTCTCAAAAGATCCCTGGATTTAATTGTCTTCAGGTATGTTTTAAATAAAAGCATGGTAATAAAATTACATGATATAATTGCTTAATTTGGTCTTAGCAATAAATGTGGTGATTTACTTTAACATAAATTATAATTAATTTCACAAATCAGTTTTAACTTTGAAAATGCTTCCATAATTGCTTTATTCACTTAACCATTAAGTTAAATTCTCTTCAGTTTTTTGTAAATGTAATGTAAATGGATGATCCTTTCCAGCTGCATACAATTTGACATGAGGATAATTATCAATATGAAGATCATCGATCTCATTGATTTCAATGTCACATCTTGCAAAAATGACCTTGCCTTCAATAGCTTGTTTATGCTAATTGTTTTATATATATGTTAAAATACCTTCTTAAATACCTCATTATAGTCAGGTCTAAAATCTTTGCATGGCTAACATTTCTTGGCAGTATATGTAACAACCACATCAATGCCTTTCTCATTTTATTCTTTGATGAATGGATAATAAGTAGATCTAGTCAATTTGTAGATTCCTGCTCCATCATATAAATTTTATAAGATGCCTTCATCTCTGTAGAAGGCTTTTATCTATCCTGATTAAATTTGCTCATAAAATTGAATGGGATCTGATGGTCCATTTTTATATTTGTAGAATCTGTTATCATCTATTGGTTTCATAGCAATCAATTATGGTAATTAAGTAGTATTAACATTGATTTCATATACTCTCTCTAATCTTTCTTCACAATCCCCATTAACATCAAGAACACCTACAATAGCTTTATTTAATAAGGGATATCTGGCATCTTGCATTTATTAGACATATTGTTCATGTTCAGGGTCTAATTAGAATTTCTTAACATTAATACTTGTTTTATTGTATAATAAGATAACTGATGGCAATAAGTCTACTCTTCTGGATAACTTCTAAAATTTAGTATCATCCACATAAACAAATCCTTTTTTAAAAGCATAGATCTTTAAAAATTGAAGGATATCGTCAGTATTTTTAATGTCTCCCTTAAATCTGTGTAAATAGGTTTAATATTTCTTAGTTTTTTCTTCACTGATATCCTCTAGATCCTCCAATTTACTATAAATTACTAGGCCACTTTCTTCCTTTTTCAAACCTAAATGTTAATACAGATCTGGGTTAAAGATGTGACAGAAGACATACTAAGAATTGTATTAAATAACATACTCCTTAAGGTATTTATTTGGCAGCTTAGACAAAGGCTTTCAATGGTGAGACTCTATATTCTGGAGTGGCTAAGAATGCAATCAGTTAGAAACTGTTAATTTTGTTAACAAATTGATCCCATTTTTGAAGTTGAGATGATGGATAAAATTCATCTAGATATTAGATTTTATTAATACTTAATTCTGGAGAATCTCTGTAAGTCTTCTTGAGCCAGTTTAGGAAGGCTTATGCATTGAAGGCTCCAGAATACTTTTATTTTTAAGTGTCAGCATAAAATAGAAAGATGGATGGAGTGACTTGGATCTAGGTTTTTTCCATGAGTTTTTTTTCTTCTACAGAGTTAACAAGTCCAAAATTGATATTTGTTGGGTATGTGCCTGTTTTTTAAAGACTGTGTTATCCCGTAGCGATGGCTATGTAATCATCTAGAAACTTTTTAGATTATTTGTCATCGCCATAATAGAAGACAATCAAAGGTTATTGTTCCTTCTTTGCCATTGTATAGTTCTTGTATCCCAGATAGACCAATTCACTCTACCCTAGAGAGAATAGCAATGTGAATATCAAGAGCATTTTCTAAATAATAAAAATATAACACGTAAGTAATATATATCTCAATTCCTTAATTTATTATAGGCTTGCATTTCATTTTCAATAAACACAGTTTTATATTTGCTTTATTATCCTTTCACTATTTTTATTGAACTTTAATCAATAGACAATTTTTCACTCAACATTCTTATCACATCTTCATTGGCTGCATTATCAATGGGTTGGGCCTTGGTCTTTACAATAATGAATTCTTCTGAAAATTCAAGCATCTCTGACTTTGACTTTGGTTTAACGAAAAGCTACAGGTAAAACCCTTTTGGTTTCCCACTTAAGAATTATTGAGTTACTTTTATAATATTCATTTTATGGCTAATATTATAGTGTTTTGGGAGTTTAATTATCCAATGCTTTAATTACAGTCTCATTATTATATGCAAGGAACCTTCAATAAAGATAGACCCAAAGGTTGATCGATGAGATTGGCTGCATTTAGAAGGAGATATAAGCATTACTATTGCAATTAAACTGAATTGGAATATAGTTATTACCTTAAGATTCAAATGGGTCCTTCAGAAAGCAAAGTAGTTATCAAGCTTATAATCTTCATAATCTTAAAGCAAGTGTTTAACTTTCGATTAGTTGTCCTTCTCTTAAAGCTTGACTATGCTTAATTAGTTAGTTAATAAACTATCTTTTTGATACAAATAATCAAGCAGTTTAAGATTTGTCACAGCATATCCAATTTTAATAGAGCTATATTTGTAATCATGAGGGAACTTTATCTTAAATATTTAATTTGAAGAAAGAATATGTAATACAAAATTCAATAAGATACCTTATAATTCTGTACTTTTAGGTGCACTTATTAAGGTATTTGAAGAATGAACTATTTATTTGATGGTATATATGAAATCAAATTATAAGTTTAAAATCAACTAAATCAAGTAATTTTAATTTCTCTCTATTACAAGTTCTTACATCTTCTTTTTTACTTAATTCAATAAGATATGATTATAAATATTTTAATTCTTCATCTTTTGGGTCTTAAGTCCATTCTAATATTGGAATTCCATTTTCTAATTGTAAACCAAAAGAATGTGGAAGATTATCTATTATTACAATATCCTTTAAGTCCCTATTGGTAATTATTCTTAAGTCCTTTATGAAGAAACCATTTTTAGTCTCAAAACAATTGTTCCTACACAAAATATCTGTAATGTATTATCGTTTTGGATCTAGATGATTTACAATTGCCCTGGCATACATTTCGGAAGAGGCTGTGAATAAGTAGATCGTATAGTAATTAGACATCTCCTTTATAAACTCCTTACAATAGGGTCTGACATTAAAAGCTATCTAAATTTTACAAATAGAATAAATACGTCTATTGGTTCATCATTGTCTTGAATTGTAATAGTAATATGTGGGAAATCTCTATGTGTGCAACTATGGATTAATGTCTCATCTAGATCTAATACGAGGATTTTTTATTTTCTATTGTTTGATTCTTTGAGTCTGACAAATCTGCTTTTCAAAAATCTATCAGAAGGACCTTTTAATGAATTACAAGCGTAAACCAAACCACTTTGCACAATTTATAGGAATCTCATAAAAGTGTTGTAATTCACATGTCTTCCATATACAAGATGTTTGAAGGGGTGATCTTTGATACTAAAGTTTTTGCTTGAAACAACTTGTTTTGAGGAATTGGATTTGGAAATCGGTGGATGTAAATACTCTAATTTTGGTGTTGAATATTTTTATTAGAATTGTATTCCCATCCCATCATTATCTTGAGACGTCTTGCTGTCGGTTATGAAATTATTCGTTTCTTCTTTTCTTTTCTCCTCCTCAGAATCAAATTGTATGTCGGAATCCTTCTCAATGTGATGATCCTTCTATTTGAACTTGGACAACTTGTTTTGCCCTTTTGGAGATGTGGGAGTATGTATTTATTTTGGAGTGTTATCAGAATCGTCAGTTTGGAAGGGAAGAGTGTCCCCTTGGAAAATTTAGAAGGTTTTGCTATTTTGGGAATCATCGGAGTTATGTCAGCCTCATCCTCTGAACAAAAAGATCTTCTATACTCAGGTTCAGAGAGAGGACAAATTTTGGACGTTGAGTTAGATTGGCTATCCATTTTTATTATTATAATATATGAAAATGTAAATAAAATGTATTACTTAACCATTTTAAGATTGCAAAGTAAGTTTTAGAATCAGATCAAAATAATATACTTTTCTGTAACATTTCTATTGTTCCTAACATTAAATAATATATTACCTATTTTCTTGATTGTATTAATTATATCAATGTAAAAATCTACTTATCTCATTTATTCTAATTTTATTATTAATATAATAAATAGAATGATCTAATTTTATAAAGATCAACTTTAAATAGAACCACCTGATTTCAATTCGATTCTGTCAATTAATCAACCCACAAATAACAGAGATATCTAGATTATATCGATATTAATTGCTTTTAATTTCAGGAAATTTATATATCAATAATATACTATATACTGGACCAAAAGTTAAAACTTTGTATTAATTCCCTTCTATATTTCAAATAGTTTAATTCTATTAATAAGCCTTTAAATTCTCAAATTTATGAGGTTTATTTAATTTATTAATTGCTTAAATGCTATTTTAATGATAATAACACTAATATCTTTAGATATGGTTTAAGTATCTAAATAATATCTGAGAGATAGAGCATTAAAAAAGATTATATTAAAATATAATCATCATAGATGAATATGCCTTGTATTTTTAGAATTATATAAATTTATCTTAAATAACACTGTTATTCATAATTTCAAATAACCAATTAACTGAATAGTTTTTACAATTCATCTGCCTCCTCTTCATCTTCATCATCACTATCAAATGCTCCAAGTACTTTTTCTTTATTTGCGAATAATTCCTTAAACTTTTATTTTGTTGCTTTCTTAAATTCATTTCCTTTCAATTCCAATTTCTTTAATATTAAATAATTAATACTGTGACATTATCAACTTATTTAACAATAATCTCGTATAGTTCATTTCCCTAGACATCATTTAATTCAGCATAATTGTAGCCCAATCTTTCAATTTTGACTAATTTGCTTAGAGATTCCAATATTTGTTTATTCTATTTTCCTTAGATGTTACAATCTGAGATGTTGATTGCTGTCAAATGAGCAGCATTTGTTATGAGATCGCTTAAGACTTATGTTGTTGCTTCATGTACAAAATTATCTCTAATATCAATGGTTGTTAATTCAGCACAGCTTTTATTTAAGGATGATAAGAGTTCCATCATACCCTTTTATTTGATTCCATTTTAATAAATATGCAATTCTTATAACTTCTTGCATGTTGGGAATGCTTTGGATATTTCAATTGCGCCATCACATTCAGCTCTATTTCTTGCAATGGCTAATATTTGCAAATTATGTTCTCCTTCTTACAATCCTTCTGAGACTTAGGTAACTCCTCTGATACCAAGACCGCAATTATTCAAGAAGAGTCTTTATAATTAATGAGCTTATTTGAGGAAAGGCTTCAAGGCCTCTGCTCCAAATGGATTGACTGCATTATTGGACAGATCAAGACTTAAGATATTTAATCCAATTAGACTATTTCCTAAGATCTACAATATGGGATTCAATTTGTACCTCTAACGATTGAGGAATTTCATCTTTTCCTTTGCCAACAAAGATATCATTTGCATTGATTTTCTAATTTATTAAACATTGATTACTTGCAATTATTTGGAGGTTGTGATGAATTCTGAGAATTGATGGAAAAATTGTTTAGAGTAACTATTGCCTTTTAAGACTATGATTTCGCATTTCTCAGAATTAGCTTTGAATTCTTATTATTATTCTTCAGTAAGAGCATCAATATTTTATTTCTTGGATTCAATTGTAAATGTGTAGTTTTGCTCCATTTTTAAATTATTTAAAATTTTAAATTTCGTGAAAAATTAAAGGCATGACTTCCATAAATTTTATTCTCTCTACATTCATATATAAATTGAGATGCTAATAAAAGAAATACTTTAAAAATTCTAGTTTAAGTTAAGTATCTTATTAATTAAAACACAATATATTTATAATAATTATATAACAAAAGAGAGGGATATTTTATTTTATTTATTATTTAATAATCATTGCCATAAATTTTCATCCTTGGGACTTCCAATATGATGCTTGTATTAAACAAGGAATTCATCCAATGTTCTTGATTGTGCAGTTGATGAGTAAAGTGCAAATAATTTGTAATGGAAGAAATCAGTCAACAACAAGAAGGGAATTACTCCTCTGTAAATGCTGAATGGAGTCTTTTAGGCAAATAGATTGGCAGCAATTCTTCCCTTTTATGGAGTCTCTTAGAAACTCAAATCGGTGCTTGCCAATTACAATCTTGTCTTTATTGTCAAAAATCCATAACCAATAGCTAGTAATGGAACTGATACTAACTATCATAATTAAATTGCACTTACTTATTGAATATAATCTTATTCATAGATATTTCTAAGGTGATAGATGAGGGTTCCATTGAAGGCCAACTTAAATACTATTCCTCTGTAGAAATGACTGAATCCATTTCTTGCATACACCTATTTATCACTATGATTTAACCTATTCAATGACATCAAATGCTCCCTTATATCTGCCTTGAACATCAGAATAAATGATTGTCTTTATTGTGTCAATTGGATATGTGATCAATTCAAATAAGGAAGAATAAAGATAATGAGAGGCGTATCCATTACCTCTACTATATACTAATGGATGAGCCCATACAGTCAAGAATTGAGCAGCATTCAATAAAGCACCTCTAAAATATCCCTTAAATAATCCTTGATTGAATATCTATTGTAAGCATGCTCTATTTTCATATATTAAATGACTTCGTACGTATTTGAATCTCCAAAAGTGAATCTCGTCTTTAAACCACCATATGCTTATCTTAATGTGAGTAATCTCTCAACTCCAGCAAGTAAGGTTAAACGATACAAGTTGTCCGTTACGACTTCCCATGTCTTTGGCTCTTCATTGAATTATCTCTCAAATTTAGCTCTTGGACCCAAGTATCTATAATAATCATTACAATTATTACTTTTATTGATCAACTCTAACTGTCTTTGCTAACCAATCATGACCTGGTCCACCTCCGACAAAGTATTCAAGATCTACTAATTGAGGGTCTCTTAAGATTTTGTCTACAAATGTCCAATTTGGACTGTACAATAAACCACTCAACATTTCAATATCTAAAATATAAATATTAATGATAAAATAATTACTCGCAAGAATAAAATAAATGCATACATTATGAGATCCTAATCTATATGAGTAACTAAACTACTTTAATATAGTCAAGTGACTTAGGAATAATACTGCAATTGAATTCTAAAAAGAGCAACATTAATAGATACAATAATAAATGTAGACAATCTGTATTATTATTAATTGTTGTTTGGAGAAGAGATAATATAGAAAATAATACCATTGTAATTACAAGCTCATAGATGGTTATTAATCATAATCGAAGGTTTGTTTAATTTGTTTAATTGGAAATAAAATAGAGAAAAAAAATTAATAGTTTTACTGATATCCTCTTTAATACTACAATATAGATTTCTACTAGGGAAAGAAATGGATAATTTTATTGATTCATCAGCAAGAAGAGGAAGCATTTTATCATCTAGGAGCGTTTATACTACAAACATTAAAGCATACAATTCAAAATTGAATAGGAATATATATGAATTCAATCAAACAGGGATTATCAAAGATACTAATAGTTGGAATTGAGTATTCTGATAAGTAATTGGAGTGAAGTACATAAATACTTAAACTTAGGAGTTAGAGTTAATAATGATTTGGTCTAATAATTTATTTTTATTATTAATTTTGATTTATGTCCAACAGAAATTAGAAGTCGAAAAGTCCACAAGTTCAATAACCGAAAATAATAGACAAAGATTTGATGAAATATTTGATATTTTAGAAAATTGTCAAACCTTAAGTGCCAGCAGAATTGATTATGAAAACATAACCAGATGAAGATTCTGAAGTTGAGGATTTCAAACTCGAAATAGAAATGAAGTACTTATTCGGCCATATCAATTCTAGGTTTAAGAGTTGTAAAATTAACCACACTTTTAAATTTCCGAAAGAGAACTATGAATCCTCATCGGATACATCATTGCAATCCTTGAAAGATGTCACAACCTATAACTTAAATTGCGATAATTTGGATCGATTGACTGATGCTACTTAACCTCATTTTATGAAGGCTCTCAATGAGAGATTAATGAAATTAACAGATCTGATTGTTGATGAACCACAAACAAAAACTAAGCAATTTAATTATGCCCCCAATTTAAAGTCTTCCAGGTTTAAGATATTTATAATTTAGAATGCAGAAGTTGCGTGGAACCAATATATCCAATACATCAATCACAAAACCCACAGAGTTGTCTGTCAACGCAGCCAGTCAAAGCCAAGGCAGAGAGAGTGTGATTACGAAACCACCATCTAATCTGGGTTTCAGAGCCACACCTACATTGTCTTCTGAAAAGAAAAGTAAATCCAAATAAATTCAATAAATCTTGAAAATTACTTAATAAAAATGCATGAATAATTAAAAGTAATTCCATAGTAGATTTATAGCGTAGGTGGGACCTTCTATAAAAAGACTCCCTAGGTCAACAACAATTACATTAACATCAATTCAAATATAAATAATAGTATCGTAGTCAATGGCAAAAAGAATTTCCAGGAAATCAGAATTAGAACCGAACAGGATGAACCTGAAATTAGTTTATAGTAATATTAGGTAGTGCCTAATTCCAGGTATTCATTCTTAAATAACCAGGCCTAAAATGAGAGAGTCTACAATTAAAAGTAAAAAATTGGACATTTCTATTGGTTATAAGAATCTTACTTTAGACAGCCAATATCTAGAAAATTATAGTCGTCATGCTAAGAGTTAAAACAAGAATTATAAGGTTTGATTTTTAATATAATTATTATATATTTTATTCGTTTTTAAAGGGTGCCTATGATATTGAATGAGATTTCAAGAGATGATGAACAACAATCATTTATTAGTGCAACTGATAAAGATCAAACACTTCAAACCTAAACTAATTTGAAATAGCAAATCAAGATGTTGCCACCGATTTATTTATCAATGTCGCTAATAGTTTTGTCTGCAGCTATTTTGAGCCAGTTTTAATACGCAAGGGCTCAAACATTCCCTTTGTTTTTAGAGTTGCCTTTTTAGAAGAATTAATTATTTACGGTATTATATTTAATAAATTATATTTTATAGATTGGAAATGCGTTAATCAGTTTGATGGGAATCATGATCTATTATTTGGTATTTTAAGCCAATCAATCAAAACCCATTAGAAAGCTATACTCAGCCAAATAGATTCCATATAAAATCTTTTCATTTTAGATATTCCTAAGTGGAGCTTTATCCCACCTAGCATTTCTAGCATTTGCTTTGCTCCCTATTGAATACAAAAACCAATCCAATTTCCTATGTATTATAAATCCATCCCTATAATCTTAGACACTGAAGACAGAATTTTATTAACATTTTCGTTTATAATGAACTTCCTATTCATCAGCTATTACATGTGTTATAAGTAGGGTTCTTAACCATCAAAGTTAAAAAATCAATTACAACCATTTTCTTTGAGTTAACAAATAAAGGCAGCCTTATTTACAGTAATTTGCTTTTTATTTACTGCTTGTATTTGACAAGATATTTAATCTATTTTAGTTATTTCTGTGAATTTTATAAGTATTTTTATGGGAATGCCAATGGCTTAAGGAGAACCAAGTTTGAATGATGGTCTAAGCGCGTCTGAAGACTTTATAGCAAACATGGTTAGCGAGATATACTCTACACTGTCATATAGCTTATATTTGATGAATTCATTTTTTATAGGAATGTTTTATTCTGACTTATAGAAAGTAAGAGAAGTGATTTGATTGTAGATTAATTTGATAATGAGTGTAGATTAAGAGATGATGCTTAGTAGGAATGAAAAATCAAAGTGATTAAATAATAAATTATCGTGAATCACAATGCATATAAAAACGGATATATAATTAAATAAATGAAAGCGTTCATCACATTGTCTCTTTTGTATTTGACATTAGCCAAGTATATAAGACTCATGATCATATAGCTAAGGAATTTTGTCAGCAACTGGAGAATCTGTACATGCATTCCAATCAGTTATTGTGGGTTTATCAAAAGTGGCATCGAAAGATTTCAATTTCCAATAACTATTCGTTGCTCTTGATGAATTGGCTGAATCCTTCAAGGCAAGAAAGAACGAAGAAAACGCATTCTACGAATAAGAATATCAATAATATCAAGCAGATGTTCAATACTATTAAAATCAAATAACAGACTTCAAAAACAAGGTAATAGTGGCAACCTATACATTCAGATTGCCTAATTGGAAGTCGACGTTAAAGACTTGACAGATGAAAGAGGCAGATTACAATAACTTTTGGCAGATGCTAAATAAGATCTATATGATGCAACCAAATTATTCAATGCCAAAGAGGCCTAAATCAATTCAGACAAGTCAGTCTTCACCAGATAGTTCAACGAATATGCTGACACCATTGCAGTTTTAGATTAAGCTATTGCATTGTTGAATGAAGTCAAAGACGAAACTTCACTCTTGTAAAAGGCAGAGAACATCAAGGATGTTTCTTAAAAGATGCATAACCAGTATGATTCATCATTCTATATTTCTAGTCTTAAATAATTATCTTCAAAGAGAGTGTTTTATTAACCATTGGTTAAGGCATTGACACAAATTGCTCAAAACAATTATGTTGATTAAGAGAACTTAAACAAAGTCATCAACTATATGAATCAATTAAGACAATCTTTGATTGATGGACAAACCTCATTACAAAATCAATATGATGCACAATCTAAATTACAATAAGACATTTTATCAGAAATCTAGGCCAAGATCACTGGAATTAGAGATGTGTTGATTCCATTGTTGTAAGCAGAAATTGAGACCAAAGATGGAGAAATCAAAGCACTCAATGCAATTTTGAATGATGCAAAACTCAATTTAGCTGATGCTGAAGATAATCTCTCTGCCACTCAAAATAGATGGATTGAAAGGTATCATATTCTTTGAATTTAAGAACTGCATCACACAATACCTTGATCTAATAATACGATAATGAGTTATTAGCCATTAAGGATGCTGAAAATGCCTTAAAAAAGGGAGGCATATTTAGATAATGATATAAACACCAATAATTCCCTTTAAAATATAATATATTTATAATTAAATTTCGTTAAAATTTCAATGTTATATTCCATTAGGGAGACTGATGCAGAAGCAAATTTGTCTTTAGATTCATAAACAGGAAGGAAATCTTTAAATTCTGATGTTTAAAAAAAATCATATAGTCGATCATTGCCCAAACAATAACATAATTTAGATTAGGAGATATAAAAATTAAACGATATCATCGTGTAGTTAAGGAAGGTCGAATAATTGCTTCTCAATTAAGTCAAGGATTTGAAACATTAGTTGGAGGAACAATTCAAAAATTCGAATAGAAATCAGAAATACATTGATGAATTAAATAAGGAACTGTAGCAAATGTCTGATAAATTGCATAGTGAAATTATGCACAATGGGTAATTACAGAAGATAAATATCGAATTGAAAAAAACTATACTAAAATTGGAATAAGAAGTAATCACAACAAATAAATTAAATTAAGATATGTCTGAAGAATTGCAAATTTTAAAGTACTATTATATTAAGGAAGATCTAAATATTCCCACGAACATAAATTTATAGAATCTCTTTTGCATATGGTGGTTAGTTGCCATCCAGACAATTCATTTCGAGAACAACCTTCACTTAAATAGACTTGGAAGTGGCTCAAGTTGATACTTGCTGATTATATGACACTCAAATAACAGAGTAGAAATTTTCAAGAAAACTCTGGTTAAAGTTCAAGTTCAACTAATAAATGAATATTTATTTATTTAATATATAAAAAAATTTTTCCATTAAACAACTAATTAAAGAATGGTGCATGTAACAAATTCCTAATTGTATTGCATCAACTTTTCGAATTCATCTCATGAGAGCATTAATTAAAATCCCAATAATTCAGAATTGTTTGATTATATTAATAGATAAAAGAGGGAATAAGAGGCGTATTAAGATCTTATTAATATATTTTTGCTTAATATTAATTATATCAATACTCTTATATAATCATCATAGTATTTCAATAATTTCAAATATTTTACTTAAGCTTTAAACTTATTACAATCAGTTAATAATACAAACTATAAAAAGATTGAAGTTAATTTTGAATCAATATGATATATTTATTAAGAAAATATGCTAAGATTTAAAAAATGATGAATATAATTTATCTATAAATAAATAGAAAAAAGTATGTAGATTTGAATGGTTTATATGAATTGAATCAAATATTTTATGATAAGGTATTGAAGATAAATTTAGAAAATAACCTATTTAAAAAATTTAAAGAAAGAATTTTAGAATTTCAATATTATAAATCAGATAGAAGAATAAGAATTAAAAAAACTAAACTACATAACTAAAATAACGCACCATTGGATCAATGATGGAATATTGAAATCTATTAAATATATTATTTTGTATATAATATTCTTCATGCACCTAGATCTTCCTTCTTAGGCAATGGTTTAACGTAGGGAATGAAATCCTTGCCAACATATGGTTACTAAAATTGTAATTTAAATCAGTTACCAAAACAGCTGGAACTTTAACTCCAGTTTCTGTTTAATAATTCTCCAAAATACAACATAAAGTTCTTTCTGTTGCACACAATGTTGCATTAAGCATATGGACATACTTCTTCTCCTTCTCATCAGCCTTTTTAGCACCATAACGAATTTCAAGAGCCCTTGATTAATAGTCAAGACAGTTTGAACAAGATTACAATTCTCTATAATCCTTATATCCTGGGAACCAAGCTTCCAAATCGTATTTCTTGGCTGCAGCATCATTCAATGCTCCAGAAACAATATTGACTACTCTGTAAGGTAATTCTAAAGATTTCACAAAGTCTTATCCAGCAGTAATCATTTCTTCATGGAATTTCCATGATTCTTCTGGAGGACAAATAACAAATTGTTCAATCTTTTCAAATTAATGAACTCTGAATATTCCCCAAACATCTTTGCCATGAGCACCAGCTTCCTTTCTGAAACAAGTTGAACTACCGCCGTATTTTATTGGTAAATCTTTAGCCTCTAACCATTCTTTTCTATACATAGCAGAAATTGGTTATTCTGATGTGGCAATAAGATAGAGATCCTCATCATCTTGATTTCCAGTAACCTATACAATAATACTGTTATTCATACCTTGTACAATTGATCATCGAAATCAGACAATTGAGCTGTTTCTGCCATACATGTTTTCTTCATGAAGTATGGTGTTTGGACAGGAGTGTAACCTCTTTAGTTGAGGAATTGAATTCCATAGCTCACAAGAGCTTGATTTAATAGGAGTCCTGGTCCCTTAAGGAAATAGGCTCTATGGCCTGCTATTTTGGAGCCTCTCTTAAGGTCAACACCATCAATCATAAACAAGATCTCATGATGGTGACATCTGCCTGGAGTACTATTGACTTGAATGTTGGGAATTTGGCCCCATGTTACTTCAATTCTGTTTTCAGCTTCGTCCTTGGAAACAGGCACTGATTCATGTACTAAGTTTCCGATTTTGTTGAGGGTTTTGGTTAAGATATTTTCTTACTCTTATTCAACCTATTAATATGATTAAATGTCTTACTTTTTGAGCCTCTTTGATTTTAAGATCTATAGCTTTGGCTTATTCGACTTCCTCAACACATGGGTCTTGTTTATTGGCCTTCTTCTTTTCAGCAATCTTCTTGTTGGCAATACCATACTCTTTGTTCAGTTGATCAAGATTAAATCTGGCTAAGAAAGCTTAAACACTCTTTAGTACCTTTTCTCCACTCTTAATCTAGAGCGACAACCTTATCCACGATGGCTGGGTCCTAAAATCTCTTTTAGCACCACTCTTTCACTAAATTAGGGTTTCCACCTTTGTCTTCTCTTAATAAATTGATATCTAATCCCATTGAATATTTAATTTTTGGAAAATGACTTTAAAAAAATATTCGAAATGCTCTTATTATCATATATATTATTTAAATTTCTCAATTTCTCTTGGCTTTCTTAGTGGGGGCGGCTGGTGCTGTTTATTTTGGTTTTTCTGCTTTTGTTTATGATGTGGCAGCGCAAGTTTGGGCTGATGAAGCACCGATGATCAATAAAGCACCAGCAATGCCTAATGTCCATAATCCTTGAATGGATTCTGTTAATTTTTCACTAGTTTATATATCTTTATTAAAATTACTCTTATGTTGTTCCGTGAATGAATGGGTTGTGAATTACAGCAACAAATGATAAAGTCAAAAAAGACAACAATTTTCCAGCCCATCTTTAGTTCAAAATTACAAAAAGAGCCAATATTATTTCAGCACCTCCAACTCCATACACAATTTCTTATGATATTTACTTGATTTAGGTTGGTGACTAAAAATATTAAGGCTACATCTTACAATTTAAACTGGAAGGGGAACATTGAATTATTTTGCACTTGTTTCCAAAGTCTTATAGAAGGCTGGGTATCTGGCATTCAACAATCCAACAGAACCGTGTGGTTACAAGAATTTATCAACTCCAGCACCAATGAAAATGATGACCAACAAGACTCTTCCAATCAATGAACAGCAACTCATCTTATTAAAATTAAAGATTTTAATATTATTCTAATACACGTATGTGTATTTTTTTAATTAATTGTTATCATTATCACATATTTTTATTCTAGAAAGCAACTCATCTAACACCATAATTTTATTTCATTAAATTAATTCCTATTTATATCAGATTAACTTAACTAATTCAAGAAAATTTCAAATTAAGCAACTATTTTTTACAAACCTTAAATTGCTAAATAAATGAGATAAAAAAGAATTATTATTTTGTTCCTAAAAAAAGATTATTCTATTTTATACCTAATAATCATTATTTTTATGTCAATCTTGCCATTCCATCTTTCAGATTTAAATATGATAAAATCTGATAGGTTTCAAAATAGAATCAAAAAAATATGAAGATTTCCATTACCTTTATGAATTTCCAAATTAAAAATATATCACGTAATTTATCCGAATCTGGATGATGAGAATCATTTAAAGTATTAATCTACATGAATTAATCATAAAATCAAAAAAAATCCTCAATATTGTCATTCAAATCTTATGTCTTTTTAACACATTCATTGATTTGTCTCTCAAACTTCAAAAATTTCTCATCATCAACTTGATTTTGGAATACAGTAGATAAGTAACTTTTGTATAATTATTCTAAGTTTGACTTCAGCTCTTTTGCTTAATTTTATAATGCCTATTCAGCAAGTTTTCTTTCAGGATCATCTGCCTACTGAATAATACCTTAAGGTCTAAGTTTAAAATAATTCAAGCCATTTAAAATTATAGAAGCAGCTTTTGCAGTCTTCGAGATTGAACTGTCAGCATCAGATAATCTTGATGAATCTAAATTATTGACATCAAACATAGAAGTCTTGCTTGCACTTTTATTATGACTTGGTGTGTTAGTTTACTGAGAATTTCCATTTACTTATTTCAATAATTCTTGTACTTCAGATTGTAGCTATTTAATTGTTTATTCTTAATCATTAATACGCTATTAATTATGTTGTAAATTATTACTTGTTTTTAAATTTAATTTTGTTATTCTAATCGATTTATCTCACTAAAAGCATTTGCCCTTCTCTCTTAATGTTATTAATTCGTCGATATTTATTATTATAACTCTTATTCTAATGAATTAATTTAAATCTTCATTTCAACAATCTATTGCTTCTATTCATATATTTTCTAAGTTGATCTAAATAATTGATATAATAATTACTCAGAAACTTATTAATCTAATTTAGTTAATTAGATCTCTTTTTCCATTAAAGCATCAGTTTGTAAGGTCATTTATTGTATATAATTATTATCTTTGTCTTGCAATTAAGTAAGTTGTTTTATTTATTCTTCCAGTTAAACAATCTTTGTTTACAAATCTATCTCTGATTGTTACATTTACAATTCGAGTTTCTTGCATTTTTCTTTTTACTTTTCTAAAACTTCTTTATCTTATTTTCTTTTATCTTTAATCAATTCCAGTTAAGATTAGTAATAATTATTTTCTTCAAATAGTTTTGTTGCTTCAACCTTATATTAATTCTATTCTTTTTCAATTCTAACCATCTAATTTATTATAATATTTTTTAATTACTTCTCTAGATTTCTATTCAAATTTTATAGTTTCTTAATTTAATTTGCTTTCTAATTCTCTAACTTTCTCACTCAACAATTCTGTATCTTTATTTTATTGTTTAGTATTAGTTTCAATTAATGAAGTCAACTTCGTGTTTTCGAATTGTAATTTAGAAATTTATTTCTAAAGTTCATTAATAGAATCAATAAATTCACTTTTTAATTTTTCATTCTCTTCATCTTTGAATTCATTTACTCTACTTATATCATGTTGAAACTCTAGATTTTTCATTTAAACTTCCTACATTTCTTGTTCGAGAACTTTCTTTTCATTATTGATTGTTTCAATTTAATTTTGCAATTGATTGATCAATTATTATTGGGAGTTTCTTTAATTGATTATTTTTTCTTTGTGTTATTTTTCAATATCTAAGGCTGTACTTAAATCTTAGTTCTCAGCCGATAAATTCGATACCGTTTAAAGAGTTTTTTCAATTTGATCTTTCAAATGTTGAATCTCCTCTGAATCAAATTATTTAGTTTATTGAGTAGCAATACAATTTACAAACATTATGATTGAATCATCAATTTATTAAAGTAACTCATCTAACAAATTGCCAGAAACTTAAAATATCTAAAATATAATCATACTTCCACTCTCATCAACACATCCCATCATATGATTGTAGTTGTCCAAGAAATCATGCATAATATCCTTAATTGTAACAAATAGGGTTTCTTTTAATTGATTACATTATTTCTCTTAGAACTCTTTTGGCATTTACATCTTCTCTTATGCTTAAATTTATTATTTGAGCTTTGCACACTCCTTGTTCAATTTATCCTTTTCTTAGTATTCAGATTCATATTTCTTGAGAATTTCCATTTAACTAATTTTATATTATTCGATTTCATCCATCAATTATTTTCTTTCGATCTATAGCAATTCCACTTTCTAAAATAAAGGTTCAATCTCTAATTTTTATTGATCATAACTAATTATTAATATAAACTACGCTTTTTTTAGATCAAGTATATACTACTCTTGTTTAATAGATTATTCATTCGCCTTCTTTTAATCAAAGTGATACTTCTTATGAGCCAATTAATCGAAATCTAAGAACTGATTTGAAGCTTTCTTTTAATCTTTTTTAACATGAGTTGACATTAATGAATTTATTTATAGTTAAATTATTATATAATAAAATTTATTTATTCTTTTCTTCTTCATTCTAGTTTTAAAATCTTGTAATTGTTTCTTACAAATAACAATATGGTATATGTGGGGTGGTGGTGTTTGCATTTAAATATCAAGGAATTTATGGATTATATATGAAACTGAATTTAAAAAGGTGGATTTAGTTTAATATGGATAATTTAATTAGAGAATGTGATGAAGATCTGTAATTTAATTGGAAAATAAGATGATGAACTTAAATAAAACAGAAATAATTTTATTTAAATTCATTAGCAATAATTTTTTAAATACTATCCAGTTATTTTTTAATATTGCAGTAAATAAGCTCTGTTAAAATGAGGCATGCCTTTTTTATTTAAATTTAAAGAGTACAATTATTAATAAATTATAAAATTTACAAATATACATGCTTTATAACATTCCTAAATATTTGACAAAATACAACAATCATGCTTGTGAAACAATTGAATCATTTGAGAATACTTACAAAAATGACCTTATTCAATGGTATTGATTTGATTTAAATCACTTCTTGAAGCAGCATGCTCTAAGTGTTGCTTTTTGTTCTTACGATATATATATATTTTATTAATTGTGGTAATTTTTAGGGTTAAGAAATAAAATATAAATGAGATTGCTGTCAATTCGAAAAAGATAACTACCTTTATTATGCGTATGTATCTCCATGATTTGCTTGTTGAAAGGTCTAGCTACGCTTTAAAAGATGAAAACCCAAAGTATAAAGCTATACTAAGATAAGATTCCCTTCAATAAACGAAGATATAAAAGTTGTGTGCTTGGTTCGTAAAAGGCGTTCACATGAGGAAGAGAAATTGCATTTAGAATAGGTATTCAATTGATTATAAAATCGATTAGAAATTACTTTCCAAAATTTGTATCATTGATTAAGATGATATATTCGATAAATTTTGTCTTCAAGGTTCCTTAGAGGATATCATAAACTTGTTAATTGAATGTTCCAATGGATTAGCATTTTCTTCTTAACCAAAGGTCACTCTAAACTCAATTGCAAAATAATATATTGTGAATGATGCCATCTGGTTCAATCCTAAAACGTATTAGACATGCGCTGGTTGGGTTATAAATGAGTTTGAAAAAGCTATAGCGTTAATGTACAATTTGATATATGACTTCTTAGATATTATCAAAGTTAATAAGGAAATTTAACTGACAACAATTCAATCTAAAATGAGGATCTTAAAAAATATTGGATGTAAAATGCTGATTTTAAATTAAAAATACTAAATTAAATTCCTTAAATATGCAAGGAATTTAAGAATGCTCCAAAAAAGAAAAATACTAAGTAGGAAGATATTTTATGGGCATAATTGTTGATGAAAAAGCCTATGTAAACAAACGATGGATAGGGTGGATATGATATCAATAACATCATCGCATCATTAGAAATAAATGAGAAGGAAATCAACTAACTATTTGAAAATAACAATTTTGATAATATCTATTGTTAACCTTTGGAAAGATTTAGTTTGCTTTCATCTTATTGTGAAAAGAGAATTTTGAGAATGATTAGAGATTAATTTAAAGAAAAACTAGTCAAAGATCTTTAAGAAATAGAAGGCAAAGAAAAAAAGAAGACTCAAGATCAAAAAAAGAAATCTAAAAAGTAGAAGAAATAAAAAAGCAAAAATGAAAATGATTCTTAAAAAAATCTGATCTCAAATCAAGATAAATGTAATAGTGTTGAAATGAATGATAAATAAGATACAACTTAAGATGATGTACATTGTACTGAATGTGAATGCAATAGACATTCAAAGTATCATATATTTTAACTTTAAGTCCTTGCTCTGATCATAAGCAAATTGATTTTATAACTGCTGATCTTCATAAAAAAGATACCAATATTTTAGAGCCAACTAAGATAACAGAGTTGATTCAAGAGATAGATCGAAATGAAAATGAATTAAGTGGTTAAAATGATGATGAAGATAATTGGGTTGTTATCACAGCACCAAAAAGACAACGAAAGAAGACCTAAAGAAAATTTGCCAGTTCTCAGGATCTCCATTTAAAAAAGGCTAATCCAAACACTAAATCTAATCAACCCACTTAAATCACTCCCACTTAAAAACCTAAACCTTAAATTATAAATCAATTTAATTACTAGCAAAAGGATATTGAAGATAAAGATAAAGAGAATTTTTCTAATAGAAATAGTCTAAAAAATAGTAGTTAAGAAACACTCTCTTAATAAACTCTTACTCCTGAAAAGAAGGAGGCTATATCTCCATAATCAGAAAATGCAGAAATTACAAAATAAAATAAGGTTTCTTAGAATCCTATCTAAATTACAGTAGATGAAAACTCGATAATTAAACCATTGAAACATGTAATTCAAATATAAGAGTTGAGTCTTTGTTAAGAGGAATTATTATTGGATAACAATAATTTAAATATGAATTATTCTTAAAATAATCTAGAATTTTATAAAGCTAACAATCCTGATGAAATTGATACTATTATTATGAATTAAGCCAGAACTTTAATGATTAAGAAACTAGATATGGATATGAGGGAATTTAATGACTTAAACTTAACAAAGAATCAGGAAATTCTATAAATGAGGAGAGTAATCTATGACAGAATTTCCTTTGTCATCAATTAACTGTTTAGAGGTAGAATTATTTATTATACTATTAATAGAATTTAATTCTAATGTTCGTCTATTTGGATCATGTGCAACTGGTTTAGCCCTTCCAGAAAGCGATATTGATATTGGAATTACAGGGTTTGAATTATTTCCATCCACTCAATTAAATGGACCAATCTAAAAAATAATTGATTTTCTTTAAAAAATGAAATGGGTCAAAAATATTAGGTATAACTTAATTTCACACTTTCTAGAGCAATTACAACTTCAAATATGCCACTGATTAAACTTCAGGTTGATCCTACCATCTCCTTTGTAGACTCATCTCATGTCCTTGTATTACCCTACATTGATTTGATTCCTAAGTATTGATTTTAATAGATTATCTAGTTCTGATGAAGAAATTCCATCCCATCTATTCAGTGTGGATGTCAGCTTCTTCTAATATTAAGGAGCTAAATAAAATTGGCATCTAGGGTAAATTTCAACAGAATTGACTCTCTAATGGCTATCCTTTTATAACGAATTAAGACCAATAGTTCTGTTATTCAAGAGCTTATTGAAGAAGAGAGGATTAAATGATTAATACAAAGGAGGGATCTCTTCTTTCTGCATTATTCAAATGGTTTTAGCATTCTTAGAGAGTTGCTATCAATAAAATTAAGCCTCCTCTATTGGATATACTACTTATAAATTCCTACAATTTTATGGGATGGAATTCGACACCCAAAAGACAGGGATTAATTACAAAGGATTCAATTAAGAGTAATCAACTATTTTAAATCTAGTCCATTTTTTGATTTAAATGAAGATGACAATTAACTTTAGATTACCATAGTATCACCAATCACAAATGAAGTAATCAGTCAGGCTAGTTCATTTGTTTAAACTATCTTACAAGATATAAAGGCTTTGTACTTAGCAACTGAGAATGAAGTTACCTTCTTTTATGAGAAATTAAAGTATAACAAAAAGAAAAAAGGAAAAAAGGAGGAAAGAAACTTGTTTCAAAAAGAACTTAATAAACTAGGTCCTCTTTTTAGCAATACTCTTTATAATAAAACTTGATTTTATATTTATAATTAATTATTATTTAGAATTATTGGTAAAGGTTTAGTACATTATATTACATAATAAATGAGTCTCGTTTCATTCTAATCCTTCTACACTTGTTTCATTGTCTCCATCTATTTATTTAGGATGAACGAATAGATCTTACATTTATTTTAGAGTATCAATTTCTAAATTCAATTAAATTCATACATGAATGAATCTTCCTCTCTCTTCTCAGAATAACTTAACTAGGCTTTCTGATTCCTTCCAAAATTCCAGTTCTCTTAACTTCTTGCTATGATTCATTTATATCCCAAATAGGTAGAACATTGCCTTCACTATTAACGCTTTCGCTTTCAAGGTAGTTATTCATTCTAGATGTTGCTATAGAAGGTTAAAGAAATGAATCAAACTAGAAAGATGAATTGAATTGAGGATTTTATAAGAGTGTTGTAGAATGATTTTAAATTCTTGTAATTCTACTTTCATCTAATTTTATAGGTTATAAATAATCTTTTTAGTTTTCGATAACATTTATAGCGAAAGGATGACTTGTTAATTAATTGCTAGGAGTTGTCAAATCTTATTGTTATTCTATTTTTTTTTCATTTTTATTTTATTCGATTTAGACTGGATTTTGTTATGAATTTGTTATTTATTGGTTTAAAAATAAGTCTTATTTGGCCATTTAATTTTATTTGTTTAGATTAACTACAATTTGGATAGCTTAATTTTTTGTTTAATTCTAAATAATAAATCAGTCTTACTTCCATTACATGAATTGTTTAATGTTTTTTTTATTTTGTAAATTCAGACAAGCGTTCCCAATCATAAACAAATGGCTATTAAATATTTGATTGCTATTTATTATCAAGTTCAATTTGTTTCTCAAAGTAAGATTTCAATGTCTCATAATTAGGAGTCTCTTTAAACTCTAAAGATTTTACATCTGTCATGAATTATTCAAAGCACTATAAATAGTATTAATTAAATACTATTGGTAGTGACTAGCACAATTCATTAATTTTAATTTCTTTTTTTATTTACTTAATTTTCGCATATTTTAAATCTTTTTTTTCTATTTATAAATTCATCCATGGTAATGCTCCTTTAGCTAAATAGATTAAAACATATCCAATGCTTTCCAGATCATCTCTGCGTGATTGTTCAATCTCTTCATGAGCACTTACACTTGCGTATCGAGCTGTCCCAATCAATCCACCCTTTTTAGCTTAGACAATATGATCTCCTTTTTTATTCTGAGTTCAAAGAAAATAAATTACAATATAATATTTAGACAACCCAAAATCTATTAAATATAATAGTCTAGGATTGCCAGGGCCATCTATAACAAAATTGTCAGGTTTGATGTCTCTATGTAAAAATCGACTTTGATGCATTATTGCTATTCTTTCAATCATCTATTCACTAATATCTTATATATCACTTACTTAGATTCCCAATCTCAACACACTTCCTAATTTCATAACACTCCCAAGTTTCTTAAATATTTATTCCAAATTTTATCCTAACATCTGCATTATGCAGTAAGTCTGGCCTCTCTCTTACCCATAAAACCGTATTTATGGAAACCCTTTCTATTTTCTTATAAACAGTTATTATATTCTTTACCTTAGTTCAATTAAAACCTTTATTTCTCTTTCTAATAAATTTTTTTCATCATCTTCCGACTGAATTTTTATAGCAAATGTCACGTTATTATTGTTTTGATCATTAACCTTGAATACGGATCCAAACGAACCTTGGCCTATTTTATGACTGATAAGAAATCGATTTTGAACTAGGTCTCCGACCTTTTTTAGGATTTCAAAAATACTTTAAAAGGCGAGAATTTATCTTCAAACTCATTGAGTATATTTTTAGAATTCTAATTATCCGGAGCACTTTCTTCTTTTTTGGAAAACATTAATATAAATTATTATTAAACTTCATTTACATTATTTTATATATATTTAAGAATTGTATTATGGATAATTACAATAATGAATCAATTTCATTACTAACACTGACTAAGGTCATTTAAATTTTGTCTTAAGAATGTAGATGGAGTTTAAAATTTTGTTTTCATTGTTAATAGTATCATCTTCGTTAATCTCATTAAATTACAACTTAAATTCCATTCTAGAAATTTTTTATTTCAAAAATGGCAAAAAGATTTTTGATCTCAGGTAATGCGAAGCTGATTTCCTTTATAAGGGATTCATGGACATCATTGATGAAATCATCTCAAAAATAATCTCTTTAACTGTCACTAACTTTTATGATATCAATCCATTTTCCTTAGGCTTCATAAATTTTCCCATAGGATTATTTTTCTGAATCTCCTCCTAACTTTTTCCAAAGGGATTATTCCCAAATACCCTAATTGTTTTATTTCTGTATACATTATATAAAATAGTATGCCCACTTAGTAGATGTTCGCTGCTGTAGTAATCAACTACTATTCAGAAAAACATTCTGGTGATGTATGACCTATGTGGTGATTTCTACTTACCATAACATATTTATTTACAATTTAATTGTTTATCTATTTTCTAAAAAGGAATATGTAAAACTTGTAATTTGAATTACATTTTCCAGCTTTGAGTATTAAATATTTTCCAAATCTAATCTGTTATGAATTAACTTTATTGATTCGAAATAATGAGTTACTTAAACTAATATACATATAAATACCTTACAAAAGCTATCTTATTATCTCTAATACTTAACTTAATTTAATGCTCGGAGTCTATGATATGAACTTTTTTAATGAGTCCAGTCTTTTTTTCTTATAACGATAGGAAAATTAGCTTCCGTCATATTAAATAGCCTCTATGTTCAATACGTAGGGACATTTATTTTGATTAAGTAATTTAAGAACTCTTAATTCTTCTGGAATAATACAAGCTTAATTGAATTGCTATTTATTCTAAAAGAGAACTTTATCAAAATATTCCTCTTCATTAGTGCCCTTGTCATTCAATTTATAAACCTGGACTTACAGATATAAATTATACAATTCCAGTTTCATTCTGTTCTATAACAGTTCTATTTGTATTTTTGTTCTTTTATAGAAATATGAATTTTCCTTTACACAAGTTGAAAAGCCACTGAATACTATCCTACTTCCCAAAAATCTTAAATTCTTCCTTCTTAATCCATAATGAAACAAAATTTGAGTGGCCCAATCTATCCATTTATTCATCCCATTGGAATTTTATATCCTCCTCTGAAAAATATAATTCAAACAGCTTTTACTCTGTAAAAGTCATCTAATAAAAATCTATAGTTATACAATGCTAAGCATATCTATGTTATGAATGATACGAATTGTAAACTGTTACAATTTATTGTTAAATGTCCCCACTATTTCAAATTATTAATCTTGCTCCATTAAATTATATTATAAGATTTAGTTTTAATAAATTACACTATTAAATGTTTAAGAATTTAAATGTTTTTATCATGAATTTGAACATTAAATTCTTACTTTAAAGCTTATCTTAGTTCAGTAAATACTTAAATGGTTAGTAGAATATTCAATTATTATTCTCTTAATGCTCTTCAATAGATGAGATAAAATATTTAATTTTTAAGTTAAATATCTAGTTGGTCCTTAAACCTGAGCTTTTAAGTAAATTCAACTGAAATAGCAGAATTATCAAACCATTTTGTACAGGAAAGAACTATTAAAAATTTGTTTAGGTAATCAATAAAGAAAATAAATTCATTTATCATAAAAAGCCTTCCTCACGTAGGCATCTAATCAGATCAAAGTCTTCATGACTCGAATGCTCTTTACTTTACAACTAAGCATTCGCCTATTCTTTTTTATTTTATTCACCTTTTGTATCTTTAGGTATTTGAAAATAATTGTTTTTTTAATTATCCTGATTATGCTTAATGATTTAATTTTATTGATTGCAGCTTTCGTGATTTTTCATTATTTATTTAGATATTTAATATTCTGAAGTACTTCTATCCTTCTCTTTGTTATTTACAATAATTTTATATTTTTGTTAACTTTCTTTTTCATTGATATCTTTTTGATTGTGTTATTTCTTGATTTCATAATTTTACTTAGAATCTATTTTTCTATTCTTGGCCACTTCAACCTTAAAGTCAGAAATGTTGTATGTTGATTTTTCATGATTTCCTGAAGATGATTAATTAAGATTGGCAATAAGCTTTGGAGAGAGTGTTTTGTTCTACTCACTCCATTCATCTTTTAAAATCTATTGAAATTAAAACTGTTGGGACTCGAGATTTCGATATAGCCCCCTTTTTTAAATATTCTTTAACATTGATTTCCATAAATCACTTTTTGATAACTAAATAAGTTAAATAGTATACAGTGATAGCATTTCCAAGGATAAATAGAGCATTTTTAGCCCTTGTCAAAGCAACATTCATTCTTCTACCATCATTTAGAAATCCAATTCCTCCTGTTTATGACGAACGAACACAACTAAATAATATAATATCTTTCTCTTAACCCTAATTATTTAATCTTAATCATTACTTAAAATGAATCTACTGTATTGATACTAATAGTTGAATGATCAAATAGGCTTTCATCAGAATATTTCTACTTAAGCAATGTTTTAATATATCTCACTTACGATTTGTAGGCACAAATCACACCAATAGTTTGAGTAGGGAATTCTTCTTTTATGCATTTAATTGAATTTACTATAATAGAGGCCTCTTATTCATTAATGTTTGATGTTCCATCCTTCTGCTCTTAACCATCAAGTATATCTAAAAATAACACTCTGTTTTTAAAGAAATTCGTTGGTAAATCTCTGTTATTTGTTGACTCATGATCTTTTAGTTTATTTTAATAGAAATACTCTGATGGGAACATTCTTATCTCAGAGTGCATTCTATATTAAATATCTAGGAAATAAGGTTAAAAATTGTTATCTAGAATTCTCTCGAATAGACTTCTATTATATAAAGTTTAATTAGAAACTGGCGAAAATGTTGTAGCAGGTAATTGCTTTGGATCACCTATCAAAATCATCTTCTATATCCCTAATCTTAAAGGGATGATGTTAGATGGTTCAGTGCATTAAGCTGCTTCATCAACTATTAGCAATTCTATCTAATCCAAATATTTAGATAACTTATCAGATCCACTGGAACTTAGAGTACTACAAATGATTTCAGCATCATTCAATAACTTTTCACAAAATTAATTATAGTATTCTTTGTACATTTTTTTATTCTCTCTAGTCTTATCTAAGTACTCTTATTTACTTTTCCTTAAATCACTAAATTAATTAATTTGCTCCTTTATTATTCTCCTCTCCTCTCCAGGTATTCCATGCTAATTCAATTTTTTTTCTAATTTTTTTATGTGATTTTGAATCTAGCACAATTCAATCCTTAGATCTGCAGTTGTCTTTTAATCTTATTAAGCATTAAATTTTTAAGTTGAAAATAACTTGTGTTATGCTAAGTCTTCTAATGAAACTTTCTTAATGATGTCAGAATGAACATTTTCCTCATCAAGCAAACCAATTCGTATAAGATTCGCCTATCGGGAATTGCCCTATGAATCAAATAATCCTCCTTTTTAAAGGATTCTTAATATAATCTCATCTATTGCTGCATTAGAAGGTGCACAAATCTATCATAATTTATTTTAGATTACTAATATTTTTTTCCTGGGAAATTTATTCGTCAATTTCATATATTCATATACTCCAGATAATAATCCAATTAATGTGTGTGTCTTCCCAGTCCCTGGCTAAAAACTATAAAATATTAAATACCGGTCCTTATAGTAAACAAATTCCTTTTTCTTTCAAGATAATCTCTTTTATTGAATTTGCTTGAGTTTCATTATATTTTTGATCTGCAATTTGAAAAAAGGGGTCTAACAATTCTTTATTTTGAATTTGATTTTGAAATTAAACTGTCCAACCTCCTCCTATATCTGAACCAATCAATGCTTATTAAGCGGTTGGATTATAAATTAATCCTGCCAGTGGAGTTTTTTGGTTTAACTTAGTTATCATCTAATATTCACGAATTGATGTTGTAATTTTAGAAAAAGGAAATAAAAAAACATTATACCATTAATTTGCATTTAAACTTTACTTTTTTACAAAAGTTTGAATTCTTATTTGTTACAAATATTGTGCTTTTTAAGGGTCTATCAATATTCCAAAAAAGACCATATCATTATCTCTAGGTGTTTAATTAATTTATCTAAGCTTAATTTTTATTTTGCTTGAAATTACGAAAATATAATTTTTATAAGCTGTCAAATCGCATACTCCATCTTTTATAGTGTCAAAACAGAATTATTAATCTTCTGATTGGCTTTAATCTGCATCTTCTTTTTCTCTCTATTTTTTATTATCAAATGGTTCTGATTATTAGTTCGTTTGAGGTCCTCTCATAACGAAAATTGTTCCTTACGATTCATTATCATTTTCATCAATCATTATTTATATTTTACGATATTTAGTTGTTTTTTCAGTTTTTTTCAAAAATTCGATTAATTCTTATTTTATCTAAGCACTCGCCTCATTCAAGAACAAGTATTCAAAAATCTTACAGTACTCCTCTGCACTTTCAAATTTATTTGGTATGACCTTGTGCTCTTAATCTGCAATATCAGGAATATCATAATTCTTCACGAACAAATAGTTTAGTAATCTATTAAATTCAAAAATAGGCTTCCCAATCTAAAATGAATCCCCTGCATTGTTATCTAAGATCATTTTATATTTGGATAATCTTTGAGATTCAGCAACCGTCTTTTTTTCAATTTTAATTGATCTAAATTCATGTTTATCCTCATTTAATAATTCTTCTGTTTCTTTTTAACCTTATTGTTTGATTAATGGGTTATCTAAGATTTATAATTACATTTCGAGCCTCTTTCTTTCCTTCTCTCTATTACTTATAGGTTACTGCTATTTTTATTCTTGCTAATGAAGACTTTTTTTAACTACTTCTTATAACTTTTAGTATTTCTATTACTATAAATCTGGATACGATTATTTAATCTCTTGAAGATTTGGTTTTTTCTGATTGTTTTATTAATCCTTCCCAGATTACTTAAGAGACTTACCGATATCTTTATTATATTTCATAGAACCATCTTCACATCTTTATAAAAAACCTTGTTTCTCCTTTGGGTTATTTTGGTTTTATTATTTGATTTATGAATTATCAATACCTTATAGTTTTAATAAAAGTTAATTTGGCTAATTCTAAAGGCCTTTTGGCATAAAATAACTATTGATGGTCCTTTAATTTGGGTCTCTGATAAGTTATTAAAGCTAATCAATTGGTTGCAATTCAATAGGGGTTTTCACTGAATTTATATTATTCTCAGTGCTTGTAATAACATGTTTTGAAACATCCCAACCATTTGTTTTCGATTCAAATCTTTTTTCAAAAATTTTCTTAGCATCGAAATTCTGTTATAATTCTTTTTGATTAGAAGTATCTTTAATTTCATTAATCTTTACTTATTTCTTCATAAGAGTAGATTCTAAATGGTCGATTTACTTTTGTTCTTAATTTGATTTAATCACACTTGATTAGAATTATGATCTTCCAAAATCTGATTTGTATAGTTCTTTTTTAAATTATAACTATTATTATGAAGTATGCTAAGCACCATAATCACTCCTTTTAAATAATCCTTATTCAAAAAGATTAGGTTCTGTCTTTTATCCATTGTTTACTATTTCTAGAACATCAAAACTTTCACCTTAATTTTCATGTCTTTTCACTCTATTTTTCATTAACCATGCCTACTTTTGAGCTCTATCTGTTATCTTCTCTGCTTATTTTTAATCTTTATTATTGACCTTTGATTAATTCTCATTATAATGAGGTTTATTTTATTAAGCATCCTAACTATCTACTTCATCCGTATTATCATCAGTGTTATTGCTATCATCACTAATATAATTTTATTGAATATTGTATTATATCTTAGCTTGCTAAAACTATTAAGAACCACTGCCTGCTAAATTAGTCTAATTTATTTATCGAAGATTGCAGACTTTATCCAAATATTAAATTTCTTATTTTCTATTGACATTCCAATTATTTAGTTCTTTACTTTGACTCATGTACATATTTTTTTTATCGTCTTATGAAATTATATCGATTTCAAATTCATCATACAAAATTTTGGCATTCGATTAAATTTAGTCTAATGATGCCAATTTTACTTAATTTTCAATTTCCATTTTCAATTGATTTATTTATTGGTTCTTCACTTTAATTTCATCATCACTTTTATCAGAAACGATGTTACATTAAAAATCATCTTTCATTTTATATTTTATTATAAAATAAATATTAACTTATTTGATCATATAATCCTTTAAAAGTTTAAGAAATTTTTAAAGTGAAATATAACTGTGAAAAATATTACCTTCCGAAACTAAAAAGACATTATTATTAACTAATATACTGGTAACATTAAATAAAATGGAAAATTATTGATATCATAGCTAATTATCTAAATATTTTTAATAATTCTATGAAAACTATAAATACTCTTTTTGGATTTTATTAGTCCTTAATAGATATGATGTAACAATTACTTTTAAATATCTGCATAATTTGAATTAGCGTTCTAATGTTCACTGTGACTTTTGTTATATCTATTTTCTGGTCTGGAATTCGCCTTACTCTTTTTATTACAGAGGAAACTTTAAGTATTAAGAAATGCCCTTAAATTATCACTTTGATTTTTTAAATCAAATTTGACATTTTCTGTTGTAGTTCTGACTTACTAACTACTTTGATCCATCATTTATTTATGTTACGTTTTCTATTATTAACTTGCTGCCCTTTGTTAATTGATACAGGACTTTATCTTATTCGAATCATTTTTTTCTATCGTTGAAGAATCCCTTGATGATTTATAGGCATCATTCAATTTTAATGAATCTCGACGGTTTTAAAGCATTTTTAAGATTGAACTATCAATAGTGTTACTAATTTAGGTTTTAACTTCTGCATATTATTTGCTATGATCTTCTATGTTCCTAGAATTCAATTTCTACTTGGGGGCTACAAAATCTATAGTCTGATATCTTTAGCTATTCTTAATATACTTTAGATTATTACTTTGATATGATAGGAATCTTGATTTTTTGATTTATCACAGACAGGAGATGTCTGATGACTGTTGATTCTCTCATTAACTTCATTTAGTTTAGATTTTAACATATAATTTTCACTTTATAATCTTTTGATTTATTCTATCAATTATTGATTCTCTTTTTTTAATGACTAGAAATTTGGAATAATTACATTCACTAATTGTTTGGTGTTGCTTAAACATTCATTAACACCTTCTTGTTCTTCTAATCTTTATTATAACGATTCTGCATATAGTTTTATTTATTATTCCATCTAAATTAAAATTTGATAAACACCTTACTCTTATGTGTTTCCGAATCTCGTGTTCATATTTTTAAACTTGCTTCTCTAAGGCTTCGTAATCATAATTTTTAGTAGCCTCATTTATTTTTTAAGGAATTGCATCTCTGATAAATTAAAGTTAACTATCTAAATCTTTGCATTACGACCATTTCTTTTGTTAAGCTCCATCAAAACAAACCTAATCAATATAATTCAATACTAATTTAAATATCTCATTCATAATGCTTTGACTCATATTAACTATATTTTATATATTTTTGATTAAATAAAATTATGTTATATTCACATATATCAGAGATCTTAGTTTGATAATTCATATGGTTACAAATTTACTAATAAAATAAAAAATAAAAGCATGATCATTATTTTTGATTTGCAAATGTCTTATGCAATCTATTCTCCATATTTTGGGATGTAATCTACGTTGAATTCGTACTATATGCAAACGACTTGAAATCACTCATATTCTGCGATTTTAGTGAAAGTTCACCTCCTTGTGGAGATATAGCTTTGGTTCTGAATTGTCTAGGCAATACAAACTATCTAATCAATTAAAAATCATACTTATTTCAAATCTCTCTCTTAAGTATTTAATTCATCCCTATACTCAAGATTTTTTAACATTAAATCTATCAGCTATCCTTTCACTAAAGAAAACCCTTTTTCTTGATTTTCTGAGTCTAAATTTGAATTATACAACATTGAATTATTTTTCCTTGCTAATCTGGGTGATACTTTAATTTCTATCCTCTATTCTGCTGAATTTTATTATTAAATGAGCTACTAATTAAATTGTTCTTAAATCTTAGTATCATTTATGACTAAAGATTTTATCTATTAAGAATTAAATAAACTTTATTAACTCTTTTTATGTTTCATAGTAAATCTTTATTAATTTATTTTGAGTTTCTTAACTTCCTTTGTTTAATCCATTTAATCCTAAGCCTTATCCTTCATTGTGTTGTAATAATCCTAATTTTGCATCTCTCTATATTCTTATAATTTATTATATGCAGCCTATTACTATTCCACTTAGATTTCAGATACTGATATCGATTTCATCAAACTTTTAGTTACTGGCATTTCCTTATGAATTTCCCATTCAGTTTAGATGATCTTTTTGGCGGTATCTTTTATTTGATCTAAAGTCAAACACTCTTCAAATGCTATTGCTTCTATTTTTTTATTGAAGAATTCATCTATTGTAGATACTTTAGTTGATTTTTATTAATTGTTCAATTTATTTACTAATTTCTAATGATTTTTTTCTAATTCACTAATTTCATCTCTTATTGTTAGACTGGATTTCTATCTTAAATTAATCAACTAACTCAGATAACTATTCTTATGATCTGAATTAGTGTTGGCCCTTTTACATTTTACTGAAACTTGACGTTTTTTTGGCTTTTCTTAATTTAGCTTAACTGATGAAAAATTATTTAAACTTAAAAAGCTACCTGGATGTCCATTTTAATTTCTCCTATCCCGTTGTGTTGATGGGGATTCCCTAATTAGATTATTAACTTAAATAGTATGATTTATTGATGTTTAAGAATATGGATTTGAAAATGCTGTTGAGTCCTTATGATGATAAGATTTCATTTTTATTGGTAAGTAATCTTACATTGTCAATTTATCCTGACTGTTTGAAGCATAAATGCATTAATTACTATTAACTGTTTGAAATCCTTTTTAAAATTATGTACTTTTATGTTATTATAGTTTAATTTTAATCATTTCTTGTAATTTCACATTACCACTATTTTTAGAACTTTATTTATAATTAGCATTATAACCATAAAGGAATTAAGTAAATTTGGTTAGATCTTAATCTTCCAATAAAATTTATTCAAATTTTTCATTTGCAAATTCAAATTCTGAAGCAATATATTCAACTAAATCAGTCTTCTTTTTCAAAGGTTTCAAAATTTGAGAGGCCAAAAAGTTAGCCAAATTCAGAGATTATATGCAATCTAAATGATTATCATTTATTTCTTAAGATTTACTCTATATATCTAAATTAATCAATAATGTAGTTGTTATTTGTACCAACTGCTTTTAAAAGGTTAACAAATTTGATTTTGGCTTATGGTACTCTCGAAGTGAGTTTAATAGCATTGAGAATCCGAGGTCTAATACTTCATTATTTGTTGTGTTTGATAACTCAAATTAGGCTGTATTCTTTAAGGTTAGAGCTTGGAAATATAAAAACTATGATTAGTATGTAGAGATGGGCTTTAATTTATAGAGCTTGAACAAAAAGAGAGATGCTTCTTTTAACATAGACATTTTGCAATATTGATAGTTAAAAAGTAGGGTCTTTTAAAAATAACAAAAGAGTTATTACCATTAATATTTTATCCAAATTGCTGATTTGTTGTCTGGTTCTAGTTTATCATATTGATTTGCAAATTATTTTAATGTTAATTTATTTGGCTCATTCAAAAACTTCAGTTTTCTTGATATCTGCTTTTCCTGGATCTCTTTATCATCAAAAGAAGTCTCATATTTATTAATCAAAATTTGATAATTTTAACATAATTCCATGCAATTTATTAAGACATCTAAAATGGTTTATTGTTTCGAGCTGAAATTCACGAAGTATTTCTATACGACTTTTAATTAACAGTGCAGTAATCTCCTTATTAGTTAGATATTTAATTGAATGAAAAATGTATCATTGACCAAATAAGGATTACAAACTAATTTTCTGCTTTATTTGATAAATTTTTTGTATTTATTGTTTTTAAGCAACTAAATAGTATCATATAAGTGGTATTCCAATATTAAAGAGTTGTTATTCATACTTATAAATTTATTTAGCTTTTATTAATATTGAATGAATAAATTCAGATTGAACTATATTAAATAGACTGATTTAAATGGGAATAAACCTCATTAATCAAATTCAAAAAAAAAGTAGAAGGACTAATTTTATTAATAATTTATAATTCTTATGCCACCTAAAATTGCAGAAAGTAGTTGAATTCATATTAACAGAATGGAAGGCATTGGAAAAATTGTGATTATTTTTTGAATGATTAATTTATACAGATTATCTTGATCAATTAAGATAATTAAGTTTTAAAGTCTAAAATTGAGGAAGAATAGAAAGTGTCGAAAAGATGAAACAATAAGAAATATTAACGAATAAAATGTTAAGGATGAAAAATTTCGATTTATTTGAGGTATACAAATTTAATAGAATTGAAAAAAGAGCAGATTTAGGGGTGAAATATAAAGAATAAATTACGAACAAAATAAGTAGGATCATTTAAGATAAATTAGTATTTGAAGATTAGGAAGAGATGGAGTTTTGATTGGAGAAATCCATGATTTAAAGGAAGAAATTAATAAAATAGATTACGCTCATTTGATGAGTAAAGCAATGCTAAAAAACACTTTTATAATTAATTTAGAATCTAATAAATGCCAATAATGCTAAATAAAATGTACAAGAAATGCAAATAAATTAATAAGGAAATGAAAGGTTAAAAGCGAACTATAAGGAAAAGAAAAAGCTCTCTCTATCTATATACTAAAAGGAAAAAGAAACGTTTTAATAGGAAAATATTAATTATTAATTAATTTTAAGTATTAAAGATGAATAAGCAAAGGTGTAAACATTTTAACTCGGATACTAAATATTAATATTTAATGAATAATTAAGATTAATGGTTGAAGCAAAATATAGAATACTTCAAGACCTTTATTGCTGAGATAAATAAGAGTTTGAAATTTTGGTAGGGGTTGACCAAGAAATAAAAGAAATTGAAATAATGAAGCACTAGTGGAATACTAAAATCTAAGAGTTGAAAATGTAAATGCATAATTTGAAATAATTGTTGAATTAAAAGAAAAGAATTGAAAATTGGTTAAGCTAAATCTTAAATGATTTTATTAAGGATAAGATATTGAGTAATTTCCTTTAAATCATTGATGAAGTGAAAAATGAGCTAACAAGTAAAATAGAAGTTTGTCAGAAAATCCAAAAAACCTAAAGTCTAGAATCTAATAAATTTGATATAAATGATTTTAAAAAGAGGAAAAAAAGGTTATTGAGAATCTCATTCTCGAAGACCAATCTATGAACACAACATAAAAATTGGAAATCACAACTTGCTCAAGAAATGCATAATTTTGATTTTTAGAGTAAATCCTCGTCTGATGGAATTTACTTGAGGGATAATCAATTTTAGTGAAGAGTAGTTGAATTAATATTGAATTATAATTATTAATATTTGTATTAAGAGGAAGATGAATGATACATTTTTATAAGTATTTATCGTTTTTATTAGAGTACGTTTTTGATTAATTATTAAATGAAATTCATTATTGTTGTGTTATTTGCTTTGGCAGCAACAACCTATGGTTCAAAAACACAAGATTAAATCCTTGCCTTATTATAAGTAATGAATATTATAAATATAATAGACAGGAACAAAAGCAAGTGATGCTATTGATACAGTTTTTGGATTACTCAATGATTTGAAGCAATCTAATATTGATACTTAATTTGCTGCAGATTAAAAGAATGAAACAGATGAATGGATTGGCGCATAGTAAATATAATGTTAATGATTTAGGACAATTGAATAATTCACAAAGATCAAAAGTCTTAATCAAAAACTCTTCAATCAAGCCATCGAGAATAGAGCTAACTATGAGGAAGTGCTTAAATAAACAAAAAATTACTTGGCTTGGAATGAAGCAAGAAGAGATGAAATTGCAAGAAAAATTGATGCTCTTTAAGATAATCAATGCTTTAGCAATTAACTCTTTGTTAAATCAATCAAACATAACTAAGAAGCCCTTGAAGTCATCAGACTTTTGAAATAAGATGTTGCTGGTTACATCATTAACGGTGATTCATTTGAATTCACATAAGTTAAAGCATAATCTGTGGCTGAAAAATTAAAATAATACAGTAATTTATTCTAAGATCACTAAATCAAATCATTCTTGGCTTTGGCTAACTCATAAGAAGTAAGATTTCTTAAATATCAATATAAAGGAATCAGCATCTACTGGTGGATCAACCTTAGCTGAAAAAGTGTTAGCAGTTCTTGAAGGATTAGAAGCTGAATTATCTGCATCATTGGAGAACTTGAAATAAAATGAAATCAATGCCTCATGGGAATTAGCTGGTTGGGTTTCATTGTCAGAAGCTGAAATCTCATCTTTAGAAGTTGAATATGAAAGAAAATAAGTGTTTGCTGACAGAACTGCTACTGTAATTCATTAATTTAAGTGTAGTAAATCTAAGCTGCTTTGGCCTAATAAGCTAAATCAAAGATTATCTTACAAGAATCATAAGATGCCCTCGATTAAGCTTAAGCTGATTTGGAATCAAAGAGAGCAGATTATGCTGAAGCCAAAGCAAAGAGATTGGAGGAGAATGCCATTCTTGATGAAGTGATCATTATGTTCAAGAAACAAGTTGCTTCATGGTCTGGAAGATGAGTTTGATAATCTATCATTTATTAATAATAATTGATAATAAAATCAGGATTCTGTAAATTATAAATATACCTAATTAATATAAAATCAGTATGAATACAACTGAAAAGGAATACAGGACAATCAATGGATTCACGAGGCCTAAACATCCCTTTTAGATATTCACCATAGTCTTTTTTATTGAAATAATGTGTTGTGTATCGATAGCTATAGTACCAATAACCAATTTGTTGGTTTAAGTATAAATAAGCAATAAATAGATTATTTTAGCATGTTTTTTTTACTTTTTCTCAATAATGATATTTTACTATGCCTTCAAGACATCCTACATTGATCCTACTGATGATTACATAATAAAATCAAGGAGAGGACAAAGCTTGTATTTCTTATATAATTTAATCAATAGTGAAAATGAGATAGAACTTTATGATTTCTTTTGTTCCTATTGTGATAGTTATGTCTCCAGCACTACTAAACACTGCAGAGTTTGTGAAAGGTAAACTCAGATATTTATTTGAGATGTGTGTCTGATTTTGATCATCATTGTAAATGGCTTAATAATTGCATAGGAAAAAAGAATTATCGAGAATTCTTTAAGTTGCTCATCTTTGTGTCCTTATTTGGAATAACTTTTGTTATATTTGGAATGTTTTCTATTTCATTCTAATCTCCTAAGATGTTTATCTGGATATTGGTCAATGTTGGATTGGTGGCAATATTGTTTTTGTTAAATTTTAACTTGATGTTTTTTCATTTTTGGCTAAAATACTAAGGAGTGACAACCTATGCTTTTATCATACAAAAAAGATAGAAGAAATCTTAAGAGGTTCCTGTAGAAACCCCTTAAAAGTTTTGGTATCACTTTCTCTTTACTATGTTTATTAGTTGCAGCACAAAGAAGACCAGAGTAGCTTAGGTTAATCCTAAACAAGACTTCACTTAAGGAGATGAGTAAGTTGGTAAAAATGAGGTTATTTAAAATGAACCTCCAACTGATGTTAAATAATAAAATGTGGAGATAGAGGGAGATGCAGAATCAGTTCCTGATAATCCTCAAAAAAGAAAGAATAGTTCTCATACAATAAATTCTTAAATTAATAATCAGATATAAGAATGATCTTATATTTATAACTATTATAAATATAATTTATTAAAACATATGTAAAATTATGCAATCCTTATATTAACTTTACTTAGTTTCGTTTTAGTAAAAATAATTATAGTAAAATTAAAAATTAAAAAGAGAATCAAGAATTTGAAACATCCAATAGAATAAGCAAGGAGATTTATTAAAGGAAAATCAGAAAAATAATTAATACTAAAAATGCAATAATTTCCAGGAATCATTAAATTCAACAGGTAAAAGGCTATGAAAATCTAATTATAACCGAATTGCTGTAATCAATAAGATATTATTAATATAATTGAATACATAGCAATTTTAATTGGTATCCTAGATCTAAAAAAGGAGTAACAATTATTAATTGATTCATTATTAGAGACTGTTAATATTGATTTAAAGTAATATCAAACAATAGGTTCTTAATATCTATAGACAAAATAAGAACAATATGAAATACATCAATTGTACAAAAGAAAAGTATGATAAATAGTATGTTTGTTTAATATAAATCGTATGATTTGGTCAATTCAATCTTCCTAAAAATTATTTACTACATGATTTAGCCATACTTTTATCTTTACTCTGTTAATCAAGGTTGAAGTATAAAATTTTATCATTTTCCTATTAGTTTTTAATTTCACAATACGTTTATCCAGAAATTCAAATGGTTTTGAAGGATAAAACTATCATTGAATCAATTTCTAGTTATGAAGCTCTCTTACTAATTGTAATCTTAAGAAATTTATGAGGTAAAATTGTATTTCACTGCTTTTTCACAAATAATAATTGAATCTAGAGTATTTTTCGATTGTTATTATCGATTATTCATTATTCATATAATTATTTGGCATGCATATTATGAAGATTTAATTATATTGATGTAGTTATAACTAAGAGTTAATTAATATTGCAAAATTTACACATCTCCAAATGTATATGAAATCATATATGAAATCAAAATGCAATATCATTACTGTAAATAAATTCTTGATTTGTGTATTCTATTTATTTGTAATCAACAATTATATCAAATTATACCTTAAATTGATCATAAATTAATTAAATAAATAGTCTTAAATGAAATAACAAAGTATAATTTTCGAAGAAGAACTTCGATAAGTTCAATTTAGTGATTCCAAATCGATTAAAAATAAATTCTTATAGAAAATGAGGAAACCATAAAATTTAGATGGCTATAATTAGATGAGAAAAATTCGTATTATTTAAATCAAATTTAAGCATTTTAACTCAGCGAAGCATTTCATGAAAATAGACTAAAATGTATATTGTGCAAAGATTATTACATTAAATTTACAATTGCTTAATGTGGTCATTCATTTTGTTATTACTGCATTTTTGAACAGTTACTTAAATCTCATGTATATTTTCAACTTATTTAAGAGGTGTCCATGTTGCCAAACAGTTTTGAAAGGTTTACACTTTATCCAATGTCATACTATAGATGAATTTATCAAAAATAGTAAAGTTCTCGTAAAAAATTCGACAATTCCGAGTAGAAAGAAGCAGTTTAAAGAGTGGAAATTGAAAAAGAAGATAACCAACTTTAATATTGGAGATACTCTAGATGTTTTAGATACTGAACATATCTGGTGTGTCGGATCGATAATCAATATTTTAAATCAAAAAGAAATTCTTATCCATTTTTAAGGATAGAATAAAGCTTACAATGAATACATTCCAATCTCATCTCCACGCTTATCCCCTTTAGGACTATTTACTAATAGAACTGGTATTATTCAATAATTAAGAAGATATTTTACTCTATTACCCAAGCCAAGATGAAAATTCCATGTTTAATTAGATAAGGTAAATAGGATCTTAGAATCAAGAGAACGAGTTATACAATTATTTGATAATACAGCAGCAAACAGCAAATTCAAACATTATTTTAGCCGTCGAATAGCCAAATAGAATTGGATTATAAAGTCTACTTTAACTTGTTGTTTTCATCAGAGAAATACAGGATGAATTATATAATGAAACATGACCTCTCTATTTATATCAATTATCAATCGAATGAGGTCTTTGTACTCTAATCACATTATTATTTCATAAATAAATTATTTCTATGTAATCATATAAAGAGGCTTTATAACTGTTCTAAAAAAATTCAATGAACCTACCAATGAAGGAACATGAGGATAAATTAAATGTATTAGTAATTCCAACTAGATTATGTTAGAATACATATTACATGAATTGGAAAGAGACAAAAAAGAATTGCAAATTTTGAGATAAGAAATCATTCATGAATCATATTTATAATCCTCTATAAACGATGACACCTCAACTGGCTTTATAGAAGAATTAGCAGACTTCACTAGAAGTTTTAGAAAGTTGGCCGAAGAATTAAATAATGAGACCAATGAAATAAGTAATTAGGTGGAAACATTAAAAAATGAAAAAGCCAGAATTAGAAAATCTACTAATTTATTGAATCACAGAGTATTTGAAATGGAAAAATTCTTAGGAGTCGGACTAAATTAAGCGAATTCCTAAGAAGCCAACAATTGAATTAAATTTATACATCATAATTAACATCATAAATTTTTTCTCATTTTTACGTTTATTTTTGCCTTTGATCTCAAATTTATTATACATAAAAATCCTAACTTAAGTTATGTTCTAAGAAACTAAACTAAAGTAAGTTATTAAATAGATTAATTAAAAAATGAATGTAAAAAACAGGAAAATATCAACAATATATAACTACTTGACCCTGCTAAAAATTACAATAAGAGATTGATTATTCATTAAAAAAGGATGGTATAATGATGTTTACAAAGAATAAATAAGTTTGGAACTTAGTTATTTAGACAAATAAGGTTGTAATTATTATAAGTTATTAATAAATTTAAACAAAATAATCCATAGATAGGCGAACTTAGAATTTATTAGTTTGCATTGAATTTGAAATTAATTTTGTAATTTAATTTGGTGTAAAATTAACAATTTCTTACAATAATTTATTGAATATGCCAAATAGAACTCTAAAAGTATGTATGTAGTTTATTGAATTAAATAATTATTATTTGATGGGCCAATTTTTATAATGTTCATTATATAGATTCAGATAATTCAATATGCTCCAGCTTAATTGATTCCTTTTTCAAAAGTTTCTTTTCATTCTCTATAATTAATGTTTGTAAATACTGAATTTATGAAAATGATATTTTTTATATATTTCTTATGCTCTAATTTCACACTTATTAAATTCGTGGTCTTTCCATGGAAATCTTCTGTAGGTTTTAATTTTCTATTTTTATGGAAAAAAATCTACATCATAATCTCTTGTAAAGATGATTTTTTAAATTTGCATTGTCATTTTTTCTATTTTCTCCTCATTTTCTTATTGACATATTGTTTGAAATTCAGCTATTAATTTAATTGATGGTGTTACATAAAAATTGCTAATAGAAATAAGTAAAATATTTAGAATTGAACAGTTTTTTTAAATAAGCGTCATTTATTGTTTTGAGTTTTGATTCTTTTCTAAAAGGAATGAGGTCATCTATTGAATCATTTTCTAGTGTTTTCATAAATTCCTTATCATTAGAAAAGAAAGTATGATAGAAAAGTCTGTCTCTTTCTTCAGCTCCGAGATTAACTTTTTCTTAATAATTAATTTAAGTTTTAATGAATTGGAAACATCTTCGAATAATGAATTTTGTCATTTCTTCTTTTGTTTTATTAACTTGGATATACCTCCTCTTTAAGATATAGGGGATATCGGAATGCAAGGATATAAGGTTCTAATGTCTATATGAGTAAGATATACTTTCAAATTCTCAATAACAAATTTTTCAAATGTCTTCTCTTAGAGTAAGGAAATATTCTTTGACAAAAATTTTAATAACAGGTTGAGTTCTTCCAATACTAATGCTTCTTTACACTTGGTGGGGCCATTTTAATCAGTATTGTCCGAAGCTTTTTCATTCGAAGTAATCTCAGGGAATTAACAGGCTTAATCACACATAACCTTTGTAGGAACCATATTAAAGTATTAAGTTGGAATTGGATATACTTATTAAAGATTGAGTTATGGATAATTGATGTAGGGGGTAGCGTATACAATAGGAAGCATGAGATAATTTAAAAAAAAAAAGATGTAAAAAAATTAATATCTTTAAATCATATCCTAATTGCATAAATAATATAAATAATCAATAAATAGTGTTATAATAGAGGGCTTAACAAAATGCAAACTACATCTAATATGATTCAGAGTTCAATATAGTAGGTTAGAAAAACAATTGAACGGATTCATATTAGCAATTTTACTTCTGATATGGGTTGAATGGATGTTATTTTTCAAATCTACTGAATATTCTTTACTCTTTTTAAAATTAGACTTAGGTAAGAGATAGTTGATTTATTTTTTTATTAAATGACATTCTAAACTTGCTAGTACTGCGATTTTAATTTGAACTATTGTAACAAATATTTTTAATCAGAATAATAAAAAGTTTTATATTTTCGATATTTGTTCTTTATTGTCATTTAGACCTGCATTCTAAGTTTAGAGCACTTAAAGGTGTTGTGATTAGTCAATCCTTATGTTTATACATCTTTTTTTGCTTGTACAACAATGAGTAAGGTTTTTTGTTATAAATAATCTTAATCCTCTATATAGTCTCTCTTACAAACTAGATTGATAAGGTGATAATTATTTGGATCTTAGTATTTCTATTCTGGATTTCATTTATATATATATATAAATATAATTAAATTAAGATTTATGAGTGACGATTCTGAAAGCTTGGATTTCCCTAACACTCCATTATACACCTTTGTAATTAGTTTTATTTAGTGCTTTAATTTAGAACATTACTGTTGGATTAACATTATCATTGACCAAATTATGTGCGAACAAGTGTAGATTATTCAAACCTGATTAAGGTACAAAACTTTCTGAAAATGATGTTTAATGTGTCAGTAATGAATCTATTTTAATAAATAACAGAAAATTGCGCTGCCACCATAAATAATAATTACTAAGCATTCACAAGCTCATTAAAAGAGGCTATAAATTTCGAAGATTCATTTGGAGTTTTCGAACCAGAAGAATGAAGTATTACAAACAATAGTCAATATAAAACATTATTTAAGATAATATTCTATAATATCCCAATTTCAATCTCTAATTATCATTAATAATAATGTTCATACAATTATTAGACTCATTTCAAAAATAGTGAATTTTATAAAACAAACTTAAAGAATATGAGTCTTTGATTTGTTAATTCTAATAACAATGATAGTTACTAAATAATCTATAAATTTATTAAAGAGATAATTATTTGCATAGATTAAAACCATTCTAAATATATAGTTATAATAAATCATTTATTTATTTTCTAAGGTTCCCCTTTAGCTAAATCGTCTGTAGATTAAAAACTATATAAATGCTTATAAACATTAATAGTATCTTGATCATCAGTGTCCATTTTAGGATTATCCTCTAAATATTGTTGTTTTATTTGAGAAAGAAATTTCTAAATTTCGTTTTATTGATCAAAAGCACTTTATTCTCTTGTCTAAATTGTTGTATTATCATTGCTGAGTTCCCCTTTTAATATTTCTATTTCTTCAGCCTTCCCTTTAAGTTCATTTTATAATATTTTGATTTCATCTAATTGCATCTCAAGTTTTTAATATTCAATGCATTTTTCAGTATATTTCTATGACAATACTTTATTCTAATTCATAAGTTCCTTCATATATTATTAGAGTGATTAATTCTAATTAATTTATTATGCCAATTATTCTTGGAGTTGAGCCACTTTGGCCTTAAATTGATTAGCATCTTCATTTTTTAAGTTTGATTTATCTAAAGCATTCTCTTAAATGAATGTTTTTAGAGTTTCAATCTAGAGTTAAAGATCCTTAACGATTTAGCTTTCACTTTTCTTAAATTCAATTTAATGGATTGTGGCTAATAATTTGGCTATCTCTCTTTCTTTATTGACACACAGATTAGATTTCTATTCTAAAGCTGATCTTAATTTGTTTCTATCATCATTTGACAAATCAAGCGCTTTTTATAATGCTGCAATCTTTTGATCTTTAAATACAATATCATTCCGTATAATCTACATCTCAAAATCATTCGTAACTGCTGGTTTATTTCTTTCTGGAGACAATTAACTTTAATGAGTCATATTGATATTTTGCTTAATTGCTTCAAATTTCTATTCTAAATTTTTTATTGGAGTTGTTTTCGATGATGCATAATACGTTTGAGCTTGATATTGTTATTAGGGTAAAAGTGGATTACTTACTTAAGTAATTGATTGTTTATGCACTACAACTGGAGATTATGTTCTGTTTGGAGATATTAACTTAGGTTTATAAAACATTAACAACCAAAAATTTAATATTTATAAATAAATTTTATACGCACAGTTTCAAAAGGCAAAAAAACTAATCTCATATTAAGGATGAATATCAAAACAACATTTACTTATTTTCAATTCATAAATAGCAATAGAATATTAGAATATTAGTATAATATTGAAATTTAATACATTTTAAATATTCAATTTTAACTACTTTCAATTCTTTCTGCCAGCAGCTAAAGGATATATGGATTTTCACAAAGTACATCTAAAGGTATCAATAAAAAAAGTTATTTTGTTTTGACCAACTCATTATATAGATATACTTTTAATTTGTTATTACTAATAAAAATAAAGATTAAGTAGGAAATCAATCCAAAAATAAAAAGCAAAAGGTGAATTAATCTATTATTTTGTAGTTTTATTTCAGATTCATATTAAATAGAATCATGTAAAAGACTCAATATTTAAGATGTATATAATAGATTTTAAATTTAATCCTCTAAATTTACTTTGCTTATTGAATCCAAATATTCATTAAACTATTAGAGATTATCATGAGAAATAATAAACAGTTGTTTAAAGTTTTATGATAAATTTACTAATTAGACAATCAGACCAGATCTTAAGCTATCTAATTGTCTACAATAGTATTCATTAAAATAATCAGCATCATTGTTTTAACTCTAAATCAAAAGAGAGAAGGCTTGACAGGATTCACTTGTTAAAGTGCCTTTAAAACCAGAGATTTGGTAGGTTTTCTAATTATTCATCCTTTGAATAAACTCTTGAAAGATCGATAATTAGTTTTCCATATAAATTAAAGCTTCATCCCCTAAATAACATAATTTATTACTCTTATTTAAAAATAGAATATCATTTTGTTTAAGTTATTCATATTGTATGAGCAATTTTTAAAAACTCTAAAATTCCAAAACATAGATTTAAGAGGATTTATATAATACTAATTGCTCAAATAAGTCTATTATTGTGCTTTCAAATTCAGTTTGATAAATAAATTAACCTATATATTATGATGCAATGAGAAAGTAAATGAAAACTAAAGACACAGTATATACTACATAAATTAAAGAAGCTAGAATCTAGGATAAATTACTACTTTTACTGAAATCTTAGTTTTACTAATTTTTTTAGACTGCATTGAGTTGAAGGATTTTCATCATCCCAGGACTTGAAGCTATTTTTTGTTTTACTTATTCTAACAATTAATCAGTTGTTTGATGATTAATAAAATCGATATAGTCCAAAAAATGTAAAATAATTTCAATTGAGCCAATCAAAGCGACCATTTAACTTTTTGGGAATGTGTGAAATAGTTACATTATTTTATGTTTTGCTCTAAGGATTATTATCAATATGATTAAGTAAAACATTGTAACTAAAAAAACACAAAGCAGTGTGATATAGAATACAGATCTCATATCAGATTGAGAACTATAAAATTCATCAACAGCTAATTATACACCTGTAGAATTAAAAAATTTTATTTGTTATGAGAACATGATAAAATTTCGAGCAATGATTTCCAAATAATATTACTCATTAAGGCCATTGCTCAAAGAGAGTAAATATTATGAAATATATCCTAGGGATTAATAAAAGCTTTGATTTGTTATATTTTGGGCAGCATTAATTGATATAAATGGAACTAAATCTTATAGTAAATTTTACCAGTTGTTTATACAAGGTTTGGAAAATAGTAGTAAAGGAAAGAAATATCCTGTTAGAATTAACTGGAGCAAAATTTACTGTATTGGCTATAATTAAATAATTATGTGCTTTCAAGTTCATAGCTAAGTATGAATTAATTTATTCTTATATTGAAACTGTTGGAAATTGCATAATTCCTCAATGACTGACTAATAAATTAATTTTATTGGTTCAAATGGTAAAAATACCAAATATTACATACTATAAGGATTATAAATATTAAGACGTTGATAATCCTAATAAGCCTATGTAATTTGGAATTCTAATCAAAGAGATTATGTTTAATCTGATTTTTCTTTAACTTATAATGACTAACTTATGAGGATGAAACAGAATTAAGTTATTCCATTTCAAAAAAGCCATTTTCCTCAGACAGTGGTACATCTAAAGAATTCAGTGATTTAATTGATTCTCTATTTTCATTTAAGCCCTCCAAAACTGCACTTGAATGAACGATGTATTTATTTTAATCTTATGAAAATAATTAACTCAATGGATTTGAAAGATTACTATTGAAGTTATTAAATGTATATAGGTTGTGAGTGATTGAGGATTGCATTTTTTAGGCTTATTGTTCTATCTATTTCTTACCTTAACTATTTGACTAACTCACTAAGTGAGAATTATTTTCGATCTAAAATTAATTGTAATTTATAATTTACTTCATATTGATAAAGTGGATTAACAAGTTAAATTTGCATTTCCTTTTATTTAATCATGTAATCATCTTCTACTATTTTATCAGCCTCTAAATTGCATAGGGTTTAAGAATCATTTTATAATTTAATAAAGCCAAAAGTATCTTTGTAGGTAGATTTTTCTAGTACTTTTTGTTAAAGCTTAATCTTCTCATTTTTCTCTTGGATTGTCTTGATTTTTTTGAAACTAATATGAGAATAATCAGATTTTTCGATGATATTATAATATATATCAAGCCTTTAAGATTACTTAACAGTCTTAATATTTTAGATTTCAATGCAATAAATCCTAAAATAAATGTATATACTTACGTTCCCTAAAATGTATAAAATTCTATAATTCTAAAGTTTATCCTAAACATAAACATTTCTTTCATATTTTAAAAATACTTTTCATTAATTTTATCCTAGTCTTTAAGAAACTCCTAAATTGTCTGATTTATCTACAATACTGTTGAAGTGAGCATATTTTACTTCTTTAATTTTTTAGGTATTACCAAATAGGATTATATTAAATCCTTTAGTTCAGGATCTAAAATCTTATTGGAATTCATGTTCTTCCAAGTTTTAATTAATTTTGGTATCAATTTTAAACAATCTATATTTTATAGTTAATCAAGATCTATTCTTAAAATTGGCTAGAACACCTAAGTGAATAACTTTTCGCTTATTTCTTCTATCAATCCATAGTAGTTTAATAGGATGTAATGATAATTATTGTTAGCTGGAAGAATCAAAGCAGAAGAACCAAAGTCATTAAACAAATTTGTTTCTAATCGTACCTTAGCAATTATAGGGAAAATAAACCCTTTTTTGTTCTTAACTAATAAAAATCTTTTTTCAGATTTCATTATATGTATTCTACCTTGTTCGACAAAGTTGTCTAGGAATTAATCATGAACTTTGGCTATAATTTTTGGAATGAAATCATTTATTGAATTGTTTAAAATTTGTGAATCACTTGCATAAACTGCTTGTTTGAATGTTTTTGTATAGTTTTTAATTATGCCTTTTGTGTCAACTAGAGTCAAATAAACAAGTGCGGCATCTTTTAGAAATAGAATTCCATTATTTGAATTCTAAAATTTATAAACTAATTGTGAATCTAATGATGGTATTTCAATTTTCTTGTGATTAAAATAAATATATTTGTAAAATAGAGATATTAAGAGCGAGCATTCGGGTGATATTGGGTTTTATTTGAATAAATATTTTAGGCTTTTCTCAAGTTCCTTATTCTTATTTTGCAATTATTTTCCATCTTTTATTAATTCAATAATATTTCTATTTTAAATTAGGCTGTACCAATTTTTCTATTACTTCAAAGAAGCAATAAATTGCTATTTCCATAATTTAATCGCAATATCATAATAGAATACTTTGAAACATATGTATTTCTGATTTGTAATGTTTTTCAATTCAATCATTTTATTAAAGTCATCTTTTACATATTATTCTATAGAATTCAAGTACATTTTATTTAATAATTTCATCGATTTTTCACTTTAGATTTTTAACTTTGTTAATTCATAAAATGCTTTTGCTGGTTATTTGCTAATTTAAGAAATGTACAAAATATAATAAAAGTTTGTTGTGAAATCATTTTCAATTGCTAAATTTTTGCCTTTCAAATTTTCTTCAAAAGAAAGACGAATTAAATTTTTGAGATAATTTTTAAAATTTAATCTTGAGATGAAACTACCTGATTCAACCCTATACTAATGACAAAAGCATTAAGGTTTATTTTAGCAGTTTATAAAATGATTGGTTGAAAAAACATACAATCTTAGATCTTTGGGAAGTCGATATTAAACTTCGTCTATCAACATTCCGTTCTTCCCAATAGCAGTATGACATTGATTATACAAAGATCGTATGCGCTGGTTGAAATCAGCTTATTAAATAAGTGATTCCTACTAAATTTTTAAATGTGTAACATAAAATGCTAATGGGGATATCATTAGTATGATTTCTGAAAATTCCAAATTTAAAATTTAACTAAAAATTAGAACGATTAAATTGACTAAAAGAAGTATTGAGAACGTTTGGATGTGCATATAATTCGATGTTTAATCGTCATATTTCGGGTGTTTAATTGAAAGATTAAAGATTGGAATAAGCAAACTAATATTGATTAGATTTGCTATTATTACATCCATATTAAGATTATTAATCAAAGATATTAAAAATAATAGAAATTACAATAAGTAGGTTTAAAGTTTAGTATAAACTGACGAGCAGTATGTTAAATAGTCTTTTTGCTTAAACGAAAATTAATTGTTATGGACCTCATAATAGCTTATAATTAACTAATTGAATATTATTACTAAAAGAGAAATCAATTGCATATTTATGCCAAAAGCATAAGAATTTTATTCTTAATCTATTTATATATATATACCTTAATTCAACTACAATTTAAACTCTTTCATAGCTAAATACATGATGGGACAATTTAATAAATGAATTGATATTTTAATAAAGAAGGAAACATAGTATTCTAAGTTTTAAATGAAAATGATCAGTACTTTTCTAAATTTTGCTTTCTAAATTAGTTTTAATAATTACCTCTAACCCCAAATTTTTGAGCAGTATTAATTGATTCTGTAAATCTTGTTTATTACTTCTGTCTTCCACTTTTTATTATAATAATAATAATAGCAAACTCAGAACAAGTAACAACTGTCCAATAAAAATTGCGATTAAAAATATTTCATTCCAATGGACAAAATTCTCACTATTAAAATCCAATCTAGCGTATTTTTAAATATATACGTAATATACTAACAAATGTAATTGATTAATACCAATGGCCTTGAATTATTCTTAAATAAATTTGTAAAGGATTAATGGAGTAAATAAAAGAGCTAAAAGTGCTAAATTATGAAAAGCATAATGCTATTAGATTTGTTTCTCCTTATTTTATTGTATATTCTATAAAATTCATTTACATAGAAGAGCTAAAGTTTTTTAAGACGATTTGCCATGTCAATAATTAAGGTACCAAATGTAAAATTAATTAATTTTATTTTCTCTGGTAAAAGAATTGGATGACTATTTAAATTTGAGAGATTTTATAGTTATTCAAAAATATGTATTATAGAACATTTACATACTAGGAATTATTATTTTTTGCTTTTTAAATTTAACAAATTTTTTTCAAATTAAGTTAATTTTATACTACTCTTCTAGAAAGGCAGGAAAAGTCATAACTAATCTGAGTATTTCAAGATTTTTAAATCCCTAAAATTTGAGATTAAACAGTCTTAGTAAGAATATTCACTAATAATAAGTCAAACCTATGTGATAATTTCAAATTTAACTAAGATCTTAACTAAATTATTTATTACTAATTCTTTTGAAAGTACTAATTTAATTCTCATTCAATAAATAAAGAGTATTTTAATTAGAAGTTTGAGTAGCTGTTTTTAGAAAATTGTTAAATGGAAAATATTAATAATATTTTACACGTATTAAAATATGCTTGACCTCTAGGCAAAAACCAATAAAGAAATTTGGCAAGCTAAAAAATTATTGTATGAAAGTGATGGCAACACTAAAAAAAGCTTAATTGTTAATTTGGTTGCTTTGGTAAATAAATGAATTGATCTCAAGGGATTATTATGTATTTTGCTTTTTTACAGTATTGTGGGTTCAGATGATAAATGGACTTGTGAGATCGAATCTGCTAACAACAGTATTATCAATTTTCTACATATTAACAGGAGGTCATTATATTTGTGTCGAGATGAGAAGAACGATGAATTGTAAAACTATTAGTGGACCAATAAGATCTGAAATATTCTTGAAGGTGAAGAAAGATCTTCAAGCTAGTGCTATAGTAATTTATTAACTATATTAAAGATTGAATGCCCTTGGGAGATTGCTATTTCAGAGATTAGATTATGCTTTATATTATTATCAATATCTAGTGCACTCATTGGAATTTACGCATTACGAAAAACAAATAAAAAGTATGCAGAACTAAGTTTTCAAATTGGGATATCATTTGCAATTCTTTTAGTATTTATTTTATTAATATTATTTAGTTAATAAGTGCATATTTTGATTATGTCTCAATTAGAACTTCTCAAATAAATAACTATAATCTATGTAATTTATAAGAAGAGTTTTAAATTGAAGATAAAATGAAGGTAATCCATACATTTTATAAATCTTTAGGGACAAATGGAATGCTCATTTTCATTTTACAATTTTACTGTTGTTTTAGAAATAGTATGTTCTGTGGCAATGATCGTAAACTCTATTTACATTAATTAATGGAGATATAAACAGATTACAGAACTCAATGATTAGTTGTGATAATAGTTTTATATATCAATCAATGAAATCAATAAAACTTGATTTACTATTTTTATTATTTTTTTTTATTAGATGAAACCAATAAAAATTTATATAATTATCAAACTTAATCAAATAAAGAATTTGATTCATTAATTATTTTAGAGAGATACCACCGAATAATTGCTTAAAATATGGTCTATCTTTAACAAAATTTAATGACGAAAAGCTTTGTAAATTATTACTAATAATGAGGACACTATTTGCTAGATTGGATATGACGAGGTCACAAATAAATCCTATATTTGAGTATAATTCTTATTGATGTGTTTGTGAAACGGCCTGAATGCTTGCTAGATTTAGGGCATCCTTAAATTATGAAATTGAATCCACATTTCTACTTGTATTTTTAATAGTTACTTCTTAAGAAAATAGATAATATTAATCTTCAATAGTTTATGTTGGACTAAATGTTCATTCAAACTCTTTATTTGATATAATTTCTACACCTTCATTTGTTTTTGAAATAAACCTTCGCAATTTGATTATCTAATTCTCTTTCTAACTAAATTTTTTCTTATCGCTTATCATTCTTAGCAAATAGTTTTCATTTCTAGCTTAAAGTATATCACTTAAATTGAAAAGTTGAATCTATAGTTACTCACCTATCTTCTATTTAATTTAATTTAATAAGAAAGGGTAAGCGACAACTAAAATTTAAATATAGTCCCACTTATTTTAGCGTTATTGTATTTTGCAAGATCAAATGCGAGATCATCATGTCTATCATTTGTTTTGGGATCAAAATAATGTGTTTACTTACTTGTCACCAATCCAAAAAGCATTTTAATTACAATATTTTTTATTTATTTTAATTACAAATAGTATGGATATGCTTTAAACTCTTTAGCTATGGAAATAGATTAAAACAACATTGCAATCCAAATTCTCAGATCTTAAGAGTACCTTTGACTCAATTGATTCAAATAAAAACGGTACAATTGAATTGAATGAACTATCTCAAGAACTCAATAATAATCATGGTATTACATAGAAAGAGTAAGAGATTAATTATAATTTAATCCTAGCTAGATCCAATCTATCTTTTCATACTTGAACATATCAAAAAGTGGGTAGATTACATTAGAAGAATTTGAAAAATAATGGACAAGTGCAGAATAATAAATTTAATAGGAACAAAACAGATAGTAATTCTAAAAATAGAAACAACAAGTCTAGTCCTACATTTAAACAAATTAATAACTAAAATCTTCTGTCATCCAAAAATCAATCTTATAAAAATCAGGATCTTCATAATAGTTTTCAGATTTATTTAACAGTTACAAATCAAACAATTCCCCAACTAAATACATAAATATCTAAGGAGATTTTTCAATCAATTAGTTCAATACTCCACCGCTTTTGGATAGAAGAAATTCTCCATTAAAAGTTTTGTCCCCTCCAAAACCAGAGCAATACCCAAAAACTAGATAAGAAGCCAAAGACGATAAATTGAGAGAAATGTAAAGACAAATATCTTATTTATTTAATTGTAAAAATGAGTAGAAAAATTCATCTCCAAGATTGAAGTAAAATTTAGATACATTTATGAATACAATGAAATTAGGCGGTGGTGGAGGAAGGAGATCTAGTGGACATACCTTCAGATATGAAAATAAGACTTAGACTATTTCACCTAAGCTATCTGATTAGATTTCATTGTAAAATTATGCTTATCAATTCAATGACATGAAAATGCAATTTAAATAAACTTACACTGGAAATAAAAGTAATAATAGTCTAAAGGGTAATACATTTTTTAGGAAATGAATAGTTTAAGAAATGAAGTTTAATAAATAATTTATAAATCAATTCATATGTAATTTCTATTTTTAAAGTTTCTGATTTCAATCTATGCCTGACATTTCTTTATGTTACATATGAAGCGTTTGAGTCAAGTAATTTAATTCTCTTACTTACTGATTAATTTTGATTTTATTGATAGCCTCTTATATATTATCTATAGCTATTTACAATTATTATTGGGGCTACTATTATTATGGAATAGAACTCTAATAAGAGGCGTTGTTATTAGTTCGATGTTAAGTGGTGGGTTGAGGAATCTCTATTTAAATTTTGCTATTGCTTGATTCATCCTGTTCTTCATCCATCATAGATTGTATGGCTTGGAAATTCTAAATTTCTAAATGATATAAAATAAATGACTAATGATACCTTTTGAAATGGGTTGGATGGGTTGAACTTGCTGTCCATTGTTATTGAGCAATTAAAAATAATTAGACTCACCAAGTGTTTTGAAAAACCACTCATGATGTAAGACCTCATAAGCTGAAGGTCTCGCTTATGGATTTATAGATAATACTGATTTTAAGAAAGAAAGACATAAATCTGATGCTTTGACTTGTGCATAATCAATTTTGCCATGATAATTAAGTTGAACAACCTTATTTTAAGAGTGGGCAGCAAAGGGTTACTTGCCTACAAGGAGAGTATATAATATGATTCCTGCTGAATACACATCTACCTTAAAATCGTATTTCTAATCTCTCAAGACTTCAGGGGCCACATAACCGGGAGTGCCACATCTCTGGTATTGATATACAGACATTGGGTTGTAGTAATCAGCAAGACCAAAATCACAGATACAAATTGTGTCTTGATTCTTGTATAAGATATTGTCTGGCTTAAGGAATATGGATAGAAAAGATACTTTAATGTCTCGATGGATGATTTTACGATCATGTATATATTGCAATACCATGAATAATTGCAACATGATTTACGCACACTAATGCTCAGTATGTCTTTTTTTCTATTATTTCATTGAATCTAAAATTAGCGATAAAATTAGAAAGTACATTGCATCAGTTCCATAACAATACAAATAAACTCTTTGTCTTCATAAACCTCATAAATTTTGATAATTCCTGGATGTTTAAGTTATCTCATTATTTAAATTTCTTTAGCGACGGATACATTATCTACATTTAGATTCTTTAAAGCCACCTTCTAGAATACTTTTAGTGCATAACTTTGATTATTTTTCTTACTCTTTATCTTATATACCTAATTATATATCTATGCAAATACGTTTGCGAATTGTCCTTGACCAATCAGCTCGCCTATATCATAATCTAATCTAAAGTTATTTTGTATGCACTTATTTTTTATCTGTTCAAACCAAAACTTGATGTTTTAAGGAGTTGATTTTAAGAATACCTATTTGTGGTTCTTTTATAATAAAATTGTATTATCATTTAATAGCGAAATTGAAGTTGTTAAGAGTTCTATTTTTTTTAATTCTCCATTTTTTTTAAAACGAAACAATTCATATTGAGTTAAGCAAAATTGCGTTGATTTGTTGTGAAATTGCAATACTCCTTTGTATAGTATATCTTCCTAAAACTTCATATCTTATATACTTCATTGAGCGTATTTTAGCATTATTCCCATATTCCTTTGCCTTAAATGTCAAAATAAGATGAAGAATCACTCATATAATAAATGAATAATTAATTTTATATATTATTTTACTTCCTCTTATATATAATTCAATCTCTTGGTTGTTAAAATCTTGAATTCCAGTTTAACATTCTCTACAATTTTATAACCCAGTCTAAATCTTGGTGTCCAGGAGATACAACAACTATATTGTAGATACAAACATACACCGCACATCATTCTAGGAAGGAGTAATATCAAAACAATCATTTCTCTTAAAATCGTATTGCACCTGTCCATCACAAATTACAACTCCTTCTCCCCTTGAATTGGCATTCATTTTTATGCTAATTTTCACATCCAAAGGCAAAATTAAAGGTCGAAATGATAAGGACAATGGACAGATTGGCACTAATGCTATACAAGGGACTCTATTTTAGATCAAAGGACCCCCAGCACTCAAACAATAAGCTGTTGAACCAGTCGGAGTGCTTATAATTAAGCCATCTACATGAATCAAATTGAATAAATACCTCCTCTGGCTTGAGTCACGAACATATCATTGACATAGATGTCTAAACACACCACATGAATGCTATTTCCTTTGGTTATGAAAAAGTCATTTAAAGCAGTGTAGACGTATTGACCATTTAGGCTACCTTGAATTCTCTTCTTCAACTCTATATTATATGGAGATTGTAAGCTCTTTAGAACTTCATACTGATCTCTTAAGCTGTACATGCACATGAATCCTAGTGTTCCTTTGCCAAATGTCACAAAAGGCGGAGTCTATATTTATTGGAACATCCTAGATGCATGCCTACACTAGTTTTGTAGCTCTACAAAATTGTTCCATCACCGCCGATGGTTATGACTAAATCCACAGGTTCATTTTTATAATCATCATCTATTAAATAAGTATGCTAAGGGAATTAATTTCGAATTTATTGCATATACGGTAGACAAGTGTGGTCTTTCTTCTTACTCACTAAAAGGACTGCTAATTTTTTTAATTATTAATTCATATTATTTATAATATTCATTTTAGACAAGGTTTTATAATTGTATCAATACATAAAACTGTTGAACAAGGAAGTATCACCAATTACAATCCCAAATTGTCATTAAATTAATATAATATTGACTAATAATTTTAACATATAAATTATAAATGAATTCAACTAATAGAAGTTACTACCAACTAAATGCATCAAACATATTATCAACGAAGAGAGTTCCTAGTCTGACTCCACCCAAAAATTACCCAATGAGTATTTCAAAGGAAAAAATGTATTGACTGATTTGATTTGTTAGAACTAAATAAGTCAAGGATAAGGCAATTAGTGGGAATAGCTAATAAAAAAGTGAAGTATTCAATTTGCCTATGCAAAATGGACTATTTCTATAACAACAAAATGCCATTCTATCTGCAAGAAAAGCCACAATAAATTTGAGTGACAGTTCAGATAAATTAAGAAAGACATCTCCCAATGATAAGTAAGTCATCTCTCTTATAGAAGATCTCCCATCAATCCCAGATTGTCTACTTTATAAAAAAATAAACAAATTAGCATCTCCCAATCATAATAAGCAATTGCATAAGTCTTGGCTAAAATGTAAGAGAATGATAATATATCCTACATGAATAAATAATGTATTAATGCAGATTGAACTTAGTGTATCATAATCCTGAAATTGAATCTACTTAAAAAAGTACAATCAACAGCAGAGAATATACGAACAATTCATCAAAACATAAAACTGAAGATTATCAAAAACTTTAAAGAGAGAATTTGATTCTTTAAAGGAAAGTAGTAGAACTAGAACAAAAAGTAATAAGTTGATTTATTATTTTAAAGATTTTAGCTTTAGAATCAGTGAATCAATAATTACTTAATTTAGTTAAATCATGTGATTGTCATCAAACCTAATTAAGAGAATTAGAAATTACAATCTGTAATTTGAATTATCTCAAGGAAACAGTAAATCCAATTTAAATTTAAAATATAACATCTCTAGATACGTAATCTAATACAGACCTTAAAAAAAAACTCTCATATTCTTAAGATTATTCAGAAATTAAGCCATAAACTTTATTTACTAATCATAATTCGACTAAAGTGATTGAACAATTTATAGAGCAGCATTAACTAAATCAATCAGAATTAAATGTCTTTAAAGATTTAACAAAAAAAATGGATGATAAACATATGCCCATACCATCAGTACTTAAAGCATTAACCTTAGTTATTAATGTATGAACTTTTATATAATTGTTTTATTTAAAAAACTAAAATTTAAATAATTGATGTAATTTATTTGAAATAAGCAATACTCTAATCCATTCTAATATAAAGATGAAATTAAATTCAGAAATGCTAAGTTTAAATTTTCATCTTTTAAGATAGTAATCCTATTTATCTCTATTTCATATCAAATTTCTCTATTAATTATTGCATTAATCTTGGTTGAAGTGCCAATATTCCTAAAATCTATTCTGAGGAAAATTAAAGAAATTATTCTAGAGAAATGGCATTTTTAATTCTATTATTACATAGTTTGATTACATTGATTTTTCATTTGAATTCTGCTAATCATTTTGTTATGTATCAATCATATTGACCATTATTTATTTAAGAGTATCATATAAAATATTTTAAATCTATCTTCCTCTATTGTGATTGCTTGATACTTCAGTATTAGATTGATTCATCGATGTATTGATATCAAAATAAATTGAATTTGCATATCCATTACGATTTGTAACCTTTTATTTACTTTTTAACAATTTTAAAGATAGATTTGCACAATAAACAAATGAATTCCTGATAGAACTGTATTAGTTCTATTTCTTTATAATATTTTGTTTCCATTCAATAATCTATTTTCTCAAAATGTGGATTTATTTATAAATTTCAATAATATCATTTACAGGCTAAATAGATAAAATATTAATTCATCTTACCTATTATTATCCTCTTACTGATGCTTTCTAAAGAACATCTAATAATTTGCTTTTAGAGTGCTTTTTCAGCGTAATAGGAGGTAATTGAGATAAACTAAGTCTATTTGTATTTGATTCTTAATTAGTTATAAATAGATTGACATTGCTTCTATTACTAGTGATATCGAGACTTTGTAAATGAATTCTTTACTAATCAATAATCTTTAATTAGTTACTGTTCTAGATGTAGATTAAGTGTAATTCGATGTAGTATTATTAATTTATTGTTAAATTGACCAACAGTCTCTAACCCAATCTCTGATTTATAGTCTTTTGTTTATAACTTGTTCTTTCAGTTCTTTTATACTAAATTGATTTAATTGTAATTCTTGAGTTAATTGTTGAGTCTAAAAAATATAATAAACTCAGTACTTTATTGATCAATGATAATCGATACTGATCTATCTTTGATAATTCGCTGATGATTTATTTTATTTAAGGATGGTTTTCAAGACTAAACAATCGAATATATAATAACTATTACTCATTTTGTTGTCTCAATTTTTCTTCTAATTTGATGATTTGCAACTTAGTTTTTTCAAGTTAATTAAGCAAATGGAAATACCTTTGATTCAGTCTTTATTCCTATAATTAATTGGTATTTTTATACTTCCATTTAAATTGCTATCATAGTTTTATCATTGACTTGTTCAATATAACTTTACACTTCGCCATGTTGATGTTAAACAATATCCATGGCATCGTTCCTCCTTAAAAGTAGAATAAATAGAGAGATTGATACTTCTTATCTAAATCAGAGAATATCTTTAGAGGTGTGAAAATCTTGGAACTTTTACTATCATATAACATATAATTTAATTTATAAATTGAATGCTTGAATCAACCTTAAACGAAAGTTAACACTCCTTTTTCCCAAAATCCTGTAAAACTTTAGCCATTCAATGTTGTAAATTCACCTTTACCATCAATCTTTCCATCCACAAATCGACCTTTGAAAAACTCCTCATTTGTTAATTACAGTGTTCCTTCACCATGCATATTGCCTTTAGAGAAATCACCTATAATTTAATTGTTTGATTACCTTCATACCAACTCCACCCATTTTTTATCTCGTTAAAATCCTAATAATCGAAAGGACCTTCAATCTCTTCTGGTTCAACATTAATCAATTTGCCTTTGCCATGTTATTGATTATCCTTCCATTAACCAGCATAAACTAGATTTTCATTTTAGTCAGTCAATGTGCCATCACCTTCTCTAATATCTGGTTCATAGCCTTAGCCTCTATATATGTAATCATTCTGATAATTTAAGGTTAATAGCTATAACTAATTCTCTTTAACTTAAGGTTGAGTTTTATGAAATTTTTAATTTTTTAATGGATTTGATGCTTGTTATATTTATTGGAGTTATTATGGTTATTTTTATTCAAATTATTTAGTTTTTTAATCTAGATCTTCTTTCCACAAAACTGAAAGTGGTTAAAATTTTTCTTCAGTCTATTCATTGGAAGATTAAAATTATGGTCGACTATTATATGGATGTGATTAAGGGCAACAATTATCATATTCAGATGATATCGAACGTTAATTATATTTTTAACAATAATTTTAGGCCCTATTTTAAATATACGGCTATTCTATTTAAGGTTAATAATGTTTTTAAGGAAATTGTATATTTTAGATATGATTTTGCTATTATGGCACTGTTTAATTTATAAAACTAGGTTATTATTATTGTTATCCTTAAATTATTTGTGGATTAAAGGGCTATGTTGGATTATTTTGATTGAGTAATTGTGTTGTAAAATTGTTGTAAATTTAGGACTATTGTCTGTATTGAACTTCCATTTAATTATAGTACTTAATCTCATATGAAGATGGTTGATGGTTAACCGTTGAAATTATAGGTGAGCATTATTGTTGATGAACTACTTAGACTGGAATTTGATAGAGTTAATGAGGGTGGTTTTACATGAATTTAATATTTAGAGATTATAAATAATATTCTGAAAATTAGACAGATTTCTATTATTATTTTTCTCTCAATTATTTCGCAATAATTTTTTAACTCAAATTTCATCAAAAATCAATAATTGCTGTTTTTGTTTAGAAGATAGTAGAATTTTAGATTTTAATTAGAGAATATCAAGAATTTAATATTCACTTTTAATATTTCTATATATTAATAATCCTTAATGAAGAATTTCTTATTTGAAAATTCTATCAAATATATAACTGCTATCTATATTGCATAATTTAAGAAATGAAGTTATATTAAATAATATATATATATAAATCAGTGTGTAAATGAGGAGTAATCCCATCTATTCTTATCTAATTTAACTTTGATACATCCTGGAGAATCAAATGTGTAATTCATACAACATGACCAACCTTCATTTCCATCACTCATTTTCTACCACACTCCGTTATGATATTATTTAAATTCCAATTCGTGTTTGAGTGTCTTACTCATATCTGGCCTGAATGTAAAGTTCTTATCCTTATCCATTATCCAAAATTAATTACCTGAATTTGTTCTTAATTCTTGCTTAAATGTGCTTCATAAGCCAATCTAAAAACCGCAGCATCAGTTGCTTATTGTGAAGCAGCAGGATTCTTGACTAAGTATTCTTACCTGATATTTGCTCTGAACTCTTTTTCATTTACTTTCTATGATCTTAGATTTTATTGTAATTGTGTTTAATGTTCTATGGGCTTAAGGTAATTCTTAATAATTTCCTTTTCTTTAGTTTTGCAGTGGGATTTAGCTCTCTTAGTTTGATTCATGAGATATTTTTGAAACTCAAGTGAACTTGTCTCTGTACTAATGTTCCATTTATTTTATCCTTTTTTTGCAAGCTAATAATTGTCTCTAGTTTCTGTGCCTTCATATATTTTGTTTGGTTTCTCCTTAGGGATAGGATGGTCAAGTAAACCTAATTTGATTTTGACCAACTTCCTCTCATGAGTCTCTTCTGATAATGGGTTTTTGGGAACTGAGACACTACAATTCCATAGTTTCTTCCTTAAGCCCAAAATATCCTAATAAATTAGTAGGTCAATTTCTATACAGGGTCAACAAAAGTTTAGATGTATTATTTAGTTTGCATTGCTTTCTATGGAATATCTTCTTTACTAAAAAATTGTTCATCCTTATCATAATTTACTTTATTATTCTTGATGCTTCCTATCATATGAATCTTTTATTCAGTGGACAGAATTTGTAACTCTCCTTCTCCTTATTTCTGTCTTCTCTCATAAGCCTCTTTAATAAACATTATCGGTTTAAATTATAAAATTAATTGTTAAGAAATTATATAATTTGATATACATTATTGAAATATCAATCTTCATAGAATATCTCTTCTTTTTATTCTAAAACTTCCTGCTTTTGTTCTTCCTTCATAATCTTCTTGCACTTCTTGTTAATCATCTGAGTTTTCTTGCTTTTCTTTTTCTTCTGCTTAATAAATTTCTTAATTTTTTCCTTGTCATTTTATTTTGATTTCTCTAGTTGTTACAATGGCTAAATCTTTTTTGTTTCCTCCACCTTACCAACATCATAAGTAAAGAGTTCATCGAAATTTTTAAATAAATCACACATTATTATAAAAAATGACAAATAATTTCAGGACAATTCTTGCTTCATTTGACAATATCTCTATAGATTATTTTGCATATCTCCACCCATTATTGTTTATTTGGATTTGGATTAATTGGCGCTTATACAATAGCAGCAATGTTGTTTCTCTATTCGAACTCCATCCAGCTTACACTAGTTGCAAAGCGTTTCAAAAGTTGTTGCAGTATAACTAGGTAATCTAGAAGAATTATCAAGTGGGGATGGTTGCAATCCCTATTCAAGTAATCGTTTATAAGGTGAATGGCCAGATAGTTATAATGGCTTATTTACTCAAAGATGTTTTCCAAAACCCATTTGTTGGTGAATAATGACATGAATCTGGGATCCTGAACATATTAATCAGCCATTTGGAGTATAGTTTATTTCACATTCAATAACCTGACTTAACATTCTTATAAGCAAGGATTAGAGGGTTAAAACTAAATTATGTATAATCATCAATTTACAATTTGAATGCAACTCTATAATAGACAGAATTGAATTTTAAGTTACAGAAACATGCATTCAGTTCTTGTATACATTTTACCTAAACTAAATTATTCAAAATATTCTGTATTGATGAATAGTTTTGCAATTTTGTATAATAAATTACCAAACTATTAACAATGTTAATTTTGAGGATTAGATTCGAGAATACTACGTTTAGATTCATCTTGTGATGTTATAAAGCTCTCTCTCTTACTTGATGGGAATCTCATAGGAATAAAAGAAGTCTCATAAGTTGTCTAAGAACCATTTAATTATTATAGAGGTTCTCTTTTGGAATGAGGAGAGGGATTTGAAAAAAGTAGATATTGTTATTATTATTATTATTATTATTATTACTATTATTATTATTATTATTATTACTATTATTATTACTATTATTTTTACTATTATTATTATTATTACTATTATTATTTTTATTATTGTTAGATTAATTATTTATACATAGGAAGTTAGGAGAACTGCTGACTTGTATTAACTTAAATTGACTGCTGCTATTACTTGAATTATTGCTAATATTGAAATGGCAATATAGTTTTTTTCTATTATTAAACTATTTAAATTGGAGACACACTTCGACCATCTTTTTATTATTAAGGCAGATATCTCTTACTTGAAACCATTCTGTTTTATGTTCTCTATCTTAAGTAATCTAAACATTATTCTACTGACCATCTCAGTTATTTATCACATTGAAGCATATTCTATATCAGAATATCCAAAAAACGAGAACACTTGAATGGATAATAAAGTAATCCATTCTTTTAATATAAGCTTTGAGTTTTTGCACTAGTTCTGGCTCTGTTTGTGATCTAAATGGCTATTATCCAAATACCATTTCATACAGAACTGCTCCAGCTGACCATATATCACTCTTAAAACTATAATGATTATTCAATAAAGTTTCTGGAGCCATATACATGGGAGTGCCAACATTATAATTTTGTATATCGATTCCATTTTGTAGATTTTTACATAAAGCAAATCCAAAATCTGCCAATTTAGGAATGCCATTGCACATGAATATATTTGCTGGTTTGATGTCTCTATGAATTATATCTAAGTTTCTTATAATCAATACATACAATTATTCTTACAATGCTAGAGACCATCTAATATTTGGGTGATTAAATCTTTTGCTAAATCTTCAGTAATTTGATGATTCAGAATAAACTATTATAAGTCCCCTATGATAAAATTGACAGTTAATACCTTGATTACAATACTCAGTAATTATATAAACGAGTTAATTATTTTGAAATACATCATAAAATTTCAAAATGTTTTACTATTTTGGTATGATTTTCAAAATCCCAATCTCATTTTTCATCATCTAGATCATTACCTAATCTCTCATTCTTGAACAATCGATTTGCTTAACTCAATGAATTATGTACTTTAATAGCTACCTTCTCCTTAGTATAAATCTCAAATCCCAAAAACACCTCACTGAATTATCCACCACCTATGTTTCTTTCCTCATATATGTAGTTGTTTAATTATTTCTGCAACATTTCCATTAAAACCCTTTGAATAAGAATTTAATATTATATAAAATACTTAAAAACATATAGTAAAATATAATAAAAATATTCCATTTTCCGACACTCTAACTTTAATTGACACAGTCCAAATCAACATAAATATTACAAATATTGGTATGAATGAATAATATCTTGAATATATAAATCATTTTTTAATGTTTGTTATTGTAATGACTCCCTCCTAAATTGAATATGTAATATCTTGACTCTCTAAGTCTCTTTACGATTCAATAAAGCCAGAGAAGAATCTCTAACCAACAAACGATTTATCAATGGCTTCCTAAATGTACCTAAATATTAGTTAAATGAATACCATTCTACAAGTGCTGGATTATCTATATTGAAGGTTCCTTATTGTTATAATTATATATTGGGAGGACCAGGGTTCACATTCTTTATTTTAAAAGCAGCTGCTTCTTTGACTCTACTAAAATCCAATTCCACTTCAATTCCTTAAAAATCAACTGTAAAAACCAAAATAGGAGTTGGATTGACAGTCAAAGTGCAAGTAAATGTCATTGCAACAGTAAAGTATTAAGTACTAGAAGTAACATAACTAGCTTGGACAGCAGTGCATGATCCTCCAATTTAAGAGGCATAAGCATATTAAGTATAAACATTATTCATGATATTCTACAATCCCCCTGTACTCCATGAGAAAAAAGGAACTTTCCAATTTGAAGGATTCAATACGGTATTAAAGTAGTTTTATTGAAAAGCATAATTGAATGAATTGATTATTTGATCCATACTAATTTATTCCACGTTAGTATTTGCACCTGCAACACAAGTCAATGTGATTGGATTGTTGCAAATGTATTAAACCTATAATTGTTGAATGTTCATCACAGCAGATATGGCATATGTTACAGGAGCATATTGAATTTGTACATTGTTGACAACAACTTAATAAGTGAATTTTTAAGATCCATATTTGTAGGTTTTAGTTGAAGTTTGACCTGAAATGATTTCAAAATTAGCTAACTCTCTGGTTAGAGTAGACTTTAGACCAGATAATTATGTACTAGTGTAGTAAGTGGTTAAAGCTGTTTGAATCTAATTATTAGTATTGAGAGCTGTAAGGATTTCTTGAATTTGCCCAATTTCATGTGGGAAATTAGCATATACAGCCTTGAATTAAGCATTATTAAAATTGATGGTAGAACTCACATATGCAAATTTATAGCTATATGGATTAGTTTTCGTATTGATTGCAAACGTATAAGATGCAGAGGAGACACTCTCTAGAACAGCAACTCCTTATCCATTTTAAATAGTTCCATTTGAAAATAAGAAACCTACCTCTATCAGAATAGTTGGATTGGATACTGTGATCTACCCAGCTTCACCTATTCCTTATTGTCCTGTGTATGTTTAATCATCAATTATGGCTTGTCCCTCAAATTTATCTGCAGTTAAAATCCAGCCATTCTGTTTAATCTAAACAGGAGTTGAAAATTTACTCGGAAGCCCTGGACTGAAAACCTCAGCAAACAAATAGGTTGGCAACAAGCCTCAAGTAGAAATAGAATGTATACCTGATCTAAGTTAACCATTACACTAAGCAACTTCAATTTCTTGGCACTATTGTATTGTAAGGTAAACAAATGATGAAATCAATAAAATATTCATATTAATAATGTAAATTCTAAACTCATAACTTTGGTTTTTAGGCTGCCTATTATTCCAACCTTTCCAGATTCTCTTGAACCTTGTTGAATAAGTCTGCATTTCCAGTGGGATACTCATTCTTTCCACTGAAATCATTGATCTTAGCCCAATGCTTTTGAACTTCACTTATTTTAACAGGCAAGTCCAAGGAGACTCCTTCAGACCTTTACCATCTGACTTTGGAGAAGAATCCTCCTGAACATTCATAAATTCCACCATTGTATTCTTTGTTTGATTCATGAGTTAAAACAGCCACTTAAAAATATTATTAAATAGATACATATTGGTGTGAGATTACTTGGATCGATTCCAGTCAATACATCAGGAGGCATAATTGTCTCTGTCATCCTAGATGCTCCCACTGGGACCAACACATTACACAATATGTTCCTTCTCTCCCCTTCCTTGGCCAATGTCAATGTGAGTCCAACTATTCCTGCCTTTGCAGCTGCATAATTGGTTTGACCCAAAGTTCCATACAAACCAGATCCACTGGATGTATTAACTATTCTACCAAATCCTTGATCTCTCATGATTGACCAGGCAGCCTTGCATACAGAAAATGTTCCATATAAATGAGTCTGAAATCATATTAACTCCAGTCCTTACTTTGACTACAATATTCCAATCTTCATCTGTCATCTTGGCCAAAATCTTATCTCTTAAGATACCAGCATTATTGATAAGAACATCAAGTCTTCCAAATTCTTTTATAGCATGCGCGATGATTTTATCACCTTCCAACACAGAATTATAGTCAGCCACAGCTATACCTCCCTTGCTCTTTATTGTTGACACAACCTAAATTTCGAAAATTGGTTACTTCGTCTGCAAATTTGTTGTTTGTGTTCTTTCCATCTAAATCGCACCCATTATCATTTACTAATACTTTGGCTCCCACTGAACCATAAAACAAGGCATAAGACTTTCCCAGTCCTCTTCCTGCTCCTGTTATGACAACTACCTTATTATCAAATCTCAAATCAGACATTTTAATTTTGTGGATATATATGTGAGTATTATTTAAATAGGAATTTCAATTAAATATATTGCATATCACTCATTCACCTCCTAAGTTCCTATAATTGACTCTATTTTTGTTATTTCTAGTTCTTCTTCGACCATTCATTTATTCTTCAGAATTCTAATAATTGATATTTAATATATTTTACTTTCTCTTCCTATATAAATTATGCTTGTTATTGTTATTATTATTATTATTATAATTATTATTATTGTTGCTATTGTTATTATTATTATTATTATTGTTATTATTATTATTATTGTTATTATTGTTATTATTATTATTGTGGGATTAAGATTTATTTTATGATTGGAGAATCCTATTAATTCTATTTCTTAATGTTCTTCTTACCAGAATTCCTCAGAAAATCGAGATCTGACTTAATTTCATCATCATATAAGTTCAAACGAAATGCTATTAAAATATTTTTAAATTTATAAATTTACTAAATTAAACTTTATTATCTTTGGTGGCTACAAAATTGATATTCTTCTCTCTAATTCTAGCATCCTCAAATTCCATTACAGTTCTTTGTTTTGGCTGATATTCTTCTATCGTCTTCTCCTATTTCTTTTATTACTGAATCTATTATTGTTATTGTTATTGGTTTTTAATTTTAGAACAATTTAAACAATAGTAAACTTTATTCTCAGTCTCTTCTTTTATATTCTAATTCCTACATTTAGCTTCGCAATTTAGATGATTCTATCAATAACTCTTGAAATATACCCATTTCTAGCATTCATCACATTGTATCCATTCCTATTCATCTTGGTCGTACGACCCATTCGAATAAACCTAAAAGTCTTAGAAATTCTTCCAATACCTATTCACAAAAATCACAAAAATTTCCACGATTGTATAATCTCACACATTTCTCACAGAATTGGAGTGTCTCTCCCTTCTTCGACTTGGTCTTGCGATCTCCTTTGTTGTTGCATTTGGAATTCTGACACTTCTAAATCTAAGGGGGGTCATCATCTTCAACAGTAATGGGATTTTGTAATGTATTGTTTTTCTTCTGACCCACCATTCCCAATTAGCATAACAACTAATTCTAATTAAACGCATTTATGGGATTGTTATTTATCTATAGGTTTTTCTACAAAAGTTTCATATACTCAAACTAATTCATTACACCTCCCAAACCTAAGCAAAAATAAGCCAATTCAAAAAACTATAAGGTCACGATATTGTAATTGATATGGAATTGATGATATCTTACCACGATTAAAATTGAACAGATCCTGCGATTATGAGGTTCTAATAAGATTGTCCTATAACTATTGAAAAATGTTCGGAAATGGTAATGATTTCATGTTGCTGCTCAAAAGTTGGGTGAGAAATGGCTATTATCTAAAATAAGTAATTGATTGCCAAATATATGATTTGAGCGTATGAAGTAATATAGTATCGAGAATATGAAGTCGGATGTTACCTCAATTATTGCTAATACTCCTCAAGTTAGGCTGGTGTCAGTTGATACAATAAGGAATTTTAGTTATTCAATCCAGAGTTCATATTATTTTAATGATAGTTTAAATTAAATTGGTCAACCCTATTTAATCATAATTTAAGCACTAAGAACTGTCTTATTTATTATTATATAAAATCATGTAAAAACACTCAAAAAAATAAAATTCTCTTCTTTTTTTCTTTTAAAAATACTATTATTATAATTATTTTATTAATTATTTTTCAATCTTTATGTGGAATTGAGAAAAATTAATAAAATAATCTTAGTTATTTTCACTATATCTGGTTATTTATCTTTTTTTTAAAAGTAAAGCTATTTATTAAATCCTCAAAGAAAACTCACAATTTGAACATTCCCTTATTATATTCCCATAAATTCCTAAGTTATTCTCAATTCTTTCTAATGTCTATTAAGATTTGAGGATAACCAAAAAAGGAGGATTAAGCATGTTTAAATATCATCTATAATGTCTAAATAATTCTTATTGGGTCTGTAAGATAATGTTAAATAAATATCAAATAATAAATATTATTGATAAATTTTGTTAAAATGGCAACTGGATATTATGATTGGTTGGTAAAGGTAATTGTTTTAGGAGATTCAGGAGTCGGAAAGACTAACATCCTTACTCAATATTGTGATCAAAAGTTTTCATAAAATTATATGGCAACAATAGGCGTTGATTTTAAGATAAAAACAATTACTGTATACATGATAAATATGTTAACAAGGTTGAAGATAAGAAAATCAAATTATAAATTTGGGACACAGCAGGATAGGAGAGATTTAGGAACATTACTCAAACATATTATAAAGGGGCATTTGGAATAATTTTTGTTTATTCCATAGTAGATAGAAACTCATTCAATAATGTCGAAACTTGGATCAAATCTATAACAGAAAATACGACTGATGAAGTGTAATATGAAATAATAATCCCTTAAGTTGTTCAATCTTAGTCGGAAATAAGATGGATTCTCAAGATAGAAGAGTTCAATCATCGGAAGGTTAAGCATTAGCAACAAAGTATAAAATGCCATTCATTGAGACTAGTGCATTAGAAAATAAAAATATATGTAAATACAAAATTCTAATTACATTTAGAAAACATTTTCGATATACTAGGTCTTAATCTGAAGAAAAGATTGGAAAATGAGACTCTGAAGCCACAAGCTACTGGTGAGAGCTAACAAACTTAATTCAAAATAAATTAGACTCCTTAGCCACAACCAGCACCATCTTCTTGCAATTGTTGAAAATGGTTTTTTTACAATTTATTAACATATAAAGTTTATCTTAAAAAATGATGGCATATATATGATACATAAAATCATGTTTTCTTAACACAAAATATATTAAAAATAAACTCATTTTTAGTTAACTATAGCAAAGGAATGACTTCCTCCACATGCAATCTTTAAAACATTTTCCAAAACTAATAAAGGAGAGTATCTACTACTGTTAGGGGATTCAGTCTCTGAACCTCTGCCTAATTGACCTTCTTTTCCCCTGCCGTGCATGTAGAGTTTATTATTACTAATGATGCCTACATGAGCTTATCCACATGAGACCTTATCAATATTGTGATCAAATGATATTTTATGAGGAGTGGGGATGTCTTATTTGCTGGGTGTTCCCAATTAACCATCTCCTCCAAAACCCCAAGTATATAATACACCGTCTGCACTCAAAGCACCAATGAATTATTCACCACAAGAGAACTATTTAATCTTTGGCAATCCTTTGATTTGCTATGGTGTTTAAATTACTGAAGGACTTGGAGTACCTAATTAACCAAAGTAATTACTACCCCATGCGAACATACTTAATTAATATTCATACATACTTTCCATCAGAATCAAGTGCAACGCTGAAATCAGTGCCACTGTCAATCTATATGATATTTTTTAAATTTGAAATTTGTTTAAAGCTCAGTTCTTCAGCATTTTTGGTTTCATATCCTAGAATACCTTTTTTATTCAACCCTACCGAATAAACATTGCCATCATCTGATAGTATTAAAGTAAATTAATCTCCTAAGGATACTTAGTGTACTTTAAAATTTAATTTTACTAATTCTGGTAATTTAGCAGATCCCAAATTCTTTTAGTATTCATATTTCTCTCTAGATGGCAATTTGGCTAAGTTATCAAATGAATGACCAAGTTTGCCATGATCTTAATTACCCCAAGTATACAACTGTCCATCTCTGGTTATCGCAGCCATATGATAATTGCCACATGCAACATATTTGAAATCCAAATGTTTTAAACATTCGACAAGTGTAGGAATATTAATGTTTTCTACTTATCCATTTCCTAAGAGCCCAAATTTCGATCTTCCCCAAGTATACAATTTTCCAGATTTATCAATTGCTGCTGAAACACTCGATTTGCAAGCTACAAATAAAACATTTTAGATAGGGACTAATTGAGGAGAATATTGAGATATGGAATTTCCAATGCCTAATTATCCAAAATTATTCCATCCCTTGATTTATTTTTATAAGATTACCCATGCATACAATTATTCTTAAGAAAATACAAAGCTAGAAGTAAATGTAATGGATGATCCAATGAATGCTATTTTAAGGCAATTCTAAATGGCTCTCCTCCACATTTAATAATTATATTTAATAATATCATCAAAGAAATTTGGAGTTATTTTTGTGTATTATTATTAATGAAGATAATTTACTATCATTAAAAGATTGCTCTTTGTTCTGCAGTGTACTAAGATTCCATTCTTAAATTTAGGCTCTTGAATACACATTCGATAGAGTCAACCAACTCATCAATCATCTCCTCAGTATGTAATGGAGTCGGAGAAATACGTAGTATCTCCTATCTAAAATAATATAAGAACAAGATAATACCCTCTTGGAACTGTTGGATAGTTGATTGGTTATATATAGATGTTGTATTCGTTGAGTAATTTTTCAGAAGCCTCTTTACACAAAACAGGATCTCCAATAAAAACTGGAACGATATGGGAAGCACTGTTGAGAGCTGGAATGCCCTTGCTCTTTAACTTAGCTTTAATAAGAGAAGCCACATATTGATGTCTATCTCTGATTTCTGGATGAGTTTTGAGATATTTAACAGACTCCAAACAAGCTGCTGCAATGATCGGAGACATGGATGTTGAGAAAATGAAGTTACTGGCAGTACTTCTGACAGCATCTACGATTTCTGCGTTGGCTGATACATAGCCTCCAGAGCATCCAAAGGCTTTGCCCAAGGTTCCTGTTACTATATCTATTTCCTTCTACAATCCGAGTTTTTCTGTTACTCCTGCCCCTCTATCGCCATACATACCTACTGCATGGACCTCATCGATGAGGGTAAGAGCATTGTATTTCTTTGCCAGGTTGATGAACTATGAGATTGGTGCAACAGTACCATTCATAGAATAAACTGATTCGAATACTATGACTTTGTTTTATTAAATGTCTAATTTTGTACAATATAAAAATACCTAATTATTTTAATTTCTCCTCCAAATCTTTATAATCATTATGTTTAAAAATGACTCTATCCCTTTTGGTAGCCCTCATGCCTTCAATTAGAGATGCATGATTCTTGGCATCACTCAAAAATGTCACGTCTTTAAGCACTTTGCCGAGAGTATCCAATGTGGCCATATTGGCAACGTAACCACTGTTCATAACCAAAGCACTGTCTTTTCTGTGCAAATCTGCTAGTTCTCTTTCCAACTCCACGTGGTAGATACTTGTGCCTCCTATGTTACGGGTTCCTCCTGCTCCTATTCCTGTTAGATCGATTGCATTTTTTGTGGCCTAAGTTACCATTGGATTTTAGGACATTCCTACTGTTAACTCATAACTCTTACCTAAGTAGTCGTTGCTGCACCACAATGTTATTGTTTGATCTCCAGAAGGGGTCTTATTGATGGCTCTTGGGAATTCTCCATTGGTTCGTAATAAACTCTTGAATTCCCTGTATCGGCCTTCGTCTTTAATTTACTGAATGACTCCCTTGAATTGATTCGAATAGAATTGGCTATGGTCGATTGGGCACTTCTTGGGTTCGGATCTAGAAGTTCTTCTTGTAATTTACTTCATCTCCTTGAAATGAAGATAAGGGCAAAATTTGGTGTATTTGGCTAAGGCCTGTTCAGATGTAACATTAATGTTGAAAGTCTTAAGGAATGGACACTTGGTGTGTTACAAAGTTTTCTGATGCAAATTAATACCAACTCTCATAATAAATTTAGTTAAAATGTGTATCCAATATTAATTAAGAACTCCGCATTTATTACTCAATAATTGCATCATTGTTCAGATAATGTCGTTTTTAAATTATTATTACAAAATCCATGTAAAACTCTCAAAGTGATTTGGGCCAACTAGATCCATGGTCCTTATACTTGCCATATGACAATAGATACGAACTTTAAGGATGTTGTTTCAAAACCAGGCCTAATTGGAGAGACATGAAAGGTATCAAGGCATTAACAACAAGATAGAACTATCATTACAAATATTTAAGATCACGAATTACCTGATAACACAATCAGAACCTGCAAATATACTTTATGGACATTTCTCCCTTTGAACTTAATGGAATAATTTTCAAAAATGGCAAATATTTATTTTTTAATTGTCGGATATCTGGAAACCATCGATCTAGTTTCAATTACTGATGGGTAACCTGTTATATGGTTCCCATTGTTTGTGGTGATTGCAATTTCAGCATTCAAAGACTTCTTAGAAGATCACAAGAGGTAGATCTCTGATCAAGATGAGAACAATCGGTATTAATTATTATAAATTAATTAAGTATAGCCTTAGTGTTGACACCTTACGGGTTGGTTGAAAAGAAATGGCAATAGATCTTAGTCGGAGATATCATCAGAATTGAATAAGGAGAATATTTTCCTGCAGATGTCATAGTCATCAAGACTAGTTAAAAAGGGACATGTTTCATAGAAACCAAGAATCTCGATGGGGAAACCAATCTCAAAGTCAAGAAATAACATAAAGGTCTCTAGTTCACTAGAAATTTAAATGATCATCTGTTACAAAAAGAGCATATCTTAGTCCATTACGACAAACCGAATCCATATCTGTATAAATTCAATGGTACTATCACAATGCCCCCGGATCACCACAGTGATGGGGATTAGTCTAGAGATTCCATTATTAATTATGATGCCGCACATAGAAAAGTGTATTAGTTAGATGAAGTCAATTTTATTCTTAGAGGATGTTCATTGAGGAACACTCATTGGATTTATGGGTTAGTTGTCTATACAGGATTTGACACTAAGATAATGTTGAATTCCACTAAGGCCAGACCTAAGTCAAGTACTTTAGAATCATAGATGAATTTCTTTATTATTCTAGTATTTTTTATGTAAATTAACATGAGATTAAAATAGATAATTAGTAATTTGTTTGTTTTCCGCTCAATATTCAGTGTTTTGGTAGTTAGATAATTTTATGGATATTCCCTACTTGGAATTAGACGAGAATGATCTTTAAACTAACATAGTTCTGAGAACAATGGAAAGATGGGGAACTTGGTTATTGATTTATACTAATTTTGTTCCGATATCTTTATTAGTGACTCTAGAGATGGTATGAAAATAATTTGGTATCTAGTGTAGGTTAAATATTTACAAGGTATGATGATAGAAAATGATAAATAGTGTAAGTCATAAAATAATATTACTGAAGTGCAAACTTCGAATCTTAATGAGGAGTTGGGTAATGTCAAGTATATGTTCACTGACAAAACTGGAACTATTACAAAGAATTTGATGGAGTTCAAAAACATATCAATATTTGGTAAATCCTACGGGAATGTTTGCAATAGAAGTTAAATACTAAACAGTGATGATCTAATTCACATGCCTTAAGTGACCAATGTGGATTTTAGAGACAAACAACTCTTCAATGATTTAAGTTAGAATGACGATCACTCTAGAAGAATAGTAGAATATTTTATGCATCTTACGTTATGTCACACCGTGTTAGTGGAATATGAGTAAGGTCAAATCAAGTATAATGCTTCTTCTCCAGACGAATTAGCATTGCTGATGGGAGCTAAATTTTGTGGATTTGAGTATATTGGATCGGATGATGGAATGTAGATTGTAAAGTATAAAGATTAGTCAATAAAATATAAGTTATTATAAGTGTTGGAGTTTAGTTCAGCAAGAAAGAGGATGTCTGTTATTGTCTAAGATTAAAATGATCAAATTATGTTGTTATGTAAAGGGGCTGATTCAATGATAATTCACTTGCTTGATAAATCCAATAGACAAAATTAGGAACTGTTGTCAATCACTGAGTAACATTTAGAATAATATGCTGAGAAGGGATTAAGAACTTTATTGTTGGCCTAAAAGAATTTAACATAGTCATAATACGATGAATGGATCAGTAAATATATGTAGGCAGGTTTGTAGACTGTTAATAGAGACGAATTGTTGTTACACTTGCAAGATCAAATAGAAAACAATTTGGTTTTGATCGGTGGTACTGGGATCGAGGATAAGTTATAAGATGATGTTGGTAATACTATGTAGAAGATATTGAATGCAGGGATTAAGATATGGGTATTAACAGGAGATAAATTAGAAACTGCTATTAATATAAGTTACGCTTGTAATTTATTGAATGATTCACAATAAAAAATTGTAATTTAAGCAGATGACTAATTTGAAGCACAGTTCAAGATAAATTAAGGTTTAGAATTATTAAAATCATAATTCTAATTACATCCAATAGCTTTGATTATTTCTGGTGATTCATTAATTAATTTGGATGAAAAGTATCTCATTAAACTCATTGAATTGGCCAAATAATGTCATACTGTTATAGCTTGCAGAGTATCACCCAAATAAAAGTAAGAATTAGTGCAATTAGTGAAGGATAACATCTATAATATCGTGACTATGGCTGTAGGAGATGGAGCCAATGATGTGAATATGATAACAGCAGCCAACATTGGAATAGGAATCAAAGGAGTTGAAGGGAATTAAGCAGCAAGAGCAGCAGATTATTCAATTGGGGAATTTAGAATATTGCAATAACTACTACTCTATCATGGAAGAGAATGTTATAGAAGAAATCAAGTTCTGGTTGGATATAACTTTTATAAAAATCTACTTATTGTATTACCACACTTTTGGTTCTCATTTTACAATGGATTTTCACCTCTTAATTTATATGATCCATGGCTTTATCAGTTTTATAATATGTTCTATACGAGTCTGCCTATAATGGCGTATGCAATCTTAGATTAGCAATATTCATCTAAATTTCTATTATAAAGTATTCTATATATCTATCCTTAGATCCATAGTTATATCAAACGAATAACAAAGTAACATTACTCACCTTCTTTTTCTGGTTTTGCTCTGGTGGAATGCAATCTGCTATTGTCATTTATTCTGTATTTCCATCAATGGAGTAAACCAGCATTGATAAAGAAGGGAGGATCCTCTTTCTTTCATCTGTAGGCATGGCTGTATTCTGTTATGCAATCATAATAGTGAATCTGAAGGTCTTTGTTTTCTCTTATATGAATTCTATTGGATCTGTGCTCCTCATATTTGGATCTATCTTTGTATATTTATTAACCTATATGGTTCTATCATAATTCACAGATAAATTGGAAGTATCACATACCTTCATCCACTTGTTTTCAAATATTTAATTTTACTTCATTTTAAGTGGAATATTAGTGTTAACATTTGTTTCTGATTTAGCACTTTCAAGATGGTCAATATTTTCGGAATAATAATTATTTGAAATCTAAAAAGTCAGGGATATACAAGAACCTGCTTCATCTTAAAAGTCAAGATTTGGTAGCACTCCTCCATCATCGTTGATACCTCCTGATAAATTCGAGAATCTATTCTAAGATGATGATGTCTATGAAGATACATCAGCACTTCTGCCAATCAGACCAATTAAAAATAGAAAATATACTGGTTATGCCTTTGCTTAATAAGAAAAGAAACTCGATGAAGCCCTTAGGAATGCAGAAAATTGAAATCATATAACAGAAAATGAATTATTTTCAATTATATGTATATATTTAAACACCTCCTTATCTCCAGTACTTATCCATGTGGATCTCATTGTCTAAATAACTTAATATTTCTGGAGTAAGACAAAAAATATAAGAAACTTAAAACATTTCTATTTCTAATATATAATAAGATAATAACCTATTGAATAGAACTCATTATAAGGGATTATTATCTTTATACTATTTATTAAAATGGATGTTATCGTAAGTTCTTAATCATTCTAATAGGATCGAGGAATATGAAAAGAGTCTGAGTTTTGTATCATCCCTTCATTTTTACAAATTACAGTGGTTTGATAGTGTGTTGTACTATCTAGTTATTTATTTCTAGGATATAGTAAAATTAGGAAGGGGGAGGGAAAGGACCAGAAAAATCAATCAGAGATATAATAGCAAATAAAGAATGACATTAAAAAAATAATGATTAATTTTATAGTTAATTATGTATTTTAGCAATAAAGCTTGTTCTTTTAGTAATGCAGAAACCAATACTGATTAGAATATGTAATTTGATTCAAAGTTACATGTCGAATAGATGTCTAAGATGAACAATACTAAAATTCGTTTGTATTGTCAATTGGCGGAATACGAAGGGAAATTGTATTTATCATCTTAATAGAGTAGACCTAACTTTAATGAATTAATTTTTGATCCTTCTAGTTTGGGTAGGTACAAGAATTTCGTTGGAGCATCTTCGAAGATTGCTAACTATATTAAAATGCTTGACCCTAAGATTAGAAAGGAATTTATTGTTGAATAAAAACATGATGACTATTTGAAGTATATGATGTGACAACTATTTTAAAGGCAATCTAGCAGCACTAAAAAAGAGTGCGAAAGAATTAAAGCGTTAATTCGTTAACATAATGCGATTTACACACTTAATCTCAAAGGAGTAGCAGGAATCGAATATTCTAAATAGATTACCTCTAAGAAAAGGAGTCCCTGCAAACTGACATCTATTTCTACTTCAAGGCAATCGGAATCTGCCCTTTAAGAACATCCAAAGGAAGTGGATTTAAATAGAATTCATGCAACTTAGAGAGGAAGGAAAGTCAAAGTTAAGCCTTTAAAATATAAATAATATTCAGAATTGATTTTTAATGATTCTCCAAGAAGTGTCCCATTGTAACCGGTTCGAAGATCTTAGTTACATTAACTTATTGTTAATTGAATGTTTAAATATTATAAACTGATATAGATTTTATACAAATTAATAAAATATGAAAATATAAGGTGAATTAAATTATCTAATAATCTTGAAATAATGAAATCCCAATTGAGTATTTTACCACAATTAAATTGTTATTATTAGGATAATTAGCAAATCAGAGGAGTATTTCATTACCAGTTAATTATTATTAAATGTTTATTTATAGTTTTTATTAAATGATAAATAATTAAAAACCGAATGATATTATTGCTATATTTAGAAACAATAAATTCTATCCCTTCTAATCCTAGAAGTACAATATCCGATTAATCAATGATGGCTATAATCACAAAACTTAGTTCTGGTAATAGACAACAGCTTTAAGTGATTTATATATATATATAGAAAATCTTAGTCTGAAATGAATGATATTCATAAATTTAATAAAGTCATTAATATCTGTGATAGATATATTCTATTAATTTAAATAGATAATAGATCAGATGTAGTATAATTTTTGGTAACATTATAAGAAAAGTAAAGAAATATTCTTGACAGCGGAAAAAGCAAGAGTTATGTTAATTGATACTTAATTTAATCTTTATATATATATGATCAATAAAGATTATCAGAACACCGTCTTAAGTCTTTAAGAAGAAGAGGCGATGCAAGATTTTTTTAGATTCATAGTCTTATGATGACAAAAATAAGGTTAAAATTTGTGTTAGATTGTGGAGGCAGTTTAAGGAGGAGCAGGAGTTTAAGGCTAGGTTTCTTTAGTTTCTGAAAGGATCTTAAGTATGGAATCTTTCTTTAATTGTTCAAAAATTTTGGGGTTGTACTTGTTCAATTATAGCAGTACAAACTATTATTATTTTGAAGCGAAGCCTAATTTCTATGTTACTCTTCGAATATGAAAGCTAGGTGTGCTGGGGGAATCAGACATTAAGTCAGAGCCTTTTTTCTCCAATGGTCGTTAATAGTAAGGGCGATCTTTGGCAAAGGTCCTGTATACTTTGATGTCTTGCAAACTCCCGAAAATGGAATCGCGAGTTGACATAGTGTGTTGATGTTGCGGATTGAATTAGCTAGGTTTGGTTGTATCTATTTTCTTGAAAGATTTCTAAAATTTGGTCTTCATTCTTCCCTTTATGGCTCTTCTGCGTAAGTCTTTGACTCTATCTAGAAATTGGTGTTGCTCAATTGTTGTTTTTGGGTACTTCATATCTATGTTTTGCTTTCCATAATTTAAAAAAGTACAATTTTTTCAGAGACGACTCCATCACACTCACTTTTCCTTCTTTATCTAAATGGAGCATCCTGGATCTTAATTAATCTGAAACTATGTATCTCACTATTTGTCTTATGCAAACTCTTTAGAACGAAGCTGGTTTCTACTTTTCTCAAAAACTTATCCAGCATTTCAATTTTCTAGAACTTAACCTTCTGGTTCTCTGAACCTTCACTAGCAAGCAATCTGGGGTACTATCTACTACTCTTATCTTGAGTTAGAGTCATTAAATTCCTCATTAAATTAATTAAATGTCGACATCAACACAGAATACATATAAATTGCTATAATAAATAAATAAATTTCAAATTTTAAGTTTTATCTCATGCATTAGTAACCTAGACTATCTCCAGTTTCATCCAGTCCGTTGCATCAAAATTAAATCATAACCTGTAACACAATTAATTAAGTTAAGAACAAATAAACAGATAATAATGCTACCAATAGACAACATCCAATTCCAAATAGCCATAAGCCAAAAATAAAATCTGTATATGTCTCATTCATCTCATTAGTTTGGGATCCCCAACAGCAATTAAAAGAGAGAGATGCTATAATTAAATAGCAATTAATCACTAAAGGAGTGAAATCACAACTACAAAGTGATGGACAAAGTAAATCAAGCAGCATTCAAATTTCATAAACCAATTAAAATACTTGTTCAAATGCCAATCTATTATAATGCACATCTTACATTGATGAAGCACTAAAAAGTCAGAGAGAAGAATTCTTAAAATTAATTGAGCAATAAAATAAATAAATTGAAATTCTGCATCAATAATAATAAATTATAATGCATCAAGAGAGAAAGAAAGAGCAAGATTATGAAACATAATTATGTTAAATTAAAAATTAATTAAAATAGTAAATTAATAGTAAATGTAATGAAATTTTCAATAAAATTTAAAAATAATAATAGTCTGATTTTAAGCATGTGGAGGCAGAAATTGCCAAACTTACTTAATAAATTAATTAATTCTCGAATCTAACAAAAGTTCAACTATCTTCCAGCGGAAAAGAGAATTAATAATAAGAACATTAAGATAAATTGGAATATAATAATAATTCTATTATAAACTCGGATCTATACATCAAAAAATTTAGTTATGAATCCATCAATCAAAAAACTAATGATCTTAAATTGCCTGAGCAGATTAGTATTCTTTTGAATTCAAACAATTAATCAAATAGTGAAATACAAGAAATAGAAATCCTTTAATCTGAACTAACCTTATTAAATGCATCAAATCAAATTAGAAAAGATCTTAATCATGAAAATATGCCATCTTCATTAAAAACAATAATCACAAAAAGAAAGGATTATTAGAGTTTCGAAAAATAAGATTCTCCATTTAAAAATCTCAATGAATAAGATATGCTAGATAGTCTGGATGACATTGTTATTCAAGATTCCGGTTAACAACAATCAAATAAAAAGGAATTTAATCTTCTTAAATGTAAGACAAATCATTTAATTTATTTTAGCCTAGGGAATGTCTGTCATACAGGAAGATGAAGATGATGACGAAGAGTTAATCTACCAAATAGATGAAAATGGATTCATACTCACTCAAGATGGACATCCATTAATTGATGAGAAAGGGAAAAGAATTCAACTTACCAAATAAGAAATGCAATTCTATAAGGTTTAAACGCTTAATTGAATGTTGTTATTTATTTTCTCTTATTAATCTAATTTAATTAAACAAATTATAAGAATTTTAATATATAATTCATAATTTTTAGATATAAGAATCGGCACAACATCCTATATGTCCAAATTCATTCTTTCCTAATATCCATCCTTCCACTTAGGAAATTGCCTCAATCTTTTCATCTGATAACATAATTCACAATAAATTACTTTTATTTATCTATAAGTATCTTGGGTCTATTGAAGCAAAATATTGCTTAGCTCTATAAGTTGTTTTTCTAAATGTCACTTCTTACTCTAACTCTGTGTAAAGATCAATCAAATGCTCATAACTAATCTTAACATCCAATGGTTATGGAAGTTCTATTGATGGATCGAAGTACTAAATTGAGTACATTTGAATAATTTTCAATAATTCCTATTGTGTCTGTGGGACTTCATAGTTATATAGACAACCACTTTATTTGACTAGAGGAATATGACGATTCAATTACTTGGATCTTATTTCTTTTCACTGAAACTGCTTTCTGTATGATAAATCACAGAGGGACTCTATTTTTTCGAGTTGTCATTGCTCTTTATCTTGATGAAATCAGAAACTACGGAGTCTTTAGATTCGAAATCAGATCTTGTTTTATTGGGTGTTAAGGGACTGTAATAATTATATTGGCTGTTTAATAATCTAGTTTTAGGATATTTTTTGGCTTATTGTTCTAAGTCCTCTAATAATCTCTAATTTAAAGGGTTCTTGTAAAATTCATTTTAACTAAAGAATGGAGATCCCCATCTGTAAAATCCTTGTAATTTTGGACTCTAACTTTTTTAATCCTTTTTGGGACTCCTTTTAGGTGTTGAAAAGGGTCTGGAATTGGCTGAGGCCTATTTGTAGAGGATTAAAAGTTAGATCAAATGACTTGCAGAGATCCTATAGGTGTGAAACAATATGATTACTCAAGTAGAGGATTAAGAGTCTGCGAGTTTTTCATAACTTCATCAGTCAGAAGATGAATGATTTGATCAACAGTAATGTCATCAAAAATCAATTAAGATATAGTTATGATATCATTAAATTTGAGGGTCACATCATCTAATTGTTATTCCTTTTTTATTTTTGTGAAATCTCTCATTGTTTGATTGCATTTTTAATAGAGTAAAGCATTGTTCCTACATTAATCAGTTTAGAATAAATATAAAAATATAGCCGATAATTTAGTATTATGCTATTCTAACGAATTGAGGTAAGAATTGAAAATCTCATACGTTTTGCTTTTTGATTGATACTTTTAAAACTAAAATGATATTGTTTATGCTTTACTGTGAATTCGATAAAGAAGCAAATCAGAGATTATTATTTAGATTTAATGAATTAAACGATTAAGTCATGACACATCATCAGAACGTTGGAATATAAGCTAATCTATTTATTAGGACTGATGAAACCAATATTTTCGATCTTGACAAGAATGTTTCTAATACTAACCGGATTGAATGAATCAAATTATTCCATTTAACAAACAATTTATAAATAAATAACAATTATTTTCTACTTGTATATGATAAATTATTTTCTCTATCATCTGAAATGCAAAATCACTCTACTTATAAGTGGTTTACCACGAATCAAGAGAGTTTATCAACATTGCACATTCAAATAGTATGTTTATGGCAAGTTTGCTTAGTAAATTAAATGATAATAGAACTGAATCTGGAATAGAGGTTATGCGTCGTTATGGAGAGATTTCAAAATTGATAAACACTGATGTGGAGAGATGAATTATTAATTAATTTTATTAAATATTATAATGAGCACAGTGACTAATGAATCGAAGAAGAAGGAAACTATTGACAAGGCACTTATATAGTAGTAAAGGGAACAATTAAAGCAGACAGTTTTGGAAAGATTTATCAAAGATTTCGGTAAGAACAACAAAAACAAAATATAAGTAACTTACATTTTAGAGAATAGATAATCACTCAAATAGTGAACGATTATTTTACAAAAACCAGGGTGACTGATGTAACTTTGAAATCTCTAAAATAATAAGTTTAATAAGCAATTCAAAATGCAGGATCAACTACATAGTCATAAGCTGAAAAATCAATATAGGAATCCCAAGGTATTGCGTTGTTATGAATAATATAAGTCACTCAATAATAGCAAGCACAAGGTGCTCCATAACAAAAGCCTCCTAGTAGTCAATCTAGAAAATCAAATTAATAACAATAATAGTTGTAATAGTATAACTAGGATGGGCATTCAGAAATATCATCTAAAGTACTCATTCATATGTATGATGTAATAAGGCTCCAAAATCTGTGTATATGATGGAAGGTGATGAGGATGATGAGTGGGCTACTTTGGTGAAGTTCGACACTGAATTATACAAGAAGGAGAAGGAACTGGAGAATGTTAGGAAACAAGAATTCAAAAAGAAGATAAAGAATGAATTGGATAGATAATTAAATGAGAAACAAAACAAAAAGCATGAGGAGGTTTAGGATGAAGATGCTTATGTTAAATTACATCATTATTAATTGAATGTTTATGATCAAAGAGAAAAAGAGAAATAGGATAATCTTAAGGGCAAAATATTCAATGAAAAACTATAGAGAGACAAATAAGTAAGAGATGAATAGCAAAGGAAGTATTAAACTAAAAAAGATATTATTTAGAAAGTAAGAATAAAAGAAGGAGAAAGAACTTGATAGTTTACTTGTGAAGAAGATTAGAGAGGAATTGGAATTGGAATAGAGAGAATAACTCAATAGAAGAAATAAAGAGAGAGAGAGGTTCTTGAGGATGATGAAGGAGAATGAGGAGTATAGAAAAAAGGCATTAGAGGATGCTAAATTAGAGAAGGAGGCTGAAACCTAGATGTAATAGCAATACATTAATTTGCAAAATCAATTGGAGGAACAAAGAGATTTGGAAAGGAAATAGAGAGAAGAGAAGATGAAAAAAGTTATGGGGATGTTTGCAGAGGGGGTTGTGAGAGATTAAAAGGAATTAATAAGATAGGAGGATGAGAAAATGTTAAGGAATATTATAGCATAAAATGAAAGGGAGAAAATTGAAGAGGATAAAAAGAAGGTTAAATAATTAGATTAAAGATAATAATTAAGATCATTCTTAAATTCTTAAATAGAGGAAAAAAAGAGAAGATAGGAAGAAGAAGAAGAGTTAAATAAAAGATAAGCTGAAATCTGGAAGCAAGATTTGGATAATTATAATGATCATGAGAAAAAGAAATTTGATGTATCAATATTAAGAATAATAAATAGTATATTAAAGAAGTAAATTTAAGGCATGCTGATATATTGAAAAGTCAGATTGAGGAGAAGTAAGGTAAGATTAAAAAGAAAACAAATAAAATGAACACAGCTGAATTGCTTTAAAATAAAGACAAACTCAAAGTTATAGCATAAGAAGTCCCAGACCTTGGTGAGAAAGTTAAGAAGATTGAGATTTGATTTATCAAAAATAAATATATCATATATATAATTTTGTATTCATATATTTGAGAAGAATAGAAGAATATTAAATTATTCGGTCTAGATTTTATTTTTTTTATTTATATCAAAAAATTAATTTAAATTTACATTAAAGTGTGATATTACATCGATATCTTCATTAATTTCAGTTTTCTATTCTCAATTCTAATTATTAGTCTTAAAGTAATATAATTTAAAATGCCTCTTAAATTGCAAATATGACAATTAAAATAATTTTATCTTCTATACCACTGATTCTATATATAAATATAATGGGGAAAAGTTTTGAAGTACTTTTTTTGGACTCGAGATTTAAATTTGTTAGTATTTAATGATGATCATTTATACATAAAATATATAAATTTTAGCATTAGATTAAGAAATCATTTAAAATGTAATAAGAAGCAGATTATGTAAATATTCATTTATATTTATTTAGAATTAAGATGAAAAATAAGTATACCTGTTGAGGTAGCAAATGATTTGCTACAAGCAAGTTTAAAGGTAAGATTGATAGTGACTCTTTAGAAATAACCAGATTGAAAATGAAAAATAAATGTTCCCTTACCCTAAAGAGTAGTGGGAAGTAGAAAGGGAAAAGATATTCTAAAATTCCATTCGCTATTTTCATGATAAAATTGATAAAAATGAGGAACTGAAATCCATATTCAGAGACCGCTATCCAAAACTTAAATTGGATCTGAATTAAGATGTAAGCATAATTCCCTATACATAATAAGGATACAACTATATTTAGTGATCGAATGTAAGGATATGTGGAGAAGAGGAAGTAGGACATAGAGTAGGAGCTAAAGAAAACTCACTAAAATGACCCTAAATATTTGACCTTAAAAATTGAGTTGCTCTTTATCAATTCTAAGGAATTTTATCTCAAAATGAAAGAGGCCATTATTAATCCACTTCTACAAGAGGAAAACCAGACTGTTCTGCAATCTAGAATGTTAGAGAGGTTGTTACTTGATAGAAATTATTTTAAAAGGGATAAACCGTCAAGAAGGCCAGAAAATAAACTATCTGACAAATTTGAATTAAGCATGATAAAACATGAACAAGCAAGAAGGAAGAAGATCAAATAAAAGGAATTTATGCAAGCAATATTTGCACATCAAATTGAATTTATGGAGTTCCATAGAAAGAAATATAAACATGCTAGAAAGCGTAGTGTTTAATTTAAGGTTGTTTTGGAGTAGAAGGATCAAAAACAATAGCAGATTGATAAGTAAATGAGAATGAAGGACATCAAATAAGGTGATATGGTGACTTATATCTAAAAATTGGAAAAACTTGATGAAGCAAAAAAGGAAAGAGTTGTATCTATTTTAAGATAAACAGATCAATTTTTAAAAGATATAGGAGCCAAGGTCAAGATATAGAAAGGGGAAGAGAAAAATGAAGAGGATGAAGTTGTAGATAACAACAATGCTAGTAATAATTTGGGTTATGAACTCAATTAAGCAAACAAAGTATATTACAATATTACTCATCGTATTAAAGAAGTTGTGACTAAATAGCCTATGTTATTGGAAGGAGGATAGTTGAAACAGTATTAAGTTTAGGGATTGGATTGGCTAGTGAGTTTATACAATAATAGTTTAAACGGCATACTAGCAGATGAAATGGGTTTGGGTAAGACCATTTAAACAATCTCTTTGTTATGTTATTTGATAGAGACCAAGAAAAACTTTGGTCCTTTCTTTATCATAGTCCCATTGTCAACTTTAAGTAATTGGGCTAATGAGTTTGAAAAATGGGCTCCCTCTATTAAGAAAGTAATCTATAAAGGTTCACCTTAAGTTAGAAAGGAGATATCTAAGCAAATGAGAACAACGATATGGAACATTTGTCTTACCACATACGAATATGTATTAAAAGATAGATTAGCCTTGGCAAAATATGAATGGAAGTACATTATAGTGGATGAAGGACACAGGATGAAAAATTCCAGAAGCAAATTTGCTATGATTTTAGGTTAGTAATATCAAAGTGAGAGGAGATTGCTATTAACAGGAACACCTTTATAGAACAATATAGCAGAATTATGGGCTTTGTTGAATTTCTTATTACCAAAAGTGTTTTCATCATGCGATGATTTTGAGAAGTGGTTTTAGATGCCTTTAAGTAAGATGGGAGTTAATGAGAAGGATTGTTAATTGGATGAAGAAGAATAATTGTTGATCATCAACAGATTACATTAAGTACTTCGACCTTTTCTATTGAGAAGAGTTAAAAAGGATGTGGAGAAAGAGTTACCACGAAAGACAGAGTATGTTATTAAGATAAAACTATCAGCTTGGTAAAAGAAGATTTATGACTAAATCAATTAAAGAGGAGTAATGACTTTTGATTAATAATCTGGAAAAAGTGGATCATAAGCTTTACAAAATTTAATGATGTAATTGAGAAAAATATGCAATCATCCTTATTTATTCATGTTGAATCTGGATATGAACAGAATTACAGATGAAATATGGAGATCAAGTGGCAAGTTTGAATTATTAGATAGGATAATTCCTAAATTATTGTACTTTAAACATAGATTATTGATTTTCAGTTAAATGACATAATTGATGGATATAATGGAGGCATACTTTGAATACAGAGGTTGGAGATATTTACGATTGGATGGATCAACAAAATCAGAGGATAGGGAAACTAGAATTAAGTTATTCAATTAAGAAAATTCAATATATAACATCTTTCTTTTGAGTACCAGGGCAGGTGGATTAGGATTAAATTTATAATCAGCTGACACTGTCGTATTGTTTGATAGTGATTGGAATCCAATGATGGATCTATAGGCCTAAGATAGAGCATATAGAATCGGATAAAAAAACGAAGTTAGAGTCCTAAGATTGATAACTGCGACTTAAATAGAGGGTAATATTCTAAGCAAGGCAGAACATAAGATGGGTTTGGATGCAATTATTATATAGGCTGGTTTATATAATCAGAGATCTACAGATTAGGAAAGAAGAGAAAGATTGTAAGATTTCTTTAGATAGAAAAATAAGGTTGATCTTTTTGAGGCTGAAGATATACCAGATGACACTTAAATTAATGAATGGATAGCAAGAAGCGAAGAGGAATTTGAGACTTTTAATGAATTAGATAGATAACGATATGAGGAGGAGAAATTAATCTACAAGAACTTCAATCAAAATAGAGATGATCAATATTTTAACTATAGATTAATTCAAGATGATGAAGTACCTGAATGGATTACTTCAAAATAGAATGAAGTATAGGAAGTAAAGGAGTATGGACGAGGGTAAAGAGAGAGAAAAAAGAATGTTGTTTATTTTGATTCAGAATCAGATTTTTTGCAAGATGGCAAAGAGTTGGATGCAAATGACTTGGATTTGAAAATTGACGATCAAATTGATATAGAATAACAATAAAATGATGTATTTTAAGAAGATGAAGAGATCCCTAGAGAAGATAAAAAATTAAAAAAATTGAGATTTATTGACATTGCTGACAATTAAGAGATTGTAGATGAACTTGCAGAACCAATAATTAAAAGTAAACGAAAACTTAATTGACAATATAATTTTATTCATCTGTTCCCCCACAAAATATTAAATATATAAATTTTTATCAATTATCTTTATTATCTTTATTATCTTTATCTTTATTATTATTATTCTCTAATACTCCATTATCCATCTAATCCAAATAGTCTTCTTAATCTTCAAATGGTTCATTATCATAATTGTCATTCTCTTGATTTATCTGTGGTTCTTCAATTTCAGGTTATTACTTTAATTTTAATGGGATGTAACTTCTAATATAGGTTTATTCGTTAATAAATATAATTTTGAGTGCTCTCTAATTATATGTTCTACCATACATCGATATAACCGTACGTTAAGCATCCTCAATAGTTGTATAAACTAGAAAAAGAGAACCTGCTTCGGCTAAAGTGGTTAAGAGACACAATTACCTCCAAGACCTGCTTAATAAGGTTTAACAAAGAAATCATCTTCTATATGACCACATTATGAAAAGCCTTCAATTAAATCTTCTCGCATTTCATTCCATTCATTTTTATTTAGATTTATTGCCATAGCAACATTTAAGAAATTTCCAACCTTTATAATCCTGGATGGGATACCTGCCTAAGCCAGAATTTCATCTTCTTCCCTCTATCCTCTGGCATAGCCTAGGGATTTTAAAGCAAGATATGCGGCTGCTTATGCTTAGGCCATATTATGAGCTTATTAAACTAATTAGGATTGATTAACCGATTAGCCTGTATAAAATATGTATATATGATATACCATAGAGACTGTCACCTAATCGTAAAATTTTACAATGACTCATCCAGTAACTTGATTTCTTCTAATTTGAGCATTCTATTCGATTCTTCAACAGATGATAATTCTAGAGTGCATGTTCGATCTTTTTCGTTTAAATGACAATATAGAATCGGCTTAGCATTGCCAACGTCATTTAAGTAATTTCTATTCATAAATCTACTCAATTCAGCATAGAGATCTCGATTAGTTAAACCTGTCGGTATATTGCAGATTTAAATTCTCCTCATTCTACTAGTCAATGACATTACTTTTTCTTTATCTTCCCTCACTTTATCGTGCAAATTAGTTTTAGGTACCCAAGTAAACCCATCCCAAAAGCAATCCTATTTATCATAGCCAAGAGCATCTAATTAAGATAAGAGACACTTAGATTACTTGATTTCGCAACAGGATTATTGGCTAAAATTTACTTTTGATAATGTTTGACAGCAGAATTGGATCTGGATCTTTTTCTTCTTTCCTATTTCAATCTCGCAATTCTTTGCTAAAGTGGAATATAAATTTTGATTACTTCTTTGGTTTCTACCTCCTCCCCTTATTTTTATGCATCAGCCTTATTATTATCCTTATCTTTCTCTTTTTCCTTATCTTTCTCCTTTTCTTTATCCTTTTCTTTTTCTTTTTCTCTCTCTTTGTCTTTTTTTTTCTTCTTTTCCGATTTCTTATTTGATTTCTTTTTCTCTGACTTTTTTCTCTCCTTAGACTTTCTTTCCTTAGATTTTTTACTTTTTTATTTTTTTTTTGTCTTTCTTTTCTGATCTGCTTCGCTTTCTCTTCTTCTCCTTCTTGTCTTCACTACTGCTTCTACTTTCCATATCTGAAATATATTAATTTAAATATTATATGATTTATATCATCTCACTTTCAAATATATAGTGATCATTCTGGATTCTTTATGTCAACATTTGTATTTCCATTAAGCATGTGTGTTAGGATCTCTTTTGTGTATTTTAATCTCTTGGCCATTTCCTGATTTTAACTATCAAGGGCCGTGGCTAACGGATAATGACTCCTTTCTCCTAACTTATTAACGTAGGTGACTAGTTTGTTCTCTGAAGACAAGATGATTTCAGTTTTATCAGTGAAGTTTACCTAAAGAGAGAGAAGAACAGAATACTTGAACTATCTTATTGGAAAGTCTGAACATGATGGCATGTCTTGTTTTCATCCATTTCTTCACATAGACTGATTGGAATGGATCATAGTCATTGGTGTCAGAGGAAGTAATTGTTTTAGAGTCAGCATCCAAATAAGATTTAAAATGTTGGAGGAGAGTTACTTTTTTCTGTAATTCCTTCGGATAACTATTGATAGAAAATTTTTCGATGGCATCCTATTTATCAGTGCCTTTTCTTTCTAAGTATTCAAATTCCTGAGTTCTGTGATCTAAGATGATTTTGGTTGAATCATTAAAAAAGACTCCAGTAGCACCATTACTGAGAAGATACCCAAGTCCATATTTACTGCTGTAATCAACCCATCTTCTGACAAAGATTTCGTTTTTTTGTTTGCTACTCTATGGATTTTATATAGTGCCACTAGTATAAAATTGGTTGAGGGATTTGGTGCTGACAGATGATTTGAAATCCTGAGGTTTTTAAGAAGAGGGTCTTTGACTACTATTGTACCCTCCATTGTAGCCAGTATTTAATCCGGAGGTTGCTCCAAATTGATCTTCTAATAAATTGGAATAGTCAAGTACGTCTTTCAGATGATATGTTGGGTCTCACAGTGGCCATCTTAGGATTAGACTAGGCAGTTTCTGAGGCTCGACTGGGTTGTTGAAACTATTTGTTATATTAAATTGAGGGTGGACATGCCAAGGTGGATAGAGGTAGAACTCTAGGGATGTTAAGTGAGTAATTTACTTGGGAATGGTGCCACCTGAATTCATGAAGGAATGTGCCATGATTTCATCCAATGAAGGTCTTTTATTAGGTTCGAGAACCAAGATCTTTTGGATGAGTTATTTAGCATTGTCTGATATTTGGACTTGATCTGGGAAGGAATATTGATTCATTTTGATTTTTTTGTAGGTGGATTTGACATCAGGAGTTTCAAAGGGTGGTTTACCAATTAACATTGCATAAATTATAACTCCAAGTGACCATACATCTACTTCAAATGAATGTCCCACTTTGCCATCCAAGACCTCAGGGGCAATATAATTTGGAGTTCCACAAATAGTTCTCTTTTTCTCGCCTTCGAACTCCAATTTTGTTGCCAAACCAAAGTCTCCCAATTTTAATTCCATGTTCTTATTCAAGAACAAATTACCCAATTTTAAACTAATTTCGATTATAAAAAATACTCTCGATGAATCACATTATTGTTATGGAGATATTTCAATGCATTTATCATCTATGCAACATAACACTAAACTTCAATTTCAGTCAATCTCTTTCTTCTTTTGATTAATTCATTCAGTGTTTGATTGCAACAGAGTTCCAATAAAATGTACACATTTTCATGATCCTCAAAGACATGCTCAAATTAGACAACATTTGAATTCTACAAACTTTTGTGTATTTTGATTTCTGACACCAACTAACCCAATTACTTATATATATACCTTCTAACGGGCTCTGTTTCTAGTCAGAGATGATTTAGCAATGATTTTTGCAGCCATCACCTTCTTATTCTCTAAATTGGTGGCCTCATAACACTTAGCAAATCCTCCCTTCCCTAAAAACTTGCCTCTTTGATAACGTTTAATTGCCACCTCTCCATTCACCTTAGTAATCTTCTCCTCAAATATTATTATTTGTTCACTTAATTTAATTCACATAATACCCATCTTGATTATTGTTATCATCCATTGTAGGTTGTTAGATATCTTAATATATTAAATTTATTATTATATCACTTAATATGTATATATTCTTATGGACCAATCATTTCATATTCTTTCGACATTTCCCTCTCTAAATAAACTCCTTACTCCCACCACAAATATCTCCTTTCTTCCTAATAACCCTTTATTTTCATTTGTAACTCTCAAATGATTATTATTAGTATCAATTCTAATTCCTAATTATTTTTGAATTTTTCAATTTCCGAAACTCTCACCTTTACTTATATACCACCAATTCAATTACCCTAACAATATGAATCACATTATACTTATTTTTGTCATAGTTTCTATCCATACTCAGTAAAATCAAATAAGGTTTCAATAATTCTATCTACTCTATATAATTATACTATATTTTAGAATGCAATTATTTTGAATTTAAATGATTTCTTTACTCTATCTCTTTAAATCAAGAAATTTGGAATGTAACTTCTAATAGAAAACTTTGCAATTGAGAAATTTATTTGATTCAAACAAATAGATATTCACTAAATAATTAGTAATTAAGATTAAAGATTGATTAGAACCTTAAATATTAAAGATCCATTAATATACTCTTTACAGTATTTGATTACATTCTGAAGTTCTTAAATTAAATATCAAAAGAGAGATTTATTATTAAAGATATCCATTCAAGTTTGTAGATTCAGATTTCCATAACTAATATAATTATTGATATTTACTTCACTATTATTTATATATATTAATGCTTCAATGATTCTGCACAGTTTTGCATTGAATAAATCATAGTCTTTATAAATAAATGGGGCTTTATTTGTATTCTAATTATGAAAAATTGAAATTATTTGAGTTTATATTTAAATACTATTTGATTATTTTAAGTTGCTCAATCAATTATTATAAAGAACTCAATTTGTAAATGAGTTCAAAGTTGAAAGTAATTTACTGAATTTGCAAATGCAGATCTCCTTCAATAGGAATTTATTCCAAATTATTTGGAGTTGATCAAGGAAAAAAGATATCGAAAATGCATTAATAGTGTATTTGCTTATTTTTATTTTAAAATTTAAAATAAATCAAATCCATTATTTTGCATGGTTCAAGTCAAGAGATAAGACAGAAGAAAGGTCTATGAATATTTGTTGTTGGAAGGTGTTATTGTTATCAAGAAGGTACATTTTCATAGGAATTCATAAGGACATGGCTCTCCCACTTCATGCTGAAACAGGAGTAAAAAATTTGGAAGTTTGGATGCTCTTGAGAAGTTTGAGAGATAAGAAGCTTGTTGATTTGGTGTTCTCATGGCAATACTACTACTATTATCTCAAGGCTGAAGGTGTTAAATATGTAAGAGATAAGTTGGGTATGAAATCATCATCTAACAATAAGGCATTGTCGAAGATGTTATCCCAGCTACTTTCAAGAAGGCTGACAAAAAGTTCGAAGATGACGTCCCTGAAAGAAGGGGTCCAAGAGGTAACAAACCATTCGGCAGAGGAGGAAACAGAGGACCAAGAAGAGCTGAAGAATAAACAGAAACAGCATAACAATGAAATTGATACATACAATCGTACAATATATATAAATGGTTCATTTCAATCACGCTTCTTCTTAGAACCAACATCCTTACGATTATCTTCTGTAGGCATTCCCAAAAACATTTTTTATATTTTCTTATCCATTTCCCTATACAAAAAGCGCATCACATTCATAAACAATATTATCACACCCCCAATAATCCCCAATTGTCAAAATTAAGTTAAAATGGTATTTAGTTCGTCTATCATACATCAGATCAATAGAATTCACAGAACTTGATACCTTTCCAAAAAGTATTGATTAATGCAACTAGTTCATTTCTTTTCAATCTACCAGAAAACTCACTAGGAGATTCTGAAAATAATATCTTGAGGGCAGTTCCTAATCCATAAGTTTGCATTTTTCCAAATACCTTACATTTTTAGCATTCCACACAATCCATTATTCTACTGATATTGTGAATGTATCTTTAATAATCCTTCTTTTACTCCTAAAATGTAAATATAAATTATTACAAATGTGATTTATTTAAAAAATTATTATTCATCGAAAGGTCTTGAGCATTATGAGTTGCTTAGAGATAAAATTTGATTTAATAATTATTTAGATCTCAAATCATCCTCAAAGGATAAAGAGTTGATATCATATTATTGGATTCCAGGAGTAGCCAAAATTATTGCTACGAAACAAATACAGAATATAAAAAGAAAAGATTTTTGATTCTTTCTGGATGATTTCCCACTCTTTTAAAATACGAAGAATAATTAGGATATGTTCTATTCGTTTTAAGATCCACGTAAAATTCACTTAATTAAGTTGATAATTGATGCATGTAGACCTGGAAACTAACTTATTTAATGCTCTTTTCTCTTTGCACATTTAATCCAAAGAACCTATTATTCAAATTGAGTTATAATAAAATACCCTAATAGCAATTCTCTCTATAAATCACATCCCATATGTGTTGTCCCTAATATCCTGTATATGCTTCTGGATTTAATTTGAGATCTACGTAGACTCCCTTATCGTTTTCGATATCTTCAACGTGCCATATCCATTCAGAAGGTTCTATAAAGGATTTATTTTAAAATTACATAAAAATCTCTCTGAATCCCAAAAGGCAAAATCGTCCTTTGGGTTATTAATAGGCCAAGATTAAGGAGATAACCAATTTGATGGAATCTAATTAAATTACTAAATGATGAATACTTCAGATTAATTGCATGTACAAATAACACATTTTTTACTTGTGCAAATATATTCACCAATTCCAAAAGGACAATCGTTCTCCAAATTTACTCGAAAGATTTTGAAATACTTTTTGAACTTTTAAGCTTAAGGAATAATTTATTACAGTCAATTCATCCAATAGTGGGAATATTTAATCATTAATGTTTTTGAGTATTTTCAAATCTTAACAGTTATCCTCGATAATGCCCTCATATTGAAACTCTTTTTCCAACTTTATATGCTGAAATTTTAGAATACCAATATGTAATTAATAGTGGTTATTATTAATCCTGCTACATATGCATATATTAGCCATACAATGCATTTCCCCATTAGTTATAATTCATATTCTTTCTTTTATCTACGCCTTGCCTTTTCTTCCCTCAACTAAGAAAGTTCGTCTGTGGATTCATTTTCTTATTCAGGTTTCATAATTAAGTAAATGAAAATATAATTTTTTTCTTTTAATCAACTTAATTGAATATACACGTAAGTAATAAATCTAGAATAAATTAAAAATTTCATTTATATTTTTGACCGCTAGCCGATCTTTATGCTCTTTAACTGATCGAAATAAGTTAAGCAGTTTTTTCAGCCAATCTCTTTAGTGTATAAATTTCATCATTTCTTTAACCCAATAAATCATTTAATCTTTCAATTTCATCTATTAACATCTATATTTTTTAATCTTTCTCTTTATCATTGACCACTTACTTCTGTTATATTTATACTTTAGAAAACTTAATCTTCCACTAATTTATATCTTCATTAGCTAATCTTAATGAATCCTCCTTCTCCTGCAGTTAATTTTGTAGAGATTAGATGGTTCTTTCCAAATCTGTTATTGCCTTTAGATACGATTATTTTTAATCATCATCTTCCTATTTCTTATAGAATTTATTGTTTTAATTCTAGGAATAGATTGATAATTTTACCTTACAATTATTATAGTCTTGCTGAATCTAACTCAGCGTATCTAATCTTCCACGTCTGAATTTCTTCTGCTTGATTTATTAGTTTAGTAGAGGAATCTTAGAAGACAGCTTGTATGTCTGTTAATTCTTAATATAATTGTTCGGCCTATTATTTGGATTTTTGGTACTAGTGTTACTAAGTTAATATTACATCTTGAAATCGAATATCAGACATTTCTTTAACCAAAAAGAGTTCATGTTCTATTCCTTTTAATTTATTGATTTGAATTTCTTATTCCATAATTTGGCCTCTTAATTATTCATTTTCTTTAATTTTATCATTCAATTAGAGATTAACCTTTTTGTTTTCTTCCACCAATTGATTGATCCTTAATTCTAACTGATTGCTAAAGATCATTAATGTTTATACTGGTTCTCCTTTTTTTCATTTTCAATACTGTGAATACTGTGCTTCTTCATGTTCTGGATGACTGGAGATAAGGGATTGGATTTGGAATGCATCAATGTTTAACATATGGGTGATAATTTCATTTAATAAATTAACGTAACAGATATTTGGTGATAAAGGCTAATAATTATTATGAATGTGGGAAGATCAGAGTGTGAATGAAGGGGTGTAGACATGTGAACCAAATTCACATTGATGTCAACACTCAAAATATTATACAATTTTTGTTATTAGAAATGCAGTGAATAAGTTTTTTTAATTAATTGAATTTATACAAATGTTGCCCTCGGGATCTGATTCCTAATAGAGAAGTCTTGAAAACCCTGACAAATAGACCATGAGAGTGGATTCTACAAAGAGAAATGACAAGATGATAGAGGTTCCTCGAAAGAAGCTGAATATGAGGTAAATTGAATTCAGTGAATAGTTAGATTGTATACTTAATCCGAACAAAAGTTTCAAGATATTGTGAATTCGAAGCTTGTTACTATTAGTATTATAGCATTGGTGGGAGCTTATGCAATATTGATATTTATCATTGTGGCCCTTGAAGAATTGCTAGATGAAACTTAATTCAATAATGTCTCGTCAATTCTGAGTTGGATTGAACTTGGAATACTGATAGTATTCATTATAGAAATATTTGTTGGATTGTATGCTTGGGGCATCAAGGTAATTTTAATACATAATGTATAGAAATATTATAAAGACAAATGGTTGATTTTAGACACTCTAATTATCTTACTGTCACTCTTTTTTGTGATATTTGAATTGGCTGATCAAAAAACATCCAATGTAATCAAAGTAATCTAGGCAGTCTTTCGATTCTTGAGAATCTTTCTCTTAATTAGAAAGGCCCAGACATTTAGGAGATTGGCAACGATTTCCACTATTTCCACACCAGCCGAAAAAATAGTAAGGTTCCTGGCTGAGTTGAAGGAAGTGTTGGAAGATGAAAATATGAAGTTAGATATTGATTATTGTATTGACAAGATAGGAAATAATCAGTTGTATTAAATGGGCAAATTGGATGAAGACAATGCTGAAGTAAGTCAATATTTCAAATAAATAGGCTATGGCTTGGTTAAATCAAAGTTAATAAGGCAGAACTGAAGTCAAGCGAATATTAACTAATGATTAATAATAACAATAACAAAAGAAAGTAATTGCTAATTTTTAAAAACTGAATATTCCAAAAAGAGTAAGTTTAAAATAATATTAAATAGTTACTGGATATATTATATAAATAACATGATGATCTATATATTGATCCATTTGAGTGTGACAAACTATCTGGAGGCGAAGGATTGGTGAATTTGATGTTGTTTTTCTTTGAAAATTATAATCTGTTTGATGTGTTCCTAATCAAACCTAAAGTGGTAAGAGGATACTTTGAAGAAGTAATGAAAGGATACCTTGATAATCCATATCACAATAAGGTCCATGCTTAAGATGTTGCTTAAACTTGCAATTTCTTATTAAGCAAATGCAAATTCATAGAAATAGGTTAATTAGATGAATAAGACATTGCCTGTGTGTTGATTGCTGGAGCTATTCATGATTATGGACACCCAGGACTTACTAATGCATTCCTAATCAATAGTAGAAATGAGTTGGCTCTAACATACAATGATCAGAGTGTTTTAGAAATGTATCATCCCTCCTAATGCTTTAAAATTGCCTGGGGAAATCAAAAAGTCAATATTTTTGAAAATCTATAATTTCATAAATACAGACGCATCAGAGAATCAATTATCTTAATGGTTCTTTCTACAGATATGGCTCATCATGCTTCAGAACTTGCCATCACCAATAGTAGAGTTGCTGCTCGTATTTATTATTTATATATGCAAAAATAGCCGATTTTGAACCCAATGGCAAAGATAAACAAAGATTGATGGACTTGATTGTACATTCCTCAGATGTATCCAATCCTACCAAAAGCTTTGAAATCTATAAATAATGGACAGAAAAAGTCTTATCTGAATTTTGGCTGTAGGGAGACAAAGAGAGAGACCTTGGCTTACCTATCTCATATCTATGTAATCGATATACAACCAACACAGCAGAAGCATAAGTGGGGTATTCTATTTCTTGTTTATCAGATTTATTGATTATGTTGTGAAACCTACATTTGCATGTGTCTTAGGATTCCTTCCAGCTTATGAACCTTTCTTTTAAAACTTGGATAAAAATAAAGCTAAGTGGCAAGAACTTATCGAATTTTATAAACAATAGTTAGCTTCCATTCAACCTAAATGAAATTATGATTAATTATAATTAATTAAAAGTTGCTATTCTTTTCGCATCTAAATAGTCAAGACAAACAGGGATATAATAATCAATATAAAGAATTTATTGTTAGTTATCAATTTCTGATTTGAACTTTACTCGAATTATAAAAAATTATTTATTATTATCAAACTCAGCTAAAGGAACTTTAGAAAACTATTTATTTAATTAAGAATTCTCTTATGTAATTTTATCAGTAGAAATTAAAAAGTATTATAGTTTATTTTAAGAGAATCATAAAATGATAGATTAATTACGCAATATTTTAAATCAAGAAATAGTGTAATTAATCGCACAGTATAATTTAGATTTAAAGGTTAATGAGTTTGAACATCAGCTAAAAATGATAAACAACTAAGATAGTTGTAAGTTCACAATTAGAAAATGATTATTTCTAAGATAATGAGGTTAATATATCTCATTTTAGATGTAAAAAATTGAACTAGTTAGGCTTAATAGTTAATCAATTCTAAATTTATACTTTGATTTTCAATTAAAGTAACTAAAATATATTATCATATATTTTTTTTCTTTTTCCTCTTCTCTTCAATTACCATTTAATCTTTAATTATCTAATTTGTTTCTAAGATTTTTTCATTATACTTTTCTTTCTTTATTAATGACAATTTTTCATCTCTCAAGATTTTGTCTTTAATTTCTTTTGCTAATTATTTATCTTCTTCTATTTCTCGTTTTTTTACATCTTCTCTTTATTACTTTTGTCTTTTTAATTCATCAGTCATTTCCTTAGTTTTTCTCTCCAAAGACTTTTTCTTTCTTTCTTCTTCTTTTCTTTCTTTTTCTTCCTAAGCCTTCATATGCTTTTAACATTTTCTCTCTTCCTCTTTTATTCTTTCTTGTAATTCCCTATCAACAGTTTATTAAAATCTATTGGCTATTCCTTCTATTTTATTTAATCTATCATTTTTTTCTTTTTCTCTCTATTCATCCCTTTTTTTTATAATTTCACTATTTTATTTCATTAATTTTCTATCCTCCTCTTTTTCTTTTTCAATAGCTTTCTTTTATTTCTCTTAATCCTCATCATATTATTTTAGGACCTTCTACATTTCTAACTACTTTTCTAATTTTTTTTTTTTATTAATTTCATCTTCTAAATGCATCTATCTTAAAACTAAGAATTTAATTAATACTAATACCTTAAGCAATTTCTTATTGCTCTTCTGCAATTCTAATTTTTTGTTTTTTTCTTTCCATTTTCTTTAAATTATCTAAGTAAGTATTGACTTATTAAAGTTCTTCTTTTTTTTACTAAGCTTTTAATTCTTTATTCTATCTAGAAAGTTCCTCTTGTTTTTTGATCTATTATTTTTGTTACTCTGCAAATCTAATGTCTGAATTCTTTTCATCCTCTTTCTCTTTGAGTTTCCTTAACTTGATTTCACATAACTACTTCCTGAGATCTTCTTATTATTGTGCTAATTTTTTCTATTTTTCTTCATCCTCTTATTTTTACTTGAAATCTTATTCTTTTGCATATTAACCCCATTTTAATGAATCAATTTCATATACTGATCTACCATGCTAGTTTTACATGTATTCTTACATGACTAGATAGTTTTTGAGATTCCTTAGAGTTTTTATTTGATGGTTCTTTGGTTTTATCAATGATTTTTTCGGTTAATTAAGGGGCAGTTTAGGGTATTGATTAGACTGCCTTATCTTCAGAATATATCTGTTATGATGATTTAGTTTTCTTTTCACTTTATGCTGTTTCCCCTTTTAACTCTCTTATTATGTAATCAAGTATTTCTTGGTTTTAGGGATTATTCCCATAGACATCAATAAACTTTTTTTCTAGATTACTTTTAATTCTTGATAAGTTTGGAACTTTTGCAGAAGACATATTAAAAAATAGAATAAATAATATTTATAGAGTATGGAGATAAAATCTATAAAAAAATGTAGTTGTTCAACGCTTAACATTAATAAGGTTCTTGATTTTGGCTAGACTATCCTTAACACTTTGGAAATATTGCTTCATTCTATTTCTCATTTGTTCAGCCTCTTCTAAATTCATGTTTTCGTGGATATCGAATTGCAATTATGAGAATTTCTGATTTGGATTTCTTTTCATTTATGAGTCAATTTCTCTATTGATTTGGGCAATTTATTTAGCAAACATCATTTCTGACTCACTATTTTTAATATTAATTTTGGGTGTTGTAACTTAAGTATTGCGTTCCCAAACTTCAGGTAGTTTTTGAATAGATTTTGACTTAATTTGAATGTTTGGTAGATGTCTATTAAGAGGTAATGGATCATAAATTCCTATTGCAGGTATTTGAGATGTAAGAGTCTTAGTGCTTCTACCGATTAATTAATGCTTGTGATTTAAGCCTTTAGGTTGTTTTCTCATTTGCTATCCTCTTTCAACAGACGTATGATTCAGAGTATAGGATTTGATGTCTATAGTCTTTTGTAGATCGTCGATTTAATGATGTGTTGGTATTAATGTCATATACTTGGTTACTGGATCATATTTCGGTGAATCCTATTCGGTGTGCAATTTAGATTTGATAATAGTGTCTGCAATCAATGAGTGTGTTTGCTCGCTTGTTGTTTGTTTAATTCTCTTTTGGTTTGAATTCAGATGATAAAGTTCAGCATTAGCTAATTTCCCAACTTGATTTCTTTCAAATATAAATGGTACGAATCTCCCTTCAGTAGAATTCAGTTTTTCAGGTTTGTCTCCGAAAGGATGAAAATTCGATCCATTGTGTAAGAAATTGACTAAAGAGGTCTTTTACATAATTAAAAATATTAAAAATAAACAAATAATATATTATTTGTATATTAATCCTATTATTGATTTCTTGAGATTTTAAGGGTTTTCTATTTAATTTTGGCCTTCCCAAATAATGCTATTTGATTAATTGATAATTTACAAAAATTGCGCCATAAATTAATTAAGTATTTTTTGAATATCTAAACATGGGTGATGCCTTTGAAGAAATATTCGCATTTAGTTCAGTTAAGAAAAATATATTCTTAACAAGACTTTAAGAGATATAGGCTTAAGAGAATACAAACCACATGGATGTTGAAAATGATGATGATTTCATTTATTTGGGAGATGGGTTCAATAAATAGTGGCCTGATTTCACACATAGTTAGTATTCGTATCCTAGAAAAATTGCCATAAAATATGAATACGATATTAATTAATTGAAGGAATTGTTTTGTTCGACTTTTGAAAAAAAGAGAGAAAGCATTACCTAAAGAATATAAAAATTAGAAGCAGATTATAAATAATGGGAAAGACTCAATTAAAGAGAGCCAGAACCCAACATCTGTTTTGGTAGAATTCTTAAAATCGAAGTCCCAACAGACCAAACCTAAAGTGACACTTAAAGCACTCAAAAATTATTAAAATCTGATAAATCATTTTTCTTAGATTTCAAAGATGATCAAAAACCAAAATCATTAAATTTGCAATCTATTGAAAATGAAGGAGCATACTTATACCCCGGTAAAATAGTAGGAGTAGTAATCTCTCAATCCACTGATTAAGAATTAGAAGTGAGAAGATTCCTATCTATCTACCCTGACGATTAGGCCATTTAAGAAGAACCCTCAAATTTTAAGAACTACTAGGCATAGCAAAGATCCGATTCTATTGTTATGGTTATAGCAGCTGGTCCATTTGAAAAAGAAGACAAATTTGGATACAAAGGTTTATTCGCTCTAGTTGAAAAAATTAAGAAAAAATAAATTTCATGTGATATACTTATGTTATTGGGACCTATTTTGGATATCAAGAATTAGGAGAACTTGGATAAGTACAATTATGAGGTAATGTTTTATTTGTATTTGTGAGTATGAAGAATTTTTCGAAATAATCCTGTAAGCGATTATGGAGGAAATCCCAAGAGTCCAAGTGATAGTAGTGAACTCTACGAAAGAAATTACTAGTTTTCATCCAGTACCTCAACCACCTATAAATATCAAAGTAGAATAGTAGAAAAAGAAAGTTTAAGTAGATAACCTAATGTTTGTTGGAAATCCATGCATTTTATAAGTTGAAGATATGACAATTGGAATTATAAATGAAGAGGTGGTGTCTGAGATAAATTCTGCTTCAGAAAAGATTGGTGTTCAGAAGTTAAATAAAATCGAAGCTGCATTAAAATAAATCATTGAATAAAGAAGTTTTGTGCCTATCAATCCTACCAAGTTCCCTTGTGATTTGACCAAATAAGAATTTCTAGATTTTGATCAATGTCCAGATGTCATTATTACTCCATCTCATTTTACACAATCAGCTAAATTAATTGATTAAACTGTTTTTATTAATCCTCAATTCTTTTAACCAGCATAACAATATGCAATTTTAACTTTTAATGGTAACAATGAGTTGGAAGTAATTCCTAAAAAGTTAAGAGTGGATTTTGGAAAACTTTGATAAATTTTATCGTTTAATAATCATATTAAATTGTCTATAAAACTCATATTTTAAATTATTAAGGTGCTCATAATAAATAATTATATAACATTATATATATATATAAGTTGATTCAATCTCCTTTTGGTACATCTGTTCCTTCTTCTTGAGATTATTTTTAAAAGGAAACTTAAGAATCTTGTTTTTATTATTATTATTATTTTTTCATTGTTAATTTAGTTTAGATATTTTAGTTTTACAAGATTTATTTTAGTTGTTCAAAATCTTCGTCGTCACCTTCACTATCCCCCTATCTTCCTGCTCTATGGGTTTTAATGGTGTTATCTTTTCTTGGTAATTTACTTAAGTCTATTCTAGTGTCAAAAGCGATTTGAGATTTGGATCCTCTACTTGATATTTGAGGTTTTAAGGCACCTCTGTCTGTATGATTGCCCATGTTTAATTTTTGTTTCAACATAAATTCTTCTATTTGTTTATGCACTGGTTTATTCACATCGAACCATTTTGGTTGCTTAATGACATTGTCTCTGTCGAAATGCTTGCGATATTTATAAAGATCTGAGATTGAGTTCCTGATTTGAAACAATTGTAAGTAGAGTTCATAGAATTAAAGACAAATGTGAGTGGCTAAATGTCTATAATAGTCTAATAGTTGTAAGATCTATTTGTTATGCATTTTGAAATACTTCTTTACTAAGAAAATTGTAGAATACTATTATATCAGACCAGTACACTAAGACTATCTCCTTCAAAAGCATATCATCAGGAACCATTTGCAATGCTTATTTTAAAATTTCCATCTAGCCCAATCCGCTATTAACCTTCAATTTTAAATTTAACAAATACCAAATTACTAATCTTGAATAACCATAGCAATTTAGTTTGGATGTCAATAAACTTTTATCCTTCTTAAAACAATGGATATTGTTGTACTTTGCAGGCATGGAAAACTTGGATGTTCACAGCAAGTTTTTGCAGATATTAAAAGTAACTTAATTAAATATTGGAGGAGAGCCATTCTTCCTTTTATGTATTTGTTTTCACGAGAGGAGGTGATTTTTTATTCAACAAAGCATTAAATTTCTAATTTAGGAAATGGTCAGCAAAGTCAATACCCAATTAAAATTCATGAAGCATCAAATGACACGTTAATAGCACTTTGTTTCTAATGATATAAGAATTCGCAAATTCCCTAAACAATTATGAATTACACATTACTGTTCACTCGTTAAAGTAAAGTATTGCTCTATGTAATATGAGGGTGCTTTAGTTATAAATTCTGAATGGTTGTTCTCAAAGCAAGAAATTAGGAACAATAGATCATCCAACAATATCTCATCAGATTAGCTTAAGAGGGATGAGTTTGCCACTCTCTTTTGAAAGGGTGGCCTGTTTTTAAAATACCCCATAAATTTATTGATCATTATTTAATTTATTTTAATCTAATTTGATATATATATAGATCATATCATTAAGATTGAACATCATCCCCAAAAGCGCAGTCAATGATTTGATTAAGGAAATCCTCCAATTAATCCAATCTTAATGATTAGTTGATGTGAATATTGTCACTTTTGGACGGCATATTTTTGTCGATTGGAAAAGACATTTGAATTCCATCAGAAACACTTAATTCTATTCTAAATCTATTAGGATCTCCTTTCTCAGAAGACAAATCTTCATAGAGTTTTATAACAATATTTGACAGATATTACAGCATTAATATTTGTTACAATTGTTTTTACTTGAATTCATCTTCTATTAAGTAATGACCTAATCCATAATATAGGATGTTAAACAAAGAGTACAAATGAGAAGCAGATGTGAAATATAATCTAGTTCTCACATGTCTCCATGGACTATTCAAATCACTTTCATCAGTTTATCTGAACTTCCAATAATCTTCTTCTTGTTGTTGGTTTTTTGATTCCGGTTTATTCCACCATAAGAGATCTTATTTAATTTTATTACACAAAGGACCAACAACACGTTTGGCTATGGATAGCTTCTATTTAGTAGTGATTCCATATTCGAATGGAACCATAAAATGGCTAAGCAATTCAGCTAAGCAATAAAATTCCTTTGAGTTTTCATAAAACTATAATTTATCCTAATTGTGAAGCATATCATATTTGACACTGTCATAAATATCTGGGATTTTGGAAATGTTGAATTTATCCTTTTGCAAGAAATCATATTCTAATTTGTACCATCTTTTGAAGAATAAAGTTAGATTTTCTGATTCAAACATAGTTTAAGCTCCTTGTTCCATATCACTAGGAGTTATATAATAGTTTTTATCCAAATGGATGTGATGTCTAATTATTTTATTCTAAATTTACCTTATATTTTTGGTTAGTTACTTAATGTAAGTGTGTAATTATATAAGCATTGACTTCGGACTTTTAAACTTACTGATTAGATCATGTTATGTTGAAGTCATAATACAATCCGGAAAGTGCTAGTAAATCTATGTCAACATATCCTCATCACTTGTTAACATCTTTTAGAGAATGTTTTTGATTTCTGCTTCTTCCTCTATTTCTAAATTATTGCAATCTAACAAGTCTTGGGCAACCTCATTCTTCTAAACCATAGTAGCTAAGATAGGAGTCACCTCTCCTTCATAACCTAGCAATCCTTTTAAAAAGGCTGCTGCAGTGTATTGGCATCTGCCTTCATCTGATGAGAATGTCTTTAAGTCATGTCTATAGGTGGAATGCAATCTAAGTAGCCCATCTTTCTCTGTAGGATACATGTCATGTCTAAATATTTTGCCTAATCTAGCAGCGTGTTCCTCACCTAATTAGGTCAATTCTCCACCCCACTTTAAAATTAACAAGACTTCAACTGGGAAATCAACAATCGAACCATTCTTGTCTATTTTTTAGGTTTTTAGTGGTTTAATTTAGACTTTCCTATTGATGCCTTCAAAGTGTCCTCCTAATTCAAGAACTGACTTCATTTGGAGCAGTTTAATAATATTATCTCTACAAGAAGTCTTGGCAATACATTCCCTAGTTAAATTAAGTAATTTTAATAGTTATTTTGGATGCTTCAATTTAATTTCTTTAGATGGATCAACTACTTCATCAAAAAAAGAGAGAAACAATACATTGGAAGTTCTCATCTTCATTTTTTACTTAGGTGTTCTATCTCCATGTCTAAATACTGCCACCACAGATCTTAATTCAGAATTCTATTCTTTGCTATCTATGTCTTTTGAACTTGGTCGAAAAGAGTTCTTGTAGAATCCCTTAACTAAATTGATATCAGAAATTTGTTTCTACAATAATGTAGGTCTTAACTTAGCCAAAATCATATTCTATAAAATGGTGGCACAATCTTAATAATACTTTGCATTTCCTTTAACAAAAGACCACCCATTCACATCACACACATATGATTTATTATTACTTCTCAATAAATCGAATCCACATATATTTTATCCGAATATATTCACAATCTTTATAGCCATCATCTTCTCTTCCATTGTCAAACAAACAGGATATCTCATTTCCTTTCCATTTTATGATCTAACAACCTTACCATCCAATACTGGACTTTTTCTAGCTTCTGCATGTGCATAAAACTCTCCTACAGTATAGACTTTAATATCGAAACCATTTGTTGGCAAGAATACTTCATAAATATAGTTTTCATTATCATTCCTAATGCTATTCTAAGCTGGATCAAATATACTACTCTAATTACCAACCTTTCTAAACAGCTTCTTACATCCGCCTCCATCTCTTGAGTTATAATAAATGTAAATATTATGATCTTCAGCATCAAATGGCTTTTCCACAAAAGGCTTAACTAATTTCTGTCCATTTATTAATAAATAATCATCACATTCCTCAATCTTCGTAATCTAGAGATCCTTATTATCCTTCTTGATATCAATTACAGCTGATAACGATCTAGCATCGTAAGATCTCATTCCCTATTTCATCTTATTTTTATTTTTATCTTCCATAGTGTCCTATCTTGGAGGCAATAGTAATTCCGATAATTATTTGGCTGTCTAGACTGATTTTAAATGTTAGGAGGAATCCTCATTCTATAAAAAACTTATAACACTATCAACATTGTCTTCCTCCTCAATTATCTCCTAGTCATTCTTTCTTGGCTTACACTTCTTTTCAATTTCTTTTCTATTATAATCATCAATAATATATTTATTCGGATTTTTAAACACGAAATAATGTTTAGGTACTGGCACTTTGTTTTTCTTTAATAATGTATAGACTCTCTCCCTATCCCATAGAAGTTGTTATTTCTTAAGATCATTTATGATAAATGGCTTTCTCAAATCAACATAGGCTATGGCCTTATTCAAAGGGAATCCGTCTGAATAAAAGCTTATAAGTGTTTCAACTATTGGCCAAGATTCTATTGGATCTTCCAGAATCATTTACTCTGAAAATATCTCGATTTTGAAAAACTCAGGATTTATGCGATTCAGAATTTCTTGCATTTCCTTTGATTGAGACTTTTTAGCCATGCAGCAAACTCCAATAATAACGATTTTATCATCTTCGATTTCATCTGTAAACTATGATTAGCTTTCGGTTTTCTCTACAATAAGATAAATTCATACCTCTCTCTACAGAATGTGACCTTATTTTCATTTTTATCTCTTGGTCTTAATCCATTTAATACTATTTAATATATGTAAATAAAATAATGATGATATATTGTAATTAATTGTAAATTCAAAAATTGCAATCAGCCTTAATTGTTAATTATCTTAAAAAATTCAATTGGAGTGATTTCCTTGTGTTCAGGACTGATAATTTCAAAGTCCTTTTTTATTCTTGCCTCAACCTATATTTTCTGATTCTCATTCAGATTTAAATATTCCGAGGTTTCCTTATACAACCTTAAGAAATCTTCAGCACTAAAGGATCCTTTTTTCTGCGAATCGAAAACACTAAATATTTGTGCAAACTCTTCACTTTTCAAATTCTCTGTATTTATTTGGGGATCCAAAAATAAGGTTTTGAATTAGTCTTTGGTTAATGTAGGCTATCGTAGTTAAGATATTAATTACTTATTGCATCTGATCTAATGTTCTAACCACATAATTGAAAAATTATGCTTCGGATTTATCGATATTTAAATATAGAAGTAATGCTAATAAGGTTGATTTCTCTATCTAATCAACTTGCTATCCTTGTTTTTCGACTGCAAATTTATTTAATGATGATTACTCTTAAGAGATTCAAACAATTCCTCCAAATCCTAAGTTATGTCCTCTATTGAGCTGCCGACTTTCTAAGCAGGCTACTAATTTTATTGTTGTTATTGACTATGTTATGAAAACTAGCTTAGGGATTGCTGTGACATTTAATTTTAATGAATTTATTTATCAAATTTATATGAGCTTCGATAAACTGATGCTAAATCGACCAAATTATACTGCAAAAAAAATATTATCACCATTATTTGCGTCAGCCAGGCCTCTAGAACTTGTTCTAACTCCTACTTTGAACAAAACTGAAAACAAAGATAGACCATCAAATTTTATAGACACTTATAGAAAAAATTTACATTAAAAACATGATTCCAATAAATCTTAATCTATTAACATTAAAAAATAAAGAGTGCAGGATGCCTATAACTCATTGTCAGATTTTAATGACAAAAAATAAATTATTGCATCTCTTAAAACTCTGAATTCAGCTGATGAGAGGTTGAACTTTTGTAATAACTTAGAATTCAATTAATCGATAAAATCTTAGAGAGAAAAGATGAAATGATGGTAGCATAATTAAAATTAAAAGCTGTCAAATTAGAACCCATCTTCAACGTTATTAGAAGGAAGTTGAGAAAATAGCGATTAGGAAGTGCCACTCCCAATCAGTCAAAGAAAGGAACCGTCATTATGCGCCAAAAGACATCAGAAGACTTAGCAAAAACCAATACAGACCAAACCAGAGACAACAAAGAAAAATAAGATCATAGTCTACAGCAATAAGAAACTATGATTGAAGATTAAATCATTGAAAAACTATAAGCCAAATTCACTGCTGGAGTAGCATTTTCTTGGCTTGCAAATCGACATGACACTAAACAAGGTAGTTCTACGTTCCTATAAATTTTAGTCCAGCTAGATCCCGATCCTACTGAACGGTAATACTTGAGAAGATCGACTGCCTTACAATATGGGAAAAACACCATGAATAGGCTAAAACAATAGGTTTCCAAAAAAGTAAGCGAAAACTCTGACGAACTTATTAGACTAGGAAATTATAAGTAGGAGCCCAAAAAAGAAAAAAATGATCTAAGCAAAATCAAAGCGAAAGTTGATTCTGGGTTAATTAAACCTTAGCACCTAGCACTACCAAATGTTAATATTATAAAACGATAAGATACTCTGGCATATGTTACATCTGAGAGAAAAGAAATTTCTACTCTTGGAGAAATCTAAGCATTAAGAAGTGACAGTAAAATAAGATTCTAAAAACTCTGATTTTAATATTTTATAGAAAAGATTTAACTAGTTAGGTTATCGTATCAAAAAACACATATAACATTAATTTAATGATGTACTCTCACTTTAATATGTCGAACATATTGGCGGATTTTATTGCTGCTTTTTATGGCTCTTTCTTTTACTTATCAAAATGTGGATTAAAGTGAAACTCTTTTAATTCATTCTAATTTTAATATTTAATTTACTTATGTATTTCCTCTAAAATTCTATTTCTTTTAACCCTCTTCATCACCTTATTATTACTTGGGTTCATATCCTCGATTATCTCTATTATTATTATAATTTTTGTTATTATTTCTATAATGATCTTTGTTATAATTTCTATTATTATTATTGTCCTGATCATTATTGTTTCTATTGTAATTTCTATTATTATTTCCATCATTATTGTTTCTATTAAAATTATCTTTATCGTTATTATCAATTTCATTATTTTTATCATCGTTTCTATTATTTCTGTTGTTGTTATTTCTATAATTTCCTCTATTGTTTTAATAGTTTCTATAGCCTCCTCTTTGATTATCTCTATCCTCTGTGTTATTTTAATCTTCCTAATCTTTATTATCATTCTAATTCCTATCGTATTATCTATCTTTATTCCCTCTATATTTATTATTATAATTATTATTGTTATTTCTAAATTAATTTTATTCATCCCTGCCCTAATCAGTCTGATCTTAGTTTTGATTATTTTATTCTCTATCATAGTGATTATTGTGTTGTTTATAATTATATTTTTAGCCCCTGTTTTGATTATCATGACCTTTGTAGTAGTTTCTTGGTTGATTCTGCTCCTTTTATACATTTTGTTAATTGTTTTCCTCTTAATTTGTGGGCTTTTCATCTGCTCTCTCTATTTTCTAATTTTATTCTTATTGATTGATATCTCTTTATTCATTCTATTAAGCATCATTTTATGGCTATTATTGTTATTCCGTCTATTATAACTAATAAGGTAAAACTAATATTACATTTTCTTCAACTTTTGAAGATTGATTTCTGGTAATTTTGGGAGGTTCAAAATTATTCCTTTTATTTTAGAATTTTGCATCTCTGTCCCTATCTCTGTCTCTATTTCTATTTCCAAATTAATTTTGATCATCATTATTTTATTATCTTTACTAATAATGCGGTTTTTGATATCCTCCTCTGTTTCCATAATTGTTCTTCTCATGATTATCTGAACCTATTCTCATATAAAGCTTATGGATTCTGCCTTCTAATTCCTAGCAAAATTAAAACAAAATGCTATACAATTTATAATTTAAAGACTTCCAATAGTTTTTAAGCATTCTCCTTATCTACATCAAATCTTGTTTAATCCTCGCCCTAATTGAAATTCTTCATTTAAATATCTTTTAACACATCCTTCAATTAATTTTCATCAATTTTATAATGAAGTAATATATTAATACTATCTCCATTATAATTATTTAATTGTTCCTTCTTTTACTCGATAAATCCTAAATTGATTATTAATATAAATACCAGTGTTATCCCTATCATAATTTTTTCTTTTATCTTATCTATCACCTCTATCTTATCTATCACCTCTATCTTATCTATCCCCTCTGTCTTATCTATCACCTCTGTCTTATCTATCCCCTCTGTCTTATCGATCACCTCTATCTTATCTATCTTCTTAATTATAATTATAATCTCTATTTTTGTAATTCTTTTAATGATCTCTATTGCCTCTTTAATTACCATCTCCTTTGTATCTCCTATCTTTGTTATCCCCATAATTTTTTTTATTTTGATTACTTCTCTAATTATAATTTCCCTATTAGTTAGAGTGGTCAGGGTTATTGGTATCGATATCATTTCTTTCATTTTCTGGGTTCTAGTGGTCTTCTCCTTATGTTTATTCTTGCCTTTATTTTTATTATCTTGTAGATGAGCCTTATTGTGATTAATTATTTCTTTGTTTATTTCCTCCCTATTAATTTTGAGTTTTAGGATTGTGAGAATCAGCTTAAGGCTTCTCATTTTCTTCATCGGAAGATAAATCTCCCCAATTTTGTTTTGAATTGTCAGCCATGCACGTTTGCAATTTAAATAAATATTAAATATTAAAGATATTATTTAAATAATTTAATAATTAACATTCACGAATAAAGCAACATATATCACTTTATTTAGAAATTGTCGAATCTAGCACTTAATGAGATCATAATAACATCATTTTCACGTTTTCATTTTATGTCTTGGAAGATCTAAATTTAAGATTAGAGATTATAATAAAAATAAATGTTAGTTTATTTTCCTATCTTATAAATATGATTAACTATTAAAGTAATTGAAGATGCTTCAAATTTAATTATAAAATTTCAAAATTAATTTTTTTGGAAAAAATTGTTGTCTTATTTGATGGATTTCCAAAATTATTTAGCATTAGATGTATTGAATATTTGTATTTAAATATAAAAACCTAATTAAAATCAATGGCTATAAAAAGTTTATATATTGATTTTTACTTATTTATTGCAACATTTATTTTAACTATTTTCGATTCAAATTATAGGATTTAAAATGCCCATTAAAGTAATCATAATCGATAAATATATCTATTCAGAATTTAGATAAATCTTCTATGCAATTTAGGTTTCTTGGAAAAATAAATTGAATTCTACAGATTATTGATTATTTTTATCGTATTATAAATACTATATCTTATTTCAATATTAATTTTAAATGCTTCATATTTGAGTATGATTACAAGCAAGAAATTAGTACTTAAAAAATAGAGTAACTTAAAAAAATAATTATCAAAGGGTCATCAGAATTGAAAAAAAGCATTTGAGCTGCTATTTTAATCTTAAATAAATTCTGAAACATTGCTTTGTATGACAGTAACCTGAAGTAAGCCAGAATATACAAGCTGTATCCAAATTATCCATATAAGAATGAAAATTTTAATAGAGATTGTTTTTAATAATAAAATGAAAACTTTATTCCAAACAATTGTATCGTTTTAGTTAATGGTGATTGGATATTTACAAACGATAACAGTAAATAATAATTGTAATTATTATCCAAACTCCTCTTTATAATGTATTTCAAAGGCCAGCTCTTTTAGATGTATTTTTTATGAATCTCAATTTAGGTCAATATAACATATAAATAGGGAAATGCTTAGAGACTAGATTATAAAATCTAGGTTGTTAACAAAATTTAAATAAAGAAGCATGCATCAATTAATCAACAAACAACTAAGGTGATAATGTTTATTGTAAGAAAATATCATTCAGAAATAGGTGCGTTTTTTGAAGTTTGTCAAACTATAGATTTTTTCGAAGCCTAAAATTTAGGTTGCTCAGATAGAATTAATAAATTTGCATGCATGAGTTTATAAAAATAAAAATGCACTTGGAATAATAAATGTGAATTGCTAAGGGAAAATACAATTAAAAATAATCAACAATGTAATTATCATGAGATTGCTGTCACTCCTTATACTTGCTAATAACTTAAATCTGGATTATGTAAAATATCTTTTAATTAAGGCATGAACTCAGGATTAGAAGGAGATTATAGATGTGTTGAAGTAAGAATAGATCAATTATCAACGATAACTTGTAATCAACCAGGATTAAATGATTAAGCATGTCTTTCTATAATAACAGAGGATTAATATTGTAATATTTCACAATATCATAAAATTAGGTGTTTTTTTAGATGATCAATGCAAATCAATTGAACCAAAGTAAGTTTTTTCATGCAATTAATTAAATAAAAATGCTTGTATCTCTATAATGCTTAATTCACAATAATTATTATGTGAATGGATAGATTCATTCATGTAGAATATTCAATTAAAATGAATTTAAATGCTAAACAAAAAATGAAGTCAATTGTTTAGTTTGTGCATCATCATAGTATCTTTGTATGTTTGATGAAAAATAAAAAAAATGTAAAAGTATTGAAATGCATGAAATAAATGGATTAGGATGCAATACTCCTGGATTATCAAAGAAAGCATGCCTTAAAATAACATCATAAAATTGTTCTTTCTAAAATGGGATTTGTTAATAATTAAATTAAGATGATCTTACATATTATAAATGTAATATGGATTTAAATGAAAAGGCTTGTGTTAATTTGAAGACAAATTCTTAATTTTGTCTATGGAATGGAAATAATTGTTAAGAATTATTTATTAATTAAAATATTGATTGCCCTTTATATGTAAAAAATTCATCTATAAAAATGAATGGAAATGTTTGTTAAGCAATTTCAAAACCAAATGTTTTGTGTAAATATGACCATATTAATAATGTATGCATTAAAAGTTAAATTAATGATTAATGTAACACTCCATTTCTTAATTAATTTGGATGTGTAAGTATTTTAAACTCTAAAGAAACATGTTAATGGACTGTTAATGGATGTCAATTCGTAGTTATAGTATAGTAATTAACAACTTGTGAAAGTTTAGGATATGCTAATCCAAATTCATGCTCCTAAGTTTATGAAAATGATAACATAGGATGCTATTTTGATAAAAATAAAAAATAATGCAAATCTATCGAACTAAATTCCAATGATCAATTAATAAAAGATTTTTTGAAGACAATTAAATGTGATAATGTGTCTTTAGGGATTAATAAGATAATTTGTGGTTCTATCATTACCGAATAAACTCCATGTAGATGGTTTCAAGATTAATGTGTATATTTCTCTAAAAGAAGTGATATTGCAAATATACCCTGTTTACATCTACAAAATTCAAACTATTAGGCTTGTGCTTTAGCTTCATTTCAAAATGAACCATGCAGGTATTCACAAAAAATAAATGGATGCACTAATACTATGGAATAAAATAACAGCAGTTGTGATTTGTTAGGATTAAATAAAGCTGGTTGCGAATTAATTAAACCTAGTATGTGTTAATTTGATAGATACAAATGTATTAGCAGAATTTATGAAGATCCTGAAAAAGAAGATAGTCCAGAATCGAAAAATAATCCCTATAATTTTTTAAAATGCACTACTCCACAGCTTCCAAAATCTGATTGTGCATTAATAATTACGAATGAACAACTATGTTAATGGTCCTAAATGTTGGCTACTTGTACAGAAATCTCTATTTAATATAATACTAGGTGTATTCAATATATGGGAAAAAATGTTATTGTTAATCCAAATGTTTGTGCATCAATTTTAACTGATTAATCAGATTATTGTGGCTATGACAAAGATAAAAATAATTGTAAGATATTTTCTGAAGGTTGTACAACTCCCTGTTGTACTGAAATTGATCTGATAGGAATAAATGCTCATTCATGTAGTAAATTTACAAGTCAAAAAGGATAGGAAGAAGGGAACTAATATACTTATTGTTATTTTTATAAAAGTATATGCACGGAGGTATAAAGCGATATTGTGAATACTTCTGATGAAAAGGAGGTCGCATTATACTTTAATAATCTTGAATTGCCTTGCACATCCATGAATTTTAAGGGTTGCCATATGATCAGCTGGTCAAAATCTTAACATTGTTATTATGATGGATTTGTTTGCACGAATCTCAATGTTTCTTCAATCAAGAACTTATTAGATTTAACTTCAGATAAATTCATATTAAATGAATATGCCTGTTTATCTATTGAAGCAAAAATTACAAATACAAACAAAGAAAAATACTTTGGTTATGATGCTGAGAATAAAAGATGTAAACTTGTACCTTTAGACACTTTCAAAGAGTGCTAAAGCGCATATGGAAATAAAAATGTTTGTACTGGATTAACTTAGGAAGTTTACTGTATTTGGGATTCAGATGAGCTATAATGTGTTGATATAAAGGTTGAAGAACTTCGAGAATTCACAAGTTGCAATTCTGATTTAAACGGTGAGGCATGTATTAATATTGATTCTGTAGGTAAAAATAGTAAATTACCATGTTTTTTTTCATTTGATACAGATTTTTGTTAAGAGGCTCCTGAACAAGTAGAATGTAATTACTTTGTTGGAAGAGGAAAGATTAGTTAATCAGTATGCAAGGTGATAAATAAACAGGGTCAAATTTGTGAATATTCTGAATAGGATAAAACTTGCATAAAATCAGAAACCTTATTTGATAGTTGCGATGTTTCAGCAAGGAATGCAAATAACAGAGTATGTTATAATAACACAAATGGAAATTGTAGATGGGATACATCTGCTTTAAAATGTTATGAAAATTAAACAGAAATTGGAGAACTCAAATGTAATGATTAGTTAAACAAAATTCTATGTGTACAAGTAGTAAAAGAGGCATGTATGTGGGATGATGTTAAATATTAATGTTAAGTGTTTATCCCAAAAACATCTTAAGAATTTGAAAATTCAAATAATAATGTAAATCATCTTTATAATCAAAAAGCTTGTTTATTGATTTCAGGAGCTGGATATTTTTATAACAAAGAAACAAAAAAATGTATAAAAATGGATGAAACTATAAATAATCTTAGTTGTGATCAATATTAATTGAATTAATATGCTTGTTTATATTTAACAAGAGGTACTCCTTGCTTTTATGATTAAAATGATCAATTATGCAAAATTTTTGAAGATGAATAGTCATAATGTAATACTTCCAATTTGATCAATATCGAAGTCTGTATGAAAATACCAGTTGCATGTGTTTTTAATGAAAGCACTCTATAATGTCAACCATTCAATGTAGAACAAACTATGACTTGCACATAATTATTCAACTATTCCAAAAATAAAATCCATCATAACAAAATTTCATGTGCTTCTATAAGTCCAAATTTAATATAAACAATTGATGAAAAAGATTGCTCTCAAGAAAAATAGCATACATAAAAATGTAAATTTGAAAAATATTGTCTCTGGGATTAATGGACATATTCATGTTAGGTTTATAAACTATTAGTTGACTATCTTGAAACTGGGAGATCAAAAGCACAAGAAAGAATTACATGTCCGGATACTGAAAATGAAGAAATAGGGTGTTAGTAGGATTTGAACAAATATAAATCAGAATTATTTGTGCCATCGAGATTAATTCAGCTTAGAAGTTAAATGAATTGGGTAAATTAGACATGTTTCAATCATACTCAATTATATACTAGAATGTATATCTATAATTAAGTTGAAGATCATTCTTAAGATTGCAAAATGACCATATGTACAAAATCTGAATAAATCATATGTGCAGAAAATATTCTGAATTTTTAAATCACTGATACGATCAATAAATTAGATGAAAAGAGAGATGATGGGACTGAAACTAAGGAAATTCATGTTATTAGCACTTTCAATGATGATAAAGTTACTAAGGTTTGTCCGAATCAATTTAACTATCCATATGATCAACTTTATTCCAAGACCTGTAATAGAGATGTATATGCTATTCTAAGTCCCTTTTGTTAACTCATTTATAATAAAATCAGAACTTGTGATAGTTCTTTTTCAAAAGCTCTTTGTTTAGAATTAAATTCTGAAAGCTGTTATTATGATATAAAGTAGGGAGGCTGTCGCTATTTACAAAATAATGAGCATAAGTTGCCACATTGCGCAAGCATTTCAAACAATTGCTTTACAAGTTAAAGCTCGAATGCCATTTGTTAAAATGGACCTTTGATAAAATAACCAGGTCCTTCATGTTTGAGTATCCAAGAAGATCAATAAACCTGTGAAAGCGCTAGTAATTAATTATCTAGTTTTTCTTGTAATGAAATCAGTGAATCTAATGCTTAGCCAATTTTATGTGCACTTGCTATAGATTAATGCAGATTTTATGGTATTAAATGCACTAATACTTTGCCCATTCCTTGTAATTGCGATAAAAGTTATAGTAAAGTTTTATGCGAATAATGTGGTTGCGATTATATGTTTTTAGGATATTGTTAAAAAAAGAGTAGCGTGTTGTATCCTTAATTAAATTAGGATTGTTCAAATAAATATTATTTATGTTATGAAGTCAACACATTTACCAGAGCTAATAAGTAAAAGGCTTGTGGCTTAGTTGATTAAGCATGTAAATTCACAGATAAATGCGAAGATGCCACTCATTCTACTTGTAAGGAATTAATTGGGTTAACCGTATCTTAATAGGCTTGTGTAAGATGCACTGGTTTAGCAATGTAGTATAATTCAATCGATTAAAAATGCTATCCTATAGCCTAAAATATAAGTTAATGTGAAAATCTTAATAAAGAAGCTTGCCTCTCTTTTTCCACAAATATTTATTGTTAATGGCAGAAATCTCTATCTTTAAAATGCAATTAAAAGAAATATGAATTTACTTGTAAAACCATTTCAGCTATTTCGACAACAGATTAAATTGATTGTTCTACTTTAAATTAGGTTGCTTGTTACAAAGAATAAATGAATTTATGTTGGTTTAATCCTGAGAGTAAATTATGTGAGAAATATAGTCCATTGAAAGGGAAGTGCTTGTTTTATAAAAATAAATCAACATGTATGTAGTCTATGGTTGAATCATGTAAATGGAATGGTTAAATATGTTAAACTGAATCGAATGCATAATAATGTGATGGATTAAATAAATATGGTTGCTTGAATTTCTAATAATTACCGTGTGTGTGGTCCGATAATTTATTAAGATGTGAATTAGCTTAATTCTCTAATAATCAAATGAATTGTACTTAATTTTTAGAAAACTAAAGTCATGTGTCACATATGAATGCTTAAACTTGTACTTAAATAAAAAGTGATAAAAGTTGCATTTTGGGTAACAACCACAAATGTAGAGAAATTTTAGAACCGTAATTTTATGATTGTGGAACTTAAGGATTAAACAAAAACGCTTGTATATCAAAAACCAAGAATTCTTGTGCCTTCATTAATAATAAGTGCATTTTCTTCTCAAATATCAATGAAGGTTGTTAAACATACTTAAATGAATTAGCTTGTCTGAATTAAGATGCTATATGCACATTTAATCAAGGCCTTTGTTTCGAATTCAAATTCACTTCTGTTAATGAAGTTACTTAGAATAAGTTTTCACCATTTTCAAAGAATGTGTGTCGCATTTTCGATGATTAAATTGGCTTAATTTATAGTGAAATATAGAAGTTATGTTTAATGGTTAGTAACTTAAAAAAAAAGTTGACTGACTGCACACAATTTGGAATTAACAAATATGCATGCATCAACTAAGTTGAAAATTATTGTTAATATTAAGGATCGTTAATGTAGATATATAAATCCATCATCTATTAAGGACTGTTAAAAATTTTTAAATTAATATGCTTGTAGTTAGGTTGAAAATATAAAATGTAAATTTCTGATAAACGAAAAGATATGTGTTCCGATTACTAAAAGTGACAACTGCAAAACTTTTGCAGGAATTTCTATAGTCAATAAAAAAGTATGTTAAATGGATGGAGAGATGCCATGTTAATATGACGGTAAAAACAAAACTTGTTCAGTTGATATAACAGAATAAATTACCTGCAAAGGCTTTAATTTATAGGCTTGTCGATTTTACACACCAAATCTGCTTTGTGAATTTGATTAAAATGAAAAAAAATGTCAAAGCTCATTTGGATATTCAAAATGCACAGATTATGTAAATAAATAGAAATGTTTAGCCATTATAACAAATGGACAATTTTGTGAATTTGATGATAATAAAGGTTGCAATAGTATTACTAATCTTGATTTAATCAAAAAATGCGATCCATCTCGTTAAACTAATCCTATTACTTGTTCTTAAAGCACTGATATACCTTGCTTTTACAATAAAGCCAGCTAAACCTGCATAGAATATAGCCCTTATAAATATATAGACAATCTAGATAATATAATTAATAATAGTAATGATAGATCTTATTTAAACTATGTGATATCAAATATCTATTCTTTGAATGAAAAAGCTTGTGAACTTTTTAATTTTATATTATTTAAATAAGACTCTGGAAAACTTTCCAAAAGGATAGTGAAGCTTTAATGGTTCAAAGGCGCATGTGTTGAAATAAAAGAAATTCAATAGATTAATAGGTTGAGTTGTGACAATACTTTAAACCTATACGGATGTGTTCTTATTAAAACAAAATTTTAATATTGCCACTTTAAAGATAACAAATGTGAAGGAGTTGATTATAGGACTTATTCAAATCAAAAATGCACTAGTATATAATTAATAAACAATGGTGCATTCTGTGCCTAAACAACGGATGTTAAATGTTAATATGATTCTTAATCGTTCAGTTGCATAGAAGTTCCAGAAAACGCTACTATTGAATGTGATGATAATGATCCTAACTAAAAAGGCTATAATCAAAAGGCTTGTGAATCTAATCCTAATTGCATTTTCAAGGAATCATGTTTTAAGAAAACAGAAATAAGTCAAAACCGATATTGTTACGATGCAATTGATCTAAAAGATTGTCTTAATGTGAAATTAGAAGGGTGCAAGATAAATAATGGTAAATGTGTTAGAATCACGAATCAAGATTATAAAGAAATAAAATGCGATTAAGCTCAAAATCAAATAGGTTGTACAAATATTTAAACAGTTGGGTAAAATTGTTAATATTTGGAGAATAAATGTATCGAATAAAAGTTAATACAAATGAGAACCAAAAAATGTAAAGAGATTAATAATGTCAATAATTTGGAATTTTGTCAGTAACCAAAAGATACGGAATGTGCATATGATTTTTAAGATTAATCTTGTAAAGAAGTATCTGATTTATATAATCTAACATGTTCGTAAGGTATTAATCGAAAAGCTTGTCTAAAATTAATAAATAAAGATTTAAAAAATTGTTCATATCTTGATTATTGTTTTGGACCTAACTAAATTGATGAGTAATGTGGGTCTTAAAATGAAGCTTGCAGACGAGCAAATTCAATAGAAACATGTTTATTTTAAAGTTATTGCAAATGTTAGTGGTAGAACAATACTTGCTAAAGTTCTTCAATTAATGCAACATCAGTAGAATGTGATGACTTAGAGTATGCAAGTGTAGCTGTTTGTAATTAAATCGAAAATTGTAATCTTTCAAAAGACCCAATAGATGCAAAAAAATTTATTTGCAAAACTATCTAACCCACAACTTGTGAAGAAATGTAATCAAGAAATTAATGTAGCAGAATGATTAGTTTACCTTGCATTTGGAATGAAATGGAACAATATTGCATGTATCTTGAAATTTAAGAGGCTCAATTTGGTCAAATGAGTTCAAGCTCAATGAATTGTGAAGATATAACAATTTAGAATGGAAGTTAGAGGGCTTGCATGAATATTGTAAAATAAGGGTAAATGTGTATATTTTAAGATAATTAATGTAATGCATTTGTGTAAGACTAAACCTAGAATAATTGTTTAAATAATATTAATGTTAACTCATGTTTATAGTAAAAAGTAAGTGATTGTTATTGGGAAGTAAAATTATTTAAAGTTAAGAAGACTCTGGAGGGAACTGAGTCAGAATAAAACTATGGAAGCTGTGTAAAATTTGATAAATTTGATAATTATGATAAATAAGTATTAAATGATTGCGATTCAAAACTTAGCTATACATCTTGTTTAAAAATTATAAGGGAAGGAGTATTCTGTAGATGGTAAAATAATTAGTGTTAACTTATTGATGATAATGAAGTAATTATTTTTTAGCCTTCATCTCTGAAAGAAGTTAATCACAATGCATGTGGTTTAGTTAATAATGGAGATATTGTAAAATATGATTAAAATATGAATTTCTGCATTCAAATTCAGGATCATTCATCTGTAACATGTGTTACGGAAGGATTAAATAAAGATGCTTGTCTAAATATTAAATTTTAAAATTGTTATTGGGATATTACAAGAAGAAAATGTAGACTTGGAAAACCTGCTCTTGATAATAAGTAAAATTCTTGTCAATTTAAAAATTTATCTTCTTATTTATGTTCATAATTGAAATTAGATTAACCATGTGGATTTATAAAAGATGGATGTGATTTCGTTGACTTAGATTAAATAACATGTAATCATGAGGGATTGAATCAATATGCATGCCTTCATGTTAAAAATTATCCTTGCATTTGGACCAAATAAAATGATGAAAAATATCAATGTGAGGATTATTCTTATTATCTTCCTTGTGATTAAATACCATCAAATGTCAATTCAAAAGTATGCTCTATTATAAGAGAAGGGGCCTGTTATTATAATGAATAGAATTTCAAATGTGAAATTCCAAATAAGAATTAAACAAGTTGTGAATTGAATGGATTAAATATTATTGGATGTGTTTAAATTGAAAATTGTTATTATGATTAAAAATGTTAGCATTTAAATAAAAACAATTATTTATGTGAAGAATTTCCTATAGCTAATCAATTCATTTGCAAAAATGCTATTGATTCTTGTAAGTATTATGAATTTTAATATGGATGTTAAGTTGCTTAAAATGAAGGTTGTTCTGATGAATCACTAAGTGATTAAGGGTGTTTAAATTAACCAAATTGTGTACTTTAGGCAGATGGATGTAAATGCAGAAAGTTTATTGAAACTTATGATTGCACTTAAATTACAGATATTGACAAATGTAAATTATAAAATCATTGCATTGTTCAATATTAACAAATATCATAAATTTAACTATGCACACTAAAAAAGTGTTAGGATTATTTTTCTGATTAATGTGATGGTAAATCTATATTAAAGTCAATTTGTTATTGGAGTCATTCTAATCAATGTTTACCAGCCTAAAATTGTGAAGATATTCTCTAACCTTTCTATGAATGTTCTAAATATAAATTTAATAATAAACCTTGTTAAGAGAATAAGAATTTTGGAAAGTGTGAAGAATTTAATTGTTAAAATTTTGGATAAGAACAATGTTTAGAATATCAACAATTCTGTACCTTTAATAAGACATGCTAAATTAAATAATGCTCTGATTATTTAATGGAAAATTGTATTATAAATGGGTGTGAATGGAATAAAAAGTTAAGTGTTTGTTATGAATAAATTGATTGTTCTAACTTTGTTGAAAGGGTTCAATGTAATGGTTAATACTACAACTCCAAGCCATGTCATTGGGTAATTAATAATAGCCTATAAATTTGTACTTAATATAAATGCAGTAGTTTACAATAATCGCAATCATGTTCTGGAACTCGTATTGGATCTGAATATTGTGTTGAAATAAGCGATTCACTTTGTTTATCATGTGAAGAGATTTCTGATTCTTGTGATTGTCTACAATAGTCTAAATATTGTAGTTATGATATCGTGAAAGATAAATGCATTTCTAAGAGCTGTGAATCTTATTTAACTTAAGAAGAATGTCCTTCAAATTTTTGCACATTTGTAAAATAGGTACATAAAATTAATAATTATAGTAATGCTAAACATCTTGCGAATTTTTATAAATGGAGGATTAATGTCAATAGATAAAATAATGTGAATGGGTAGAAAAATATAACTAATGCTAAAAATAATGTTCATACATATAAGAAGAACAAAAATGTTTATTAGTATATCTATGCTCTTGGGATTAAGATGAATAAAAGTGCTAAAAAAAAAAACAAGATGATCTAATTATTAGAGAAATTTAGAGTTTGGGAGAAATAATTACCAGTCTAATAATTTTAAACCTAATATTTGTATGAAAATACTTAATTAAGGTTCAATGCATGATTTAATTTTATATAAGATTTTTAATTTATTTATATAGTTTATTTGGCATTAAATAGCTGATATTTTTCATCAATACTAGATTTTTTAGGGCTATTTGCTCCAGTTTTATATATTCTTATAGATGTATTTGGAGACTAACAGATCCGTTTTTGTTTTAAGTCGACCTTAGAATAATCTTTTATTTTCTTTCTTTCCTTCTCAATAAAAGTTTTTGCCACTAAAAATAGATCTTTTTTTTTGCCTACTTTGATTATTTTAATATATTTCAAAATTTTGTGGAGTAGAAATATTATCATTAATTAGTTCTTCCTATTTATTCGAAAACAATTTTTGTATTAGTTGCAAAAACGAAAAAAGAATTTAAAATAGTTATCTAAATCAACAAATTTATTATTATTTTTATCATAAATAAATTGTCTATATAATTTAAAGTAAATTAATTAGCAATGATTATAGTATCAAAATACAATTATCGTTTGCCAAATGTTTGAAAAAATATTAAAATCTTCTTCGAAAGATTTTAAATAGTTATGGAAAAGTGCATTGCATTACAAAAGTAAATAGTTGTTTTTAGGTGTTTATTAAAGAAAAGGATTAGCATTTTTAATGCATAATGAAAAGATGGATTCATGGAATATCACTCAGGGTAAGTAATAAGAAAATATTTTCTTCTCACATAATTTCCTAAAGTTGCTTTAAAAAACCTTTCGTATAAACCCTGCTCCAAATATAAAAAATTAATATTTACTTTTTTCTTTATAAAACTCATAATTTTTAAGAAAATAATAGAAATTTTAATTCTTAATTGAAGGTTTATTTAAGTTGATTGGAACACAGATTTTAATTAGAAAATAATTAAAAAATATTTATGTAGAAAAATATAAAATTAATAAAAAAAGGCACTTACAAAAATAAGTAAAATAACCTTATTTCTGTATTTAAATTAAAATGAACTTTACATTAAATGATTGGTTTTAGGATGAACTGATATGTGAATTCTATTTATAAAGTTCATTAATTATTTTTATATCAAAAAAAGGTATTGATTATGAGATAAATTTCTTATGGTCAACTTATAGCGTTATTTTATGTCATTTGCTATTTACCAATGATCACTGCAAACAATAATTGTAATTATTATCCAAACTCCTCTACCTAATGTGTTTCAAAGGCTAGCTCCTTTAAATGTATTTTATCAATCTCAATTTTAGGTTAATATATACTATACCTAGGGAAATGCTTAGAGACTATATAATAAAATTTGGGTTGTTCAAAATATTTAAATAAGGAAGCATGCATTAATTAATTGACAAACAACTATGGTGAATATATTTATTGTAAGAAACATCATTAAGAATAGGTGCATTTTTTGGAATTTGCCAAACCATATATTTCGATGAAATATAAAAGTTAAGTTGCTCAGATAGAGTTAATAAATTAGCATGTATGAGTGTATAAAAATAAAAATGTTCTTGGAATAATAAATGTGAATTGCTAAAAGAAAGTACAATTAAAAATACACTATTATGCGATTATCATGACATTGCTGTCACTCCGTATACTTGCTAATAACTTAAATCTGGATTATGTAAAATATCTTGTAATTAAGGCATGAACTCAGGATTAGAAGGAGATTATAGATGTGTTGAAGTAAGAATAGATCAATTATCAACGATAACTTGTAATCAACCAGGATTAAATGATTAAGCATGTCTTTCTATAATAACAGAGGATTAATATTGTAATATTTCACATTATCATAAAATTAGGTGTTTTTTTAGATGATCAATGCAAATCAATTGAACCAAAGTAAGTTTTTTCATGCAATTAATTAAATAAAAATGCTTGTATATCTGCAATGAAGCATAATTAACAATAATTATTATGTGAATGGATAGATTCATCATGTAGAATATATAAATAAAATGAATTTAAATGCTAAACAAAAAATGAAGTCAATTGTTTAGTTTGTGCATCATCATAGTATCTTTGTATGTTTGATGAAAAATAAAAAAAATGTAAAAGTATTGAAATGCATGAAATAAATGGATTAGGATGCAATACTCCTGGATTATCAAAGAAAGCATGCCTTAAAATAACATCATAAAATTGTTCTTTCTAAAATGGGATTTGTTAATAATTAAATTAAGATGATCTTACATATTATAAATGTAATATGGATTTAAATGAAAAGGCTTGTGTTAATTTGAAGACAAATTCTTAATTTTGTCTATGGAATGGAAATAATTGTTAAGAATTATTTATTAATTAAAATATTGATTGCCCTTTATATGTAAAAAATTCATCTATAAAAATGAATGGAAATGTTTGTTAAGCAATTTCAAAACCAAATGTTTTGTGTAAATATGACCATATTAATAATGTATGCATTAAAAGTTCAATTAATGATTAATGTAACACTCCATTTCTTAATTAATTTGGATGTGTAAGTATTTTAAACTCTAAAGAAACATGTTAATGGACTGTTAATGGATGTCAATTCGTAGTTATAGTATAGTAATTAACAACTTGTGAAAGTTTAGGATATGCTAATCCAAATTCATGCTCCTAAATTTATGAAAATGATAATATAGGATGCTATTTTGATAAAAATAAACAGTAATGCACATCTATCTTAGTAAATTCTGATGATAAATTAATAAAACAGTTATTGAATACAATCAAATGTGATACTTTTTCTCTCGGGCTTAATAAAGTAATGTGCGGTTCTATCACTACTGAATAAACTCCATGCAGATGGTTTCAAGAATAATGTGTATATTTATCTAAAAGAAGCGATATAGCAGATGTACCATGTTTACATCTATCGTATTCAAACTATTAGGCTTGTGCTTTAGCTTCATTTCAAAATGAACCATGCAGGTATCTTGAAAATTTAAAAGGATGTGTTAATAATATTTAAAAATTCACAAAATGCTATACAAAGGGATTGAACAAGTTTGGTTGTGAATTATCTGTTGATAAATGTTATTATGATAAAGTACAATGTATTAAAGCATAAGAAATTGATATTATCAATGATAATTCTAATAATCAGTAGGCTAATTCTTCAATAATAAAAATAATATACAATTCTTCATAACTATGCAACACTAAATTCATAACAAAAATTGAATGCTCATCAATTATTACTAAAGGATAATTATGTGCTTGGTCTTTTACAACCAATTCTTGCACTTAAATTTCTGTCGATAATAAATATTGCTAAGAATTTGGGTATTTAAAAACAATTGTTAATCCAAATGTTTGTGCATCAATAAATTTAGAAACTCCAGAATATTGCAGCTTTGATTTTATTTAAAATAGCTGCAAACTCTATAATGAACCATGTACAACCAAATGTTGCACTGATAAGAAATTAATTGGAATAAATGCTAATTCTTGTAGTAGGTTTTCAAGTAAAAATTTAGGTGATTATTGTTATTTCTATGATCTTAAGTGCTAAGAATTAACTCTCTAACAGGTTGATATTTCTGATTCAAATTTGGTTAAATAATTCTATAATGATAATAAGTTACCTTGTACATCAATGAATATTAATTCCTGCCATATGATTGAATGGTCAACTTCTTAACTTTGTTATTATAATGGAGATGCTTGCTTGAATCTTAAATTTTCCAAAATTAAAAATTTAATGATTCTGACCTAGTATCCTATAATTTTAAATGAATATTCCTGCTTAGCAATAGAAGCGATGTTAACAATCTATAATAAATAAAAATATTTCTCTTATGATATGAATATAAAAAGATGTAAATTACTGACTATTACTTCTTAATTTCCATTTGCTGAATGTGAAGATGCTTATGGAAATAAAAATTTATGCACTAGATATACCGGGAACAACTTTTGTAAATGGGACTTAGCTAATTTAAAATGTACCACAATATCTTAAGATGAAATAGGCGAAATTTAGACCTGTAATAATAATTTAAATATTAAGACTTGCATGGAGAGTAAAAAATTAAACTGTTTTTTTTCTTATGATGAAGATTTATGTATTTAAGCACCCTCAGATGTTGATTGTGATTACTTTAATCAAAAAGGATTAGTCTCCGATTCAGTATGCAAATATATTAGCGGGCCTAGTTAACTTTGCGAATATTCTGAATAGGATAAAACTTGCATAAAATCAGAAACCTTATTTGATAGTTGCGATGTTTCAGCAAGGAATGCAAATAACAGAGTATGTTATAATAACACAAATGGAAATTGTAGATGGGATACATCTGCTTTAAAATGTTATGAAAATTAAACAGAAATTGGAGAACTCAAATGTAGTGATTAGTTAAACAAAATTCTATGTGTACAAGTAGTAAAAGAGGCATGTATGTGGGATGATGTTAAATATTAATGTTAAGTGTTTATCCCAAAAACATCTTAAGAATTTGAAAATTCAAATAATAATGTAAATCATCTTTATAATCAAAAAGCTTGTTTATTGATTTCAGGAGCTGGATATTTTTATAACAAAGAAACAAAAAAATGTATGAAAATGGATGAAACTATTAATAATCTTAGTTGTGATCAATATTAATTGAATTAATATGCTTGTTTATATTTAACAAGAGGTACTCCTTGCTTTTATGATTAAAATGATCAATTATGCAAGATTTTTGAAGATGAATAGTCATAATGTAATACTTCTAATTTGATCAATATTGAAGTCTGTATGAAAATACCAGTTGCATGTGTTTTTAATGAAAGCACTCTATAATGTCAACCATTCAATGTAGAACAAACTATGACTTGCACATAATTATTCAACTATTCCAAAAATAAAATCCATCATAACAAAATTTCATGTGCTTCTATAAGTCCTAATTTAACAGAAGTATTTGAGGAGAAAGAATGTTCTCAAGAAAAGGAAAATTTTTAAAAATGTAGATTTGAAAAATATTGTTATTGGAAAGAATATACATGTTAGGTTTATAAACTATTAGTTGATTATTTTGAGACTGGGAGATCAAAAGCCTAAGAAAGTAGTACTTGTCCAAATGTAGAAGAAGTGAATACTTGCCCTACAGAAGTCTTCTAGGCCAATTCAAATTTGTATTAAAGGAATAAACCAAATATTATTGTGAACAGTTCTTGGGCATAAAAAAACTATTCCTGCAGATAATAAATTTTATTTACAATTTATGAATATACCTTTACCTCAATATAAAATCCTTCAGAAACATGTAGAGTTTAAATTTGTGCTTATTCTTAATAAGAATTTTGTTTTAGTGAAGATCCTTTTGAAATTGTTGAGACCTATATTGATTTTTCAAATGATTAAGTAAACACAGCTGCTTAGGTATCTTTAGAAAATTTAAGAGATACATCATTAAATTTTTGTGATACCCAATTTGAACCTCCATATGATCAAATTCTTTCAGATAATTGTACTTAATAGGATAATTATGCCTTTACTCCTTGGTGCATGTTAATAAAAAATATCAGTAGAGTTTGTCATTAATCTTTTTCATAAGCTCTATGTTAGTAATTAGATAAAGTAGGATGCTTCTTTGATATAAATTAGGGAGGCTGTAATTAATTAAAAAACAATGAACATAAGATACCAAATTGCGCAAGCATTTCAAATAATTGTTTTATAAGTTAAAGCTCGAATGCCATTTGTTAAAATGGACCTTTGATAAAATAACCAGGTCCTTCATGTTTGAGTATCCAAGAAGATCAATAAACCTGTGAAAGCGCTAGTAATTAATTATCTAGTTTTTCTTGTAATGAAATCAGTGAATCTAATGCTTAGCCAATTTTATGTGCACTTGCTATAGATTAATGCAGATTTGATGGCATTAAATGCACTAATATTTTGCCCATTCCTTGTAATTGCGATAAAAGTTATAGTAAAGTTTTATGCGAATAATGTGGTTGCGATTATATTTTTTTAGGATATTGTTAAAAAAAGAGTAGCATGTTGTATCCTTAATTAAATTAGGATTGTTCAAATAAATATTATTTATGTTATGAAGTCAACACATTTACCAGAGCTAATAAGTAAAAGGCTTGTGGCTTAGTTGATTAAGCATGTAAATTCACAGATAAATGCGAAGATGCCACTCATTCTACTTGTAAGGAATTAATTGGGTTAACCGTATCTTAATAGGCTTGTGCAAGATGCACTGGTTTAGCAATGTAGTATAATTCAATCGATTAAAAATGCTATCCTATAGCCTAAAATATAAGTTAATGTGAAAATCTTAATAAAGAAGCTTGCCTCTCTTTTTCCACAAATATTTATTGTTAATGGCAGAAATCTCTATCTTTAAAATGCAATTAAAAGAAATATGAATTTACTTGTAAAACCATTTCAGCTATTTCGACAACAGATTAAATAGAGTGTTCAAAGTTAAATTATGAAAGTTGCAATAGAGACTAAATGAATTTATGCTGGTTTAATCCTGAGAGTAAATTATGTGAGAAATATAGTCCATTGAAAGGGAAGTGCTTACTTTATAAAAATAAATCAACATGTATGTTGTCTATGGTTGAATCATGTAAATGGAATGTTTAAATATGTTAAACTGAATCAAATCCACAATAATGTAATGGATTAAATAAATATGGTTGCTTGAATTTCTAATTATCACCATGTGTATGGTCTGATAATTTATTAAGATGTGAATTAGCTTAATTCTCTAATAATCAAATGAATTGTACTTAATTTTTAGAAAACTAAAGTGATGTGTCACATATGAATGCTTAAACTTGTACATAAATAGAAGGTGATTAAAGTTGCATTTTGGGTAACAACCACAAATGTAGACAAATTTTAGAACCTTAATTTTATGATTGTGAAACTTAAGGATTAAACAAAAACGCTTGTCTATCAAAAACCAAGAATTCTTGTGCCTTTATTAATAATAAATGCATTTCCTTCTCAAATACTAATCAAGGTTGTTAAACATATTTAAATGAAGTAGCTTGTTTGAATTAAGATGCAATATGCAAATTTAATCAAGGCTTTTGCTCAGACTTCAAATTCACTTCTGTTTTTGACATTCTTTAAACTAGGTTTGCCCCTTATTCAATAAAAGTTTGCTACGTTTTTGATGATTAAATAGGTTTAATTTATAGTGTCATCTAAAAGAGATGTGTAGTTTTTGATAACCTAAAAATAAAATTGACTGACTGCTCACAATTTGGTAAACAAATACACATGCTTAAACAGAGTAGAATAGTTTTGTGAATATAAGGAAAATAAATGTTAATACATTAACCCTTCAGATATTGATCTTTGCTTGAATACATTAAATTCATTTGCATGCACTCAATAGAATAATGTATTATGCAAATTTTAAAATAATTAATGTTCTACATTCAACGAGACAAGTGATTTTAATTGTGCCTTATAATCGTTTAAGTATTTGACTAATCCAAAAATATGTTATGCAGATAAAAAAAATCCATGTAGCTTTAATAGTAAAACAAAATAATGTGAATTATTAGAGGAAAAGTCAAAACAATAGTTGACATGCAGTTAGTTCAATAGGAAAGCTTGTATTTTTAATTCATAAGAATTGGTTTGCCAATTTAATGAAATCGAAAAGATGTGTGAAAGTTCATTTGGATATTCAATTTGCACAGACTCAATAAATAAAAACAAATGTTTAGCCATTATAACTAAGGGGCAATACTGTTAATTTAATGAAATTGATGGTTGTCAACAACTAGATAAATCAATTGATATTAAAATTTGCTAAAATCCAATATAAACGAATCCTTATACTTGTTCCTAAAGCTCAGATGTTCCTTGCTTGTAGGATAAAAGAAAAAAATTGTGTGCTGAATATAAGCCGTTTGATAAAATCAATAATATTGATGATTAATCGATTTTTTAAAGCTATACATTATCAAACATAAATTCCTTTAACAAAATGACTTGTGAGCAATTTAATTAAGAAATATTGATGAAGGACTCTCAAGCAATTATAAGGGATGTTCTTATTTTTTGGAAGGAGTCTTGCATATAAATATAGAGTGTATAATTGTTCTACTTAACTTGCGATTAAAATCTAAACAGAAACGCATGCATAAGTATCAAAACTCAATTTTAATACTGCTAATATAAAAATAAAAAATGCATAAATGTTGATTTAAAAGATTTTATAAATACACCTTGCGAATCTATTTAAAATATAAACTCAGGAGCTATATGTGCTATGACCACAGATGTTGCTTGTGAATTTGATCCTTATCAATACAGTTGCAAAAGCATAAAATTTGATTCTTCGAGTATTCAACAAATTGGATGTGTTGAGAAAAATCCTGAATAAAAAGGTTATAATAAGCTAGCTTGTATTTTAGATTAGAGCAATTGTGTTTTTAATGGACAATGTTATAAAATTAGCAAGGTCAATATTCAATTTTGTGAGGATGCTATAAATATAATTTAATGCTAACAAGTATAAATAGAAGGGTGTGTTTTTTAATTGAATAAATGTATGAAGATTTAAGTATCTGATTATTATTTGTTGACATGTGAATCAGCTATTAACAAGATAGGATGTATTAATATTTAAAAGGAAGGACAGTACTGCTAATATGTGGATAATCAATGTTTGTTCCGTGATTTAATGGATATAAGATATATGGAATGTCTAGAAATCAAAAATATCAACCACTACTCTTTTTGTGAATTTCCTCGAGATGTGGGATGCATTTATGATTTTAAAACATAATCTTGTTAAATTGTACCTTTTACAGAAGATATAATATGTTAAAGAGGAATCAATAGGATAGCATGCTTAACATAAACAATTCAACAACTAAATTGCCAATTTATTGATTATTGTTATGATCCTAATTATGGAATTTAAAAATGTACTAATCCAAATAAAAGTTTATGTTGTAGAGAGGCAGGTTCAATAGAAAATTGTCTCAATTAATATTTATATCAATGTTAGTGGATTAATAATCAATGTTAGAGTTATTCAGTTAGTTAAGACTCTATATGCGATGACATCTAGAACTCAAGTTTACTTGCTTGTATTTCTATAACGGATAAATTTTGCATTTATGATTCAATTAATCATAAATGCAACTCTATCATACCTACATCTTGTGATTAATTGTAATCACCCAATTAATGTAACAGGATGATTACTTTACCTTGCATTTGGAATGAATAAGATCAATATTGCATGTATCTTGAAAGTAGAGATGTTAAAGATGGTTTAATTTCAATGAGAAGTTCAGCCTCAATGAATTGTGAAGATATAACAATTTAGAATGGAAGTTAGAGGGCTTGCATGAATATTGTAAAATAAGGGTAAATGTGTATATTTTAAGATAATTAATGTAATGCATTTGTGTAAGACTAAACCTAGAATAATTGTTTAAATAATATTAATGTTAACTCATGTTTATAGTAAAAAGTAAGTGATTGTTATTGGGAAGTAAAATTATTTAAAGTTAAGAAGACTCTGGAGGGAACTGAGTCAGAATAAAACTATGGAAGCTGTGTAAAATTTGATAAATTTGATAATTATGATAAATAAGTATTAAATGATTGCGATTCAAAACTTAGCTATACATCTTGTTTAAAAATTATAAGGGAAGGAGTATTCTGTAGATGGTAAAATAATTAGTGTTAACTTATTGATGATAATGAAGTAATTATTTTTTAGCCTTCATATCTGAAAGAAGTTAATCAAAATGCATGTGGTTTAGTTAATAATGGAGATATTGTAAAATATGATTAAAATATGAATTTCTGCATTCAAATTCAGGATCATTCATCTGTAACATGTATTACGGAAGGATTAAATAAAGATGCTTGTCTAAATATTAAATTTTAAAATTGTTATTGGGATATTACAAGAAGAAAATGTAGACTTGGAAAACCTGCTCTTGATAATAAGTAAAATTCTTGTCAATTTAAAAATTTATCCTCTTATTTATGTTCATAATTGAAATTAGATTAACCATGTGGATTTATAAAAGATGGATGTGATTTCGTTGACTTAGATTAAATAATATGTAATCATGAGGGATTGAATCAATATGCATGTCTTCATGTTAAAAATTATCCTTGCATTTGGACCAAAAAAAATGATGAAAAATATCAATGTGAGGATTATTCTTATTATCTTCCTTGTGATTAAATACCATCAAATGTCAATCCAAAAGTATGCTCTATTATAAGAGAAGGGGCTTGTTATTATAATGAATAGAATTTCAAATGTGAAATTCCAAATAAGAATTAAACAAGTTGTGAATTGAATGGATTAAATATTATTGGATGTGTTTAAATTGAAAATTGTTATTATGATTAAAAATGTTAGCATTTAAATAAACACAATTATTTATGTGAAGAATTTCCTATAGCTAATCAATTAATTTGCAAAAATGCTATTGATTCTTGTAAGTATTATGAATTTTAATATGGATGTTAAGTTGCTTAAAATGAAGGTTGTTCTGATGAATCACTAAGTGATTAAGGGTGTTTAAATTAACCAAATTGTGTACTTTAGGCAGATGGATGTAAATGCAGAAAGTTTATTGAAACTTATGATTGCACTTAAATTACAGATATTGACAAATGTAAATTATAAAATCATTGCATTGTTCAATATTAATAAAATATCATAAATTTAACTGGTGCAAACAAAAAAAGTGTTAGGATTATTTTTATGATTAATGTGATGGTAAATCTATATTAAAGTCAATTTTGTTATTGGAGTCATTCTAATCAATGTTTACCAGCCTAAAATTGTGAAGATATTCTCTAACCTTTTCTATGAATGTTCTAAATATAAATTTAATAATAAACCTTGTTAAGAGAATAAGAATTTTGGAAAGTGTGAAGAATTTAATTGTTAAAATTTTGGATAGGAACAATGTTTAGAATATAAGCAGTTTTGTAATTTTAATTAGACATGCTAAGCTAAATAATGCTATGAATATTTAATGGAAAATTGTGCTTATAAATGGATGTGAACCGAATTACCAGGAAAATATTTGTTAGGAATAAATTGATTGTTCTGATAATTTTGAAGAAATTCAATGTAATAATTGGAATTACACATCCAAGCCATGCCATTGGGTAGTTCATAATAATAAATAATTTTGTACTTAATATAAATGCAGTAGTGTACAGTAATCGCAATCATGTTCTGGAACTCGTATTGGATCTGAATTTTGTGTTGAAATAAGCGATTCTGTTTGTTTATCATGCGAAGAGATTTCTGATTCTTGTGATTGTCTACAATAGTCTAAATACTGTAGTTATGATATTGTGAAAGATAAATGCATTTCTAAGAGCTGTGAATCTTATTTAGCTTAAGAAGAATGCCCCCCAATTTATTGCACATTTATGAATGAGGTACATAAAATTAATATCATAGAAATGTTAAATTTCATGTGAATTTATATATAAAGAAGAATTATGTCAATAAATAGATAAATGTGAATGGATAGAAGCAAAAAAAAAATGTCAAATAGAATGTTCAAATATATAAGAAGAATAATAATGTTCATAAGTATAACTGTGTTTTTGGGATTAATATAAATAAAACTGCTAAATTAAATAAAATATTAATATTGTAGTTGAAATTTATATTTATGGAGAAATAATCGCAGGCCTAATAATTTTAAGTCTAATTTTTGTGTGAAAATACTTATAGTATTTTGATAAGATTTATAAGCTTATATAAAATTTTAAATTAATTGCATTATTTCAAAATTTAGTTTCTTTTATATTCTTGAGAGATTTGGAAGGTGTAGGAGAGTTAAAATCATTAATAGAAACATATTCTAATAGAAGACTTTAGATATATAATGTCATCATTTCAAATTAAAAATTTTAAGACTATATATATGATCTGATAGTTATATCCAAATATAAGAAAATTAATAATTAATAATAAATGATCTTTATAATCTATTTGATCTCTGCTTATTCATCGTAATAGATTAAAGTCCTATAATGCTCAGTATAACCAGCCAATATAACTAATTGCTTAGAATAAACTCAAAACTTCCCATGTATTAAGATCTAATATTTAGGTGGCTTCGACCAAAGAGTGAACTAGTGTGTTCCTATGGCAGACACTAATTATGGGTGTGCCTTGGATTTGAATGAAAAAGCTTGTATTAGCTAGTTATTTAATAAATAAGGATAATAAAGTCAATGTATTTGAAACTGTTATTTTAGGTGTTTTCGATTCGAGATGCAAAAATGTGTCAAAAAATTTATTATCTAAGATTGGATGCTCTGAAAAATTAAGCAAATATGCTTGCCTTAATATAAATGATCATAAGTGCACTTGGGACTCTAAATGTAAGGAAATCTCGACAGAATAAATTGAGGATTTATCATGTGAAGAATAATTGAAGATGCCAGTTAGTTCTCTGGCATGCTCAACTCTAAAAAATTTAGAATGTATCAAATTATTAAAAATAAAAGGTCTAAATACAGGATTAAAAGGAGATTATAAATGCATAGGAGTATTATAAGTGTACTATTCAACATTAAGATGCTCGTAGTTAGGGTTAACTGAGTTGGCTTGCTTAAAAATATAAACAATTGGAGAAAAATGTATTAAAGAATTTTTAAATTAGGTATTTTTTAGAATCAAATTTGTCAACCAGTCTCAATTGATCAAATAGTAAGTTGCAACTAAAAACTCAACAGGCTGGCCTGTCTTTCGATAGAAAATTCTAGTTTAGGCTGCCAATGGAGTAAGTAAATTTGTTAAGATTTTTTATACACAAACCAACCGACCGAAATCATACCAGATGTTAGTTAAAATGTTTGTCATAATCTTGAAGGGGCTTATAAATATGTAAAAGAAAAACACTAATGTGAAAGAATTCCATTAGAAAATAATTATAATATTCCTTGCAATACATTAGGATTATCTAAAGAAGGTTGTTTAAAAATAAAGATTGAAGATTGCATTTTCTATCAAGGGACATGCTAAGAATTAAGTGAATAGGATTTAAAAACTTATTCATGTAACATGGATTTGAATGAAATGGCATGTATAAATTTAAAAACAGAATTTTAATTTTGTAAATGGAATGGGTTTTAATGTGCAAGATTATTCATGAATCAAGATTTGGATTGTCCCTTAAAGTTTGAAGATCAACCAATAAAAGTAAATGGGAATGTATGTTAAGCTATATCTAAACTAAATGTTCTATGTAAATATGATTTAAACACAAATTTATGTGTCAATAGCACACCTGATGATGATTGTGATACACCATTTATTAATCAAAAAGGTTGTATTAGTATAAATAATGTAAAAAATAAGAAAACATGTAAATGGACCAATTATCAATGTATTTCTGTTCAAGTAATTTCATATTTTACTACATGCGAATCATTATAATATGCAAATCCTTAGGCTTGTTCTTAAGTTTTTGAAAATAATTCCAGAGGGTGCTATTATAATCAAATTTAGCAAAAATGTGTTACTTTACAAATAGATGATTAAATGGATAATAATACAAAATTGTTTTTGGAAACAATCAGTTGTAACAATCCATTATTAGGACTGAATAGAGTTATATGTACTTCAATAAAAACTACATAAACTCCATGCAGATGGTATAAAGACTAATGCATTTTAGTGAAAGAAGACGAAATAAGAAATGTCCCTTGTGATTCTCTAGAGTATGCTAATGATCAAGTTTGTGCTTTTGTCGAATATCAAAAATAAAAATGCTCATATAATAAAAGTTAACAAAAATGTGTTGATTATATTAAAGATATGGAGACCTGTAATTAGGCTGGATTAAATCAATACGCCTGCAAATTTATCAAGAATAATTGTTACTTCGAGAATAATGTTTGTCAGAATATTTAAATTATTACTAATAATTTAAAATGCACCTCCAATTCACCATCAGAACAATTATGTAAAGATATAACAACTGAAGGCCAATTTTGTAAATGGGATACAAGATATGGATGTGTTAATTTAGAGGTTCCTCCTAATATCCCATGCAGTGAATTTAAAAACGTAAATATAAATGTTTGCACATAAATAATAATGTCTAACCCCCATTATGATCCAAATAATCCTAATGAGACTCCTAATTGGGGTGTTTGTCAATATAATTATAAGAATAAGTAGTGTGAAGCTTTAGGACCCAAAACAGATAAAACAGGATAGAATACAATAAATGATAATTATTGTTAAATTGAAAATCATGAAACAACAAAGTGTTGTACAGATGTTATAGGAATTAACTCTCACGCATGCAGCCTTTATTCAAGTAAAGATCCTGGTACCTATTGCTATTTTAAGGATGGAAAATGTCGAGAATTAACAAAAAATGAGGTAGATATTACGGATCCTGAATAAGTGAAAAATTATTTTAATGAATTGAGATTACCGTGTCCATCATTATCAAAGAATTCTTGTCATATGATTGATTGGTCAGAAAGCTAAAGATGTTTTTATGATGGAAAAATCTGTATTCATTTTGATCAACAGCATTACAACAATCTATCTATTGTAATTTAAGAGGGGCATATTACAAATGAATTTTTGTGTCTTTCTTTGTAGGCAAAATCATCCGATAAAGTAAAGTATTTCACTTATGATGCAGAAAAAAGGAGATGCTAAATATTAACTTAAACTTCATTCAAAACTTGTGAGGATGTAAATGGAAATAGAAATGCTTGCCTGAGATTTACTGAAGACCATTATTGTAAATGGGATACTGATAAATTGAAATGTATTACAATTCATGAAGATGAATTATATGATATAAAGAGTTGTGATCTAAATACCAATATCAAAGCATGCAATAATAATAAATATCAGGCTTGCTATTTTAATTACGATTCTGATGTTTGTATGAAGGCTCCTACAGATATAAGATGTGGTGATTTAGAAGAGATTAATGAGATTGTATGTAAATCATCGAAAAAAGAGCCTTGTGAATATTCTTAGGATATTGCGAATAAAGATAAGAAAAAATGTTATATCCTCACCACAATTGTTACTGGATGCACATCTGATTTAATTGTAAACAGCAAAGGATGTTATAAGAATTTCTAAGGAGATTGTAGGTGGAATTAAGAAGCCTTGACTTGCTATTAGAATTAAGATGAAATAAGCTCATTGGGATGTCAGGATAATCTAAATAAAGTACTTTGTTTAAAGGTGACAAAAGAAGCATGCGTTTGGAATCATGCAAATATTCAATGTGAAAGATTTCAATAAGTTAATCATCAATAATTCCTATCTTATAATTCAGAGAACTTATATAATTAAGAAGCATGTTTATTGATAAATTCAGAGGGTTATTATCACGACCAAAATAAAAATCTATGTGTATGGATTAAAACGGAGGATCATTTAAAATGCTCAGATTATAAAATGAATAAATATGCTTGTTTATATTTGACCAGAGGATTCAAATGTTATTTTAAGGATGGTAAATGTTTAGAATTTGTAGATAATTAAAATATTTGTGATGCTGGCATTGACATAAATATTGAAGTCTGTATGAATATACCTAAAAAATGTTATTTTGATATTAATTCTCTAAAATGTGTAAATGCTATCATGGATGAACTTACAACTTGTTAATCACTTTTTATATCACAATTTGATAAACCTGATGATAGTTACCCTGATGGAATATCAAAAATGAATGAAAATAAGAAGGAAAGTAGAAACTACAATAAATTAGCTTGTTCCTCTATTAACCAAAATAATTTATAAGAATTTGGAGAAGAATAATGTCATTTGTAATCAGAAAGATCTTAATAGTGTAATTACTAGAATAAATGTTTTTGGGATATTAACGCTTATAATTGCAAAGTTTTTCTATCATTAGAATCCGTTTTTATTAAAAACCATGTTCGTGAGTTTTAAAAATAGATTTACGTTTTAAAAAATACTTCTTAATTAGAATGGGTAGATGATTAAAATCAAAATTGTTCATAATAGGTTATTAATAATAATGGCGTTATTAGAGACTAAATAATTGAATCTAGATGTTTTTATACAAATGAAATTTGCAGCAAAGATACTGATTGCCCTTAGTTTTATAACTATACTGAAAATTATGTAAATTACAATTCTTTAGAAGCTCTAAATAACTTTATTAATAACTAAACAATATATGATGATAGATGCATAAAATATTGCAGTCCTATTAATACTGATTGTAATTAAGGTGAACTTAAATTCAGTAAAAGAGACTTAACTATAATAAAAGTATGTAAAAATATGACATTTTATGAAAAACAACCAATATGTTATCTTATAAAAAAGAAAATCCCAAAGTGTGAAAATATTTATTCCAAAGCGATTTGTTTGGAAGATGTTTAAGAAAAATGTTATTTTGATCTCAATCAAGGGGGTTGCATATAATTTAAAGACAACGAACATAAGTTGCCTAGTTGTTCTGCCATTTAAGGGGAATGCAAAGGAAGCTTTTCATAAAAGGCAATTTGTCAAATTATAGAAGTAGGGCAACCATAAAATTGCTATTCATTACCTGCGATTAAGTACTGCTCCAATTTGAATATTTACAAAGCTTAATAATATTGTCTCTCTATAAGTCAATAAGACGTTTAACCAAGTTTATGTGCTCAGGCATTAGATAAATGTAGATTTGATGGCACTAAATGTGTTAGTACTTTGCAGGGTCCTTGCAATTGTGATCAAAGTTATAGTAAAGAATTGTGTGGCCTTTGTAATTGTACATTTTAGAATAATAAATGTATTAATCGGAATAATTGTGTTTGCAATAAAAATTCTACTGAAGACCACTGTAAGAGTTGTAATTGTACATTTAAGGACAATATTTGTGTAAGTACTTTTCAGGATCCTTGTATTTGCGATAGAAGTTATAGTAAAGAATTGTGTGAGCTTTGTAAATGTAATTTTGAATATCTGGGATATTGCTAGAAATAGAGGTAGCCTCCTTAATTGAGAGAAGACAAAACAAATTAGCACTACCTTTGTTAAGAAGCTAATTTATTTGGTGATTAAAATATTTAAGAAATATGTGGAAGTGTTGAATAAGCATGTAGATTTAAATAAAATACGTGTGAAGATGCTACTCATCTAAAATGTGAAGATTTAATTAACTTTACCGTGTCTGAATTCGCATGTTTAAGATGCAAAGATGAACCAATGAAATATATTACGGAATAAAAAAAATGTGAAAAAGTAAAGGAAGGTGAATAATTTGATAAGTGTCAAAATTTGAATTATTTAGCTTGTATTAGAAACACCAGTATATAATGCTATTGGATAGACAAAAATTGCAAAGAGTTAATTGGATCATAAGAACCAGAGTGTTCACTTCGAAATTATTATGGATGTATAAAAGAAACAACAGAATAAATGAATTTATGCTGGTTTAATCCTGAGAGTAAATTATGCGAGAAATATAGTCCATTAAAAGGGAAGTGCTTACTTTATAAAAATAAATCAACATGTATGTTGTCTATGGTTGAATCATGTAAATGGAATGGTTAAATATGTTAAACTGAATCGAATCCACAAAAATGTGATGGATTAAATAAATATGGTTGCTTGAATTTCTAATAATTACCGTGTGTGTGGTCCGATAACTTATTAAGATGTGAATTAGCTTAATTCTCTAATAATCAAGTGAATTGTACTTAATTTTTAGAAAACTAAAGTCATGTGTCACATATGAATGCTTAAACTTGTACATAAATAGAAGGTGATTAAAGTTGCATTTTGGGTAACAACCACAAATGTAGACAAATTTTAGAACCGTAATTTTATGGTTGTGAAACTTAAGGGTTAAACTAAAAGGCTTGTCTATCAAAAACCAAGGATGCTTGTGCCTTTATTAATAAGAAGTGCACTTCCTTCTTAAATACTAATCAAGGTTGTTAAACATACTTAAATGAAGTAGCTTGTTTGAATTACGATAATATGTGTTAATATGGCTTAAAGGGATGTGAGAATGCTCAATTAGAAAAGTTATAATATTCAAGTGAATAATATTAAAGAGAATAAAAGCTAAAGAATTCAAGCTAATATTGCAAGTTAAAAGATTCCACTTAGAATTTTTTTTAATGTTTGATATATGTTAAAAACCTCGGAATTTGTATAGATATAACAGAACGAGATGCAAATGTTCCTAACTGTGGATCTGATGGTATTAATAAATATGCTTGCCTATCATAAACACTAGGTTCTTGTTAATACTTAAATTCAAAATGTTAGGAGATTAAAAATGAATACATTACATCATGTAAGGATACCTTCAATTGGGTAGCTTGTCTTTCTAATAAAAATTTGAATTGCAAATTTATGGACTATAAATGCTAACCTATTTTATAGGGTGATTCATGTCAAAGTTTATATGGGGCTAGAGTTAATCCAATTTCATGTGCATAAACTAGCGATATACCTTGCAAATATAATAGTAACACCTAAGGTTGTATAGAGGTTATAATTAACAATGAAAGGTGCTCGACATTAGGATTAAATGAAAAAGCTTGTGTCTTTAATACATCTAAAGCAAATTGTAAATTTTCATCAAAGGAATGCAAAATGGATTTTGAAAAAGCTAAATGTACAGACAAACTTAATAAAAATGTATGTTTAGGTCTAAAAGATTAATATTGCTATTTTCATGAAATCGAAGGATGCAAAGAAATAGATTCCAATATATTAAATACTTCAAATTGTTCCTCTGAAACTGAAGTTACTGCGATTACTTGTTCATTGGCAACTGATAAACCCTGTTTTTATGATTAAACCAAAAAAATTTGTAAAATATTTGTTGATTCCAATTTTGAATGGGAAAATCATCGCTCATTTAATAAACTTACATGTTAGCAGATAGAATCTATTAATACGTATTGGTAGGGAGGTTGTTTATAAGCAACAAATGAAATACTTACTTAATTGCAATGTGATGATTAACTTAATAAGGGATCATGTTTAAAAGTGAAGACTTAATCTTAATTATGCTAATATCGAGATAAAAAATGTGAAACTTATTCTTAAGGGTACGAAGCGATATGTGAAATGATAACCGATATAAATAATGGGATTATATGTTCTCTAAATACTAGTAAACCATGTTAATATGATGCAATATCATTTTAATGCAAAAAAGTTCTCAATGAAAATTCATCAGATTTGAATTGCAGTGAGAGAGAAAAATAATTTTATAACAAAGAAGCTTGCGAATTAAATGAAAATTGTATATTTATGGATCAAAAATGCCAACAAAAGATTTAAAATAATTTATATTATTGTTAATAGGCATAATAAATAGAGAATTGTAGGAATGTATTATTGGAGGGATGTTATAGAAATAGTTAATAAAGATGTCAATTAATAACAAGTGAATTATAAAAAACATTAAATTGTTCAGATATTGAAAATTAAGTAGGTTGTAAATAATTATAAACAAAAGGATAATATTGTAGATATTATGATAATAAATGTTAAAATGAGAATATTTAAGAATATAAAGTAAAGAATTGTAAAGATATAAAAATGATTAATAACTATGTATTTTGTGAATAAACACAAGATATAGGATGTATATATGATCCATTAAATAACTCTTGTATAGAATCAAAATAAGAATAATAAGATTTAACATGTCCAAGAGGATTAAATAAATTAGCATGTATTCCATTAAATTCAAATACTAATTAATGTTAATTCTTTAATTATTGTTATGGTTTTAATTCAGATATATTAAATTGTAATAATGATGATCATTAATAATGTTGTTAAAAAGCATTAACTATATAATCTTGTTTATTTTAAACTAAATTCAAATGTTAATGGAATAATAATAATAAATGTACTTATTATGATTAATAAATAAATTAAAAATTAGAATGTAATACAATTTAAAATGCATCAAGAAATGTTTGTTATTCATTATTAGATAACTTTTGTATTTTTGATCATTTCAATTTTAAATGTATATAAATTATACCATTAACTTGTGATTCAGTTTAAAGTGCATAATAATGTAAAAGAATACCTAATATACCTTGTTATTGGAATTAAGATTAATGTTAATTAAAATAATAAGATTTATCAGATACTTGTTAATTTATATCTCAAAACTCAGGTAATCATTAAGCTTGTATTTAAATTAAAAGACCAGGATAAATGTGTATTTTTAATGATTATCAATGTTTATTATTTCAAGAAATCTAAAACACTGATAATTGTCTTCATAATATTAATCAAAATGCTTGTCTATAATAAACTAATTCACAATGTTATTGGGATCTAGATGTATCAAGTAGTGAATATAATTATGTAGGAATATGCAAGAAATTTGATTAATAATAATAAAGTAAATTCGATTGTTAAAGTAATTTAAGTTTTTAATCTTGTTTGGCTATTACAAAAGTAAATAGTTATTGTTGGTGGAAGAAAGGAATATGCTAGAAAATTTAGGATGAGGATCTTTATTTTGAAAAATTACCCACTCTTTTGTATGTTAACAGATAAACATGTCATTTGTTTGCAGATGCCAAATTTATTTATGATGAAGTAATGTATAAATGCATTAATAATCAAACTCAATCTAAACTATGTACTTGGAATGTTGAAAAGTAAGAATGTATTGATCCAATTTCTAAATATTTGAGAAAAAATGTTTATGAAATTAATCAAAAACAATAAATCGCTTCTGCTTCATAGAGTTCTACAATGGCTGAAGATGGTCCTTGTGGGATTATTGATGAAGTTTGCGATTATATTGATGTAAAAGTAGCTAAATGTGATCATAAAGGATTAAATAAATATGCATGTTTGAACATAACGACTTAACCATGTATCTGGACTAAAAATAAGAATAATGATATTGAGCATTGTGAATTGATGATACCAGAAGGAAATTGTGAAGAATAAAATCAGTATTTGGGTGTTAATGCGTTGTTATGTAGCATGGTATAAGAATTTGATCCTTGCTCTTATGATTCTTAAAATAAGAAGTGTAAAAAGCCAGATAAGAATTTAACAAATTGCAATGTAGAAGGAATTAATGTTTATGGATGCGTGTAAATGAAATATTGCTACTTTTAGAAGGGGACTTGCAAATTATTTGATCCTAATTTAAACTTATCATGCTAAGATGTCTAATATGCTAATGAACTGGTTTGTGCTTAAATTAAAAATGGTGGTTGTAAACTTAATTTAGTTGATATTGGATGTATTCAGTCGTCAATTTTAGATACTTGTTCCACTCAAGGAATAAATATAAATGGATGTAATTCAATTGAATAATGCTAATGGAAGAATGAATAATGCTTACATAAGATATATTTAGAGAAATAAAAAGTTTGCTCAGAGAATTTAGATGAGCAAAGTTGCAATAGTTCTGGCAAATGTTATTTTGAGTAGTCAATCTTTAACGAAGATGAATATACTTGCAAAGAAAGGCATTGCAATAGAATGAATAAGTGTAACTATGAACTTTATAAAGGAAAGATCTGTTTTTTAAATTTGAATGGAAAATGTATGGAAGCTACTTCCTGCGAAGAAATTAAAAGTTCTTCTATAGACTGCTCTTAATTCTATTTTAATAATTTATAATGTGTTAGTGATGGAAATAGTGGGTGCACCCAATTTTAGAATTGTGAGAATTTAAGTAGAATACAATGTGCAAAATATAGTAAACAGTGTGCCTTATTCAGCTCATGCGTCACTAAATTATGTCATCACATCAAAGATTAATATGAATGTATTAATTATGATTGTACTTGGATCCATAAATAATGTATTAATTAAATTAGATGTTCTGAAATTGAATAAGAAAAAGATTGCAATAAAAATTAATATAAAGGTTAGTAATGTTCATGGAATAAAGTATAAGGTGAAAATTCTGAAAGAGAATTTTGTTCATCAGATGGTTGTAGCTATCTCTCTAAAAATATTGAATGTCATGGTACCTAAGTAGGATCAACAGTTTGTATTTTGACTAAAGATTTATTTTGCCTTTCATGTGAGTAAATTGTAGAAATCCATGATTGCTTGGAAAAAGTTGGATATTGTAGTTTTGACACAGAAAATAATAAATGTATTTCCTAAACGTGTGAAAACTTTAATTAATAGAACTGCCAAACTAACCGTTGCTTTTTTTCTGAAAAATACCAAGTAGATTATCATAATAAATTATTAGATTTGTGTTCCACAATGCTAGTTTTAATATTAAAAGACTTAGTGTTAATAATTAGATTTATGTACTTGGGATGACAGTTTAACGCCACCATGCGAATAAATATCACATTCTACAGATACAAAAAATAATAATAATAATATACTATTAGAAATTTCAGGGGCAATACTCATTCCATTATTTTTATAGATATTCTATTGAATTTATTAAATCGAAAATATTAATAATATCATTTTTTCTTTTTATTTAATAGATTCTAAGATAAATACTTTCTTAAATGAATCTTTATTGATGATTTCTTCCATAGTTAATTTGATAATTAAATATTAAATATAGATTCATATATATAAACATGATCAAGAAATTAATCTAGATTATTATTTAAATAGTTTATGCAAAACTTATCATTTATTCTATTAGTCTCTTTGCGTCTCTATTTTTGTTAAATCATATCAACTTGCGAATTATTTTCAGACAATCCATTAGCTTGCATAGAAAAAACATCTGGATATTCATGTATTATTTTTTCTAATTTAGGCATTTATAATTATTTTGAAAGTAAGTGCATTGTAGAGAAAAAGACATCATAGGGTTGCCTTGATACTCTGAATTAGAATGCTTGCATTAATTAATTGACTAACGAATATGGCGAAGAAGCCTAATGTAATTAAGAATTTTAAGTTAAGGCACCTTCCAGAAGTAGTGCTAACTAGTGTCGAAGTCATTACTTTAAACTTAAGGTTGCATAACATCCTATAATAAATATGCGTGCTTAAATGTTGTAAATGCAGATTGCTAGTGGGAAAATAGTCAGTGTTAGCCTTTGGAAGAAATAGTAGAGACCGCTAACTCATGTGAAGAATCTTATTAAAATTCTGTTACATATGTAACATGCTCTAAGTTACAAAATCTATTATGTATAATAAGTTAGAATAATTAAAGGTATGAGTTCTGGATTTAAAGGCGAATATGGTTGCATCACTGTTTAGGAAGAATAACTGGAGACTTTGTAGTGTACTTAACATGGTTTGACAAAGAAAGCTTGTGTATCTATCTAAACAGAAGGAGAGGAGTGTAAAAGTTAATGATTAACAAATAGGTATCTTCATAGATTAGATGTGTCAAAGTATGGTACAGTCAGAAATAAATAGTTGTCTGATGGATTTAAACAGGTAGGCATGTTTAGCTATTAAAAATCCATACATTTCTTGTAAGTGGATTGATAATTCTTGTTACGCTTATAGATAATCAAATTAGAGCAATATAGATGAATTAAGGGAAGTAAACATCAGTGTCTGTCAATCTATAAAAGGATTATATAGATATGATAGGGAAAATGCTAGATGCATTGAAATTGATGACTTCAAAGATATATCTTGCAATACATTAGGATTATCTAAAGAAGGTTGCTTAAAGGTAAGGAATAAAAGTTGCATTTTTTATCAAGGGACATGCTAAGAATTAAGTGAATAGGATTTAAAAACTTATTCATGTAACATGGATTTGAATGAAATGGCATGTATAAATTTAGAAACAGAATTTTAATTTTGTAAATGGAATGGATTTTAATGTGCAAGATTATTCATGAATCAAGATTTTGATTGTCCATTATAGTTTGAAGATCAATCAATAAAAGTAAATGGGAATGTATGTTAAGCTATATCTAAACCCAATGTTCTATGTAAATATGATTAAAAAACAAATTTATGTGTCAATAGCACACCTGATGATGATTGTGATACACCATTTATTAATCAAAAAGGTTGTATTAGTATAAATAATGTAAAAAATAAGAAAACATGTAAATGGATCAATTATCAATGTATTTCTGTTCAAGTAATTCCATATTTTACTACATGCGAATCATTATAATATGCAAATCCTTAGGCTTGTTCTTAAGTTTTTGAAAATAATTCTAGAGGGTGCTATTATAATCAAATCTAACAAAAATGTGTTACTTTACAAATAAAATTACAAAATGATTCTTAAAAAGAACAATAAAAGCTAGATCTTCAGTTATTAAATAGTATCTCCTGTGAGAACACTAGTTTAGGTTTGAATAGAGTAGCTTGTGGATCAATAACAACAAATGGAGTTGCATGTATGTGGAAATAAGATAAATGTGTATTTATTGACAAGAAAGCTATGATTTCAGCTGTACCTTGCTTTAGTCTTCAATGGGCAAATGCTAGAGCCTGTAACTATGTTGAATTTTAAAAGGAAATTTGTAGATATGATGTGGATGAACTCTCATGTGTGACTACTGCCAAAGATCATATGAAATGTGAAGAAATAGGTTTAAATCGTTATGCTTGCATGATAGCAGAAGGATTTTGCTACTTTAATGAGGATTTGTCTTTGTGCTTGAATGATCCTTCATCCAACATTTCAGAACAACTATCATGCGATAAGAATTCACCATCAAAGCCTATGTGTTTAAGTATAACAAAGAAAGGAGAGTACTGTATCTGGCAAACTAGTAGTGGCAAATGTGCTAAGGCTAGCATTCCTTTTAACAGCAATTGTCTTACTTTAGGTTACTAAATGAATGCGAACACATGCACTCTGATTGAAATGAGCTTTCCAGACTATAATATTGATGCATCTAAAGACAAATCATTAACTTTAAATTATGGATATTGCAAATATAATTACAATCTCAACACCTGTTAGATAAAAAATGATAATTGTAAAACAAAATGTTGCACAGATGCTGAGGATATTGGGATAAACGCGCATTCTTGTAGTAGATATTCATTTCAAGACCCTGGAGTTTTTTGCTATTTTGATGAAGGAAGATGCAAAGAATTAACATCAGACATAGCAAATGTTCTAGATCCAGAAGCAGTAAAGAGTTATTACAATTTCAAATAATTCAAGTGTTCTTAAATGAACATCAATTCTTGTTCAATGATTGAATGGAGCACTACTTAAAGGTGTGTGCACTTAGGAAATTCATGCTTCAATATCAACCTTAAAGAGTAATCTTCCCTCAAAGATCTTATTTAAGAACCAACAATAACAAATAAATACACATGCTTTGCCATTGAAGCAGAATCATTAGTTGATAAATACTTTACATTTGATGAAGTTAATCGAAGGTGTAAAATCTTAATTCCTGAGTCAGAGACTCCCTATGCCAAATGTGAAGATGCTTTAGGAAACAGAAATCTCTGTTTGAGGTTTACAGGAAATAATTATTGCAAATGGAATTCTGATTAATTGAAATGTGAAACCATAATGAATTATTCGGTTGATAAAATTGAAGCCTGTGATGCAAATTTAAATATAAAAGCATGTATTCAAAATAAAGTGAGCCCATGTTATTTTTCATTTGCCTCTGATAAATGTTAATAAGCCCCAAAAGAAGTGGAATGCAACTATTTCAATGATAAAGGTAAGGTCAGCGAAAAAGTATGCAAGTTAATTTCTTAAAAAGGATAGAAATGCTTATTTAAAGATAATCTATGTGCTACATTTGAAACTTATGAAAATGTATGTCATGTCAAAGATGCCAATTAAATTGCATGTTATAATAATGTCAATGGAAATTGTAGATGGGATATCAATACCCTTCAATGTTATGAGAATCTTACTGATATAAGTACTTTGAATTGTTCAAGCAATCTAAATAAAATCCTATGTTTATAAGTAGTGAAAGAACCATGCTATTGGAATGCTGATGATTTGTAATGCCAAAGATTCAATGCGATATCAGATGTTGAATTTAAAAAGTTAAATTCTAGTAATTTATATACAAAAGATGCCTGTTCACTAATAAGTGGATCTGGATACGTATATGGATCTGATAAATGTGAAGTATTACCAGATACCTCAAACACTAAGGATTGTTCTGAATATTGGATGAACGAGTATGCTTGTTTGTATCTAACTAAAGGACATAAATGTTATTATGATGTGACAGAGGAGTATTAGAGAAAAAAATGCAAGCCATTTTAAGGAGAATATAATTAATGTTCAGACTAGAACTCGTAAATATTGATAAACATTGAGGTCTGTATGAATATACCTATGACATGCATTTTTGAGCAAAGCAGTCTGAGATGTGTTAATGTTGAAATAGGACCTCAAGAAAAGTGTTCAAAGTTAGCTGATAGTATAAAAGAAAAGAAATACTATAATAAATTGGCTTGTTCATCAATTGATCCAAAAAGTATTGAAAATTTTGGTATCTAATAGTGTTATCAAAATTCAGAGAACGCATAGAACTGCTTATACGAGAAATATTGTTTTTGGGATTAGTTGTATTATTCATGTAGCATCTTTGTTCCAGTATTGACATTTTTTGATAAGAATAATTGGGTAAAAAAACCATTAAAAGTATGTTTAAATTAGAATTCATAACCTGAATAATTTGGAGATGGCTGTTCTTATTAGATTAGATATGCAGGTGGCTTTAAATTTGTAGGTAATTAATAAATTAAACTACCTTCGGAATGTGCTAAGACTCATAATACATGTAGGTCTGATGATGATTGTATTCCATATCAAACAACTAATATTTAATTGGATTATATTAATGGAAAAATGAAAGTGACATTTCCAACAAACAACACATAGACTTGTGGAAATCGTTGTGGATTTTAAGGCTAATAAACTAATTTTTGTAACCAAGATTCAGATTGTGGTTAGGAGTACATAACCAAAGATAATCTCAAATATACTGATATGTAATATTGTAGAGTATTGAAAAGAAGATCGCATTATATAAATGTATATAGTTATTATTTCACAACAAATCCACCTTTATATTCTAATTATACTTTTTACAGTGAAAATAAAATAGATGATGTAACAACAATAACATATTATAAAGTAACTGAGGTAACAAAAGAATTAGAGTACGAACCCATAAAAGAAGAGGATTGTGATTTTGATGACAAAAAGTGTTATTGTTAATATACCAAAGAAGATTGTAAATATCATAATGACTGTCCTAAACAGGTAAAGGACATTTATGCTTATAAAAAAAAGTGCGATTATTAAGATTATTATTTAGTAGAACCTTATTGCATATCTAAAATAAGGGAAATTGAAAAGTGTGAGAACATTTATTCTGAGGCTCTTTGTCTTGAATATGTGAAATAGCGCTGTTATTTTGATATAAATCAAGGTGGATGTATTAAATTAGAAGACAATTAGGATAAATTACCTTAATGCAATAGTATGTCAATGGACAGTTGTTTAGGAAGCAAAACAAAGAAGGTAGCATGTTCAAAAGGGGAAAAATCTGCAAAACCTGGTGATTCATGTTATACTATCATTAAGGAGTTCAATGATTGCAAAGATAACTTATTTTATAATTCCTATTTCAACTGCGCAAAGGTCAAAAAAGAGGATGCATAACATTCATTATGTGCAAGAGCAACTGATGAATGCAGATTTTCTGGAAGTGAGTGTGTTAGTGAACCTAATCTTGATGACACACTTGCATGTAAATGCGATTCAAGTTATAGTCAAACTTTATGTGAGAAGTGTAATTGTGACTTCTCTTCCTTGGGAATTTGCTAATAAACTAAACAGCCACTTCAATAAGATGCAAATAATCCATTTTCTTTGTGTTATAGGGTCAACCTATTAGATCTTCGAGATGCTAAATCAAAATAGCAAGCTTGTGCAAGTGTTGCTTAAGCATGCAAATACATAGATTCATGTTAGGATGCCACTCATATTACATGCGATGATATGTTAGGATCGATGGTTGTTTCTCTAAAGGCATGTCAAAAGTGTAAAGACTAACCAGCTCAATATGATCTAAAAAGGCTGTAATGTTTGGCATTAAATGATGATACTCTCATAAATAAATGTGAATATTTGAATAAAATATCTTGTTTGAGGAATGCAAGGAATGTTAAATGCAAATGGGATTAATCCTAGTGTAAGGAAATTTAAATAGCAAGTGATGATATAGTAGATTGTTCAACATTAAATTATGATGCTTGTTATCAAAGTTAATAAAATTTATGTTGGTTTGATCCTTAATTGAAATAATGCACTGAATTCAATCCTTTCAAAGCTTAATGTGAATTTGTGCAAGATCAATAAAATCTTTGTAATTTATCCATGGCTTAAAATTGTGTATGGGAAAATAACAAATGCACAAAAAAAGATAAAATACTTCCCAATACATGCAAAGGATTAAATAAATATGCATGCTTAAATTAATAACTTGTGCCCTGCGGTTGGTCTGTAAATTAAGAATGTATTGAACTTATCAACATTATAAATTACGCCAACTTTTTATAAAGTGCTGAATCAAAGTCTATTATCCAAAATAATGCTCAAACATGTTCATTGATAAGTGAATATAAAAACTATTTAATCGATCAATAATTTAAATGCAGAGAAGTAACTGTAATTGATTTGATCTATTGCAATACTCCTGGCATCAACCTAAAGAGTTGTGTATAATTAAGCATTGGAAGATGTAAATATTAGAATAACATTTGTTAAACATCTAATGAGGTCAATCTAGGTTGTCAAAACTACTTAAACAAAGAAGCTTGTTTAAGTTAAAAAGCAGAATGCAAATTCACTGATAAATGTGAATAATTCTTAAATCCAAATTTGAACGAGATTTTGTATGAAATAGATTACAGTTATTCTGATTACATTTGTCTAACAGTTGATCTCCAAACCAAACCAACAACTAGTTTAGTATTTTTAGAATCCAAAGGCAAATGCATCGATATTTCAGACCAAGAACCTACTATATCGGATTGTCAATTGAGAGGTATGAATATCAATGCTTGTTTATAAAAAACAAAATCACAATGTGAATATTTAGATAATCAATGCCAATCAATCAGTGTAGCATCTTAATCTACATGTTCTCAAACATTAAATTGGCTTGCTTGTACCCAAAGTGATGCTTAATGCAAATTTGTTAATGCTCGTTGTCAAGCCTTTTAGCCCACTGATAATTGTGAATAATTAGAACAATTAAAAGCAATAGTAAATGAAAGTATTTGTGTCAAAACAACTGATATCCCCTGCAAATATGACATTAACATTCGAGGTTGTTCTAAGGTTACTACTAATTAGAACTGCTCAATTTCAGGATTGAATGAAAAGAGTTGCATTTTCTACACTAGCGGATAGGACTGCAAATATGAAATGAACTAATGCACTCCTTATTATTAGTAGGCCAAATGCACAGATAAAATCAATAGAGATAAATGTCTTAATCTAAGAGATAGGTAACAGAATTGTAAATTTGATTAAACTCTAGGGTGTATCTAAATAATATCTGAATCGGATCTAAAATCTTGTATTAAAAACTTCTAAACTAATCCATCTACTTGTTCTTAAGCCACAGATTTCCCTTGTTATTACAATTTTGATACAAAAATGTGTCAAGTATTCACTAATCCATCTAAATTTGAAACACCCTCTAGAAGTCAAGATTGGTAAAGCAGAGTGTCCTTCAATATTCTCACTTGTCAAATTTATGACATAGATTAAAGAAAAACATTCTGGGATGATGGATGTAAAGAAACCACTAACACTCAACTTACTACTTTAGAATGTAAGGACTATTTAAATTATTACGCTTGCGTAAACTTAAAAACACCATTACAATATTGTTAATATACCAATAACATATGCTATGAAAAAGATTGGTTTACTTACAAAGACCAATAGTGTGAACAGATTAAAAATGTCAATCATGGAAACTTTTGTTAAGCCACTACTGATGTTGAATGCAGGTATGATTTAGATAATAAAAATTGTATAAAATTGGGTAATGGGGAGATTATTTAATGTTAAAGTAGTAATTTGGTTTATTTTGGATATAATGAAAAGGCATGTGCAAAAAGTAATAATTGCATATTTATTGATAACAAATGTTAAACATTTGATGAAAATAATTTATATTATTGTTAATAGGCATAATAAATAGAGAATTGTAGGAATGTATTATTGGAGGGATGTTATAGAAATAGTTAATAAAGATGTCAATTAATAACAAGTGAATTATAAAAAACATTAAATTGTTCAGATATTGAAAATTAAGTAGGTTGTAAATAATTATAAACAAAAGGATAATATTGTAGATATTATGATAATAAATGTTAGAATGAGAATATTTAAGATTATAAAGTAAAGAATTGTAAAGATATAAAAATGATTAATAATTATGAATTTTGTGAATAAACATAAGATATAGGATGTATATATGATCCATTAAATAACTCTTGTATAGAATCAAAATAAGAATAATAAGATTTAACATGTCCAAGAGGATTAAATAAATTAGCATGTATTCCATTAAATTCAAATACTAATTAATGTTAATTCTTTAATTATTGTTATGGTTTTAATTCAGATATATTAAATTGTATTAATGATGATCATTAATAATGTTGTTAAAAAGCATTAACTATATAATCTTGTTTATTTTAAACTAAATTCAAATGTTAATGGAATAATAATAAATGTAATTATTATGATTAATAAATAAATTAAAAATTAGAATGTAATACAATTTAAAATGCATCAAGAAATGTTTGTTATTCATTATTAGATAAATTTTGTATTTTTGATCATTTCAATTTTAAATGTATATAAATTATACCATTGACTTGTGATTCAGTTTAAAGTGCATAATAGTGTAAAAGAATACCTAATATACCTTGTTATTGGAATTAAGATTAATGTTAATTAAAATAATAAGATTTATCAGATACTTGTTAATTTATATCTCAAAACTCAGGTAATCATTAAGCTTGTATTTAAATCAAAAGACCAGGATAAATGTGTATTTTTAATGATTATCAATGTTTATTATTTCAAGAAATCTAAAATACTGATAATTGTCTTGATAATATTAATCAAAATGCTTGTCTATAATAAACTAATTCACAATGTTATTGGGATCTAGATGTAGCGAATGATTAAAATTCTCCACATAAATATTGCAAATCTTTTGAAAAATTCAATTCATCAAAGTGCGAACAAAACCTGAGCTATTTATCTTGCTTAAATATAGTTACAACTAACACGTATTGCCAATGGATAAATGAAAAATGCGAGCCTTTGAAGATCGATATCAGTAATAAATTAGTATTAGAATCTTACTCAAATGTCAATGCCAACGTTTGTAGATTAATTACTGATCCATAACCGATGATGTATGATTCAATCAATAAGATGTGTTAAGTTGTAACTGATTTTAATCAATTAACTTGCAGTTAAGGATTAATGTCTATAAATATGTATGCCTGCATCAAAGTTAAGAATGAACTCTGTGTTTGGGATAATAAAATCAAAGCTTGCAAAGCAATAGTAAATTAAAAAAAGAAAATAGCTAATTAAGAAGAAATTGCTGAGAGTACTTGTTAGAAAATAGGCCGTACTCCAACATCCTGCTCTCTGTTGGATGTTTAATTGCCTTGTGGAGGAGCAGAATTAGGTTGTGATTATGTTTAATTAAAAACTGTTTAATGCAATCACATAGGCTTGAACAAATATGCATGTCTAAACTTAACTAGCTAATCATGTAAATGGGTTTTAAATAAGGAACTCAATATTTATTAATGCTAAGAACATACTCCTTTTGGTTTATGTTCAGAATAACCTAAATTGGTGAATGCAATGTTATGTTCTTTGGTTGGTCACAAGGATCCATGCGCTTATGACAAAAGTTCAAATTCATGTAAATGGTCATCTGAGCAATAATAAGGTTGCGATACGGCTGGATTAAATAAATTTGGTTGTGCTCAGATAAAGAACTGTGTATTTTATGAAGGCAGATGCTTAAAATACAGCGACGATCTAGACCTAAATTGTTAAGATGCAGATAAAGCTCATTACACTGTTTGTGCTTAAATAACCAGAGATCAATGTAAGTACAGTGAATTGAAAAATGGTTGTGTATCTACTGATTTATTTGACAGTTGCCAAGTGATGGGTATCAATTAATTGGGATGCAATGCCAAATAACCAATATGTCAGTGGATTGATAAGAAATGTGAGTGTACAAGATTGTTTGAATTGAAGAGGCCATGCTCATAAATCCAAGATTTTGATCAATGTTAAACAAGGGATGAATGTTATTATAATGATTCTTTTCCAACAAGGATTAGTAATGAACTGATAAAATCTTAGAACTAAGGTACTTGTAAAGAAAAGTCATGCAGTGATCGAGAAGAGTGTGAAGGTGAAATAGTATATGGCTACATTTGCTATAAGGATAAACAAGGAATATGTTAGCCAGCCCGTGATTGTTAGGATATCAAAAATGCAGTTAAATCATGTTCGAGCTATGTAATAAAAGATAGACCTTGTGTGGAGAAGGGATATTCTAATGATAATATTCAATGTGAAACACTCCTGAATTGTTAATAATTGGATCTTATTGCTTGTCAAAAGAATCTAGAATATTGTATCTATGGCAATGACTAATGTACGAATAAATAATGTAACAATTACATGGATGAAACCAGTTGTCCTAAAGAAAATTGCTATTGGAAAAATAGTAAGAAAAGATGTCTAGAACAAGTGAGTTGCGAATTAAATTCATCGGAAAAAGAATGTAGTGATAACGGATATGCAAATCAGAAATGCGGTTGGTTCAAATTAGATGACTAGCCATCTTTCTGTCAAGCTGGATGCAGATATCTACCTTAAGCTTTCGTTAGTTGCAGGGGAACTCAAATTACTGATTATGTCTGTGTAAATTTCAAAGATGTTTGTATCCAATGTGAAGAAATTACAGATTCATGTCATTGTTTATAAGAAGAGGATTTCTGTCATTACGATATCTATAGAAATAAATGTTAATCCAAAGGATGCTAAACTTATAATTCGGAGACTTGTCCAGCTTCAAGATGCACTTTTAATAAAGAAATTAATGTAAGTGATATATTAATTATTTCTAGATTTGCATACCATAATGTCAATTCAGATTCAATATTAAAGAGTGTGGATATTTGAATGATTGCGTATGGGATTAATAATTAAGATAATGTCTTGTTTATGAAGAAAAACCCATAAATGTGGAAATATGTCCTGGCTGTCTAAAGGCTGAAAATTACTTAGCCATAATTCTATTAATAATAAGCTTATCAGCTATTATATGATAATTATATATTTCTATTGTGAAGCATAAACATTACATACAAATAAAAAATCAATCTACTCTCATGATTGCGATTAATCCTCCTCTTTGTATACTTCTTATGATTCCTGCTACATCATATTTGTTATATTGGAAAAAGCACTTTAATATTGTGTTTTGATAATATTTTCTATTACTGGGTTTCTTAAAGCTTCGAATAAAGCTGCTTTCAGTTTTGAATTGTCGAACTCTAACAATTTAACCTAAAATACTCACTACTATGATACCTTCTTGTTTATCTTCTCATACTCCTACTACAGTGGGCCTATCTTCTCCAGAGCCTCCCTCTTTCTCTTCTGTGCTTCTCGAGCACTATCTCGATTTCTCTTTATGCACTGACATCTTTTACAATTGCAAAACTCATCCTCCTTACTCCTACATTTGTTCTTTATCTTCTCTATCAACCTAGCATAGTATTCCAGAGGGTTTTTCTAAGGTTCTTCAGATCTAAAGTTTATAAACAACTATTTTACATTTTATTTTCCAACACTATCTAGATTATGGAATTCTCTATTCTTACTAATTCCACAAACATAAATAAGATTTTTTAGAGTTTCTCCTCAAGTTGATTGGAATTGAAGATGAACTCTTTACAATCTATTTGCTAAGAATTCAAGAATAATCCATTGACTAATTGTTCAGTCACTTGTTTTTGATCACAATTCTAGTATATTTTAATTATGTTCAAGTACTAGGGTTAATAGTTTCATCATTGTACCTTTTCAGCATGATGCTCAAAATTTCCATTAACTGTAAATTATTTTTAATTCTCAATAATTTACTCTATTAGGTTTGATTAATGAAAGTACTAATTGCTTTTTTGGAACATCTTTTCTAAAGATATCTAACATGACTGTCTAGTCATCGTGTTCTTGTCCTCTTCACATAAAAATTTATATAGGAATTCATCTGATCTGCTCTCCTATCCCAATAAATCGTTCAGAGTTTAAAAGCTTATCTATTGAGCACTTCCACCCTCATTTTAAGTATGTAATTTCTTGAATATCACTTTCCTAATGATACTACTAAATAATAAGGATTGACTAATAATTCCAATTTAAGAATCTATATAAAAATTATAATCAATACCATTAGTGCAACATATATCATTTGCTCCAAGACAAACTAACTTCTTACTGATTATCTCACATATTAAATCCCATTGTTTCTAATCAACAACAATTGAATTTGGGTCCTTTATATAATTCAATGTGATTTCATCTTAATCTGAAGAACATTATTTCATTAGATATATAAAAATGTTAGCTATATATTTAGCCAAAATTGGCATTTTAGAAGATGGAATAGAGTCTTTGATGGAAATCTATGTTCCTTTTTATAAAATCTGTTCTAACAATTATCTTATTTTTTATTGCAAAATGACATTCTAGTTTTAAGTGCCGCTTTGCAATTTTAATAGTTGAGCCTACATGATCTAATTTTGCGCCTGAATGAGCATAAATTATTAAACACTGTACACTTGGGACTATATTGTTTTAACATTATATACCATATATGAGATATAGGAATCTATTTTATCAGTGGGAATGCTTTGATTACCATTGAGAGGTAAGAATGGTTTCATCCAATTTTTGTTTTTATTTATTGTAAAATTTTTAAACTTATCTAACTATATCAACACACATTAATACGTATTACGAATAATTTTAATTCAAAATGTGAAAAATTTTAAAGATTATTTTCATATTTGTAATCAAATATACAATTAATTTTATAAAATCACTAATTAAAATTTATTTGTGCCTCAAAATGACCCTCCCCTTTCTATCATAAATAAAATTAAATAGCAAATCCCTTTGTCATTAATCTAATTTAATTATCCCACGAACAGAACCATTAAATTCAAAATTGCACACAATTAAAATTGTTATCAAATTTTTTTTCATTAAACAATTTTAATTTCATAATTAAAAAGCATTAATTGTTATTGATTAAATAATAAAATATTATCAATTACATTATTAATAATCCTAATAACACAATCACAATCAATCTAGTAAGCAAATCATAACTCAGGATGAACTAAAATAGAAACTCTCAACTTATATGAAATATGCATCATAATATACAAAATTAGATTCAATTGAGAAATAGATGTATTTCAATAAATTTAATAAACCATTCTTATTTATTGTCTTATCTCCTCTTAATATTCCTAATTAATATACGCTTATTTATTGCAAAAAATAAAAAATAACTTGGAAAACTAATGAAAAATGAATTTATCAATGCAGAAAGTGCTCAAAACCTTAGAATCACCTCAAAGATACCTAAATTTAAATGAAGTTTGGATTGTTAAAATAGAAGCTTCAGCATAATAAAATATTAAATCAAATTTGATCCTATCTTAGTCTTATTTTTAACAAATTAATTCAACTTTATTAAATCCAGTAAAAATAACCAGTGTACCTTAGAAGGATGAACAGACATTTATAGTTTGCTGGATGAAATATATATATAAACTAGAAGAACAGTGAAAAAATTTAAATGATTATTTGAGATAAGGGTATTGGTTGACAAGAATACTACCATAATTCTAGTTCAATACATTGCAGTATTATGTGTTAGAGCTTAAAAAAATACGAAATTCAATGTAAAAATAAGCAAATAAAAAGTTAAAATAAAATAATTCTTTGTTATAGCATAAACTTGAGATACCATAATTGAGAATAATTTAAGACTACAAAGATGAGGTAATTTAGAATATCAATATAATATATTAATCAAAATATGTTTCTTTTTGCTATGTTGATTGGTCTTCTCTAGATGTCTTGATCTTTGGATAAACCTGCAGTTCTATCAGTTTATGAATATCCACTGAATGCTGAAAATCTCTATTTCTATTCAGTTTAAAATAAAGGTTTAGATATAATATTTTATATGTTGGAAACATTGGTTTGATTTGATGAAGCAGCAATCCTAGAATTTTGAACTGATCCTTAATTAATTTGAAATTGATTATGGCTTTGCAAATAGTCAGCATTCTATTTTCCAAAGACTATATGATTAGGCTTATTGGATCCATTTTGTTAATCATGTTTCCAACTAGCTAAGACTACATATTGCATTTGCTCAGTTTCAACATGCTCTTCTTCTGATTGTGGTTAACTTTCGTTTTAATATTGATTATCCGATTGGCAGGTGCCCATTATTTAAGAATAAAAGTAAATAAATTTTATCAATTAATTAGTAAATAATGATAATTCTCATAGCAAGGCTTTAAGTTTAGTTATTGTATTATTGAACCAAGGGATCTCCTTCAGTATCACTGGGGTCAAAGCTGTTCTGAAAGTGGGATCCATAATATTTTGATAAATGACAACTTCTGTATGATTGAGTGTGGTTGATTTCATTAAAATAAGACTCATTTTTTGGCCTAATTACTTTAGAGAAATAGAGTACCTTTTTGATCACATTTCAACTTATAATGATTTGGTAATTGCTTTGAATTGGGTACAATGGTGATTTGATAAGTGAAATCATCAACCTTAACAATCTCTTAATCACTGACAAAGGCCATTTTCTTAAATGTAGACTTGTCTTCCCAAACATAGTATTCAACAATCACACTTTTATTTTCATTAACTTATTCCAAAACATCTTTCTGTATCATTCCATGAAACCATTATTATTTAAGATCACTGAATATTTTGATGGCTCTATCCATTGAACATTTGATAGGATGAATGGTTTTGACGAATTAACCTTAGAGATGATACATAGTATGTCCATCACATTCTTAAAATAATTATGAATGAAATTACCCTAAACATATTTCCAATTCAGATTCATCTAACTTATTTCTACTAATTATTCAAGAGTAGGATCCTATTCTAAGATAGCGTGTTCGATTGAATTGGATTTAGTGGGTAATAACTCTTATAAGTTCTCATTACTGTCCTTCAGTTATTTAACTTCTTCATTCATTTTATTCAAGTAAGTCTGTACATAACAATCATATTCACGAATAGCCTCATCATCAACTAATAAATAGCTAATCATTTAATTTTTCAATTAATTCTATTAAATGTATTTATGAAGAATCATTAGGGAATCCTATTTGCATAACTTCTGTTGTCCACAAATATGAGATTATATTTTCATAGTTCTAAACTATTTAATACTGATTTCACTTAGCAATTTAATTGCTTGTTCAGCGTCTATGGAATACTCTCTAAAGATCATACTTGGATTATAATCATATTCTAATATTTTTCTCAAGAACTAGAATCCATGGATACAGCTAATGTGGCTCAACATGTCATTGGTTTAGATGGATAGCATTTACATGATTCCTTGGAGTTCCCTCTCGTCATCTCCAATCAATAAGACTTTTAAAAGTAGAGGAGAGATCTACTAAATTTTACCAAAATAATACTTCTCCATCTTCCTAAAAATAATGAATTGAATAATGTACTAAAATATTTTGCCTCTTTCATTAATGGTTTCATTTAATTTCCATAAATAATGGAATATCATTTATTCAGCCTAATTATTCGGTTATATTTTTTTTGGACTTGTATCCAAAAGATCACACAAAGCGTTTTCATCTTTACTAAATTGATGCATTTTAACATTTTAATCAAATCCCCCTTTTTAAAATTACTCTATATTTTTTTGATTTTTAATAAATACCTTTAATTTTAAGAAAGTCCAAAAACACATACAATGTGTGGTCTAGATATTGCAACAAATATTATAAAAATTCTAATTAGAATCACAATTGTACTTTCGAGCATTTCTTATCTTTTGGCAATTGTTTTTCTAGAATTAGTTTAAATAACTTTTTTTGAAGGGAACTTAGGCATTTTCTTCTAGGAAATTGGTAACTAAGTTTGAATGAATTTATTTACTGATTCGTATAATTTCTCAAATTCAGAATATCTTTTAGGAATTGTATAATCAATATAATCTGTTCTTATTTAGATTACGTAATTCACAATATGATTTTTGAATATGGATTCTCGATCTTCTTCCTTGAAGATTTTAACGATCCTGATCTCCTTGATCATGTGGTTATTGACAATTAAAGCATATAATTCATTTGCATCACATTCCTTCTAATTTAGTTGCTTTGTCACTAAGTTCGGTCTCTCTGATTGCTATCTAAAGAATGTCGGTGCAGATTCGGGTGTGAAACTCTGAGACAGAATCTATTTCATAAAAATAATAATAAAATTTACAATTATTGTTATTTACAACTTAATTGAAGTGTTAGATTATTTTTAAATTAATCATAATGTGTTAGGAAGCCATTTTAACATGGTTTAAAAAGATTTTAAATGTCGACTGCGGAACTCTCTACATCGACCTAATAGATGGCATCATCGTTGAAAAACTCTTAAATCAATTCAACCAACACAGTTTCCCTCTCAAGGCTGAATAATATTCAGATTCACAATTTGTATTCAATTACGCCAGAATCAAATCCCTCATTGAGAATATGTCAAAGTTTAATTCGACTCTTCAAATCATCACTCCCTTGAAAATAGTAGAAGGGAATGATGAAAACGAGTTAAATAAATTTGTGTTTAACATAATCAAGGTACCTCAATCACATATATAAAGGTTAGGTAATCTATGAGTGGGATAAGGCTAAAGAAGCTCTAACTTACTTGAGGAATGATCAGATTTAATATATTCTAGATTTCTTCAACAAGGAAGAATTCGGTTATCAATAACAAATATTATATAAGTAATTGATTGAGTACGAAACTATCAATAACAAATAAGAGTAACAAATCAATTCACTCCAATCCCAAATATCACTTCTAGAGGCTGACATCCAAAAACTATAAAGTCAATTATCAACCATGAAGGAAGAAAACGCTTCTATGAAGGATAGTAAGTATTTGATTGTTATTCCCATTAGAAATAGAGCAATTAGAAATGAAAGAAATAGGACAAAATTCGAATTTTACAATTGATTTTTTAAAATAAGAATGTTTAAATTATTAATTACTTATCAGTAACCTAGAAAAAAGGAATGAACTGTATGATACATTCATATATATCTAGACAATAATAATAAATCTAAATATTAATTTAGTTTGAATAAAAGTCTAAAGATTTGGAATAAGAATTGTAAAATCAATAAAATAAAAAAATCATTATCGATGAGTTGTAGGAAAAGAATCAGATACTCAAGGACCAAGTGAAAGTATACGATACCTATTCAAAAGTGCAAAAGGAAAATGTAAATCTAATCAATTATAATACTCCAAATCATACCCACTGTGAATAAGAAATACTCAAACTAAAAAATATAATCGCAGCATAAGAGTAATAAATCAGAAATTAGTTTTAAATCAAATAATACACCCAAGAAACCCCAAAGATTCCAAAACCTAAAGTAAATTGCTTATCAGAATAAAAATTAAAAAAAACATGTTGTTCTGATGACAAATTGTAGAAATAGAATGACATGCTAAGGTAGATTATCTCCAAGTTTGAAATTCAATAACAATCCACATTACTTTCCGTGAACAAAAGTCAGAGAGGGAAATCTTTAAATAATTGATTATATAAATTTAAACATTATAATAATATTGATAATTCTTCTTATTATTCAATATTACATAAAATTAGAATTAAAATTTAATTTAATTCTCTTTTTAAGTAAAATCAAATACATTCAACCCAAAAACTAAAGTCAATGCTATATGATAAATTGTTCAATAATATATTTAATGTTATTATACTGATGATCACTTTTTCTTTCCTTTCTTACCACCTGCGGCACCTCCAGCTGCTGCTCCTCCTGCTGGTGCTGCGGCTGCTGCAGCTGCTGCTTTAGCTGCTTGTTATTTTTTGATGGCTTCCAAATTGGCTTTGATCTAGATATTAATAATTGAGATTCTTACAGTTGCTTCGTCCATTCTAAATGTTTAATGGCATGTACCACAATAGTGTCTATCAAAATGCTTAGCCATATATACACCTTATGGACATTATGGGCATTGTTTGTGAGATCTTTGAACAACACCTTTATTGTCGATGGTGTATAGCTTAAGTGTAGCCAATTTGACTTTTCGGTGTCGGTGCTTCTTCTTCTTGGGTTTAGCAAAATTCTTCTTCTTCTTCTTTTTCTTCTTTCCTCCTTCTGCATCAACAGTTACATAGTAAATACCTTCGGTACCTATAATTAATGAGTGGTTGGAATTACCTAAAAATGCAGATGCTGCTACAGCTTCGCCAGAGTTGACCAATGAAACCTCACAACCCAATTCAGATTGAATCAGTTACATCAAATGACCGGCTGAGGTCGAATCAGCCAAATCATATAGTTTTACTTCACCATTCAGGTGACCAACTTTTATGATCATTTTAAAAATTAAAGATTTTAATTTAAAATAAATGGCAAGGAATTTATATTCAATGAATAAATTCTTAATTTCTTTAATAATAGACAAGCCTTGACTATTATACACATATAATCAACCAAATAATATGTCTGGAATCATTTGAAAACTGACAATTGGAGATGTTTTCAATAATCTTAGAGCATCATTAAGGAATTTCTGGGCCTCACTGTTGTTATTTTATAATTGATTCAAAATCCCTAATCCTAAACTAGAAAATAATCACTCTCCATTTACCAAATTTCATAAGTCTTTTCAAATTTCGACGCAGCAATCAATAATTCACTGGCTCTCTAAATCTTACTCTCCTTATAATGTTTCAGATATAGCAACCCCAATCTCGACATGGCTCTAACATGGTAGAAATCTGTTCGTAGCACTTCCTCATAATAATGACAGGCTACATCGATCTTATCTTTGTTTTCCTCCAATAAACCTTGCTTAAAATATAAAAGCATTTAGTACATAAAACAACTTTTCATTATCATTTGATTCATTGCCATCATCCACCAATTCTAGTACTTGATTAGCTAAATCAAAAATTTGTAACTTTATTAGAATGTCAATAGTGTTGAATATACACTATTTAATATTATAAATTTTAATACATTTCTATAATTGATATACGTGAGAGGATCGATATCAAAGTTCTACATACTTTTGAGAGGAAGCAATTGAAATATGAATTAATCATTTTGATCGAATTCATACGTTTTTTTTGAAACTCCTAGAAGAAATTTCTTGAGGTTTTATAAAATAGACTGAACCTCTTTTGATTTCTAAAACTTTTTGATGACGAACTATTTCAATTCCTCACTTATGCTTTGAGCATATTACAATTCCTTCTCATTAAATAAATTTAGTAGATACATTTCAGTCAATATTGAAGCCTTAATGAAATACAATAATGGGCTTTGCTTTATTATAATTAATGAGGATATTATCTGTAAGGCAGTGTGATTTTCATGTTAGGTTTAATACAGAAGAGCTCTTAAAATCTTAAAGTTAATCTCCGCTCCGCATAATCGACATGCCTAATCCACATGATAAAAAGCCTTCTTGATGTCTCCAGTTATCGCCAGCAATTTGCCATAGTTGTATTAAACAAGTTGATTATCGGAGTTTTATTCAATGCTCTTTTGATAATACTCCAATGCCTTTATATAGAAGTGCTCCTTCTCAAAGACATACTTAGCTGCTTTCCCTAGATTATAGAAGCAATAGCCAATTTAAGCCAATAGAGTGTCGAGTGTAATTATACCCTTGTCATAGTCGTTGTAATTCATTCTCGCAAAGCATAAGGCTTCCTAATTAAAATTGAGATAATTAATACTTCTCCTTTGCCTAAATAAATCCCTGTAAACATCACACACATACTGATTATCACAGGTCTGAATTCGTGATCTTTAATCTATTCGCTGGCTAATAAGGATTAGATCATCTAATGCAACTTATTGTAATCGTCGGTGTTGAATAGAATAATACACATGTTCATTCTTAGAACATCATCTTCAAATGGAGTTATCAACAGATCCTCCAATATCTAATTCATTAATTGATATTTATTGTATCGCACACAATAAATATTTATTAATGAATATACATTATGAGATATCAATTTCTTTAAGGATTAATTCAATTTGATGTTTTATTATGTGAAATTGACAGCTACATAATACCACAATTGATCAATGAATGGAATGTCTGGATGTTCCTTCTTAATTTTATCTTCCAGATTCTTTTAAAAAATGTGTTCCTTTTTTAAATTTATTTCTGAAAGCATTAAAAATAACAGAAATTCAAAAAGCTATAACCATGTCTCAAAATTAGGTATTTTATTGATCTTATCATGACTTATCAAAATATTCAATATTTTAATGTGTTCATCTGGCAGCTTATCACTAATAATTAATTTATTAAATACTTAGAGTCTAACTTCGGAAAGACAATCTTTGCTAATGAATAGATTATTGTGATTCTTAATTAAGAGTCCTAAAAGATTTACATTAAATCATTGTTAATAAGACTATGCAATTGTTCAAAATATCTATAGATATTTCTATCTAAAATGGATAAAATTTGAATTAAACACAATCTAAAAAGTTCTTTTAAGGGTTTTCTAAGAATTAACAAGTATTCTTGGTTGTTTGTTATTTCTTTGGCAACTTGTATAAAGGCTGTTTACCACATAATTAATTCATTATAAGTCTAAAATTTCATTGACTTTTTTTGTTTAGGACTCTAAATCAATTTATAGATGACTTCTAACCAACTCACCTTTCTTTACAAATCCTGTTTGGGTAATTTTTGTAATTGAATCAAATAGGGTTAAAAGGTTGGATAGGTCAGTTCATTTTCGAACACTTATTTTGTAATTTGGTTGTCATCTCTCATAAAATTCAATAATTGATATTTGGTCGATTCAATGTCCATTACGTATAGGTTTTCAACTTAATACTGATTTACAAAATATTGATTGTTCAATGTATTGTCTGGTAGAAAGGGTTAAGTATCAGACAATTCTGATAGTTATTCACATTTAAAGTTTATCAACTGAGAATAGCTGTCCTTTTCTGCTTTGATTAGTTCTTTGACTTTTTCATAATCTCTTATCAATAATTAATAATCCATTTTATTTTAATTATTTTTAATTAACTTATTGTGTAATTGTTCACATGAATAATTTGACACCATTTCTTAAGTGAGACTAAGGGATTACATCTGAGGCTTCGCAAATGTTAGTTCTAAATGAGATTGGTGGAAAAAGAGAGGGAAAATTTTAAATTTAGTTTTTTAGTGACAATAACATTGGCAACATAGAAATTGGAGTGTCTAAGTGAGATACTATTATACTTATATATGGAACTGATTTTTGTATAATCATTTGTATAATATGGTTTTTAAGTAAAAAAAAATATATTGAAAATTATATCTATTTATGCAACAATCGAATTAGTTACTTGTTACAGTAGCAAATATCTTGGATGAAATCATAAAAGAGACAGATACTTTAGAAATTGAGTAAGACTCACAATCGTATTTCCATGCTAACAAAGCCCCTTCAATATCAATCCACAATTACTTATAAAGAATTGCAAAGTATACTCATTGTAGTGAATAATGCTTTGTTATTGCTTTAATTTACTTGGATAGACTGTAAGAAAAACACCCTTATTTAGTGCTCAATTCTAAATGTATTCATAGGTAAATAAATTTAAATAATGAAGATTCCTTTTGTTAGCTATTGTGATGGCCATAAAATACCAGGATGACGATTATTATAAGAATGAATATTATGCAAAAGTGGGGGGAGTAAGTGTTAAAGAGATATTTATTCTTGAATAAGAATTCTTGGAGTTAATGGACCATTAATTGTTTATCGATGAACAATATTATTTTCTGTACGAAAAGAAATTGCTTGAATATGGAGAGATTGAAATGCCCTGATAAATTGTGTTTATTTGTTTATTATTTTGTGTTTTTATTATTCTGATATGAAATATACTATTAGGTATTCACTTATACAAGTGAAATAGCATTTCTTGTGCTGACAACTGTGAAGAAAAACAATCAATTAAATAAAATTTGGAATAACGAACTTATGATAATTTTATAATATTCTAAACTGTTGTTTATGAATTCCAATAAATAACATAATGATCAAGATAACAAAGATTCTCTTGAATCGATCCATATCTGTTCTCTATCTGGATGTCTGGTTAATAAAAGTAATAAATGAATCTACAATAACACATACTCATACTTTTCTCGATTATTTCAACAACCTCCCTATTTCAGCATTTTGACTCTCCAGTTTATATTTACTATTTGACCAAGGATTAGCATTATAGTATAGTAACACTTAGACTATTTAGATATTTTGGGATTAAACAGCATAATAGAGTGGAGAATAGCCATTGAGATCTTATGAATCAGGATAGGACCCACATTATAGCAATTTTTAGGTTATTGCATAATGTCCTAGTGTTGAACTCACATGTAAAGGATTTTGTCCTTATTCATTAATGTCAAAGGCATAATATCTGCATTTTTGGAGCATAAAAGTAATGAGACCATAGTTGTTGAGTTCAACAGCTTCAAAAAACTAAAAAGATCCTTCTCTTTCATAAGGTTTCTTTTAAATCACTCCATGTTGGAATAATTCTTTTATTGTAAGTTTCATTTATTTCATCTTTTTAACGCAATCAACAATTAAATGAAACATCTTTTTGAATAACGATTGTACTTGTCCGCTATATATAGCATTCTATCTTCTTTTATTTATCTACGATGATTTAATTGATTAAATAAAACTCTTTTGAGTTTCTATTTATTATTCATTATTTTTCTATTTATCCTTCTCAACTTAATGGATGAATCTTTTTAAAAAAGTTGTTGATATCCTCATTTTGCTTTAACCCGAGCGAATCCTAGAGGTTTCTTCTGATAATTCTCTTAATTAAATTTCTTCTTCCTTTGCCTTCTCTTCTAAAAATGATTTTTTCTTATCAAAATATTATTATATGACTGCTTATAGTTTTTTCTCTGGAGCCACTGATTGTTGAAAAGATTCTTCGAGAAATTGTAGGTTTCTTGTAAATGCCTCCCTCTCCTTGCTTTTCTTTCTTATTGGATTATATGTAGTTGTGCACCTTTTACTAATTGCAAACATCCTACCAACCTTTTCTTTGATATCTTAAGGATGTTAATTTTCTAAACGTTCAAATTATTAAATCTCATTTTCTGTAATGGTGGGGACTTTAGAAGTTTCAACAGTCTTTCTCCTCATAATTTTATTGTCCCTATTTATTAATTCTTATGTTCTTGGAAATAAATTGCTTGTTTACCCATTCATAATTGCTATCTATTTAACTACTATGATAAGTAATGAGTACATTAAAATTTAGATAATTTAATTGAGGTTTGTTAGTACATCTCTTATCAAATGAGTTTCTCCTACCTGAAATTTCAAATTCATCCTCTATCCTACTTTCAATCTACCTAATTCCATTTTTAGGAGTATTAGAATTTATTGTATAGTTTCTACTCTTAGAGGATTATTTCATTTATCTGCTTGTTCGAGCTTTCTTATGACTCTTTTTAATGGTTTCATTCTTCCCATCATAAAATAATCAAATACGTTAAATTGGGCAATAGGTTCGCTCTTCTATATTACACTCTTCTCTTCTCTACCAGAGGTTTTTGTTTTTATTGTAAACGACTTCTCAGTCTTTCCATCCATATAGCTATATTCAAAAGTATCAATGAACAAAGGCTTGAAAACATAGTTGAATTTACTCATTTAAATATATATAATCAAAATTCATAGAAAACTCTACAATAATTGATCCAAGTTGACTATCTCGTATTATAGGGGGTCATCAGTAACAACATATCAAGCTACACTTATATAATTGAATATATACTCTCCTAGCTATTTTTAGCATTTTTGTAAGCACTGGATCATCAGTTTCATAGGTACAACCAGGAAATGACCAAGGATTACATTTATGTGATAACAATAGTTATACTAATTCTTTTTAATTGTTTATAAGTGCATAATAGAGTGGAGTTCTGTTGCTGACATCCCTTACATCAGGATAAGTTCCAAGTTGAAACAATAGCTTTGCTATTTATAAGTACCCTTTCCTAGCACAAACATGTAAGGCTGTTTGAAAATTCTCGTTTACATCAAAAGCATAAAATCTGCACTTATCAAGCATCAATTTTACCAAATCTAAATCGTTTTTAGTCACCCCTTTAAAAAATACATAGGATCCCTCTCTTTAATAAGGTTGTTTTAATATTGTTCTACTTTACATTAACTATTCAGGATCCAGTTTCATAAATCTCAATTTTTTGACACAATCTAAAATTAAAGCTCTCATTTTTTCAAGTTTCACTCTTATTGATGTACTAAATACTGCTCCAACCTTCCTCTTCTTTAACGGGTCCTTTTTTGTTCTTATGGCTTATGCCCAATATTTATAGGATTCCTTTAACAATTCTGGATCTTATTTCTCTTTATTTTTTAATTATTGAGATACTCCTATAAAGTCTTTGAAAAAAGTGGAGGAAATTTTCAAATCTCTTTCAGCTGAACTTGTCTATATAATGGATCCTTTGGATACATTAATATCGTCCATCCTTTGAGAGAGTCGTTAGAGATGTACACTCTTTCTGGATAAATAATTTTGAACCTTATCCTGTATTTATTGTTCTGCATTATTTTATTATGTTTTTGATTGAAATTCTAATTATTTTTATTATTCTTTTTATTAGGCTTTTGCACTCATTTAAGGACTTTCAACCTTTCTAAAAAGCTACCCCTAATCCAACATTGTTGTAACCTGCTTTTTTATTTGTTGCTAATGATATGATTTGTGCTTTTATGTCGCAATTTCAGCAAAAACATTAATCTTATTTTATTTTCTTAATAGTTTATTATCCTATATAATAAGTTTTCTGACTCTTTTGTTGGTTTGAGTATTCAAAGGCTGTTCTTTAATCTAATTTCTTCAAATTTATACATTAAACTCAATATATTATTGTATATTAATATCCGAATTTCCTAATTTTGGATTCAATGTCAGTTATCTTTTTGATCTCTTTTTATCTGCTGTAAGAGGTTCAATGTGAAATGATTGACTAACCTTTTATCTAAAGAAAGGATAGTAATCAACTTTTTTTTTTATGGAGAAGGATTTTTCCTCACTCCCCATTCGATATTTATATTAACAAGTTTCAATGAGTAAAGGTCTATAAATCATATTATAATTTATATTTTATTCTTTAATTATAATAAAATAAATGTGATTATAATACACAGACTAACTTAGCATAGAATTGAAATAGTCGGAGCTTATAATTTACGATCAAACGATTGAAAGCAAAAAGAGAAATCTTAATAGATATTTAAGAATTATCTAGAAGCAAATTAAACAATTAAAAAAAAAGTAAATTAGCAATTTATATCAAAACTAACAGAGATGGATGTATGATTAAGTTGAAGCCATCTCTCAAATCTGTTAAAATATCTATTTATATATTAATTAAATAGAATTAAATATTAGACATATCCTAAAATAATTAAAGCTACTAATAATGAATTCATTAATATAATTTAAATCTATTTAATATAAGATTAGAATGCTTTTTTGATATAATTTAAATTAACAAATGAATTTTGAAAATATAATCGATCTATGTAACAACACAATATTTTGTCCTGATGAGGATTGTTAGTCAAGTCACTAAAGAAAATACGTAGGCCTGTGTTTGGAATATCTGAAAAAGGATCTTGAGGACGAAGAATCTTGTTAAGCAAACAAAAAATGCTCCGATGACTAATGCACACTTTATCATTTCAATCTAGAAAAAGTCCACTTATTGTTATAAATATCTCCAATAAATGGAGTGTGGGGTTTTAATTTATGCCCACACAATATTTGTTAATAGGGTTTGTGTAAATTCATTCATAGAAAATGGGCTTAAGGCATATGCTTGAGTAATTTAATAAAAATATGCAAAAATAAGAATTGTGAAAATAGACATGTGTAATGGGACAAACTTAGAAGAGAAGTGTACACTTAATATAATGTTGCCTAAATTAACCCAGAGAATATTTGTGAAAATGAATAATGTAATTGCCCTTATCATTTAGAAGGATTTTAAAACTTATGTTTAAAATATCTCCAAGGAAATTGCCCAAATAAGATATGCTTAAAACAACATTGTGATTGGGAACACATTAACTAAATTTCTTGTTAAAAATAATAACTTTTGCCATGTACCAGTAAAATACAAGGAAATAGTTTTATAGATTTTCTCGAAAATGCAAAGCGCTTTGAAATTCAATAAGTATGTGAAAAGGAAAAGTTGATAAACTTTTAAAGGGAAATCCATCAATCAAATATCATAGATGTGATCTTCATTTTAGATTTGACAAAGTCGATGAATCGTTGGTTGGAAGCTATTAAAAAGTAAATTGCCAAACTAATATATCAATTTAAAGAAAAGATCAATGGGTATGGAGTGAGAATAGGGTTTGTAGGATATAGAGATACTTGTGATGAAGAGGAATAGTTGGTGTATAGATGTTTAACAGAAAACTTTGAAGAGATAATTAAAGTAATTTCAAAATAGGTAGCTCAAGGAGGTGGGGATTAGGCAGAAGATATTGTTACAGCATTGGAATAAGGATTGAATTTAAATATATCAAGACACCCAGACAGTATTTTATGTACATTCTTAATCACTGATGCTCCTTGTCATGGAAATCAATATCACTCCGACGAAATATCAGATGATCAGAGTGATGCAGTAGAATAAGGTCATTTAGAAAATATCATATTAAAATATAAAGAGGCCAAGAATCTTAGCTTTTTCACCTGCTTTAAAATCAGAAATTCAACTGACATCATGTTTAATAAAATGCAAGATGTATTTCCTGACATTATGATAACTAGAAAGAGCTAGCCTGATGATTTTCCTACTCTTGTTAAATTCGCAATTGAATCATCAATTACTAAGAGTATCAATAGATCAATGTTTCCAAAAACAACTTAGAAATTTTACTCTGGAGCTAAATTTATTAAACCAAAAATAATTAATTATCAATTCTCTGAAGCACAAATAAAAAAGTCATTGTTTTGGACATAATTTATTGATATTGTTGATTAATTTCAAAGATAAGGAGTGACTGCCTTAGAAATCAATTAAGAACCAGAAATCACTAAGATAAATGTACAAAACTATTCAAATTACAATAAAAATTACTTAGATCATACCAATACTTGTGTTTTTAAAATTTTTGATGCTTTAAATAATAGATTTATGGCTGTAAAACTATCAAAAGAGCACGTTAAAAAGTATTTAGACAATCAACTAACTGAGGAAGATATCAAAATTGCAGAAGAGCTAGCAAAATCTAGGTATTATGTTGCTGCTCACGCAAGCTAGTTAGCATTTCTATTTAGAGAATTGACAAAGGGTTTTGATGAAATACCTCCAATCTTTTACGTATCTCCTATTCTTTACACTTTGGATATTCCCTTTTATGGATTAAACCTATTATATGCAGAGACTTTCATAGATTCAGCCAAGTTTTAATGGAAGAAATATTCAACAAACGGTGCTTTTACATCGCCACAATTTTATTTCTACTCTGCTTTCAGTCATTTCACTTATACAGAAACAGAAGGAACCCTTGTAGTTTTGGATTTGTAAGGATCTAATAACATATTGACTGATGCTTCTATTTAATCTGCAGATGGTATGATTCCACTCTTAGAAAAAGATCCAACCAATTAAAAATAAATTGGAATAATGACTTTCCTATAAAAATAGCATGAAAAATGTAGTATTGTATGCTAAAAACTTAATTTAAGTAGGAAGAACTTTTCAATAGCAAATCCATAAATTGATCATCTTTTTTGGAACATTCAAGATCATCAGATGATATCAATATTATGTGAAACATGTTCATAATAAAGGTTATATTCATTGGATTAATATAAACAAATGAAAGAGATTAAATGTGATATTTGCAGAGATTTAGAAAAACAACCAATAGATGCAATATGTAGATGCTGTTCATAAATGTATCATCATGATCCAAATGAGGATCTACTGTCATTGACTGTTTATGGTTATTGTAAATTTTGTAAAATCAATTGTTGTCTTAGGCAAAATAGATGTTTATACTGCTTGAGTCATTGTTGGTTAAATTTAAAATAGATTGGGGAATTCAGTTAATACGTTTGTAAAAGCGGATATTAATACTTACAAGTTTTACATTGTTAAGTTTGTAAATCCTAATACTAATTCAAATAAATTCTATCAGAATAGGAGTATAAGGAAGGAATTTTTATTTGTTGCAACAATTAATGATCTATTTTGTATATAATAATAATGCTTTAGTAGACCTACACTTTTAATATTATTTATATTTTAGTAATAAAATACCAATATTCTAAACTTTGAATAAATATTACTTAAATGATAATTAAATAATATCCTAAAAATATGAGTCAATCAATTATTAAACAAAAATTATTAATAATATTTAGTATATATAGCAAGACATTTATCTTTAAATTCATATTTTTTTGGAAATCTTAATTTTTTTCTCTGCCTAATATTCATCACTTGAGCTTTGAGGTGTATGAGCTCCTTGATCACTAAATATATTTTATTCAACAATTACTTTTTTTGAAACCCAGCATACTTTTTCTTTTTTGTTCTTCTGAAATGATATTTGTTATCTTCTCCACTTACTTCAGCATTCACTTATTTAGTTGGATTAGTAATCTAATTTTAAGTGGTCACTTCCTGCACAAAAGGTGATGTTTTACTACTTAATGAAAATATCCGATCATTTTGGCTTGATTTACTTTTTCTTTGTAAAGCAGCATTGGCTTTTGTATTTTTCATGCTTAAATATCCATCCCATCCTTTTATTACATTTCCAGTGAATGCTGTGTCCTCTAAATATTTAGTCTCATTATCAAATATGCTTTTCTCTAGATTTTTCAATTCGTTGTCTAAAAATGCCTTTTTATCAACTAATTCCTAGTATTTTCTATCCATTTAATTTATAAAAAATATTATTGTGAAATATCAATAAATTTTTTATTTAAATTGAAAATTCATCAATATTCAATTTTAAATTCAGCTTAGAAGTAACTCAAATTAATATTAAAATCTATAGCTGCTACATATAATATCTTGGATAATAATAAATAAAATGTGAAGTTAAAATCAATATGAAAAAGTAAATCAAAAATATATATTTCAATATTAATAATCCTTACTTCCTTTCTTGATAATAACAATAAGAACACATATATATTAAATCTCAAATTCTTATGGGATAAGAAGAAAGGTAATATTCAAAAGTTCGAAAAATAGATTATGTATCTAATTAATTCATCATCCTAATTGTTATTTAGGATTATAAGATAATATTTTTTATTGATTATATATTAATCTTGTCATTCTTATTTGACTTTTTTTTGTATTTACTCCTAAATATTTCTAGTGATAGTGCATGAATGTAATTTAACCATTTCATATCTAATATCATTTATTTGACTAATAACTTTGATTACAAAATCACAAAGTAAACTTTTTGCTCTTAATAATATCTAATTCAATTGATCACTTTAAAGACTGTTTAAATATTCGCTTAAATTTTCTGTATCGATGTCTAATGAATAATAATAATTAAAATACACCTAAGATTCGTATGATATACTTCCTTTTTTTAACAATAGCAGATAAATCATTCTCAAATAGAACTTTAATGGCATACTCATTATCAAGATTAATTAATTTAATTTATTGAACTTTGGTTTAAATTCTAAAATATTTATTATTTTTTGTATTTTCTAAAACTTAAGCAGTATTTGTAATTGGTAATTCAATTACTCCAACATGAGGAAGAGGGGGAGATTAATTTTGAAAATCTATCGGTGGTTCTACTTAAGTATCTTTGCACAATTTCGATTCATCGTTGAATGAGAGAGCAAAACAAGAATTGTGTTTCTGAATAACTTTTACCATCCTGAAACCTGCCCATTTATTTTTCTCCAGTTAAAACTCTTAAGCAAAAGGTAATTAGATGATCACTTTTACTTTTTACTTTTAGAAATTAACAATAGTAATTTCTTGATAACCATTTCCCTGAATATTTCTAATCTTAAAGATAAGACCAAAAACATTGAATATCCTTCCTAAATTCTAAACATTTATTTGATTATACTCAGTCCAACTAATAGTGAGAGGGAAGATTTAGGTTTCTTTATCAATTCTATATCTAATTTCATTCTTTCCATCAGGATCAGAGTATTCGTAGGTAAGAATATTTAGATAGACACATTCTTGATTTTCCCCAATATCATCAAGTCTGAGGTCAACTCCTCCATTCCAATCACTCTGGAATGACATAATTGTAGCTCTCTATTCACTTAAGCAATCTAAAATTGTAGCGATCTTAAATGAGCTCAGATTAGAAGCCTTGTATTATTTAAATGTTTTATTTAATTTTCCTTTTATATTGATTCTACAATTATTTATGAAACCAAACTTGTTTACCATATTTGGGGTGAAGAATATAACTGGTTTCAGATAATAATACTAATTAATGTTGTATGGAATCAATTACTAAAGAAATAATTAATGAATTCGTACTTAATATAGTACGCAATATTCTTCAATACACCTCTCTCCATTAAGATACCCTAATCTCCTTATTTAGATTTATGGTTATTCTTATTATAAAAAAAATGTGTATTGGCTTTTGATTTTAATTTATCTTCTTTGTATTCCATCATAGATATAGCATTAGTTTATTACTCGTTCTTCATCTTGTAAAAATGAATATTTCGCTGAAGTTTAGACCTGCACATACAAAGGAACTGGAGAATCTCTGAATATAAAGTCAATTGCTCCTTAGGTTAACATTTGTACTTAATTTAATACTAAATATAAATTGAATAATTTGCTTTAAAATATTAAATTCTTTTAATAGTTTAATTGAATAAAATAGAATTTCATAAATTCAGAATCAACATACTTAATTCCACTAATTCTATCAACCCCCATGAGCTAACTACTATATCAGTGGAGTTACCAGTTTTCTCATTTAATTTGCACTAATTATCTGACCATATGCAATCATTACTTTCACATTAACTTTGTTGTTGAATATACTAACATTTTTAAACACACTATTTAAATATACTAAATATTACATTTTAATTAAGAAAATCACAATATTATTCTGGACAATTTTGTTGTTCGATAAAGTTCTTGCAAATCTTGGATTAACACTTCATTTCTGTAAAACTATACTAACAAAATTGATGGTTTTAATGACAGATGCAAGGACTTGATATTTCCTCGCATGATACGCAAGTACTATCAGTTAATTCGACGCAGAATTGATCATTCACTTAAACTCCATTACATTAAGGTGTATTTGGCAAATATCTACAAGCACAATTGAATTATGTAGTATAATTACATCCTAAAAATTTGCAAGTCTAACTAAATATGCAATAATTTGGATAACTTAAGCATTGTTATTCTTCAAGTATTTCACAATTAAGCGTTTAACATTAGTTTAATTCTGAATTAAAAATGCATAATTTATCATGTAATTATGGACAATTTTAAGAGTTTGGACTCTTAATATCTTCACATTATTCAGCAGATTTGCATAATTAGGAAGTGTCTGTATAACAGTAGAATTAATGAAATTCTAAACCATCACAAGAGCTAGCAGGTTAATCCTCGCATTATTTCCATCTACACTAATTCTAAACCTTATCATATTTACAATGACTAAGTGAATCACATTATTTCTGTGTTTTAATTTAATTGCAGTCATATTCTTTAATACTATTGCATTAACATTAATTATTGATCCATGTACATTGACTTGATTGACAACCTTACATACTTAACCCTTTAGTTTCACATAATTCTTCTTTTGCTTGAGAACATCCAGAGGTTAATTCATTGAATTTACAACTATCAATGGCATTCATACACACTTTATAATTTGCAATAGGATATTCATTGCAATCATAAAATTGTTTTGTTACTCGTTGACAATATTCTTAGAATACACAATCATCAATCTTAATACAACCTAGGGGATTTAAACCTACAGTATCACAATTCGTTGTTTGTAACTTGACATTTTCACATTTATTATTATTGATATCATAATAGCAAGCATCTAGATCAACCAATTAACAAACCTTTGAATTCACATTGATAGGTATCAATTCACATAAAGTGTAGGGAGTGTAATCATAACAATAATAGTTACCATCCTAGACATTTTACTTCCAAATACAAGGGTGATTTTTAATATTTAAGCATGCAAATTTATTTAAACCATCATGAGTACAAGTGATTGAATTTATGTCAACATCTTGGCAACCCTTTAGAGAATATCCATATGGTTAATTAATATCTAGTTTTGAGCAAGAGATGATATTCAAATTTTGTATATTTAATTATTAAGTATCAATCTAGATATCTTAATATTAGCATCTACTGGCTATGCTATTCCAAATACACGATTAAGTCTTTATGGCTAAACATGCATCTTTGTTGATTCCCAATACTTAAGGTTTGCAACTCAGTTCATTAGGATTTATAATTTTCCTACAATATTTAAACTCTTGGTCATACCCTACTGTATCTCCATTATTCACTAAACCACATGCATTTATATTAACAAAAATAAGTTCTTCGGGAGTGTATAATTCTTATTAACTTATCGTTTAGCATCTCAAATCTTTCCAAATACAATGCTCTCCATTCTTAATTATTTTCAAGCAAGCTGTATAACTAATATTAGCAGAGCATGATGTTTAATCTAAGTTAGTGATTGGTTTACATTCCCCTTAGATAATATCCTCCAAATTCTAGTTTTACGATTTGGTGACTGAAAATACTTATTCAACCCATTAACAATCACTAACAGTTTGTTAAATACATGCATTTTTATTGATTGTATCCAAACAGTTATTCACATCTTCATCTTATACAAATAGTAGACATTGTTCATCCTTGTATATACACAGCTGTCCTTGTACTTCAACATTCATGCAGGCTCTTTAGTTTCCAGATCTTTCAGACACTTATTAACAACCTAAATAAGTTGACTCCTCCGAGTATGAGCAACTTTCATCCTCTGAATTCCACATACAAGAAAGGTATTTCATTCTTTTACATTATTAACTTGATTATGAGAAACCACATGTTGTTGGACTCTATGCTTTACATCTATATTCAGTAGGAACAAATACACAGAGTATTTATTTTATAGAAGCACAAACTAAAAAACTAGCATTTACTATCTAATCACACTCTTCCACTTTATTTTACAAAGCCTAACAGTTATTAGCTGTCCATTCACACTCGTAAATCTTTTAATTCAAACATGTATCAATTGAACCAGCTTCTTTACAGCACCTCTACTTGTCTTTATAAGCACAATTCATAATGCCATTATTTGGACCATAGCAATATTGAAGGAACTTACACATTAAACTCTTATTTGTTTGATTTAAGCAAGCAATCTTATTCAATCCTCTCTCACAAGAGAATTCCTCTTGTGGATATACATTTCTACAAAGATTATTCTTTAAATCAAATGTACATGCTATGTCCTGGGCTTATTCACAGAATTTATAGTTATTAATATTTATTATGCTTAAACAAGTATTATCCTTGAATTATGATATATCTTATGATTTGCATTAATCTCCAACAAATTAGCAATATTGACCTTCTGTTTGAATGTTAACACATCCAAATCGATTAAGAGCTTATTCGCATTTAATTTTGGAATAATCATTATAGTAAATCTTGACACAGTTCCCTGATTAAATCATGCATCCCTCACCAGTAACCTCCTTACATTAAAATTGTCCATTTTTTTTAATATCTCTACAAAATTAATATCCACTATTATTTTTTTTATAACAATTCTCATCATAAATGCAACGATCAGTGTCAAGCTCACAACCTTTTTTATTTATTCCTTTCTCTTCTGGATCCTTTTCAACACAAACTATAGATTTATCTTCAATTTCCTGACACTTAAATAAATACTTATCGAATTTACAGGCAGTGCCTAAAGTATTAATAGCACAAAAAGCACCAGAATTAATATTTTCTATAGTATTACATTTGACATTTTTAAAATCATCTAGATTAGCATTGATACATTAATTATTTTTATATTAGCAAAATTAATAAGGAGTCTTGATACTTAAACACGCTATTTAATTTAAAGGTGCGTTACATTTTAAATAAAGAAATTAAGAACTGGAAACTATTTAGCATGATTCTTACCACATAAGAGGTTTTGACTTATTAAAAATTTAACATGTCATTTTATTGAATGAAGATATGTTAGAAATACTATCATTTATTTAATATTCGGATACAAAAGGATACTGAGCACATTATTTATTTAACTTATTAAAAGCACAGGGGACATCAGTGCTTTTAGAGCAAGTAGTTGGGCTTGTTGATAACCCATTTTTATCACATATATTGAGATCAACTTTAGTAGTATCAATGTTTCGACATCCAAGTTTCGGATCAAAATAACACATTTAACCTTTGGTAATTATTGAGAGACATTTATCATAATTGATTTCATCAAGACAATTTCTATTACCAAATGACTTAATGCACTTTTAGTTCTTGATTTCACAATAAGATCCTTGTGTATGGAATAAGCATCCCCAACGATTTAGGCCTTCACATTTTTGAGGTGTTGTAATTATTTCACAATTCTAAGTGCTATAATTAAACATGCAAGGAGCTTCACGATCATTTTCACAAATGTTATTCTGTACAACTGATTTTTCTGATGATAAGGTTATGCAATTGTCTTTAACAGAAATAGGGAGGCATTAATAATTAACAAATTTGCATTGTGTATTCAATCTTGTGCATGTATATTAATTTAAAGTAGTTACGCATTTATTTTATGCATAAATTGCTTTGAATTGAATAGGTCTGCATTAATTTTCAGCAAATTCACAATATTAGCTTGTCTTTGTTAAACATGCGTACTTATTGATTCCTTTATAAGTACAATCCTTAATCTATATATTTTTATTAGTGATGTCTATACATTTTTATTACTCCTCATTAAATATTATAGATACACCAATATATCTGTCTCCATCTGGTGACATGACCGAGAAATCAGCCTCATCGCAAGATTTTTTTGTATAGAAAAATGGAGTATTTATATCATTCTGAGATTTTATAACATGGGGTTAGCAATAATTATCGAATTTGCAAGCATCTTCTTATTTTAGACAAGCTTTCTCATTCAAATTAGTCAAGCAACCTAATTTAGTATTTGTTGTTTATTAACATACTCTATTGACAAATATACACTATCCTTTCGTTAATTTAGTACATGCATATTCATTAACATTATAAATTGATGATACTTCACAAGAAAGGACATCAGTGGGTATGATTTCTCTACAATTATAATATTAATCGTGAAGACAACCTGATTGTGTTTTAAATTCAGTACAAGTGTAAGTATTAAAACGATCGATATCACTCTATAAAATATCATTACATTAAAGTAATGGATTAAGTTTGAATTCCAATTTAAAGCACTTTTCATATTTAGTAGACCATCCACATGCAATATTTATAGTATTCAGACATGAATATTGATTCAAATTATCACATGTATTTGCAGGTATTTTACTAATCTAAATGCATTTCTCATTAGTCCATTAACAACTTCCATACATAGACCTTAAACAAAGAGATTCTGTCTGTAATAACTCACATTTGCCCATATTTTCATTATAATAAACGCACAAAGAGGTTATTTAATCAATCCAACAGATATTGATTTATTTGCTGTAACAAGCATTGTAATTTAAAATAGAGCATTCAATCTTATCTTCTGGATCTATTGATACTGTTTTACATTCGAAGTTATCCCATTTGCATTTAATTCCTTTAGTTTTTTTAAGACAAGCCAGCTAATTTAGATAGCTACAAGAGTTTTGATTAGGAATATCATCTATGTTTAAACATTTTTATTAACTAGCATCATATTTAGTTGCATGTTCATAACATTTCAAGCATGCTTTTGATGAAACAGGATTCTCAAATAGTTGATTGCACTCATAGTGGGTAGCATCTTCACATATAGATTCAGAAAATGCACAGGCTTAATCAACACTTACGCATATTTCTTATTTATTAGTTGTTTCTAATAGATTTACTTGATAACACAGAAAGTCTTTATTTGATTTATCTGGATCTACCAATGGTACTTGCTTAAATTATTAACATTATCCTTAAAAAGTATAGTTGCATCCACATTTTTCACATAAAGATTAACTAAAACTTCTATCACAAGGATATAACCCATTTTCCATTTGTGTTGGCATTTCATGTATACATTAGTTCCCATCATATCTACAATCATCATTAGCTTTAGCACATAAAATAGGTTAAACATCTTAGTTTTTTATTGCTGCACAAGAAAATGGTTAATTGTATGTTGTAAGTGGTACACAAGTCAAATAGGGTTTTTGGACTGTTTTGCATTTATCACCTGGTTTGATACTTGATTCTCCATTTTAGCAAATCGCTTTAGGACTTGAACTAACATAGCAATTATTTGCAATTTAACTACAATCCCCAATGTTATGTTCATTGCCTTTTAATTACTTGCAACCTCCTTATTATAGGTCAAAATAACAGTGTGGACTCAATTCTAAGCATAATGCTTTATCAAAATCTTTATCACAAATATTAACTTTATTTTCCATTAATGAACACCAATTATTAAAAATATGAGTGTCTTATACAATACAATTATTCTAGCGTATTTGATTATAAGGTTATGTAATTTATGTTTAACATGTATTTTCAGATTGGGATGAGCAATCAAAATTCTAGCATGTATCTAATGGATCACTACTGACCATAGTATCTATCTTGGAAGTATCGTAATTATCAGGGGTATTTTCATTAATTGTAAAGATAGTTTCAAAAATTGCATTAATATTACAAAAGATCTATTCAATAAATGAACATTCAATTATTTTGCATACAGTAATATTATTATTAGATTTTTAAGAATATAGGTGTTCTCTTGTATATTTAATAATTTTTTGATGACAAGTATCATTTAATTATGACCAAGTACTTTCAATTTTTGATTATTTTGTTAGACGATATGAAGTTGTGTTCTTCATGATGTCATCAAAGCAATTATCATATTTTTCGAAATCAGGACATTCTTTAAGAAGTTGTTACTGTCCATAAGCTGATTCAATATAATCATATACAATATTGAAGATTTAACAAGAATAGTTCATCCAAAAACAATACTTTTCGAATTTGCATTTCATAATGTTCTCTCTATCTTCAGAACATAATTATCCTCCTGAAGTTTAATCTAAAGTTTAAGCAACAGAGGCACAAACTCTTCTATTTGGATGCTATAGATTGAAAGAATAATTTGATAACTTCGAGCAAGTCATACTATCTTCATATTTAAATGGCTAACATTATAATGTACTCACATCAAACATGCATGTCTGTTATATATTCATACACACTTCGATATTAATCTGCCATTAAGTTGAACATTTTGATTAGTCTTACACAAATGGTTTACATTTATTATTAGGTAAAACCTCTTCTTCATCATAAAAACAATTATGACTTTGAGTATAATATAAACAAGCATATTTATTCATTTAATAAGCATTGCAATCCGCTGTTTTAGTAAGTAATTTACTACATTTCTGTGATAATTGATCATAATAGTATGCATCTCCTGTTATTAATAGACAGCCTTTTTCAGTAAACTTATGATTTCCAGTATTATTGAGAATTTCAAAATCGGCTGCACTAATAGTGTTAAAGATTTCGCATTGATTTGTAACATCATTCCAAAAACAGGTTTCTTTGGTTACTAGTTTACATAACTCGATGTTTATTAAATCTAAACATGACAACTCCTCTATTTTTGTGTAATTCACATAGCATTGAAAAGTATTTGGATCCCATCTACATTAACCCTTAGTGTTTTTGAAGCAGGATCTATTGTTGGCTGATGAACCATCACAAGATTCAGAAATCAAAGTTGAATCTACGCATGTATAATTGTCAAATTAGCACGATTATCCAATTTTATTGATTTATTCACATACTTACTTACTAACACTACCCAATTATTCATAGTGATTGCAATCCACATTAAATTCAGTAGCCCTAATACATTTATCTGTCTTATATGAAAATATACAAATATTATTCTTAATATCAGTACATGCTTTAACATTTAGGTTTTCATCGCAATCCTATATATCATTATATTCATCTAATGGTATTGTAACACATTTTATCTCGTTTGAATTCCATCTACAATAATTATTACCATTATATCTTTAACAGACATTTCTATTTCCTTAGGTTTATTCACAACTAGCATATTGAGGATCCTCTAAAATCTCTAAGCATCTCTTGTTTTCTTCATCATATCCAACATATTTGAGTGTATTCAATTCAGTTATTTGGCCATCAATTGCAAAACAAGCATTCTTATTTAATATGGAGGGTTCCTTAGTTAGTTCACGATTATCCTTGATGTAGATATAATTGATATTTAAGCAGATTATACCATTATGATAGCAACGTTAACCTACAGACCATTCAATCATATGACAGGAATTAATATTCATAGAAGTACATGGTAAGTGGTTTTCATTATAATACAATTTAACCTAATCTGAATTTGATATATCCACAATATCATTGCTTAATTCTTAACATATTAAATCCATAAAGTAACAGTAGACTCCAGGTTCAGTGGTTGAAAATTTGCTACAAGAATGGGCATTTATTCCGATATTTTCAGTTTCAGTACAACAATTGGTCTTACAAAATACCTTTTTAATTGTGCATTAGGCTGTTTATTTATTATATTAACAATATCCTCTATTTTTATCAACTTAAACTCCTTTATAAAAGTTATAATCAGGAAAGTCACATATGATAGATGCACACACATTTGAATTAACAAGTATGTCAGTTCCAGCATAGTCTAGACAATATTAATTCTCTTTGATTTCAACATCAGCACAGATATCACTTCCTTTTTTCCATTAACATAATAATGAATTAGACATAAAAGATAAACAAGCATTTCTAGTAGGAGATGTTGTTCCGCATTTTATTGGAGTATCTTGTACAATGGAGGATTGTTCTTCATCTCCTGGTGTCTAAAAATTTGAAGATTGACATTGATCATTAATATATTAACACTTGCCTTCTGCTTTTGAGCATCCGAATGAATTTAATCCTAATTCATTACATTGCATATGAGGAATAATTGAATTTGTACATCCCTTTATCGTTTGATTATATCTACACACTTCCCCTCCATATATTATATAAGAACAGGCTTTTTAATTTGCATATTATAGATTCAAACATGGAACTTTTTAAATTTCCTTCTGGTTTTTAACTTGAACACATTAATTTCTGAACCATCTACACCCTACATCCTTAGTTGTTATGGAAGAACATGAAATTCTATTTAATCCTAGTGATGCATTTTAACAAACAATAGTTCTCAATAATTCCTAATCCTTGAGATACTATTGAACTTCCTATTTAGTTGCACGAGGATCTAATTAAACAGATAAGGTAGCACATAATTATTTTACTTCATCGAAATAACAACCTAAATTCTCATTTTAATCAAGAACTTAAGAACATGCAATTGGATTAGCACTCCTCAAACTATCACATGTTGTTTAATGTTAAATCACCTTAACCTCTTTGCAACCTTAATCTTTCCATTAACATGCTACATCCTCTTTAATAATACTGAGACAACCAAATTTGTTAATAAACAAAGTATCACAAGTATCAGTTGTCGAACTCTCAATACATAAATTCGTTTATTAACTATATTTGCATTTAGTCTTATATTTAGAAATTGCCTAGCACACATTTCCATTTACTCTAATGCGTTGATCATTGAAATTTAAAGGACAATCATAATCTTAATTTACAACTCTTCTTTCACAATAGCTCCCAGTCCAAAAACAATACTAGAATGGAGTTTATAAATTAACACAAGCCTATTTATTCAATTACATATGACATTAATAGGAGTAGAGATCAATTTTCGATAACTCTTAGCATCTACCTGCTTTAAATGAACAATTAAAATTGGTAATTGATAAACATGCTTGTTTTGATAATCCTGGAGTGTCACATTTTAGTGAATTCATAATTTTATTTGTTACATTCATGCATATATGTTTGCTCTCATCATAATAACATGATCCTGCTAACATTTAACATACAGAAGCATTCACCATATTTTTAGTAGTGCACTCTACTTCAGCATTGTACTCAAATTGTCTGCACTTTTTATCAACCCACTCGCACTTTGTATCTGGATTTTTAATCGACAAACATAAAGATTGGTAAAACTTGTCTTCACATGATTTGATTTCTGATAATTAGATCTCAGTACATTTATTATCTTAAAAAATGCCTAAATTTTAGTATTTAGTTTATACAATATTAATTTAATTTATTGATTGCCAAACAGCCTTCCTCATTTAATCCTAATTCATAACACGATAGTTAGGATAATTAGTATAATGGTATTTCCACACATTCAAAATTTCCCTCATATCCACTACTCATACCTAACATCATATACAAATTTATTACATAGGCCATATGGTAACTAGGAACAAGTGAAAGGGTTTACTGGCATTTTGAATATGTTACAAAAATTTGAATTATCTTATTTAGATTGATTTAATGGTTAACATATATTATTCTACCAACTACAGGACTATTTCTCTACATCCAAACAAGCAAATATGTTGAACATTGCAGAACAACCATATTAGATCAATTCGACCTTCTTTACTTCCTTACACCTCTTATGAAAAATGCCTTGGTATAACAAATACAATTACATTAAACTCTTTAATTTTAACCATCAGTTAATTAGCTCAAACATGCCTCGCTATTCAAATATTCAGAACAACCTAAATTGGTCATTATGTTATTGACACATTTGTTGCCAAAATTATCATATTAGCCTAAATGTAATTATTGCTCATTTACATCTAATGCCTTCGGTCTTCTAAATGCAACCCTATGCAGAATGTGGATATATATTGCATTTTTTTTGTGAAAGCACTCCTATAGAGAAAAATGCAATCACAAATAAGGTATAATATTAAGAGCTTTTGTTTACTACCATTGATCAAGAAGTTTAGTAAAATATATAATTTAAATACAGTATTTTCTTATTTGGATTATGACCTAAATTAAGGTCATTTCAAAATTTAGGTACCTAAAGCTTAATAGAAATGGTTTATTGCGAGTCAATAATTCTTGGAAATGATGCATTATTTTTAATGAAGAGTGAACAAATATTATACAAATGTCAAACTCAAAGGGTTATCCATGTAGATGAATTATAACGCATATATTATACAATTTTACAAGTAGATCAACCCATACATTCCAGAAGATGACAAAAAAACAAATCAAATGGTGAATAGAATTTATTTCTTAAATATATTCTATATTGTTAAAATAAAAAATAACTACCACATCAAAATTTAAAATTTGTCTAAATTACTAATCACAGTTATTGAAAATTAAAGATAATATAGAAAGCAAAGTGATGTGACTTTATATTAAGTTAATTGTATAGTATATTTAGCAGAGCGATATTTAGGTTTATTAATTAATTTACAAAAACAAAAAAAATAAATATTAAAAATCAAGGGAAACAAATATTAAAATATTTAAAAAAGTATCATTTTGCTTTATAAAAGGAATTAGTACACTTATCTTTCTGATATCACTTTGAATTCAAAATAATTTGTTGTCATTTAGATTCACTTAATAAGTTGAAATATATTTCTTCATACTTCTGCTATTAGACATTAGAATACAGTTAATTCATTTATTTTATAGGTTATTGATATAATAGATCTAATAAATACAATCTAATTTATGTATTTCTAACGAAAATTTTAGAGCAGAAATAACTTAATTCATAAATTATATGAGTTTGAATAAATTAAAGTATCTCATTATTGTATTGATCTTAATTTGATACAAATCACGGTTTGGGTAATTTATGTGTATCTGTAAGTAAATGAAAGTAATACATTATAAATTATAATTTATTTAAATAATGTCTGAAGACAATGAATAAACAAATATAGTTTAAATATTGGAAGGAAAACAAGCAAAAAATATCACAGGCTATAGTTAAGAATTAACGTAAGTAAGGAATTGTCTTGAAGTCTTAGCAAAAAAGAAAGATCTTAGAAGATTTCAAAGGGTTGAATGTCTATGATGATAAAGGGTTATTGAGAAGTGATTGTAGAATAAAGAAATACGTGGACGGAAGTCGATACGAGGGATAATTAGTGGGAGAGAAGAGGATAGGTTTGTTAATATATAATATTAGATAAGGGAGAGGAATAAATTATTATAACAATGGAGATATTTATGTGGGAGATTGGGATGGGGATATGTTTAATGGTTATGGACACTATTTTTTTGTGAATGGAGAACGTTATAGTGGAAATTTCAAGAATGGTTGCAAGGAAGGATAAGGTAAATATTACTATTTGAATGGAAATACTTATGATGGGAGTTGGGTGAATAATTAAAAATAAGGAATAGGAAAATATTATTATTATAGTACAGAAGAATATTATGATGGTTAATGGAATAAGGGATTGAAGCATGGGCAGGGAGAGGCAAAATATGCATATGGAGAGATTTACAAAGGAGATTTCTAGAATGATAAAAGAAATGGGTTTGGTATTATGAGATTCAATGATGGAGCAAGAGTTGAAGGGTAATGGGTTGACGATTAATTAAATGGCATTGGTAAGATATTTTACTCGAATGGAGACACATTTGATGGAACATGGCTGAATAATCAAAAGAGTGGCAAAGGAGTTTATACAATGTGTGAAGGAAAACAGATATATAAGGGGTAGTTTGAAAATGATATGATGAATGGATTGGGCTATTTATAATATGAATCAGGAGATATTTATCAAGGATACTTTAAGGATGGTAAAAAGGATGGAGAGGGTGAATTCTATTATTAAGCATCAAGTAAATGAATAAATGAATATAAAGAGGACCACTACAAGGGATAATTTAAGAAGGACTTTAGGACTGGATATGGAGTAATGCATTATGCAAATGGGGACATATATTAAGGAGAGTGGTTCGAAGATCAGAAACAAGGCAAAGGCAAATATTATTATAGTATGACAAATGATACATTCGATGGAGATTGGATTAGAGATAAGAAGCATGGGAAAGGGATATACACTTTTGGGTATGATGATTATTGTTATTGTAGAAATGGAGATGTTTATGAAGGAGAATGGAGTCAAGATAAGTGGCATGGTAAGGGAAAGTACACATCCAAAGATAGAACATATATGTACGGAGAATTTAGGAATCACAAATTTGTTACTCCGATGAACTGATGATTTTATAATAGTATATATTCTCATTATTCTAATCTTGTACTATCTTGTTCTTCTTCGGAGTTGACATCTTCCTCATCCTCAAAGTCCATCTCGACTTCATTTTGCTTCTTTACTTTATAATAATAATAAGCACTGCAGGCTAATGCGGGTATTATTCCCAATAGTTATTATTTGCCTTTGAGAACGTTTTTGGCTAGCATTACACCTAAAGAACCAACAATGGCAGTTCCAACAGCTGGGACGGCGACTTCTTCTGCTTTTTCTTTAAATGTTTTGCTTGTCCAATTTGATCTAATTGATCTCTTACTGTTAGCAGATTAGGTTTCATCTAATAATGAATTAATAGATTATACTTTGTCTTCTCTTTTTCTCCATTCTATTGATGGCATTTAATTTACTTAGATCTAATTTAATTTCATCATTTTATCCTATGATTAGATTTTGAGTATTCTCTTAATTTTGATTGTTTTATTCTATAAAGGGAAATTAAACTTTTGGTTATTATTTTTGAATGGATTAGTTTCTTCTATTTCCTTTCATTGCACTAACCTTTGAGTTAGTATTCGAATCGAAAAAAACACTTATGCTTTATTGTTAAGTTTCTTGTTTAATTGATTAATTTTAGAGTTATAAAATATCATCATTTGTTAATTGGATTAAATGTGATTGTTTAGATTCCATCATTTCTAAATTCTTTTTTAGTTCAATTAATTTGATTGATTCTTGATATAATGAATTATTCATATAAATTTATGATTCTTCGTCTCTTTTTTCAGAATAATTTATATCGTTTTAATTAGTTTAATTCGAATTGTTATTATCAATCACAGTTTATCCATTTTCTTTTTTTGTAGCAAATTTCTCTAACATTTTCATCACATTCTTTTAATAAAACTACTTAGTTGATTGTTTCCTATCATTCTTTCTAATAAAGATTTCTTGATCCTTATTTTATTCGTATTCTTGTTCTAGATTATTCGGTGCTTAAAAACTATTATTCATAATATCTGAAGTGTCATTCGATTTTTTGGATTTCAGGCCATCCAAATACCTATCAGTTTAATTCTTATAGAATGAATGAATCGTTAGTTTTTTACCTTTTCTTTCAACCTAAGTATCACTCTTGATGAATGAATATTATTATTTTTTCATCTCTGGATCTGACTCTTATGCTTGATTACTACCTTAGGAATTATTTTCTTGAATGATTTAACTCATAATTGAAATAACAATAATATTAAATAATTTAAATCATAAATAGTTATTTTTATTTAATACCCTACAGAATCCCTTTGATACACAATAAAAATCAGCCCAATCTTGTTTCACTTATTGTCTATATACTCTTAATTGTTGACTTTTATTACAAAAGACTTGCAAATTTGACATACCAAATGGGTTCTACATAAATAATCACTAAAATAATCAACCGATTTATCCTAGATAAATTTATAAGTAATGCATTCCTTTAGATTATTCGCCCTTTAATTTTCTGTAGCCTATGACAAAATAATAAACGAACCTAGAGAAACTAAAATATCTCACTACTGTTTTATATTATTCTAAATTTATATCAAGTTCCATTTTAAATGATTTTTGAATTATCCTATAGAAATTTTAGGGTTTTGCATTAAACTTTTTTTCTATTTATAAAGTTGATTAATAACATTAGAAACAAGTAAATTAAGTATTCTGTTTGGGAAATGCAATTTAATTGAAAATCTTAACAAAGCATCCAATTCTTATATCAATCTATTCACCTTTTAATAAGACTAAAGTTTTATATATGCACTCCTGATTTTATTCTTTTAGTTACTTACAACATTTTCTATTTCTTTTAGTGGTTCATTATAGTGAATTCTTTGCCATCATCATATTTTTATAAATTATATGGATAAAAATTTCTAATCTTTATGGATAAAATTCAAGATCTTATTCTGTGTTTTTATTTAAATAAATCAATTCGATATATTTACTTATAAATATTGACATTTATTAAACAGTGATACCATTTTATAATCAGTCAAAATGAATATGATGGTTTAATCCAAAAAGGCGTTATCTATTTTATTGTTATATATTAATTTCTCGAGCTATCAATTGCTTCTATTGTGATTCAATAAATTATATTTGATTATTCTTAAAATATGTGTTTTATTTAGATAGAAGTTATATATGGAATATTTATGATATGAATTAATGACTACAACAAGACAATTCTATTTTAATCTATATGATAAAATAATTATGTATTTAGTTTATATTATTAATTATATTTAGAGCATTAGAGTTATTTTATAGTTAAATCTACCTAAGACAAGAATTTTGATATCCATTAATCATTAGATCATCTTTTTGTTATATATTAATTAAATATATAAGTCATAATCAAAACACTCTTTGATTTTTCCATTTGATCATATCTTCATCATTATATTCAAAGTCATATAAAGAATAGTCCAATTTAATTCCAGATTGTGATAACTAAGATAGATTAATACCATTACATTTGACTCATCTAATGGAGGTCTCTTCAAAGGTGGATTATATAAATTTAACGTATTTCTCCCAGTTCTCACACTTCCATCTGGTTTGACAAACACGATATATGACCAACCAATAACTTCATAATCTCCCATAGTCATTGTAGTATTGGCTCCTCCTTAGGATGCATTCTTTTCGACCACTTAAAATCCAAGATAAATAGTCTAAAATTAATATCAATAAAGAGTATACTTTTCCAGCACTCATGGCTTGCTCTTGAAAATTGTAAAAAAATCTATATTCTTCGTTGAATTCTATCAAAATTGATCTTGCGGCTTTGTTACTGATTCCTTTCATTTAAGGATCAGCCTCTATAAGTGGAAATGGATTAGATTCTACATTTTAACCTGGATTAGGACTACTAGGATCATGAATGGTAGTATTAAATGCTAGTGGTTATCCACTTGGATCCAACATCAAATGTTAATCAGTTAATGCTGCACACATGACTCTCATAAAATTATTGGCTATTTTATTCTGAATGTGATGTATCTATATTCGATACCCTTTCTTTGTGTCTCCTCTTAAGACATATTATTTAGTTTATGGAGTGGGATTTCTTTTGTTTCCAAACACTGCTACTTCTTCAGTCACTTTGTAATTCTAGCCATTTAAACTGAATTCCCCATTATCTTTATTGTTTTATTCCTTGCCTTCAATGGCAGCTTCATAATTTCTATCAAATAAGCTTCTCAAATGAATATATGGAATATTGTATTCCATGGCAGTTTATTCAGGATAAATTGATCTGACTTATCCTAAATCTTCATCATTTGGATAAGTAATTCTCATATGGAACCAAGCATTTGGAATAGGTTCTAATTTTGCAATATTTTCTATTGTAATAGTAGCATCTGTAGGTCCTTTGTATAATGGACACTTGAATTTGCCTCTTTTCAGTTGTCTTTATTAATCAAATAAATCAATTTATGTCCATCCATATGATTGAGTCTTACCAATATTCTCTTCCAATTTCTTACTGACAGGTAATTGCACTTCCACTATTAATAATACTTCTGGATGAGCCGGTATTTCGTATAATTGATTAGTCTCTCCAATCAACACTCGATTTGAACTCTCTCCTTCTATCTCACAATCATATGGTTCTATTAACTTTGGTTAGTTTAATTATTGCATATTATTAAAAATTGCAAAGACAAATTATGCAAGCTTTGTTTTCCTTGGTAATCCCAATACATAATCCCAATGGATTACTAACCCTTCAGCTGGATCATATAAGTGACCTTCCTTTCTCACTTCTCCAAAATCATTCCTTAATCTATTTTCTATAATAAATTTTCTTTAATCATCAACCCATTTATTGTTCTCAAATTCTTTATCCTTTTCTCTTCTTTTCTTCTCAAAATTCCTTCTTACTCTTTATAATCGTTGCTCTTAAATAATCTTTTCCATTTCTGCTCTCATAGTTGACAATTCTTTATATTATTCCATCTTAAATCTATAAATTTCAGTTCCTATGGGAATTCTAGAAATCATTCTTAACGAGTCTACTTCTTATGCCTATAAATTCATCAATATTTATTCTTCTCTTGTTAAATCAACTCCTCTTACATTGTTTTATAAGAAAAACTCCTTCTTTCTTGAAAATTATTAAAATGGATCATTGAAATCTTTCTTTTTTGGTTTATTTGATTGAATATCCTATTATTAGGGATTGATAAACATAGGTTATTATTAAAATATTTACACTGGTTGTTATTATTATTAAAATTAAACCGGTTATTATAATTATGATTATTACTATTAAAACTATTATTAATTTAATTGCTACGGTTATTAAACTGCTCCTTTATAAAATGATTCCAAATTATTTACATTATTTAAAAATTTTGGATCCTACCCACCTGCCTACTAATAATCAGTCTTCAATTATTGTAGTTCATCTATAACTTAATTTGACAAATGAGATTAAGGTCTTGATGTTTTTAATCTATCTACTCTTTCCATTTATTATCTTTTCAATTGGTCTATTCTCTAAGAATCCTAAGCTATCCTGTCTTTCATTCTAGCAATCTCATCATAATTTTATGTAGTTCTAATCTAACTTTAATCATTCAATATTTATTAACTGTTACGTATACTATTCTTAGAAGACTCTCCTCTCCTGACTTCTCCAAAATCTCCTAGTTTGATTCTCTCCACATTATCTAAAATCCTATTTCTCTCAGCATCCATATATTCTAACCTCGTATGTAATTTAACCAATTATTATTTTGCCTCTGAATATTAAGCAGATGCTATTATTCTATTATCAGTAATTCTTTATGCTTATTCCATTGAAAAGAATGTCTTGTGTCCTCTTGTAAATAATCTAATATCCTCTATCAATTATAATTATTTATTTTTCAAATCCTCTCTTTCTACTAGAAGTTTTTCAAGCATCTATTTCTTTTACTCTTCCAAGACTGACATTTTCCATGAGTCAATTTCATTGATCAATTTACGAATCTGTTCTTTTTCTATTCTACATTAAAACTCTCTCTCCTTTTTCAATTCCACTTCTTGTAACAGTATTGAATATATGTGTTCATCTTAATCGCTAACTACTCTCATTTATTATCTGTCCTGCTTTAGCTTATCTATTTAATCAATTAATTCATCCTCTCTCTTTCTCAGAACAGCATTTTCCAATCTTTTAAAATCATCATCATTAGTTTTTAGATTAGATTTGATTTAGTCCTGATTTATTAAATCTACATACTAATGTATATCCACCGTAATTCTTAAGTGATGTCGGATCCTATTGTTTTAGACTAGGTTTCAATTCAGGATAGGCAGGTTTTGTGACATATTCATGTTTCTGTTCCAGTTTATTTAAATTGCCATAATCAGAATTAACACAAAACTATCATCAATTTATGCTTAAATACTCTTTTAACATGATTAGCCAATTATTCACTTGATTCAAAAGTCATCTTGCAATCCTTGCATATATTCTCATTCATGTATTATAAAAATAATATAATTAAATTTTATTTGATAATGAATCAACAATTAGATGACTCAAAAGAAAGTGTCAAATCGTAATCATTAGAGAGATATCTACAAGTTGAGTCAACTAAGAATTCTTTGTCCCCAGCCAGATAAGTACAAACTACAAGACCCGCTTATGAGTCATCAATACTAAAACTATAAAATGGAAAATTTTCTAATTCCTAATCAGTCTTCTAGGATGCACTAAATAAGAAGAAATGCGAGCTGATTAAGAAGCCATAAAAATCAGTCATTGAAATGCCTAAGAAACCAATTCCATAACCAGAAAAGCAAGTCAAAAGTATCAACAATACTAATAATATAGAATTTGATAAAGTGCAATAAAATATAAAGTAGTCACAATTAAAGTCAGAAGAAGTCAAAAAGAAAAAAGAGGAATAAAAACAAAAAGAACAGGAGAAGTAAAAGAATGAAGCAGTCTTAGAATCTGATGAAGGTAATACTTCAAATATATAAATCTCAGCATTTTTAGAGACTGTAAATAGATTGTATGATTTTGAGAAAAGAAGAACAAAGTAATTGTAGAAGATGGTGGATGAAGAGAAAAATAAAGAAAAATAAAAAACTATAGCAAGACCATTTATCAATTAAAAAAGTTGTATTCTTTTGGATAGAAAATTAAAATAGATGATTGAAGAAGATGAATCATACAAATAGATTTGTCAATTTAAAGATATGGCTGTTTAAGCTGATTTATTGCCTAATCTCCCAAAAATAAAGGATTTTCAAATTATTAAGTATTGCATTACATTTATGAAAGCCAAAAGAATATTAATCTTACTAAATCATAATAATAGATTGTGATTGTCATGGATTTAGAATTCAAGGAAGAAGCAGAAGTGGCTGAAGATATTTAATATAAGGAGGATCAAAGTCATAAGGTTGTTTAAACTAAAGAGATAAAATATAAAGTGGGTGACACTATCAAGAAATAGGAATAGGGATAATAGCCAGCAGAAACTAAGTAATTTTAAGAGAAGGAAACACCAAAAAAATAGAAAGTGAATAATTAAAGATAGAAGAGACAAGAAATTATGGAAACTTAAGAATAGCGAATTAAGACTGAATGTGAATACTATGTGCCTATTCATATTAGATAACAATAAATAATATAGAAAAAGCAAGAATGGGTTAAGTAATAATAAGAAATGAAGAGACACCATGAGGAAGAATAAGAGAAATAGTTTTAAGAATAATGGGAAAAAGAGAAGGAAAAATTCAAGAAAAATAGTTTTGCTGAAGTGAATGTAGAGGAATTTGTTAATTAACAAATAAGTTGGTTGGAGAAAAGAAATGATCATATCTTGACTGAACAAATAAAGAAAGATAAAGAAGTTGTCCAATAATTGACATTTAGGCCATAGATTAAGAGAAGGGGAACTAACAATTATGATAAAAATGATAAAGTAGAGTTGAGATTATTGGATTATTAATAAAAGAAACAAGAAAATTTAATGAAATTAGAAAACAAGTACTTACCAACATTTAAGCCCAATTTAACTTAGAAATCAGTAATTTTTTGTAATAATTATCCCTAGTTATTAAGTATGGATTGGGCCTCCAAAAGCTTTACGAATGCTTCTTTTAATAATCTTTGGTCATGAATGTATATATAAATTTCATTAATATTATAATTATATAAAATGGCTGATAAAGAACAAATTGCAATGCCTTATTTAAATTTTAGTATAAAATAGCCAATTAATATATTAAGCATTTCAGAATATGTAGAATATTAAATATAGCGAACATTTGACTCCTTAAAAACATAGATCCATGGAATAATTATTAAAATCCCCCGGGATTCAAGAATTAGTCAAAGATTCTATTAAATCAGTTTTAAATAATCCAAACCATATAACATAATATCGATATGAAAACCATGAGAGATCTGAAAGTCCAATGCCTTCATCTTAATTACCAAAACTTGAGAGATACAACAATACGAATGTGTTGAAGCAGATTCATCATCTTAAATAAAAGAAGAGTACACAATATTATCGATTATAGATGCCAATTCTCCAAAATCATATAAAAAATCTTACAATCTTCATCAAAAGTTTAAGTAGGGTCGATTCTTATAGATGTTTCCATAAGTTGATGGTTAGAATACCCTAAATATACAATCGAAGCCCATCCATGTGATAAGTATTATTCGCAATAACATTAGAAAGAATTAAGCTATAGGAGGCATTTCTAAATAATTCTATGGATGCTAGAGCAGAGAGAGATATAATTGAAAAGTTAAAATAAAAGATGGAATCGGACAAACAAAACAGATTAAATGAAATTGAAACAGTAAAGGCTTTGAAATTGATAGAACCTCGTAAAAATTCTTAAATGCTTAAAACATCTCGAAATTCTAAATTTGAAAATATGTCGAATGTATCTGGAATGACTTAGTCATAATTAATACCTTAATTAACTGGTCCTGTTATACTGTAACCATTATAATAGTAACAATAACAATAATAATAATAATAAGGGACTAAATAAAAAAAAAAAAAATAAAAAAAATTTGATGGAATATATTTTATAGATCCAAAATATCCTTAAGATGTTGTATTCTAAGAAAAATATGCTTCGATGAGACACTATTTTAATATTTTGAATCTTTCAAATTGTATATTTGTTTAACCAACAGTAAATATTTATAAGGCATATGTTGGGAAAGGGAATAACGGAGTGTTGGTTAGATAAATTTTAAAATCTCGATGGTGGTGGAGTATACAAGATGAAATGGAATAATGTCATTTTGTATGGACTCAATTAAAGGTGAATTCGATTCATGAGAATATGAAATCATTGAATAGAAATCCCAATGAATAAAATACATGTTAGAGTGCTTCCTCTTCAATTACAACAATAGGTTCAATGGGACTAAATAAATAAGATGATTAAAGTGATAACGAATAACAAATTAAAAATAATAAAATAGTGAATTCACAATGGAGCAAGTTTTTATCAAATAATGAGATTAGATAATATAGTCAGATATTGAATGGTTAGGGAAGAGCCTCGAAACTATTAACTTTAGAATAAGCACAGAATATAAAGATAAAATTATCTATTTACAATGAGCCAATAAAAGTTCATAATCATTTGGAAAATAATTTTCATTTGGGTAATAAGAAAGCTCTTTTTTACAATATGAAGGCTTATTATGAATCATAAAACATTAATGTCTTTGACAATTTACCAGTCACTTATCACATCAAGAGCTTAGATGGTCCAGAATATAAATAATTTTTGGATGCCTACAGAGAGAGATAATAATTAATAAATACTGAACAGGAAAAACGAAGAAACATTTGGATAATCAAACCTGGAGAAATTACAAATAGAGGGAATGGAATAAAGATTTCTGAAGATTTGAATGAAATATAGTCTATATTAAATTCAAGAGAAATGCACAAGAATGGGAGTTACAAGACATTTATTGTTTAATTGTATATTGATCGACCATTACTTTATAATAAAAGAAAATTTGATATTAGATGTTACAGTTTATATGTCTCTGTTAATGGAAACCAAAAAGGTTATTGGTATACTGAAGGTTATGTTAGAACATCAAGTAAGGAATTCTCTATGAAAAATTTGACAAACAAAATGATTCATCTCACTAACGATGCTGTATAAAAGAAAGGAGAGGATTATGGAAAATATGAAAAAGGGAATAAAGTCAGTTTTGAAGAGTTCGCTGTATATATTGAGAATTTAGGAGGAGATTTTACAAAAATTTATTAAAAAATGAAAGTATTACTTTATTGCTGATTAAATTATAGTAAATGGCAACTGATTAATTTAGAGCAGTTTATGGTAAAATGGATTAGAATAAGAAAGAGAACACTTTCGAAATATTTGGGTTAGATTTTATGATTGATGATACATTTAAAGTATTAATGATCGAAGCCAATACTAATCCATCTATTGAGATCTGCTGTCCACTACTGTCCAAATTGATTCCTCAAATGTTGGATAATGCATTCAAGTATTAGATGATATAATTGAAAGGATATCCTTAGATCCAATATTTCCACCACCCAATTTTTACAATCCTAAGAAGATAGTGTGTGATAATTATCTTGAGAATAAGTTTGAATTGGTTTTTGATGAAGTAACCGATGCACCTCTCTTAAATCAAAGTTAACAAAATTGTAATATTATTTATAATATTAAAAGATGATATTGGCCTTATTGAAGAAGAATCTGAAGAAGAAGAAGAACCTTAATGATTATAATAATATTAATTTCAAATTATTACTTAAAATAAGAAAATACGCCCAAATGAAGAATTCTCACTTACAGATCCTTTTGTATAATACCAGTCTCAATTTCAATTCATTTCCCTTAAATAATTAAATATAAATTCTAAGAAGGAAATATAAGTATGAGCTGATTTAATACATAATGCTTATGATAAAAATGAGAAAATTCAGAACAATACTAACTCAACTTATGTATCAAATCTAACAAAAAAAATTCTCATTAACTTTCGAAATCAATGAATTCATTAATCTCAACAAAACCTCTTACTTTACGGATGATGAATATTGGTTTTTTTGACTTTAATTTGGATTCCTTTCGATTTTATAATATTAATTTAATTACAGCCAAACTATAAAAATCTTAATTTATTGAGCAACAAAATTTATTATACATTTGTGTTTTCAAGCTTCTTTCTTGAATTATAGCTTAAACATATATATTTAAATCTTTTGATGGACAAATATCATTTTACATAATCTAAGCGGTTCATATGCTATGAGTAACCTTCAAAGGAATCAAATTAAAAAAATTTTAATATTGTTATAAAATTATTCGAGAGAATTAAGTCGTTTTAGGAAATTTTTAAAACTATTTAAATTACTAAATTTGATTCAAATCCATTATATAAATCAAGCTTAAATCTAAAATGGATTGTTTATTAGTTTTAACACTTTTATACCATCTGGCAAAAATTGGAATTAAAATTATAATATAGTATCAACTTAGTGCTAATTAGATGACTTTATGGTGGAAATACAATCAGCCTTAACTAGAAATTTTCCTTTTTTCTTGAAAAACTATGCAAACAATTTTAATCAATCTTAATAATAATATAATTCAATTATGAGTTAAGTAATTTAGCCATAACCTAATAATTATGTTTAATTTTAATAATCACAATTTCATCTACAATAACAATAACCTTCTAATAACCCTTATTCCGATATAAATTAAAAACAAGAATCATTAAAATAATCAGAATATAAATTAAAGTACAACTAGACTTAAAAAAAATAACAAGAAGAATAGGGAATGGCTAACAAATTAATTTAAATAATCTCCTCAGTTTTTGAGTTTGGAAGGAACTATTAATTTCATAAGAAGCAAAAGAGGAGAAAATAAAAATTGAAGTAAAATCTAAAGTTGATTTTGGATTGCTAATTTATTCTAAAATACTAATTGAAACAATTAAATAGTAAAAATAATTAACTGATACTTTAAATGATACTTATAGTTATCATTTATTAACAATTACTGTGTTTACATTAAACAAGAGTAATACAAGAGGTTCAATTGAAAGATTAAGAAATTAATGCAAGTATTCATTAATTGGATTAATAATTGATGCAGATTGAACAGAAAATCGAGACTTGTGTAACTACAATAAGCTCAATTGGAATAGAGCAATATTGAAGAGTAATAGATTTTAGATATGTAGAATCACAAAAAGTGATCCTCTAAGCAATTAGATTATTGATTTGACAAGTGAAATTCAAGCAGAGAAGGAAGGTTTGTACTTTTTATAGAAGAAATTTAGATATTAGAATTTGGATTATGAAAAATTCATAAAAATTACTAGATAAATGAGTTAGCAGATGTTTGATCATTATTTGTTATTAAGAAAATGTGTTACTAGTCAATATTGAATTATATAATATATTATTAATTTATATAAAAAACATGATAGATTATAAATTATTGACAGAGTTTGAGGAACAAAAGACTTAATTATTATAAAGATTTATTTCAAATTAATAAAATAAATAGTAAATAAAGGATAGCAAGACGGAGCTGATTATGAGAAAATTGGAAAAAGAGAGATTATAAACACCATTTGTTTGCTATTAGTTTAGAGTAAAGAAACTTAGAACATTTGTTAAACGAACCAGTTACAATTCGCATTCATTTATTAATAATTCAAAGGTCTAATCTAAAGAATAGACTCAATATGATAATAAAAAAAGAAATAACAGCAGTTACGATTTTGTATAGCATATCAATCAAGTGGAGTTGAACGTGTAAAACAAGGAAGTAGATTCTTTATTTAGACCTATGCAAGATAGAAGACAAAAGACTCCTTTAAAAATGAAATTATAATAACTGGAATATGGGAGAAATTATCAAAAATTAGTAGATAAAATAATAGAGTTAGATAAGAATCCTATCAATTTTAAAAAGAATCTATACATCTGAATAATTGCTTTATTATTATATTAATTTTTAAATTATCCATCATCAAGAATAAAATGATGAACTTAATTTATTGTAATTCTAATTCCCTCATCAAAATCCTACTGAAGGAACCAAACTTTTAATTATTCTTAGCAACGGCATAAATTTTCTTAGGATGCTTAATTTTGTGATTTCTTATAATGAAACAACATTCAATGCTTAGAACAATATATGCAGCTTCATAATTTAAATAGTATTCGGAGAAAACATCCATTTTGGGATTTGTTTACAAAAAGGAAACTCTTATAGTTCAAATGAAATATTAAAAAAAATCTACATTCTCATCTTAATGAAGTATTTACTAAAGAGTAATGTTGGTTAAAGGTAGCAAATAATAATCTAAATTAATTAAATTATATTTTGATATTTATATTTCTAAGTCCTTTACTTTTTAGTTTAACCTATCTAATGATCAAGTATAAAACTTTCCCTTAAATTTTATAGTTTACTAGATTTAATATGTGTTATTAGTATAAAAATTTTTGTCTCCGCTCAATGATAATTTTTGAGTAATTGATTATATTTTATAGTGGAAAGAAAGTTTAATATTCTTCAAATAAACATAATTGAAATATTCATTACAATAGTATTATTATAGGAATATTGAACTTTTAATCAAATTTTTGCCCTTATAAAGAATATAATTTATTTAATATAATAAAATTTATTTGATATGTGCTTGACATGCTTAAAGTTATTAGCTATGGGTTACTCAACGAGATCATGTATCTGCAATAAAAATACGATGTAATTGAAAACCAATAAATGATTATATAATTTATTATTATATTAAACTAACGAATAAATGAGTTAACATAATAGTACCATAAATCAGCATTTCTCTCTTAAAATATGGTAACATAATAATTGATACAGAATAGAATCATTCAATTAATTAAATAAAGAATATATATTTAATGAAGTTAATAAGATGATCAAATTCTATAAAGTCATAATGAGTTAAAATGTAATCTGCTAATTAATTCGTATTTAGAGTTGATAAACAGAAACATTTAGCCTCTTAAAAATTAATCAATTCACTTCAAATAAGAGCAAACACAAACAATTAAAGTAATATTAGTCTATCATAAAACTTTGGACAAAAGAAAATAACCTAATCTTCTATTTCTATTATATAGAAATCATTGCCACAATAGTCTTTATAATGTTAATTTCATTAATCTAAAAAAGTAACCATTGACTTTAATAAAGGCTTAATTTTTGATAATAATTCAAGAAATAAAAATGCATAGCAATGTTAAGAATTTTCAACCCTTAATAGCAAGAATATTGGAAAGATCAATAACTTTAATCATAAAAATTCATTTACAGAAAATGTATCTATGAATTAAACTAATTACAAAATCATTTGGTGATGATGCTCGTTCATTAAATTTTCATGAAATTAACGAAAATCAATATAAACAGGACTAATTAACTCAATTTTAATTTGCTATAAATCCTTATTAAATGAATGCAATGGGTTGGCTGAGATATCTTAGAAGAATGATTATGAAATTAAATGTAATAACTTGCAATATTAATTGGAATAGATGACATCAATTCATAAACAATCATTAAAATTAATCAATTAGCTATAATCAAATGAGAGTTTTTAATAACTTAAAGATGTTTAAGAAGAACTAAATTCAATCTAAATGGATATACATAAAATTAAATAAATATTCTTACAATTACGCAGATTAAACCTTTTAAGTATTTAATAATAAATATAATCAAGATACATCATGAAAAACACAAAGATAAATTATCTGGATATTTAAAAAATATTAAAAGTAATGAGGTAAATCAGTTGAAATAGCTAATAGACGAGAGGTTAAAATAATTGAGCCAAATTAAGACGTCTTTAAATAATTATTTCAATAATTAAAAAAATAAGATTAATTATTCCAATCCTAATAATTAAGTTCTAGAAGAAAGATGAAGAATAGTAATGTATATATTTCTTTCGAAAATAAAGAAATGTTTTAGAAATAATAATGTACAATAACTCTGAGATAGTTTCGATATAAGATTATTGACAATACAATAATATAAGGCAACCATAGCTGCCTAAAGGGAACAAGGATATTTATTAGAGTCTCCGAATTTTATTCAAAGTTGAATATTACTATGCATAAATACCAAATTTTTATAATAATATTTTAGTAATTGGCAATCAAATTTATAATAATTTTTTTTAAATTAATTGCCATTCTCTAAAGACCATACTAAAAATATGGGAAATACAAAGGATGAAAGCAATTTAAGAGTAGGTAAAAATAATAATCAAGAATAGATTGATACAGAAGTAATTTGGTACACGTGCAATTTATTATAAAATAATTATATAAATTAAATATATCATTATTGATGGAATAAGAGAGCGAAGAAATTAGATCTGCATTCCCAGAATATCTCACAAATACATAAGAAGATGGCGAACATGTAGCAATTAATACATAATTGTAAGCTCGACTAATGTTTGTAATAATTTGAGACATTATTCAATAATTACAAAGATGAACTAAATATCTTATCAGCAATAGAATCTAAGATTACTATGGTTGTTAATTAAACTCCAATGTAATCAATAATTGATTGTTATGAAAACATTGCTAAAGATTATAATTTATAAGTAAAAATATGAATTTGAAAATAGACAAAAATGTTTAGGGTATCAAAATTTCATGATTAAAAATGTATGCCATAAGTTCCAATATTAATTTAATATTTGGATAGCAAAATTAAAAGTTTGCCTTGGCCTATTATCGGTGATGTAAATCCTAATCAATTATAAGAATAAATGATTAAACTATATAATTTTAACTATGGGAGAATAGCATTACATGAATTATTATTATTATGGTTTCCTTCATTAATAAAACCATATTGTAATGTTATTGGTAACTTATTAAATACTCAAACTAAATTATCTTAGGATGAAAAATATTATTTTGCAATTATGGTAATTATTTAATGATATTTTAAAAAGGGAGCTGCAGCATCGGGAAGTGACTAGTTATACGATTTATTAATCTAACATTTCTATCTAAATGAGGGTGAAAAAAATTGGGTTGAGCTAGGATATGAGAGCATTGATGAGAAAATCAAGTCTGTAGATACTATTTGCAAAATACTTGTTTAAAAACCTTGGGAACAATCTCTTAAAAATACATTACAATAAATAATAAAGAATAATAAGTGGAACAAAAGAGAATTAATCTAAGCATTAATGATATTCATTTTTTATAATAATATTGGCTGTTTTTCTTAAGGTAATGGTATCCTTAAAGAGATCGATTATACTCTTAAACTATAATCAGGTAATACTAGTATTAGTTTTACATTTCCTTAAGAATAATAATAATAATAATAATAGATTGATCTTACATAAAATGAATATATAATTTAAGAATTAAAAAATTAAGTTCTACTAGATGCTAAATTGGAAAATCCAAGTTATTCATCTGATAAGAATTTATAATTCAAATCAAAATAATAATCAGTTGATGAACCTTAAGGTATAATTGATTTGGATGAAGAACAGTTGATATTAAAATTTAAGGAGAAATTCTAAAAATATTTCACTCAAGGGGAAATAAAGGATTCAACTGGGTATCAAATATTACGATTTTCGGTATTGATAAATGATATACCGTAGGAGTACAACTTCCAAATGAACAGCTATCCCGTCTTAAAGTCTATATATCCTGAAGGAGCATAGACATTACACGATTTTTTATTGGAAGTAAAATAAATGACTAGAAATACTTTTGGCAAGGAGTAATAGATCACAACAGCCGCATTTCGAAAAGCTATACGAGTATATGCTCAAAATATATATAGATATTAACATGATGATATTGATTATTCAACACAGGTATATATTAATTATACTATTATGAAGATGAATAAATTACTACCTAAGGAACTTAAGGCTTTCATAAAGATTGTCAGTTTGACACCAAATTTATTATAGAAGAAACACTTAGAAGCTATTCCTTTGAAATTGAGTCCAGATGAATTGTGTCATATTACATTATTATCGATTGCAGCCAAAATAGAAGTCCAATTAATATATTTATCTAAAGCTTTAGTAGATTGTATGTGAAAATTTAGTATATATTTTATATATTTTAATTAATTAATGCACGGTCCCGATATTAGTGATTTGGATTTGCCAGATCTTACTTTATACCCATCAACAACTGGATATTCAGAATAAAAGCGTTGTTTCAAATAATGTGTAAAAGATATGTCCATCTCTTATTTGAACATTGATGAAGAATCCTGTTCAAGTAATTGAATAAAGTAATTTAGAAAATTGCTTATCCAAATATTTGCAAGCTTAAATATTCTTATCATAAAAGATGACTAATGCTTTAACTCAACTTGTAACCTAGGATCCCTCCATAAAAATAGCATTTAAAAAGCCTTATAAATTGCCAGAATAATGAATATTTTATTTTATTAATGTCAATTATTCATGGTTATGGTATACCCAATAAATCCAAGTATTTTCTTCCCATATGCTTCTTTCCTCCATAAGCAACCATAAACATAGATTATCCATCAAGTCCCATATCAGTTAAATCAAAATTACCTAGAATATTTATATAAATTACCATCTTTTGTATTTAAAGCAGGATCTGTAAAGTAATTTCCAACTCCTTGAACATCACTAACCATATAATTGAAATTTGAAATGAAATATGTATAATAGGAGTATCCCTAAGCCAAATGATTGAGGTCTATATTTTCATCTGAAATAAAACCATAGTTATTATTATACTTAACAAAATCGCCAGAAAAGAATCTTTCTGCAATCCAATATGAATCTAAAAATAAAAGGAAATTCTTACTTCCCTATGCCAAATCCTTCAAAATTAAAAAGTCTGAATATTTAACATCTGGAATCTTGATTGTTCTGTCAGTTCTGTCCCTTGCCTCTTGCAATTCATTAATATACTTTTTCATTAAACATTTTGAAATGAGGTGGGATCTGCATTCTACAACAGCTTCATCCTAACTCTTATAAGTTGTATCTCCAAGTGGCATTTTGATCACATATAATTCATCTTTGTTGCTTATTCTCTTCATTAAAAATACTTATTTCATTTAACCTACTGCAAAGAACGTCTCAGTTCTTATACAATCCCATTTTCCTTCTTCATAAACACTGTAATCCCTATTAATATCGAGTCTCCTTATATTTTCCAAATTTCCTTCAAACGCATCCTATTTTAATTCAACACGATAAACACCAAACTTAACTAGAACAGTTTTAACACCTGGCAATTCGTCAAATTTTGATGGATCCTTAATCGATTTGCAAAGTGCTTCCATCGCACCGGTTTATGATCTTTTATTTGCAGCAGCCTACTTAGATCTTGTTCCTTTATTATTTGTTTGAGTTGCTCTTTAAGATGCTTGAGAAACCAAATCCACAAGTTCCTACCAAATTTTACCTTATTCTGTATTTTCTAAATCTGCAAATAGTAATAATTCCTCTTTTTCTGCCTTTTAATAAATCTTCTTTATTTCTTCAAACATTGGTAATGTAAACTTATTAAAAAGGATAGCAACAAATAAAATGTTTTTTTCAATAAGTAAATTAATAGCATCTTCAATATCTTCATTTGGGTATCGATCGGCTACTCCGCCATTATATCTCTTACCGTGGGTCGGAGCATCGCAAATCAAAACAGCAATCTTGAAATTTTTACTCCAATCCAAATTCTGAACCATTTGTGTTATGCCTCCTCTTATATCTTCAGCAGCATCCCCGCCTCCAGCGCAAGGAATATCTGATAAATAGTCCTCTATTTCTTTAGGATTTGGAGTGAAATTTAGTTACTTGTATTTTCCTCCTAATTATTTCCTTTCTTCAAAATCTTGATATGCCACTGTTGCCCATAAAGCATCTCTATTTGTCTTTATCTTTATGTTCTTCATACTCTCTTTTATGCACATCATTGCCTATTCTTTATATGGATCCATTGATCCTGTTACATCAATCAGAAAACAAACCTCAATCTTTCCATGACTTTCAAACATCTACCTCTTTAAAACTAAAGTTATTAATGCATTTACATTATGCTGTTTTTTATCGTTACTCTTTATTTTTTTACATTAAATCCTACTATTTAGATTACTCCTACTTCAATTTTTCTTATCTTTCCAATAATTCTTTCTTTCTTTATTATTCCTCCCTTTGATATTCTTTGTTTCTTTGCTCTTCCCTAGCATTCAAAGCATCCACCAATTTTTTATTCTCAATGTCCATTTCTGACATTTTTTTTGGATCTCCCTTTTCAGCATTGTTTTTATACTACTGCAGAAGCTTTTTATATAAGTCCAGATCTTTCTGTAATTCATCCTTTTAAATTTATAATTCTGTTATCAACTTCTCCTTTTCCTTCATTCCTTGACTATTCTCTTTTAATTAATTAGCAAGACTTTCCACACTCTTCTCCAGTTCTATTATCCTTTTATCATTTTCAAAACACTGCTTTCTAGCATTTCCTAACTGTATCTAGCTCTCTTCAAAAGATTTTTTGGAAGAATTCGCTTCTGCAGTCAATTTACTTATTTGCATCTCAAAATTCTATTTCCATTAAATTTCTATTTACCTAAATCCTTTCTGCAGATGCAAGATCTAATCTATTTGTGGAAGCTCTCAATTCATCATCCCTTCTACTTTATAAAGTTCTCACTTATTCAAATAAACCATGTAACTAACTCTTACATTCTGCAAGTTTCTTCTCTAAGTGAGCATTTTATTATTATAAATCACTCAATTTTTCATTTTAATTAGAACTAATGAAACTTTTCATCTATTATTACACCTTCTCCACTTCCAACTCTTTATTCTTTGTTTTTACTTCATCTATTTGTTGCTCCAATCTCCTGATTTTATCAAGACTATTATTACCTAATTTATTATCTTGAGATATCTAATTCTCTAATTATATCATCTTTGGTTTGATTACCACGGTTTTAAGCATATTCCAATTCTTTCTATAATCCTTTTATTTCATAAGTCTTTCCTATCAAATCCTCTTTCAATTTTAAAAAATCTTCTACTTTTTATTGAAGATCTAGTTTTTCTTATTTAAAATATTATATCTATTGAAATAATTCAGTTTTATCCATTTCCAATCCACTAATAGTTGCTTTTAACTTAGTAATTTCAATTTCATTACCCTTTGCTACTTATTATTAATATTGATTCTTAATTCTATTTTATAAATAAGAGTAATACTGATCCATCTAGTTCGTAACTTTTGTTAATTGCTCTTAAAATTCTTCCTTTTAATTCTATTATTCACTAAATTTTTATCTCCATTTATTTACCTCTTCCTCTAAAAATTCTTGATTTAAGACTATATCAAATACCTATTTTCTACTTATACTTCTTTGTTAGAGTATCTGCAGTTTCAGCATCTATTGTCACACCCTTATCTATTCCACTATTCTTTAATGTTTAGTCATTTTTCAAAATTTGGTTATTGTAGATTAATACGAGGTCCTCAAATCTAATTCCTGATTTTTCCATCACTTTTTTTTTTATATCATTCACTGTTGTCTTCTCTATTTGAACTTCAATCTTTATTTATTTTCCATTTAAAATTACAACATTGATCTCCATAGATTTAATAAAATATATAATATTAAAATCATTCGAAACAGGATACTTTTAGAATCTTAGATATTATTTTACACAAATTATCGATTAATTAAGGTAATATCTCTTTCTCTCGATATTTAAAACATCTTTGTTTGTCAATTAATTCCTGATCTCTAAAAATATTTCCAAAATATAATCCTATTAATTTATGCTATACTTATCTTTGAGGTGAAACTTGTTATTTCTAATTATTTTCAACATAATAATCGATAAATTATCTAAATTATC